TTCTTGTTTTCTAGATCCGGTCTAGGCTGTCTGCTGTATCCAACATATGGCGCGGATTAGACTGTCTCAGAATGTATTGGATCTCTTTTCTGGACAATCTTGGCTTGACATGTGAATTTACGTGATACGAATAGATCAATACTGGAAATCCGAAAGCATTTCTTTTCATTGGAATTGAAAGTGCTGCTTATGTTACTTACCATCTGCCTATGCTCACAGTGGTGACCGTATGGTGTTCTAGTGTTCCATAAACGGATAACATGACCAGAAGAATCTGCCCTTACAGTCTCCTTTTGCCATGTTCAGCAAGTGCTTACCGCGATGACCCCCACGAACTCATGTGAGGTGTCAAGAGGAAGCCTTTGCCAAGCTACATCGCTACCACCCAAGGATTAGGTGAGAGCAGGCCACCAAAAGCCATGGATATGAGCATTGGTTGCAATCATTCCAGATATGTAACGGTATCTTCAAGTTAGCAAGAATCTTTCCATGCCGATGGTCCGACATGTGGCAGTATTCGTATCTGTGCCGGGAAAGTAAAGATATAAAACGACAACGCCCCAAAGTGTTGTTGCACTGTACTCATAATTGTCTCAAGATTACTCTTGCCTGGCATTATCTTCAATCATGCAGCTACTCACCATCACTTTCGCACTGGCAGCGAGTACTCGAGCGTCTCCTCTCAGTCTCACGCGCCGCGACCCCATTCCTAACGCGGAATCTTTCACATCATGGTCGTGTTTTGATTGCGCAGCCAGCGATCCCTGTCTCTCATGGCCACACGACAACATCTTATCTGAGACGTGTTATCCGTTTGAGCAAGGACAAGCGAGCCTGCAGGTACTAGCGATTGCTAGTCTGAGCTGCGTGTGTAAGTACATATTCTCCATCTTATGGGCAATGGCGATAGCCAAAAACTAGTCATCTCGAGGGAGGTGGCTGACAAGACACGCAGTGCAACTTTTCGACTCGGTAAATTGCTCCGAAGAGGCTGGTGCGCCCTATACGTTTAACGATCCACCGACTTGTGATCCGGTACCGGTGTTCAAGAGGGGATATAAGATTATCTGCTAAAATTATGACGTATGGGGATACCATAGCTTAGAATTACAGTTTGGAAGCTCTTGGTTACGTTACTAGTTGTGTTGTTCCGTTGGTCAAGAAGAGGTGGGCTTAAAGTATCGTTAGTTCAACACATAATGAAAGCCAGACTCTTGGACCTTTCATCCCCCCTGTAATCGGTATCTGAACACAAGTGGATTCCAAGGTAGATGCGGGAATTTGGATAACATAGTTGAAGATACGATAAATTAGAGCCTTTGTGTTTCTGCAATTGCTTGTTCATTGCCTCTAGAGTTTCGGTTCACTGAAACGTCACTGGCATTAACAACCTGCTACGCGCGGCGATTTTCACGCATTCCATGCTGGTATGTTGACCATGAGCTTTATTCGATAGTCATGAAAGTAAGGCCGATTATGGATGACTATAGACAACAAGAAAGTCATCGTACGCGGTCCAAAGAACCTTGGAAGTGTTGCACAACGACCGTAATGTTCACCGTACTGGAACTGACTGGGAGGAAGTTAGCTACGCAGCGCTCAGAGTTTTCTACAACTCACCGATAGTCAGCTTCAATGTTGCTGAGATCATTGAAGTGGCCATATGTGTTAGCCACGACGTGCGGAAGTAACATCGTCATGCGCATCCATCACATTATCATCTCATGCTATAGCCAGCCGCTTAGATGTATTCGTCTTGCGGAAGTTTTTAAAGCAGATGATCTCGTGAAACGGAGACATATTTGTGAGATTTTGTGGGTTGAGCGTGGGACTTGCGACGATTGTTGGTCGGGCGCGCTTACTGCGTCAACGCCCGTGCGACCATCATGCGTACGGCCTAAACCTCTCGAGGACGTTGATGTCTCGAAAAGGTCTTGAGACATAACTCTTTCAGCGAAGGTTTACCAAAGAAGCATGAACATTTCAATCAAGCGTGATCTCATACTACCTAGGTACTGCTCACCGGTAGCGACCCTGTGGTAATGATACTTTTTTGTGTCACCAGGATCTGTTCTGGTAAGACAAGTTGGCTCAGGTATGTTAGGAGGTGTTAGCATGAGCAGTTCAGATTTGTATAAAGCTACTTGAGAACGCACCTGGGAAGAGCACAACCTCTTACACACATCTTCTCGAACAACCTCACAGCTTAACTTCTAGCGATTCCAACACAGTTTCAGAGTAATCTCAAAATGAAGCTCACTTTTACGCTATTCTCCGGCCTCTCGCTCGCAGTCGGTACGCTCGCCGTCGATAGGCCTCTATCCTTCACGACCTGGCCTTGTAACAACTGCGGCTCCCCAGCTGACACGGTTAACGGACCATGCAACGGCGTGGATTATCACGTTCCGAAAAGCGATATTTGCTACAATCAACCCTCGTTAAGCAGACAAGGCAGTCTTGTAGTGAACGACGCCGTACCCGGATGCACGCGTAAGTGATTACCCATCCTTGGTGACTTGACAAGCACCATACTATTGCTACCGGGGTGTGAGATCGTGAGGCCTGCCAATCGTAGAATTGACCATGATTATAGTCTTCCTCTACAGTAATACTTCCTGCGAAGGTAGCGGTGATCAGACATTCGGCTTTGTGGGCCCAAATGTTTGCAGGCCTGTCGTATTCAACGCTCGCGCTGCGTACAAGGTCATCTGCTCCTAAGGTAGTCATGACGGGATTTGTAAAGCTATGAAGAGACGGTTAGATAGAGGACAGATGGCGCTGGCAACGGTAGGAGGAGGGAAATTCGGGATACAGTCATTACTGCTTCTCTACTTCAAATTTTGGAATTTGGTGGGATGAATCTGCTCGACGTTAGTTCAACACACAACGCGAGCAGAACCTTCCCGTATTTACTCTATCAGAAATTATCATATCAAAGATGTTCTTGGCCCAATGGTTGCACCAGGTATTCGAGTTCAGATGAGTGATTTCCAGAGTAATGTCAACGAAATCTGGCTGACTGAGAACACCAAGGATGGGAGTGATGCAGAACTCACTGCGAACACGACTGTCGCGGACTACATCTCAGGTTTGGAATCTCATCACTGCAACGAACTCGCTGCACGCTTTTTGGAACTTTTCCCTGCCTCCCACGGCAGTGAGGCCGGTACGTTAGACAGTTCTCGTTACGCCGCTACATCGTGTGTCAGTACGTGGCTCTACCCCAACGGCGGGGAGGGAAGCAACGTCAAGAGCAACATTACTCACTAGAAGTCTTGCAGTTCTACAAAGCATCAACATCATCTCAATCCCATGGTCTTGTCTTAATTGACAATTTGTCAATTTAGTCGCCGAGTTGGCTTACCTGCCCTCCGATTAGGCTAGGGTAACTACAAATAATTGTGTCGTTCTGCTATATCTTACCAACAACCAGAACTTGTCAGCTGTATAGATATGATGTATCAATCAGAAGTTTTAGGTTGTTGTAACTCACAATACATCTTTCGACGTGTTATCACATATGTGGGATCCTTGAATCGACGCTGTGCAATACCAGTTGGTCAGCCACCAACTCATTATCTGAAGATTGCCATTGCAATGCACTGATCTTGTGCTTATGGTGGCTGCTGTGCGCCTCGTTGCGTCGCACCACTCAACGTACCAATCCTATGGTAGACCTTTGCCATCTAACAAAGTGGGTCGAGGGCCAAACACCAGGGCAGGTATAGCTGTTTGAATCCAACTGTAACCGTGAGTAGTTGTTATCCGTGTTGAACAAAAGCTAGGTTTGAAGTAGGGGATCGCGGCTCATGTATGCTTACTGTAATTACGCCCATGTAACATCAACTAGCCCGGCCTACCTCCTGGCCCGTACTTGCATAAAGTAAGGACTTATTAAACCCTTCTTTATGTGGGAACGGGTCGCGGAAGAGGTACCATGATCAAACAAGGTAAGTCTATGCGTTCTTTGTTCACAAGACGGGTTGATCGCAACCTTGAAAACGTCAGCGTAGTCACAGGCCAACAATACCAGTGAGACGATATGGGTTGGTAAGAATGCAACCGTCTCACCTTCGACAACAGTTCTCCATATAAGACTCGACGATGTCGCACTCGAGGTGGACATATTCTCTCACGACCACCTTTCTCGTCACAACTACACCAAATCTTCAACGCTGTACAATCTCTTCAACATGCACTTCTCCACTTCTGTTCTCGCAATCATCTCGGCACTCGTCGCATCCAGCGCTGCCCTAAATACGCTATCGTTCACGATATCGACATGCTCCGCTTGCAGCACTGCGTCCGGATGCTTGATTGAACGGCCAACAAACCTCCCTGCCGACAGGTGTATCAGAATCTTCGACGGCAACAAGAGCTTGATCATCACCGCCGCTGCGAACCCCAAGTGCAAAGGTATGCCTCCAGTCTTCCACCTCATACTATATGGAAGTGGAATGAGCTAACGTGTCATTCACAGTCAACCTTTTTACCTCTCTTGACTGTTCGGGGACCCCAGAGGTGCACCAGACGGTTGGCGTGTGCGATAACTTTAATCCTAAGAACTCGTACATGATCACTTGCTAGATAGGCAGTCGCTATCGGCACGGTTAAGTGCGGTGGGAACTATAAGTAGACGGTAGCTGGTAACGGCAATGGTGGATATCGGATGACAGTCGCTACTGCTAGAATCTTCGCTTCTCATTTAGGGTGGTACTGCTTACTGTTAGTTCAACACGTAACAGGAGCGTGCTGGATTTGTTAGACTATTCTATATAACAAGTTAGCCTTATTTGAACATTTAGTGATGTATTGTGACTGCGGAAGTTTTGCGTAGATCTGAAAAAGGCTGACAGATGGGGCCAAGGACGAGAAGATTAACGAGGAAGAAGAGTTGAGGAATTATGATTAGATCGCTACCCTGGGCAGACAGGTCCCGCCACTCCCGCACCAGCGACGCAGCTATCACATGATATTAGAACTTGCAGCAATCGCCACGACTACGAACCTCCACCGACTTCCACCAAGATCTTAACCTGGTTGTCTTTGTCGTTGATCAAGCTCTTGAAGCCCTTCTCTTCCACTTCGGTCAGACCAATCTTCTGCGTGATCATCTCTTTGGGATCCATGTCCCCTCTGCTCAGCGCATCGATCACTTCCTGGAAGTCGCCAACCTCATAAGTTGCAATACCCATGTAAGTCCGCTCCTTGAAGTTGAAGTCGTTAGTAAAAATGGTGCAAGGCTTTTCCCATATGGCGATATTGACGATACAACCCCGAGCACGGGTAGCGTGAACGGCTTGGTTGAGAGCTGCCTGGACGCCAGCACAATCGTAGACTACGTGCACACCCTTGCCTCCCGTGAGTTCGCGACAGCGCTTTGGAAGGTCGTCTTTGGTTGGATCGATGATGTAATGCGCTCCGAATTTGCTCGCGAACTCTTGCCTCTTTCTGCTCACTTCCGAAACGATAATTCTATCGCATCCTTTGGCCTTCAATGCCAGAATTGTTGATATCCCGATGGGTCCACCGCCCAAGACTAATGCAACGTCGCCTTTCTTGAAAGGACTGATCTTGACAGCGTGCCAACCAACAGCGAGAGGCTCGACGAGGGCGCCGATCTCGAGTGGTACATTATCAGGGAGATGGTAAAGTGTAGAAGTGGGGACGACGATGTGGTCTGCAAGACCACCGCCCCAGCCCGACAGGCCTATGAAGCCGTTAGACCAGCAGCAGTTTTGCAGACCTTCCTCGCATGCGCCGCAGGTGTCATCATAAATGATAGGCTGGATGACCACTCTGTCGCCGGGCTTGTAGTCAGTTACACCATCCCCGACTTCTTCTACTGTGCCGCTGAACTCGTGTCCGAAAGTCAATGGAATCGTTTCGCCGGTGATTGGATGGGGTGTAGTAGGGCAGAGATTTGCGCCACCTAGGTGCTCAGCTATGAATCGCATTTTCGTCATTCATGTACATACCCAAATATTCGTGGAGGTATAAATCAACGTCAGTCTCGCTGTTTCAACTTTCGTATTTGGGTTCATACCTGTTCCGCAAATTCCTACCCACGCAGGTTTTACTTTGACCTGTCCTGCTTTGACTTGTGGTATCGGAATCTTCTCAAATCGCAAGTCGTTCTGGCCATGGAATCGAAGCGCGTTCATAGTGTTTTCAGCTGCTGGAGACACCATCATGCTTCAATCTATGCAGCAATATCAAGAGGGGTCAAGTTCAATGTGACCTGAAGACGATGGAAGAGAGGCTGAAGAGACGGAGAAATACTAGAACGTGGCGCGGCGGTATCGCTCATGCCATGGTTGGCAAACCGACCTCGCGCTCATGATCCCGGAGTCCATCAATCTATCACCTTCCGCTCTCCTTCTACTGGCAAAGCGCACGTTCACGCGTGCTCGTCTCGATCACGGAATGCCCAAACGGGTAAGCCTCTAGCCAATCACCCCGCATTGACAGATGCGGGGTACCGGATGGGATGGGATTTGGATGAAGGCTTGGAAGCGCAGTCCGTTTCACCCTGAGAGAGGGGGAAATTCTGGAAAAGCAGATGCAAATTACATCGAGTTATGCGCGTGCTAATATATAACAACCGCGTACTGTTGGACAATTGCCTAGGCCTCGACTGCTTTACCTAGCTTCCTCTGGATTTACAGGCTATCCTACTCATCTTCCAACAAACGTTGGTCAGCGATACCGTCAAAAAGAAATCACGGGGAAGGGAAAGGCAAAGAAGACTAATGATGCAGCATGTTCTGCACGTTGGTGAGAGAGGCTGGGATGTAATGGAGGCCTTGACGATGACGTCGGCAACTAAAGGTATGACGCTCGGCACTCGGAACAGCTATCGTCGCACCTTCCCCGATCGGAACGAGCTCGGAAAGACAATCTGTCATCGCCTCTCTAGATTGATTCGCTGGTGTCTGAGTGCGACATTCCTACAAGAGAATTTCTACGACAAATGTCATTGAAGCTATCTACACGCGATGACGAACTCCACTACAATTCGGCACGATCGCAACGGCGGAACGTATAGTATGAGTTAGCGACCGAGACATGGAATGGTTCGGGGTCTAGCCTTCGACAGCGTTGGCAGAACTCCGATGCAACGGTTAAAGTCGCGATCATTGACGCGTCTGTGACGGTCGAAAAAAAGTTACAGCTGCGGCGCGCCTCAACAGACAACGCGCTCGTGGCTGCAAACCTACCCAATCAGGGAGCCACTTGAGCCTCAATGGCGGGGACCTTCTAGCCCTCGTCCACTGTTATGACCTCACTACGCGAAAGGCGATGGGCCGACTCTACCAGCTATCGGGAGATTGACCGATGCTTGAAATACGTGTGCATGCCCCTCAACACCTACCCCTCCATCATCTCTCACAACTCCCCAACAACATACTACGTACCCAAAAACACAAATACACACAAAAATGCCTTACCCTGAGACTACCGACGCCTTCGCGGTGACCGACATCAAGAACTGGAGCACATTCAAGCGCCAGGAGGTCAGTAAACAAGTCAATTGACTAGCACAAGACTGTACTAACATTTTATCAGCTTCCTCTCAAGAAGTTCGAGGAGTACGATGTCGACATTGCTATTGACGCCTGCGGTGTCTGCGCTTCCGACGTCCACACCATCACCGGAGGATGGGGAGAGGAGCTCCCTCTTCCTCTCTGCGTAGGACACGAGGTTATCGGCAAGGTTGTCAAGGTCGGTGACAAGGTCACCCGCGTCAAGGTTGGAGACCGCGCTGGTATCGGTGCTCAGATTGGTGCCGATCTTACCTGCGACCAATGCAAGAACGACCAGGAGAACTACTGCCCCAACCAAGTGGATACATACGGTGCCAAGCACACCGACGGCACAGTCGCACAGGGTGGATACTCTAGCCATATCCGAGGCCACGAATACTTCGTCTTCAAGATCCCAGACAACCTCGACACTGCCCTCGCAGCACCTATGCTGTGCGCCGGTCTCACCACATACTCACCCTTGAAGAGGTTAGGTGCTGGCCCCGGCAAGAAGGTTGGTATCATCGGGTTGGGAGGTCTTGGTCACTTTGGTGTCCTTTGGTCTGTAGCCATGGGCGCTGACACCTACGTCATCTCTCACTCGCCTAACAAGAAAGAGGACGCGCTGAAGATGGGTGCCAAGGACTTCATTGTCACGAAGGAGAAGGGCTGGGCTGAGCCATGGAAGTTCCAGTTCGACTTCGTCATCAACACTGCTGATGCGACCGACAAGTTCGACCTTTCAGAATACTTCTCCATCCTCAAGGTCAACGGAACCTTCCACATGGTCGGCTTCCCTGACAACCCGCTCCCCGCCATGCCTGCCCAGGTCTTCGCACCCAACGGCTGCTACATGGGCGCCTCCCACATTGGAAACAGGCCCGAGATGGAGGAGATGTTCGAGCTCGCATCCAAGCAGAACATCAAGAGCTGGGTACAGGAAATCCAGCTTAGCGAGGAGGGCTGCAAGGAGGCAGTTGAGCGCGTGTACAAGAACGACAACGTCAAGTACAGGCTCACACTTACTGGCTTCGACAAGGTCTTCGGTAAGAGGGCTTAGACAGCTGCAAGAGTAGCGTCGTTACCTTCTTGAACCCTAATAAATAGTTATGAATAATAATGAACGTTAAACAAAATTGTTGTGCCTGCATGTTTGGAGTTGGGTTTCATTTGCTGGCACGTCATGACAAAAGGATGTGTGATCGGATTTGTGGTATGTAGTAGTGAAGGCAACGGTAGCTGATGTTTCCGGTACTTCTTGCTATGCACATCGCAGTCCCGATCTTTCCCTACCTGCCCCCTCCCACTCTCCATCCTCAGTGTGGTGGCCCATCACATAACGGCGGCGCATCGCTAGGTTCCTTAGGCGGAGCCTTCCTTTTCCCCTGCACCCTCTCCGCCTTGACAAAAACTGGTATCACACCCCCCGTCTCCAGCGCAAACATCCTGTGCCCAAATGCCTCGAGCATACTTCTAATCGCCCCCGAATGGCTGGTTACACTTAACCACACGTTGTTATCCGAAGCAAAAACATCGTCCAGGAATGTGGCCAATCGGTAGCGTCTTGCCGCTCGCGGTTCCCGGTACTCGGCTTCCCAGAGGGGATCTTCGTCTTTAAAACCGGGTTCAAATGTCAATATCGGGTCGGTGAAGGTTTGCTTCAAGTGAGTGGCTGTACTGCGCCGATCACAAGTATGTACGCCGAGGGCTTCGCGCACGAGTTCCTTTATGTAGGGTGCGTAGGGTTGGGAGGGGGGAAGTGGGAGACCTCCGAATGTTAGGTTTGCTGTTTCTATTGTGCGGGTTAAAGGAGAGACATAGTATGTCTGTGGGACCGGGATCCCGAGGGGGAGTTGTTCAGCCCATAACTTGTTCACGGCAAGGGCTTGGTCTTGACCTGTGGAGGTAAGGTTGGCGTCTGCCCAGATAATGCCGTCGTAGCCGTCGAGGGCGGCATAGTAACACTTGTTGTCGTGTCAGCAACTTATCTCTTCCATCGGGGTTCAGAAAGAACTAGCCTTACGAGAAGACGCAGTTGAAAGTGGAAGGACGATGCAGTGAAAGAGTGAAAAGCAAGGTGAGTAAGAGAGTAGGAGTGAAACCGTAATCGACACCTTTCGGCGAAATGCCTGATTCGGAAGGAGTTTGATGGAAGATGGAATGAGACGAGATTGGAAAAGTGGTGGAAGGGCAATGGCAACATACATCCCAAGCCTTCGTTCCGTACTTTGCCTCTGCGACATTGTGCCATCCCTGACCATGACGACCCAGAAAGAGTACTTTGTAACTCTCGCCCTCTTTCTTCGCCGCCTCTAGACTGGCCACGTGTGTCTCAAAGCGCTTCCATTGCTTCTCTTTACTGTCGTCTTCACTGGGGTAAGAGCGCTCAATCAAGCCGAAATTATGCGCCTTCTATCAGGAATGTTAGCGCGCTACCTCGCATGCCAAGATGGGATGGCGTTGAATGAGAGAATATGATACAGTGACACCATGGACACCGCTATTGCATGCAGAAGACAAAAGAAGAAGGTGAAAAACATACGAAGTCAAAAGTGGTATCATCAGTCTCATCCTCACTCTGCATGAAGAATCCCTTCTGCACGGTATACTTGAAGTGATAATCCAACGCTGGTTCAGTCGGAATAGGCACCGTGGACGAGTGATCTGAGGTACTCATACTGAAGTAAAACAGGAAGATGAGCAAGGTAGAGACGAAGAGAATGGGTCTGCTAAAACATTAGCGTGAAGCGCCGGATTGAGGGATGAAGTGGGAAAGCGCAGCAAGGCTAGAGCGGGATATTCGCTTACATGGGAATGCCGACCCCGCAGATTCTTGTTTTGGCTGTATTCAAGGGAACGAGCATAGTATGGAGAGGGGTTATAGTAGCATGTTGATGTACTTTGTAAGGAGGATGTTGCGTTGTGGATGCGGTAGATTGACGGTGTGTTGCTAGCCTGCACCTGGGCACGAGCCAATCACAAAGTCAAGGCTGATCACGGACAAGCACGTCAGTGCTCTCAAGCTGGTCTAAGATCATTCCAAGAAGGCTAGGCCCCTCTTGCTGCATATGAGATATAAATTCAGATTGATTAAGACATTTCAACTGTAAAGACTCGATGACGTCAAGGCCCGATTGAAGACAGCCACAGTGTTTGCTCATGAATCGTATTTTTCTTTAGCTTCTACAGCTGCTCAATGAGCTTAAGCTGTAAAGGCGCGCAACAGAGGCTAGGCCGTAGCCATCGTACGCTGTCCACCATTGTGGTATTCTACCGTGATGTCCACCAAACGCCCATCCCAAGCCCGCTAATCCAGAAGAGACTTATTGCAGCCGAAGCTGACTTTTGAAGCGCAATTACATCGCAACATCACAGCCTGACCGTGTACCTGCGGCCAGCCTGCGACCCTAGCAATGATACGCTCATTTCTTCTTCGGGAACTTCGGCTGCCCAATCTTGTCACCCCGTAGAATGACATTGAGCACGCGCTCCATGTTTCCTAGCAGCTTTTGGTCTGGTGTCGCAGTACCACGCTCAAAGTCGGCAATGATAGTGGGTGTGCTGTTGCACTTTGTAGCTAAATCCTTCTGTGTCATGGTAGTGCCCTTGTCGTTCTTTGCCTCGGAGCGCGCCTTGGCGATGGCCTGGCCGACCACGATGCCAACGGTCTTGGGCTTGACGATGTCGTCGGAACGGTCGACTTTAGTAAGGCGTTGGCCCTCTGATGAAGCTCCCTGTGGCTGATCTGTTAGTATTGTTTTGAGTGAACTGTTGGGAATCACGAAGAACGAAGTTGTTCAAGCTAAGTTGGACGTGTCAGGAGTACTCACGGCGTTGGCGGAAGCGAACTTCTTCTCTGTGGCGACGATACCGCCGCTGCGTTGGGCTGCGTTCAAAGCTGACTTGCCCTTGACCACGGTTTCGCGAGGTCCCGCGGCGCCACCACGAGTGCGGCTACCGATCTTGGTAACGGAGTTCCAGTCGTCAGACATCTTAAATGTGGGTTGGAAGAGTAGAGTAGAGATGAAGTTGTGGTTGGCGTGTGTGGAAGGCTGAGTTGGGCGCAGATGTGGGGTCTTGTCTGTGTAAAGTCGGTGTTTGTTCGTCGATAGATTTTTAATCGGCGAACGTCAATCTAGGAGAAGGTGGTTTGAATGTGAAGAGCAATGGAGTGAAGGAGATTGAGCTTTTGCTTATGTAGATGCCCAAAAGCGATGCAACGTCGCGATGAGTCGGAGCGGCAGGTGAGGTCACCGCCACGCGCGCTAGCCTCGCTTAGAGCAGGGCCTCTCGAAGCTTCCACGTTCGCTGAAGCTGCAGCCCTTCTTCCGCCCTTCTTTCACCCCAACTGTCAATTGTCGCGATAGCCGCTACGAGCTCACTCATTGTGTGTCATAGCTCATGAAAGCTGGCTTCTAATCTACCGACGCCATTCGTCGTGTTGGAACCTGACAGTTGATCGAAAAAACCCTTCACATCCGTGTCTCACAGCACTCGACCGAGCACGCGACAACGCAATCAGTGCTCTATTTTTCCTTTGGGCTTATCCCATAGCACACACCTCTTCAGTATACGTCGTCCTTCCTTCTCGATGATGGACTCGTTTGTCAAAAGCAGGAAGATCAGCTACCAACCCGTTCCAAGCCCTTTGCTTGTACTATTGACCTAATGCTTGGGTGTCTGCTCCCCTTATGGACAGGCGCTGGTGCTTGGGGCGGGACATATATACAATTCACTATGATTGTGTGCATCATTGTTTTGCTAGTGAAAGATTCATTGATGAGGTACATGGTGTTCGGACGCTAAGATAAAGTGTCTATGTGTGCCCTGATCGCTCATGAACTTTTGACAAAGGCTCGTCTAATCTAGACAAGCACCCAACCCGACCGCCGGAACGCCATTGCATGCATACAGCCATATCGAACCATATTAACCATTCGTCGTGAGGTCATACCATTACAAGTTCGATTGCTGCGCGACCTCCCGCTCAACCTCATAGAGGAAGTCAAAGTATGGCTTATCGAAGTGGTGCACGCGCACGTAACCATCCTCTCCTCCACTGCAGTAGCTGGTGCCTTGTGGGTGTACGGCGACATAGTTGAGCGGGCCGAAGTGACCACGGACACGGCCAATCTCCTCCATGAAGATCTTGTGGTAGAACCGGGCCTCGAATTTTCCTTGACGCGCCGAGGTTGTAGTGACGTCCATGGCTGCTTGTCCTCCACCAAGAATAACGTAGTCCTTTACTGGGGTGATGGCCGCGGAGTTGAGGGGTGTGTCTGCAACGTAGGACTTGAGCACATTGAGCTCTTCGACGTCAACAAGCTTTGCGGTCTTGTCCTTGCTGGCGGTTATGAAGTAGGTTCGGTCGGGAGCCCACTGGATGTCGGCTGCATTCTGTTAGTCTTGCTGAAAGCGAAAGGCTGTGCAAAACACTCACTAATCTGCATGTCTGGCTCATGGACGTCGTAGTTGGAGCTGAGCAGCTCTCCAGTCTTGCCGTCCCACTGAGTTACCGAGCCGTCTTCATGTCCACTGATGATGTATTTCGCAAGGTATGAGAAGCCAGCGACTGTTGCCTTGGACTCGTCACATACGATCCTGAGCAGCTGTTCGTCCGATTGTTGTGCTTCTGGGTCGGGGTTGATGGGGTAAACGCAGATGGTTGAGAGATGTCCTGAGCGCTTCTCGGTGACACCGAGGAGCTGTCTGCCGTCTGGAGAGAATTCGCAGCGCTTGATACTGGTGTTGAATTCCCAGGTGTGGAGAAGCTTGCCTGTCTGCACATGCCATAACCTCATGGTGTTGTCCGCGCCACCGGTGGCTAGTAGCTCGGAAGATGGGTTTACGTCGACCGTCCATAGCGCTCCCTGATGTCCGTGGTATGTTCCTATCCGCTCGCCGTTGTGTGAGTACCAGGCGCAAACGACGTGGTCCTACAAAAATTAGTCTCCGCATATCAGAACACCGCGGAAAGCCCTTACCTTGGATACGGAGAAAATGATGTCTCCATCTGCGTTGTACTGTCTATTGTCAGTCTCCTCTCTCCCTTCCCACTACGCATCGCGCATGCGTACCTTGACTTGCGTGAGCGCACGCTCGTGTCCCGAGAGAAGAATAGGCCTCATGTTTGCGATGTTGTGTGTGGAGGTGGGGTGGTGTGTCGGCTTATATGTGGCGGGCAGCGTCTCGAAATTCGGGTGACTCTTTTGCATATCGACGTTCAGCGGGCGAAGTGGGCTGCTTGGCGCTAACCGACTAGCGTGCTTTGTCCCACATCCATGGATCAACCACCATGCTCTTGAACCTCATCTCTCTACCTTGACTCAGATCCTTATTACAAAGAGTCAAGAGAGTACGGGTACCGAGTTGAGATTATTGGTCTAGATCGTCTTCGCTTTGATGATGCTTGTTGAGGTGAGTCACGATGGCTCACCTCCCTTCCTAGTCTGGCCGTATATCAGCATGGGGTCACATATCCGGGAACGCAGCTTGTTCTGACTTACAGGCTGATCCGTTCATACATTGGTAATTTGCTTTCTACCATAGGTGAGTCAGATCATAACTCTGGCTCGGGTAATGTTCGTTCTCTCCCTAAAATCGTCTACGTCAGAGTCAACACACCTATCTTTCTTTGGACCCTACGCCTGCGTTTGCAATTCATTTCACAGAAGTCGGTCTGATGCATGCCTCTCTTGCTCCACCAGAAGCCCACATGAGTTTGATGGGGGCACGCATCCTCCGACGGCTTCACTGCCATCAAGCTTTCATATCCTCAAGTCCAAACTTGTTCATATGAACAGTACAAACGACGGTTACAACATTGATGTCAGTACAGGCACGCACGTGTAATTCTGGCTCTACTCTACTGTCTCTTCGTATGGAACTTCATCCCTCATCACCTTCCTCTTCACCGGCGATGCAGACATCGCACTTGTCGTTTGGCGTGAGCGCTGTCTTGGCGCAAACGCGCTCTTGCTTCCACCTCGCTGTTGGTAAGCCCGCAACAGTGCAACGCTGCTTCCCAAAAACTTTAAACTCTGATCGTTAATCTCGTACGCATTTCTTTGGTGGCGGGCAGCAGCAGCGGGGCGCAATTCCTATGGTCAATATGTCTTCCGCATCGCCCCATGCCATCATCGTCACAGCTACGCTGGATAGGCTCGACGCTTTGGCACCCGACGAGTACATGATAGCCTTGGGCCGAGGTAGCGATCAGTTATTCGCCACTCCGAGCGGTTACAGCTCGTAGGATTAGCATAACCCACCGAACCATACATCAAGCTAACTATATTACGCAGCACGTATCTACCCAACAACTTCCTCGGCGCAATCTGCGCGGGTCACGTCAGGAAGATCATATGGGCCTCATATGGCAGCAGATCTGGGTCGTGGTTCTTCGCCTACAAGCGCAAAGACGGTACGTCCGCCTTCATGGTCGGACCCGATATTCCATCAGCACTACGGTCTTTCATACAAGCAGTACAAGGTTCCGAGCCCCTCCGTTCCGGTATCCGAGTACAGCTTGGTGCTGCCAATTCTTTTGTCGTATGGACAGGCACAGCCTGGGCATGTGCAAATGTTCCACCTCAGCTCGAAGCCAAATTACGGGAAGGCAGTTCTGGATCCCGCGAGGGTAACAAGATCACCAACGGCTCATTGAGGAAATCCAGAAAGTTAGACAACGTCCAGTGGCATGCCAATGGATCGTATTATATCAAGAGCGGGGACCGTCATCTATGGTATTTTCAGTCAAGGCTGGTGAGCCTCGAATGGAACAGATTGTGGGAAAGCGTGGGACGAGATGAGCGAATGGGTAGGATCAACGAAGAGCTCGCTGTGAGTATCCACGCATGTTGTCCTACATGCGACTGACACTTCCCAGTACGTCTTCATCAGCCCGCATACACAGAATGGTGAAACCTTCGCATTCATCAAGAAGCACTCCGCAGGATTAGACACACCGTTCATTGTTCATTTTGAGGGAGAGCCAATCCATTCAAACTTGGGTACTGCCTCTGAGCAGCCTATGCTAAGCATTTCGCATTCCGAGACTACCTCTGACACCGACTCTTTTCAGAACTCACGCTCTCAGCCAACCGCTAGCCACGAACCGTATAGTCCTGATCAGCGGATGAAACATGTACCAAGAAGGGCGGAAGAAGACGTCCACTTCCAGTGGGCGACAACTAGAAAGTCTGGTCGACCGCATAGGGCGGAATCATGGGAGTCAGAGCTAAGGAAAGACGAGAAGATCAAGGTTGTCCGTGACATGGGTCGTGACTGGTTTGCAGTCATCGGCGGGACGGGTATGAAGGGTTGGGTGCACGGTTCCTGGCTCGCTTTTGGGGATCATACAGTGCATAGAGACTCAAAGGCAGCATACGATCAATTTGTTGGGGATCTTGGGGATTTGCTCAGACCCGGGCAACTTCAAGATTTCCCAACGATGACAAAGTACGTCGATGAGTGCACCAGGGCAGGCTGCCAGCCACTCAAGGAAGACGTCTCAGGATTGGGCATCTGCACCCACGATTTGCTGGTACTATTGCAAGCTTCCGGTAAATATTCGTACGCATGGCTCAAGGAGGAACGGAATGTCTGGCATCCAGACAGGTATGCCCGCTTCTGTCATCCAGACCACGTGGAGCGTCTCAGACTCCAGGCAGAACAATGTTTGTCATGTATGGGATCCTGACGGAGGATTGCAAGATCTGATCCGCAAGCTTAGAAGTTTGGCGGCTCCCTTCGATGGTTGCGGATCCGCAGAGTGTCTCCTAAAGATATTCAGGACAACCCAGACGGAGAGTAAGATAATGACAAGAATGGACTGGTTTGGTAGTAGTATGTTGAGCCATGTTCGCGTTGCATGTTTTCCCCATTCCGACCTAGGACCCTGAGTGGTACGTAATAACGCACACGCGAGTCGCGGAGCAGAAACTTTGGCGTCGGCGTGCTCTGTTCTTTTCCCGGGGTCCATAGTGCTATCTCGTGGGCTAGGCTGAGTCATTGAAAACATACATAGAAATGCGTATCAACACGTCGCGCCATACACACTAGACTTGGAAAAGATTCGCAGACAGGATTGGTAGGACGATGAAAGTGTATCCGATTTGCGGCGGACGCGTTGGTGTTCTCGCCCGTTGCTTTCCGCAAGCTACAGCTACCCCGCCGAGAAAATATTGGTGCTCAACTTCTCCCCGCCATCTATATACTGTCGTCAAGACTGCAAATAGCCCCAGGCAGTTTTCCAGCACAAGCTTCAACATGGCTGGCCAGAAGATTGACGGCACTGCCATTGCCAAGAGCATCCGCGAGAGGCTGGGCCAGAAGATTAAAGAGAAGCAGGAGAAGAACCCGCGATACCGTCCGAGCCTGAAGATTGTCCAGGGTGAGTCGCATGCCATTGAGGCATCATGGGCGACATGGGTTGCTAACAAGAGACAGTGGGCGACAGGTCCGACTCTAGCACCTATGTGCGCATGAAGCTGAAGGCCGCTGAAGAGGCCAACATCGACTGCGAGCTCGTCCATCTCCCAGAAGACCTTACCGAAGGCGAGCTCCTGTACAAGATTTACGAGTACAACAACGACCCCGCCGTCCACGGCATCCTCGTCCAACTGCCCCTCCCCAAGCACATCTCCGAGCACACAATCACATCGGCCGTCGCCGACGAGAAGGATGTCGATGGCTTTGGCATCCAGAGCATTGGTGAGCTGGCCAAGCGCGGCGGCAAGCCTCTATTCACCCCATGCACACCCAAGGGCGTCATGGTGCTGCTCCAAGAGGCTGGCATTGATATCTCAGGCAAGAACGCTGTTGTACTGGGACGCAGCGATATCGTAGGAAGCCCCGTCAGCTACCTGTTGAAGAACGCCGACGCAACAGTCACTGTGTGCCACTCGCGGACAAAGGATCTGCCCGAAGTCGTTCGCCGGGCAGACATCGTCATCGCTGCCATTGGCAAGGCGCAATTCGTCAAGGGAGACTGGCTCAAGCCCGGTGCCGTCGTCATTGACGTTGGCACCAACTTCATTCCAGACGACACCAAGAAGAGCGGACAGAGGCTAGTAGGAGACGTCGACTACGACTCTGCCGTCGAGGTAGCCTCACACATCACCCCGGTACCTGGTGGTGTAGGGCCTATGACCATCGCCATGCTACTACAGAACCTTGTTGACTCGGCCGACGCGACCTTCGACAGGCAGAAGAAGCGCAAAATCTCGCCGCTTCCCATCCGCATCGAAGACCCGATACCCGCCGACCATGCTATCTCACGGAAGCAGCACCCAAAGCAGATCACGGCCGTAGCGAAGGAGGTTGGCATCCTGCCGCACGAGCTAGAGCCATACGGTGCAACAAAGGCCAAGGTTGATCTGTCCCTGCTGAAGCGACTCGAACATCGCCGCAACGGCAGGTATATTCTCATTGCTGGTATCACCCCTACGCCGCTCGGCGAGGGTAAGTCAACAACCACGATTGGCGTTGCGCAAGCATTAGGCGCGCACCTCGGCAGGATATGCTTCGCCAACGTGCGCCAACCCAGCATGGGACCGACATTCGGTATCAAGGGTGGTGCTGCTGGTGGAGGTTACAGCCAGGTCATTCCCATGGATCAGTTCAACCTCCATCTTACAGGCGACATCCACGCCATCACCGCTGCCAACAACTTGCTTGCTGCTGCTATCGAGACACGTATGTTCCACGAGAACACTCAAAAGGATGCTGCCCTATACAAGCGCTTGGTGCCAGCTAAGAAGGGCAAGCGCGAGTTTGTACCGGTCATGTTCCGTCGTCTTAAGAAGCTGGGTATCGACAAGACGAACCCAGATGACCTGACTGAAGAGGAGATCACCAAGTTTGCCAGGCTCGACATCGACCCAGAAACCATCACCTGGCGACGTGTGTTGGATGTCAACGACAGGCATCTGCGTAAGATCACAGTCGGTCAAGCGCCAACAGAGAAGGGCCAGACTCGCGAGACTGGCTTTGATATCTCGGTCGCCAGTGAGTGTATGGCTATTCTTGCGCTCAGCAAGGATCTGTCGGATCTTCGCGAGCGTCTTGGTAGCATGGTTGTTGCGAGCTCCCGCGCTGGTGACCCCGTCACCTGCGACGATATTGGTGCTGGTGGTGCCCTGACTGCTCTGCTTGTTGATGCCATCAAGCCCAACATGATGCAGACCCTTGAGGGCACTCCCGTCTTCGTTCATGCCGGCCCATTCGCAAACATCAGCATTGGCGCTTCTTCTGTAATCGCAGACAGGCTTGCTCTGAAGCTGGCCGGTACCGAGCCAGATGAGGACCACGACGCTCAAACCGGATTTGTTGTGACTGAGGCTGGCTTCGACTTCACTATGGGTGGAGAGCGCTTCTTCAACATCAAGTGCCGCTCATCCGGTCTTGTGCCCGACACCGTTGTCATCGTCGCGACCGTTCGTGCCCTCAAGAACCACGGCGGCGGCCCTGACATCAGCCCGGGTGCGCAACTTCCCGAAGTCTACCGCACCGAGAACGTTGATATTCTCCGCGCCGGTTGCGTCAACCTTAAGAAGCACATCGAGAACGCCAAGCAGTATGGTGTCCCTGTCGTTGTTGCCATCAACCGCTTCGCGACCGATACCCAAGCCGAGATCGACGTGATCCGCGAAGAGGCCATCGCTGCCGGTGCCGAGGACGCCATCCCAGCCAACCACTTTGCCGAGGGTGGAAAGGGTGCTGTAGACCTTGCAGAGGGCATCATCAAGGCCTCTGCAAAGCCTAAGCCCGACTACAAACTCCTCTACGACGTCAACAGCGGTACAGTACAAGAGCGCATGGAAATCATTGCCAAGAAGATGTACGGTGCTTCCGCTGTTGAGTTCTCTGAGCTCGCTCAGAAGAAGGTCGACACCTACGTCAAGCAGGGTTTCGGTAACCTGCCCATCTGCGTAGCCAAGACGCAGTACTCTCTGTCTCACGACCCCAGCCTCAAGGGTGCCCCAACTGGCTTCACGGTCCCTATCAGGGATGTCAGGATGGCAGCTGGTGCGGGATACTTGTATGCACTAGCAGCAGACATCCAGACTATCCCTGGTCTGCCTACTGCTCCTGGATACCTGAACATCGATGTTGATGTGGAGACTGGCGAGATTGACGGCATGTTCTAGACTTTTGTCAAGAGAAATGTAGACAAAGCCGAGTGAAGCGTTCAACAAGCTTCACTCCGAACAATCATGTATGATGAAACGACGTATGGCGTTTTGGGTGTAGTAGGCATATTCAACAACATCTGGGTGGGCTTTTTATTCAACACGAATTGGGAAGGTATGCATAGCGCTTGGTATGGTGTCGAATCAACTTTGACTGTTCCATTCTTCTCATAGTGGAACATTACTGGAATTTAGAAGGATACTTTAACTTTCACGATCTCAAAGAGCGAACCTATTGTGCAAATCTTCTTCCATCAAACATCCCACGAACCACTGTACTCAGTTTAATGCTGTTGTTCCGGACAGCCTACGCCCCGTATCAGTACCGTTTTCCCCCTTGCACGTATTGTCCAACTTTCGGAGTGCAGCAATACACGGCTCACGACTATCCTCTAGCGCCTTGGGAAGCTCATTTCTAACCTTAGATCTATGACTACTATTCGTCGTAACAGCTTATAGAAAACTTTGATAATTAAAAGATCGTATCTTAACTAAATCTATCCAAAGCCTACTCTAGACATTAAGGCAAGCTAACCTTGATTCCATGTTTCTTCCTAGTAATATCCGCTGGCTTTTCTGCAACTGCATATACCGTGCTCGTGGTATGAGCACTAGGAGTTTACAGAATAACACTCGCATCCACTATTCTTAGGCCCGTAACACCATACGCTTCCAACTCGCCAAGATGAACACCATGGAGCCTAACTTCGCTAACCGCCTGGCACACACACCCGTTCAAGATACCGAAACTCTCAAGTCCCCAGAAAGCAACACAATAGTTCATGTAAAGGAAGTTCAAAGCACAATCTGTCGAATGGGAGATTTTGTCGACCCTGATGCAGCAAGAGGCTTTGTCCTGCGAGTGCTGTGACCGCATACACTATCCTCTACTGATATATCATCCCAGCCGCCTTTTGGACGTCTGGTACTGATGAAGAACTCGGCAGCCATCTTTTCCAGTTTGCTACAGCCTGACTTCTTCCGTGAAAGTGTCAAATCGAGGACAAGGGCAGTTGTAGGTAAGAAAGCCGCTAGGGCTTTGGAAGGTTTATATCCTTCTTGTGCATCCTCCATCACTGCGGAAAATACTTCTAACGTTAACAAAAAAAAAGGCCTTGGTGTAGAGTGTGTGATCGCCGAAACCTTCTCCTTCATCTTCGGCCGCAATACGCCCACCATCGGCTTGCTTGCCCTGACAGCCCTAGACCAGGAGTTCTATCAACTTGCACAGACTACGACTAAGATTCGGGCCGATGTTCCCATTCACTTGGGATGAGATGGAAGTAGAGCTGATTTCGAATCGCGGACTACCAGAGTCGTTTAGGAAATTTGGTAACAACGTATCCGAGGACTTGTATAAGAAGAACACTGCATACCCAGTGCCTTCGTGGATGTGAAGTTAAATACTTTACTGGCGGAAAGGCAGGAGGTATTAGCATGGTAGGGTTATCTAGAGGTATTGCTACCATTGCGCTTGGTATAACGATTACATCATTGTCAATTAACGATAGGGGTATCTGACTAACGTCCCAGACGACACAAAAAGTTATGCACACCTACAATACACGAACGCCATCCATATATGCTCCCTCAACAAAAGTGAAACTCTGCTCCACACTGATCCCCACATTGTCATCCACGACCAAGAAAAAAAACCTCCTTTACACGCTCGTCTTTATAGTCTCCTCTAGCTCCTCGGTCCATTCCCTCAACCCGACCCTCTTCGCTCCATCCTTCACCAGGACATTGCTAAACCATCCTAACAAATTGAAATTCAGATCCCGAGATAATCTCTGCACCCTATTGATATTTCTGATCCCCTGATCATCATGCTTCATACACTGCAGCGGGCATCCCGACTTGATCATTTCTCTCTGCTGATACTTGTTCCCCTTGAAAGCATCATAGGGCGAAGATCCCAGGATGAGAAACAGTAAAGTGATGGCCAAAGACCAGAGATCCGTTGCCGCGGAGGGTGAGGTAGTAGATGACGAGCTGAGGAGAGAAGGATCAAGGTAATCCCATGTCCCCGCGCCGAGGGGTGAGGCGCAAGATTCAATCGTGGCATCAGGGTGGCTGAGTATCGTAGAGGAGAAGTCTGTGTAGACGGGTTTGGGCGTGCTGGCATTACTAGATGAGGATGAGGAAGACGAAGATGTAGACGAGGAGACGAGGATGTTCGAGGGTTTGATATCAGCGTGAGTACACGATTTCTCTTGCATCCATTGTAAGCTTTTGAGGAGTGTGAGAGCAATGTTGGGAAAAACTACGGCAAGTTTCTCCGCACGTGAGCCTTCGTCGAGTGTGTTGAGTGTCTTTTGGATCCAGCCTTCGAGCGTATTGTCCATAGCGCGAAGGAGGAGGGAACCGGTGCGTGTGTCGAGGCCGTAGAAAGGTACAATGTGGTTCGCAGCATCGGAGAAACGGGAGAGGTAGGATAGGATTCTTGCTTCCGCGCTGAGCACTTTCTTGGCGCTGGTCATGGCTGGCACTTTGACTGCGTACATGGGCGGCGTTATGGGAAAACTGGCGAGATCTATGGCGGAGTCTATGGTCCGCACAGGTGTGACTGGAGGTGTCATCTCGGGTCCACAGGGAGACTGTGATGAAGATTGTTCAGTCGTTTTGGGAGGACACGGCTTCGCTAGAAACACATCACTCCATGCTCCCTCACCGATAGTCTTCTTCCGTCCACGATCGTCCATCTTGAACTCATAGTCCATCAAGTGGTACGGGAAGGTGGTGAGCTCAGTGCTGCCAGGTTGTGGTGATGCATCCAGTGACAGTCGGGGCCGGCTTAGTGACGATATGGAATCTCCACGCCGTAAGGTTGACAAAGAGCTCAGAAAATCGGACGATGTCGAGTTGGACTTGGAGTGCGACGCACCACCAGGTGTGATAGGAGGTGTGACTGCACCGCTGTTGTGCATGCTTCGAGGATCTTGCGCACCCAAAGTCATAGATCGTTTCCTTGTTGGAGAGGTAGGTGGTGTAGAAAGAGTTCGTACAGCAACTGGTATTGAGAATTTCCTATCAGACATGGCCAGTGTATGCGCCTTGCTTGATGCGTTGTCCGTAAACAGGTGAAGTTGTGGTTGTTGCCTCTTCTGCATAAGTGTTGCTGGTGATTCGAATACCCCTAGTTCTTCCATTGAAGCTGGAAACGTAAACCGTGGACGTTGCGCCATGTTGGCTTTACAGCAACAGTTGCTTGATAGTCTTCGAGTTTGACAAGTGGTACTGTACAGTTACAGCGTGCGGGTAGTGCGTTGGGAAATGTTGCCTGAACCTTGAAGCACAATGCGGGTGAGAGGTGAACGACAAACCCTCAGAGACGATGTGAAACAGGAGCAAGATCTCAAACAGGATAGGAAATGTGAAACGTTAAAAAGCGAATAGAGGTCTCTTTTTTGTCGGGGTGTATCGAAGCAGGGTCCGGAACTGAGTGATGCGAACCAACAAAGAAAGCAAGATAGTAGTGCTACAGGTAGTCGTACACGAGATAAGAAGACGGATCCACAAACAGGTTATCGTGCAACCTAATAGATAGTAGGAAGCATTGTTAATGTTGTTCGCAAGAAATGCCGGCTCGTGCGGAAGGCCCGCAGCCAAAGAGTGATGGCTGTGTATCGATGAGTCGAGAAGAGATCGGACTTGCAAACAGGTCTATAAGCAAAGAAAGCTGCGCCCCGGGGTATCCGGGGACGGGTGGCACACATCCATCCCTACCCGTACCAACGCGCAGCAATCTTAGGCAGCATGTTGGAAGCAGATGATTCGTAGGAGGAGAAGACAAAGCGCATCCCCTGGAAACAGATCCATGATTCCAGAAGCGCACCCATTCACATGTCTTTCCTAGCCGGGTTGTCTCGCACTGGCTAATGGCAGTAGCGCACAGATGGCACGCAATTCTTGGCCTCGGATCCCCAATTACTGGCCACCATCGTGTGAACGTGCATGGCTTGATTGGGTTGCGGGACGTCGCTCGTTCCCCGTCAAGGGTTCGCCTTTGCGTGCGACACGTTTTGTTGCTGCGTGCCATGCATCAAGCTCTCTGTTTGGACGGATGCGAAACTTGACGTCTTTGCTCGGAGGTATTCTGGGAACGCTCGGTGCTTCTTCTCCGTGACGTCGACATTAACACCGTCAAGTCATGAGATCGCCAAGCGTGTGGAGCTATCGTGAGTTATCGCTAGCACGTCGTTGGCTCAAATGACTGGTGTAATCTTTGGCTGCCGTTCCGTCTGCAACCATGACAGCGTAACGTGGAGATGAGACGCATTTTTTCCACGGCCGAGCATCGAAAAGAAAGACTGATCAATTCCTAACTTCGACATCGTCTATCGTGGACGTGCTTTTCTCATCGCTCAGAAGATTCGTCATGCATCGTGACCGTCGTTAGTCTTTCTAGTCGTCAATTTGCAGCAACTGCGCCGACACCCCCTCCTCTGCGCTGGCTGGATCAAGCATCGTGAATGAACTACCCCGGATGCCATATGCCGATGCCGGTAGTCCAATAAAGTGTTTTTTGTTGACGTCGCTGGGCTTCAAGCTCCGGACTAAGGTTAGGACAACGGGCGTGGGCTTATCACCTGCAAGTGTAGTTCGCAGATTGCGCTAGCTGAGCACATGGCTGCATGTGGGGGCTATCAAGCTACTACTGTACGTCTTGACCTTGCCCATCGGGCGATTCCCAAGCCACCCGTTCGCTCCAAAGTTCAATCCAGTTGCCAGCCTCACACTGTTGATATCGCACACCCCCCAGATTGGGCATGGTCAATGCTGATAAGGGAAATTTGACAGTCCGAACATCTATCAACCTCAATAGCCGCCATGCATGGGAGTGGAGCCTGAACCAAACTTCACACTGTGGTTTATCAGCTCAGTACTTAGGAGCCAGTCATACTTCGGTTCGCAGATGTTGACAGGACAGTATTGCTTCTTGTCAGGGGTATGGTAGGTGTGAAAAGGGGGAAATGGATGGTATTTGAATGCTTGACAGGTTGATTTCTCTGTTATTCTATCTCCTACTCTCCCAGTCACCGCCGATTGACTCTCCGTCCTACGCTGACAACGCGTACAACGATGCGAATAGAAACGCTCAAGGAAATTGGTAAAGTCCGCCGATGCGCCCATGGTTTAACAAAGGAGATAAAGACACCCGAACACAAGGAGAATAGAGGAGCCGATGACATGCCAGACGGGGAGGGAAAGACTACATATATACGAATTGGATATATAGATAACGTCGTCCCTCCATGCTAATCAGTCAACGGAAACCCCAAAAGTACAGCTCTCTGGCCAACCGGATGCAGAGAGATCGAAGTAAAACGCCGGCTTCATAATGGGTAATCGTATGAACGCGCCATTTGCACTGATGCCATGTAAACCCATTTCGATTGATGATTACAGTATATTGGTGTGGACACCCAAAATATGCACAAAACGCATAGATAGCTCAGAATCTGTTTTGTTGTTGATTTTGTTGTTGCGGTTGCTGAGCGACCGAGAAGCGATTATACGAATCGATTATTTGGCCCACCTGCTCCTCGTGCTCGCTCTGGCGTCAGTGTTCATATCCTGCGCCTCGCTGCCATGGGCTAGGGCTATTGTTTTGTCGGTGTTGTTGTTGACCTTGACCGTTGCTACCAGGACGGTATGATGGTGCTGGGCTTCGACGCTCGTAAAAGGATGGTGGTGACGGTGAGACAGTCCCGTCGTTGCCTTGGCTTCGTGGTGGTACGGGCGCATAGTGCTCGTTGAAACCACCCTCCTTGGCAGCCATTTGTCGCTGCTCTTCGGAAGAGTAGTCATCCTCGTCGTCAATGCGACTCCGTGATCCAGTGTATGGGTGTGTGCCCTTGCCCTCGCCACGGGCGGTCGCACCGAGCGCGTCGAGCTCAGTGGTCAACTGGGTTTGCGACTTGATGAAGGAGCCACGGTCATCGCGCATTGGCTGGTAACGGGTGTCAGGGTTCTTAGTGAACAAAGCAAATCCAGATGAGACAAGGAGCATGAGAAGGAGAATCAGAGCGAAGGCGGCATTGATGATGAAGAAGATGACACCCATGACGCCGGTAACGATGGCCTACGAACGTTAGCTTGGAAAGAATGGCGAAAGTGCACGTTACTTACAGGCTGCTTAAAGATCTCAGTGAACATCAACAAGAAGAAAGCACTGAGGAAGTTGACAGCGGCAATGGCAATGTTGAAACCGTTGGTCTTCTTGTCCATCCATGGGCGAAGGACCGATACACCGACGAGCAGAACAGCTTCGATGAGGACAAGCGCAATGGCTTGGGTCTTGAAGCTGCCCTGCGAAAGACCGACGAACATGGCCTTGATGAGGAGGTATCCGAGCCATGGAATGATGAACCAGTAGGCGGCAGCCTTGAACTGAACGTAGAGAAAGCCCCACTTGTTGAGCGCGACAGGGTCCGAATAGAGGATGTATGCGGGGTTCTTGTGCATGGCAATGGAGCGTTGTGCAATTCGGACAACCTTGGAAGAAGCCCAAGCGAGGATGCCAATCATAGTGATCATGGACAGAATGGCCAGAACGACCAGACCGGCTGAATCACGTTTGGTCAGCTCCCAGAAGCTCAAGACCATCATCTGTGGGAAGCCAATGAGGACGACACGGAAGAGGATACCCTTGAGGACGGTTTGCCAGCCGTTGCGGAAGTCGACGAATTTGTCGTTCTTCATTTTGCCAGCCTTGACAAGACCTTCACAGATGTACTTGAAGGCGACTACACCGATGACGGTGAAGAGGACAAAGATGACGAAGAAAGTGTATCCCGTGAAGAAGATGTTGGTCGTCTCAATCTTGGCCTTGAAGCCCACACGCTCGATGCCGTGGAGGACCAAGCGGTCTCCGCCAGCCTGTGCCTCGGTGGCAGCAGCGTTACTACGGGCCATGAGGCGTCCGACAGCTCCAGTGGTGAAGTCGAGCGCGCGCCTCATCTTCCTCTTCTTCTGAACTTCGACGGAGATGTACGACAACTGCGAGAGGTAGGTTGTTGGGCTTCCGCCAGTGGCACGCTGGTACCATGTTGCCATATCCTGGAGGAACTGAACGCGGATGATACCCATGGTCCATTGGAAGTTCTGGGTCCAGGCGGAGACGATGGGAGGAAGAGGGACGGCGCAAAGACCGATGAAAGCCTGTGCCTGGAAATAACCGAATAGCGACATGGCGTTGGCGGCAACGTGGGCGGCAGTGTTGGAGTGACCGAGTCCTGACGTGATGGCGGATGCCATGAGACCCAGGCCAGCTATGACAGCCGTGACCCAGGCCACGGCCTTTTGGTCAACCGAATGTCCGTTTGACAATTCTGCTTCGACACATGCGAGTTGAACATGGGATTCGGCATCTCTAATCTTTACTCGTACAACGGCGTCGAGATCGGGAATTGTGTATGCGATGCCTGCATCGTGTTAGAGATACTCAGCGGCAACTTTGGACACGCATCTTACCTGGAATTACACTCATAATGTCCTGGCTAATGTCAATGTTGGATTTGATGGTCAGCGGTCCGGCGTTCATTGGGCACATGCCCTCGAGCTCCTTCTGGCCACAGGGGTCGAGTTTCTGGTTCATAGCCGAGTATCCATATACGAGCAGCTCAATGTCGGCCTCGATCTTGCCGGCAATGTTGGAGATTCCCTCAATATTGAAGCCCAGACTGCGATTGCTGGGTGTGAATGCGACATTGAAGAGGGTGGCGGAGAAGCTGGAGTTGGACATGCACGGGTTGAGCGACTTGGATTCGATGACGCGCTCGCCGGAGACGAGCGGCGCGGCGACGGCAGCGAGCCACAGCAGCGACGTGGATAGCGAAAACTTCATGGTGGGCGGTGGTGTTGTGGGTGTATTAGGTGCGCAGAGTCGATGTGCCTCAGGCGCGGGCGTACTCTTTACGAGTACCGGGAAGGAAGGTCGGCCAGACCAGCGGCGCGAGCTTGTGCTTCAGTGAGATCTGTTTGCAGGTCCCTAACGGCGTGAATAAGCTATGTCGGGCGTGGGTGAATGTGTGGGTGAGCGAGTGGCAGTCGAGGGCGACTAATGGGGTGGTGATGTCGAAAGTGGTGGTTGCGCAGGACAACTGGGAAGGAAACCGGGAAGCAGCGAGGCGGAGAGGCGGCTGGGCGACGCTAGTCCAAGGGGATATGTAAACGACCGGACGGGCGCGATCAGCACTTGCACGCAACCCAATAAAAACAAAGTGGCTATTTGCTGTTGTTGTTGTTGTTGTCGTCGTCACCGAACAGAAGGCTGGTGTTTTGCGAGTGCCTGAGGAGAGCGAGAGATGAGGCGGACGGTGAGAGGAGGTCAGCTTGAAGGAGCTGAGGTCTATGCACGGCGTGCCGGCTTCAGGGGAGCGAGACGATGTCGGTCGCGGCGAGTGGGCCAGATGAATACGCGCGGCACCTGCTCAGCGCCCAGCCTCAAAGAAGTCGTCCAACGGCTGTCAAGTTTGCGATTTGGGGCGATGGTGAAATGAAATGCTATGCTACTCTAAATCTGCGCCCGTTTGCTTCTCTCCAAGTCTCTCCAAGACGACCTTTGTCTTTGCCTGGCCAAAAACAGGCGCCTTCTTCTTTCACCAAGCTGGAACAGGCGGATGGGGCAGGGGCGACGGGGCAGGGGGCAAAGCTGCTTCGCCACACTCCTACGCAGGAACAATCTCGCCTGTCCAATCAACACGACGCTCTAGGCCTCTTCTCGCGCTGACTGAGAGTTTGCGAGCCAGGTCCGCCCAGCGCCTCGTATTTTCTCTCATCTTACTGCCCGTATACGAAAGAGACGGTCAGCTCTGCTCTCCCACCTCATCCCCGCCAGCAACAAATTGGCCCAACTTGAGGCATGTCAATATTATGCCATTATGCCATCCGGCATCCTGCGGCACACCAAGTCTGGCCAGCAACCCCATCCGTGCTCTCGGCACCAGCCCATGGCTGCACGCAAATAGACATGACCCAGCCTCTCCAGCCAATCATGCAGGACCTGAGTGTGGCGCCCTTGGCCAGCGAGGTCAATGAGCCGTGGACTCACTACATCGAGATGCACAAGACTGCGCGTCAGCACAGGCTTGCTGCTGTTTCTGGGCGTCGTTGGACACTACGGCTTCTCTATCCGCAGCTTGCGTAATGTTCGCACGTGTCGTCAGTGGAAACATCATGCTTTGCTCGCACCAGAGTTCCGTTGAGTGAAAATGTTTACCCAACGACCATTGTACCACCGAAGGATCATCATTCAGGTAGTTCGCAAGACGTCACTGAACCAGACTGCGCAACGCGTGTCTGCGAACTACCAACGAACGTCTCACCCACATCTGAAACACGGGATCTGCCCATCCAGAAAATCTCAAAGGTGCCCGGCCCCGTCACATCTATCGATATCGTGTGCGTAGCCTCAACTTCTAACCTTGACCACTGGATTGACCCTGAAGATCATCATCTTTACTATGCGCGCTTAGGGGTGGAGCTGCCCCACTCACCTTGGAACAAGTGGGCGCGAACGCGTAACCGCACGTTTGACCAACATCAAATACACTGACCTTTCATCAACCTTGCAGTTTGTGTTATCGGCTTGCCTTGCCTGAACACTTTTTCCACATGGCGGATCCACCTCTTCATCTTGACAAGAGAACCACAAAGTTACTTGACGTGGCTCACAGTAGGCTGTACCGGATTTCATCAACTGTTTTCACCATCTCTATCTTGTTCTTCCAAGACGAATTGTCTTCTTTAATATACCCTTCGTGCAGGACTCTACAGCATCAACATGTCTGCGCAACCTATATTTCCAATCATTAATTCGGGTGCTCTTATCAAAGGTCCAACGTTCTATCCATTCCCACGGCTTACAAAAGAACTACGGTTGTTGTCATGTCGAGATACCCTCCAGCGTCAGCGTGTTATCAAAGTTAATTCCACAATCTCCTGGCTCGAAGACCATCTCATTTGTCATGACTCCCAAGGGTTTGCAAGCCACGGTAGCCAGTATCTCGCTACACTCAACACCCACCAAATTCTCAGCAAGCTTTTCCGTGTTTGCGAAGATCCCCGACAGCAAGCTTTCCTGTTCTATTGTGTAGATATCTCTTGCCGATTCGTACAATGGCCAGAGAGAAGAAAAAACCCCTTGTTAAGATGCCGACGTTGATCAACGCTATCCCAAGAGAAGGTAAGCATGATAATCAACGATATGCAACGAGCATTGATGAAAAACCATGAACATCGTTGGGCTGATCCCTCGGGATGGGTACTGTCCACGATCTAATCCCATATTGTTGTTGCATATAAGTTGCTTGACAAATAAGCCGGAAGAGACTGGATCTAAGAGGAAGGAAGATGGCAGAAGCTGCAAACCCTACCAAGCGTCTCCATATCTATGTCCTTGCGTGACTACGTAAGTTCGTGGTGAATGATCTCTCAACGTACGAAACTGGGAAAATGCAGATGGTTTGTTTGCTCCTCGGTGCGCAGCGGTGTGCAAGCTCACGCCCTTCACCTCCTAATCTCCCCACTCGACACGAGCGAACGAACGTGCGTCACAGCGGTTGAAACACCACTCGAGATCAATAATCGCACTCTTGATAGTCACCAAAGAACGTCGCCCACTCCCGTCGCTCATACGATCAAGTACCGAAGTCCGCAATGCCGCACGCCATTACCGCCGTGAGGCAGAACACCAATGGCCTTGACGAATACGAGAAAACTGAACTCGAACTACTACTCAAGACTAAACTCGAGGGTGTACCTTCTCACCACCTCCCCGCTCTCAACATTGCAGATATCCTCGATCAAACCCCAAGGGCGTCACTCCTCCCCAACATACCACCAGACATCCAACTACGATTCTTCCTCCACAACCGTGCCACCATCGAGAACTACGCCAGGAAGCCAATCAAAGACGAGGGGAAGCAGAGCTTTGAAATAACGCGGGCAATCTGGTTCTACAGGCTCGACGAAGCACACCAATTCCAACGTTTTCATGACATCATGCGATGGAACACTGCGATTTATGTCGCGTTACTTGCAATACACTCAGAGTCAAATAAATGGAAACACTCTATCCACAGCGAAGTAAAAGTATCCGGTCGTCAGCGTAGCAGCAAAGACTCCTACAGCCCGCGCAACAGCAAAGACACATACAAACCCATTCATCCCGCCGCCATCCACTTCATAACCCAATACCTAGCCGCCGTCCTCGAACACCACAACACACCCACGTCCAGCTTCACCGCCCGCGAGTCCTTCATTCGAGCTTGGAAATCGGGACCTTGGGATCTTTTCACGGTGTTTGGCGGTGCGCAAAAGAAGCTGATGAAGAGTGCTATGAAGAGACTAAGTAGGGACTGGGAGGCTGAGTTGGCTGTTGCAGAGAAACAGATGGACAGGGAGCAATATGAAAGGGAGGTGGGCAAGTTTGTTGGGGGGTTAGTGCCTGGAAGGAAAGATCAGGGCATGCGTGTATGGGAGGTGTCAGCGGAGAAGAAGGGTGGGGATGGAGACGTTGGCATGGGCGACGGAGTTTCCAGTGATCAGAGTGAAGACAAGGAGTTGAGTCGCAATGAGCTACTGGAAGCGCTTCTCTCTCCATTTGTTCCGCGGACTAAGGAGGTCGGGAAACAGGATGAGGCGAGAGTTAGGACTGGCGTGATTGAGGTCGGAGGAACGCCAGTTACGGACATGAGGTATGCGATTTCCACTGTACAAGGAGTGGAACCGAGAAATATCTTGCCGGCTCTTATCCGCTTATTCCCAGAGTAGCTAGATGTAGGGGAGAGAGTTGAGGGCCAAGAGTACTTGGAGACTATGATTTGAGTCCAGTCGAGAGGATAGGAACAATCAGCAAACTTTACGATTCCGTAGTCACAGATTAGAGAAGAACAATCAAAATACATTCAAACATATGAAATTCGTGAATCTATCGTCGGTATCTTCTAGTCATTAACCTTCCATTACCCCATCTGTCATCCAGAGCGAACCATCTACTGGGGCTTGAGCACACCACGGTACCTCATCTTTCCATCCCTCAGTGTGGTCATAGCCTCCTCGATACCGCTCTCGGTCAACGGGAACTCCATGTTGATGGGCTTGATGCCGTGTAGCGCGGAGAAGGCCAACATGTTGCGGTGGACAGCCCTTGCAGCGACAACAGAACCCTGAACAGTAATACCCTTGGAGATGAGGCCCATGTGGGGGATGGCGAAATCGTCAAAGGAAACGGTCATGGGGAAGATGATGGCGTTGGAGTTTAGGACAGGAAGCATCATCTTCCAGTCAGGCATGACGGAGGTGGTGACGAGGAGAGCATCAACAGGGCGGCTGACGCTGATCTCAGTCTTTCCCTTCATGGCGATGAACTCCTTTGCGCCGAGCTTCATGGCCTCGTCCTTCTTGTTGTCTGAACCGGAGAAGACGACGACGTCGCAGCCCATCTTGGCAGCATACTGGATGGCCAAGTGACCAAGACCACCGACACCCATTACACCGACACGGTCGGTGGGCTTGACGTTGTAGGTGTGGAGGGCGTTGAAGACGGTGGCACCACCGCACATCAGAGGTGCGGCCTCAGCATCGCTCAACTCATCGGGAATCTTGAAGACGAAAGCCTCGCGCCAGACGGCGTGGGAAGCAAAGCTACCCTGGTCGAGGTTCGCTGAGCCGTACATCTCGCGCTGGTTGCAGTATGTCTCACGGCCTGTGAGACATTGGTCGCAGCGGCCGCAGGAGTTGTGCTCGTATCCCCATCCGACGCGGTCACCCTTCTTCAGCTCCTTGACGTTAGGTCCAAGCTCTTCGACGATACCGACTCCCTCGTGGCCAAGAGCCATGTCGGCTTCCTTGTAGTGCTCATCGGTTCCGCAGAGACCGGAGGCGGTTACTTTGATGAGGACCTGGTCGTCCTGGAGGTCAGGCTTGGTAGTCTGAGCCTTGACGATCTTGCCCTCCTTGGAGCCCTTGTAGACGGTGAAAGAAGGCATCTTGATGGTGTTGTGTTGTGATGTGGTTTACGTTGAGAAGGGATGTAATAAGAAAACTTTTGGGTATCTTGTTGCAAAAAGGGTGAAAAGTTGATGTTGATTGATGAGTTCACAAAGGCAACTGCGACCTAGTGTTATATATGAGCAGAACCAACCTACAGCTCATTCTTACAGCTGCCATGCAGCACAAGCTACGTTCGAAAAGATTCTTCCCCATGACGTCGCACATTGATAATACACAGGGTCGTCCGGGTCCAGGGTCTGGATATCGCCGTCCCTCGCACATTAGGCGCATCGGCCGCCGCTAACAATCAAAAAAATGTGGTTTTGTGGGTCGCATCTCCAACATCACAGTTACCAGATCTACCGATTTTGGATAGTCGCATACTCACGCAATAGGGTCTCGATGCAGTCAGCTCGTTATTCAGCAAAGGACCTCACTATCGCGACGCATACTGGCTAGTACAGCATGCAGACAGACATCTGTGCAGTATGTTGAGCGTGCTGGATCTGAAACTCGACAGATGCTTCGGGGAGTGTCGGCCAATCAATCAGATTTGTGTTGGAAGGCCGATACTTCCGTAATAGTGCGACATGTGTCTGGACCGTCCCCGACTGATAAGGCTGTCTATGTGCCGATTGTGTGGAGCAACAGACGTTGTTCCTGGTCCCAATGCGGATGCGGCTCTGGTCGAAAGGTCGATGACGTGGAAGTTACCGGGGGGCCCGTCCGATGGTTGCGCTACATCACCGAAACTGTTCGGCCCTTTCGCTTTCGGCAACTCGATTTTACAAGACTGCCGTATAGCTTGCATGATCGAACTGTGTATTACTGATCTTTTGCTGACGGATAACTGCTCCGAGCCCATGTATGTGTGGTGGTGATTGGCGTGCAGGTGAAGCAGATCCTATGCAGCAGTGTGGAATACCTAACGGTTATTGGTAAATGGCAGAGCATGTGTCGGCCGCTGCAGAACTCTCGGTGCTTCGCATCTTAAGTCCGGACAGGTAATAAGCAGCAGGATGCGAAAGGATTCTTGGTGCGGAGGATGCAGGTGCGTAGAATGGATGCTTACGCTATCTGGTTGCATGTACCTCACAAGCCCCCAACCTCAGACTTCCAAGGTTGAGCAACAAAACGCAGAGGCGAACGCAACAGTCCTCATAACTATAACCCAAGGCTCACGTCTTCTGTGCCCACCTCATGGCATTTCAGAATCCTGCTGTCACGCTAGAAGCTTCGCCAGAAGCTTCGCTAGGAGTATCAGGCTAGTTTATGCTTGATGCGCTGAGAACGCCACGAAGGCATGGAATCACAAACTGTTACACAGGAGCTGGGAGCAAACTCATAGTGCTTAGGTTCCAACTAGTGCACTTTGCGACAAAGCTTGACCGCCGCAGGGCGCCTAAGCTGGTACGAACAACTCACTGAATAGCGCTTGGCCGTCTTAGCAAGTGCAGTATGTGAAGGATGGCGGCAGATGGCGGATGACAGACTCTAATGATAAATTAGAAAGAGGTTGAGGCACTATTGGATGGCAGTAAATCCCCTTAGAGCCTTCAGAGTCACATGATACCAAAGAACGGAGTATACAGCCTTCTCAAACATGGATAAGTGATAACAAGCGCAATGGTAAAGGCGTTTGCGGAGTTCGTGTATGCTGCACGTGCGAGACGGAGGCCGCTATTTTCGAAGCGGTATGGCCCCTGAAGCTTGACGCGACTCTTCACAACATCGGAGCTTCAATCTATATCATCGCAGGAATGTGGTTCTTTTGTGCCTCTCTCTTAAGAATAAAATGCCAGGTACACGTGTGCTGTCATAGATGTCCCTCGCGATCTTGGTATTATTGTTATCGTAGCTCTTTATCCTATCATCTCAATAATTCACATAGTATTGGCTTCCCTATTGTCTATATCATCTTCAGAGTTTCTTTCCACAAATCTTTCTACGTTTCTCTCATTGCTTCATCGCATCGGAACCTCTATGCTTCAATAACCCACTGGTTGCACGATACCCATCAGCCCTATCACCGATATCTCTCAGCGGCTGCCATCTTTACGTTTGCCTCCATGTGACTCCGTAGCCATCCTCTCGCTTTCCAGGTCAACATGGGCGCTACCCTAGCAGGAGCGCTTTTCCACTGCGGAGAGATCAAGTCCAACATCAAGAACCACATCCCAATCAGTCAATAGGATTTCGGAACCGCATTGGCGTACTTCTGCAGCAACAGTAACGAGAATATCAGCTTCTCGAGATACTTCAGCCAGACCCGCACCCGTCTCTACCTAGCCGCATACGCCAATTATGGAAACAAAACAACAAGCGTCCACAACCTCTACATGCTCGCCTGCGTCGAGGAGAATCACCACCAGCGCATTCGAGACTGCGGCTTCAAACCTACACACTATCGCGAGCGCTTCATTCATGAGCCGCTGAAGAACCTCCACGAATTCGAGATCTGAACCTAGAACCGTAATAAAGGCACCCTCAAGGACATGCGGAAGCTGGTCGACTTTTGGAAGATAGTGGAAGCGGACTTCGACCCCAACAGTGCGCGTCATTGGAAGCTTGCTGAGATTGGGCCGGCTCTGGTCGAATTCTTCAAGACCGTACATGTTGTCAGGGGATGACAAGCCCGGTGTTAGCCCTACAGATGTCATCGAGCTCAATATGACCAAGTATCAGCCCTATAGGAACGACTACCACATCTTAACAGGTCTTTTGAAGGCTATGTAGGGTTTCCGCAACCTACGAGACTATCGACATCTTGGTTGTGGATGACCTTGGCGATGATCTGGATGACATGAAGGTTTCCAACGACATTGGACTGGATATTACGCCTGTTCGGAGTCCAGCCCCGCACGTCTTGGATGTGCTGGCTATGCCTGAAGTTGACCTCTCCGGCTTTGGCGACGTTGTCACTCTCAACTTCGACTAGAGCAGTCGCCTGGCTCTCTTCAACATTCTATGGATATACATGTAGGCTATGCATAGCTCACTTAGTCAGATATGTAGATTTCACGATAGCAGGCCTTTAAGTTTTGAGCGCTCTGTAGGTCTTCACGGTGGTACGGGGATGATGAGTTATGGCCTCACATAAGTGCCTAAACGTCGTCTTTGGTCGCCATAATCATGGAACCAGTAGTCAAAGTAGAGGGTTATTGTCTACATGGTCTTACGAATGCAGCACTCTTTCTTAGTACCCTCCGCATATAGTTCCCGGGTGAGGCATATAGTGGATCACTTTAACCATAAACATTACTGAAAACCTCCTTGCTCATTCACCCAGCCTGATATACCGGATTCTCAGTCTTATAATATATGGTCTTGACTGGCTGCTGTTGCGCCGCATACCGTACTTTTGCCTTGGCACTCTCCTCTTTACTCTTCATCCTTTTATCCACCAGCTGAAGCGTACGGATTTGTTGATCTGAGAGGCCTGTGAGACCTTGGGCTGTACGCGGGGTGGTGGTAAGATGTCGGTCATTGTTGTGGCTGTGCAAGGCTAATTGTCTTGATGGTGGGTTTATTGGAGTTTCTTGGTCTTGATCTTGTGTATGGGCGATGGCCGCAGATCTTTTGGTTCGACGATGTTGCGAAGCGTGGCGGTGTGATGATGCGAGTCTTGGCCTGGTCGTTTTTGACAATGTCTCGTTACCACGATTGTGTTGGGAGTTGATGACCCGTCCGGATGGGAGAAGCATCTCAATATCTAATAGCTTGCTCTCTTTCGCATCTTTTCGGCCATCGTCATACTCTTGATTGGTTCCAAAATCCCAGAAATCGAGGAGTTCAGACATGTCGATCATGCAGTGTCCTTTATCCCGCATATGCGTTTGTACAGCGTCTACGGTGCCTTTCTCCAGTCCGCAGTATAGACACTCGTGGTACTCGAAAACGAGAATTGCAAGGTATGACAGCAGGGATTCTAGGGAGTAAAGGTGTGAGGGTTCGGGAATGAAGAGGCTATGGTGGGTGGACATGTGCTCCAGGTTTGTTGTGGGAGTGGAAGAGAGGAAGGGGCAGAAGAGACATTGTGTCGACGGCACCTTCCCAGCATTGTCATCAAATGTTTTCTCGACCAGGACCTCTGAATCGGTGTCATTCTCGGAATTGCCGTTGTGCGTCTTTGTTCGCGGCTTCCGTACTAGAGTGTTTTCGTTGGTTCTTGGTTGGTGCGCGATGCCTTCACTCTTGCCTTCCTGCCCCTCAAATTCTTGCTCAGTCATTGCCGGTAGTCTAGATACCTTCCGTTTGAGATTATTTACACTGTTCGTAACCGTCAGTCTCATAATTTCTACGCTTTATGCTCAATGCCATCTTACTGCCAAGGCTGCTGCATGTGTTCGCGCTGAAGCGCACTTGTTGTTAACGTAAGAGAACATGTGTTGCATGGAAATACAGTCCGTGATTCCGAAGCCATGTTTGTTGTTGTCCTTAGGGTCGTTTTTTGGAGGTCTTGGGACAGGGAAGGTAGGTAGCTTAGTGTAAGAGAGATGAAGGCACCTCTCGTATGGAGGCGAATAAGTGATGGAAGATGACTTGGTTGAACGAATTTCCTGAGGCAACAAGATACTATATATGTAAGAAGAGCAAGGGTGCAACTTGGGTGGTTGCATGTGTAATACTAGATCACGTGTCAGCCCAGACGAGGCGCAGTCACTGTAAAGCCACAATGAGTCATTTCCACTCACTTCCAACCATAACGCACACAGCAACATGTGACTCTCAGTGACTTGACCATTAGTCTTGCCAAACACCGAGAACGAAGCCGCGTGTGTGAAAAAAAAAAGAATTAGTTGTCAAGTAACATACCCTGCCTCCTGCCACGTCCCTTCTCCTTTCCTCGTCGCTTTCCTTTCACAACTCAGTTTTTTCATCAATCTCAAACCATCCAGCTTGTACAGAACCTTCTCCACAAACCTAAACACACTGTCTCTTTTCCGGCCTTGTTCAGTATGCAATAACATGACTTCCTTGTCTTCCACGCGCAATTCTGCCTCGGCGTCGTACTTGTCCACGTCAATGTCGTAGTAATCTGAGTGTGTGGATCCGCGCGGAGACGAAAGGGAAGCAGATGCGGAACGATGAGCGTGGAATATATGGCCATCGTAATCATACTTAAATCGAGTGTACTCGTCGTAGCCTTTTATATATGGTCGGCGGTGCGAGTCGAGGGTCTGGGAGTAGCGAGATGGGTGGTAGTCTGCTGTGAACCCATCTCCGGTTGTATAATGTGCGTGTTGAGGGTGTATTGGTGATTGAATGGATGGAGGAGCTGAGAAGTCCTGAGTGAGGCGGCGTGATGGATTCGAAGCTTCAGAAACGATAGAGTCGTGTCGCGTAAGATGGTAAGAAGATCCAACAACCAAGGGCTTGCACTTGGTTTGCTTAGACGCTCGTTCATCTGTGGGCAGAAGCGGTAGTGGTTTCTGGGTGTATGTCGCCGCATTCCTGCGACCCTGCCTTACACTATCCGCCTTTCCTAAACTGCTGGCTCCACGCTTTAGGGGAGCTGGTGCCATCAGAGGCACTGGAACCTCTTCAACCACTGTCGCCTTTTTCCGATAGAAAATCATTGGATCTCCACTACCATCCCAGTCGACAATTACGGTGCCCTTACTCGTTGGTCGATCGCTCGGCGCTTGTAATGATTGCCATGATGTCAAATGATCATCGATCATCTGAGATAGCTCTGCTGCAGCCCCGTAGCGGGCTCGGATGTAACGCGGAGGTTCAAGACGCCGAGTATTATGAAAAGTGCCTTGCTGCTGACATTGCTGATGTAATGTGTTGTGGGTGCGCCGACACGCACCGCCCTGAGATGAGCGATGACATGACATACTACGACGGGTTTCCGTGTTTGTCGTGTTCCTTTGTTGAGAAACGTTTGCTTGGCTCATGGTTCGATTCTTTCGAAGTTAAGACTTGAACGTTGTTGACGCAGTCGAATGGCTACGGGTTATTCTTTTGGTCTTTGTGGAACTGTCGTGCAATACGGATGGTTATGAGGGTGCTTCTTGTACATATAGAGGTGAGTACTAGATGAATGTACAGTGTTGTGACAAGCGCGGTGTATCCATGTCACCAGTGATGCCAAATGGGACGACGTTGGTGAAATTAATCTGACTCTTGTTGAGCGCGAATCATTCTGAATACGTCGCTCGATCAGGATGAAACCGAGCTGGCTGATAATGGCCAAGACAAGCGACGAAAGTAGAAAGGGGAGATGATTGTGAAGCGATTCTAACGCATCGTCATTAGCAAATTAAATACAATCCCGTTGGCATGCCAATATCCCATATCTTGACATTGGCCAACTTATCCCAACTAACCCAGGTATATTATGACTGCTATCTCTTCCGTCTACCCCAAGTTCGCTTACGTCTCGAGATGCATATGAACAGAAATGACGCAACAGATTGCTATGGAACATGTCAGACACAGGAAGGAAATGGTATAAACCAAAAGCACAAACTCCGTGACGAACGATGAACAGGAAGAATGAGAAAGCACAGCGCATGAACCCCGGGTATTACCAAGCTTCAAAGACTCTCTTGATGGTTAGAGACGGCCTCAATGTGCAGACGTGAAACGGATGATCCATCTAGTTCTTATCCTTGCTGGACAGCTTGTCCTTGATCTTGCCGAAGAAAGAGCGGCGCTTCTTCTTCTTGTCGTCGGCACCAGAGGCAATGCTTTGGCTACCTGGAGTGCCCTTGGGAGATACGTCCGAGTCTTTCCTAGGGTTCCTAGCGGGGGATTCTGGTGTCAGCTGAGCAGCCGGTGCGGAACTGGTGGCCTCGGTCTTGCTGGACTCTACACCAGTGGTGACTGTTGGCTGAGTCTGCTCGGTGGTAGTTGGCGCTTGCTTGTTCAATGCGACGTCGTTGATAGAATCGACAGGCTTGGCATTTGGCGGCTGAGCAGGCGCTGATGCGGGTGCGTTGAGAGCATCAGGTTCGCTGGAAGACTTCAGTGGCTTTGAGTCAACAAGAGCCTCGTCGGAGAGGCCAGCAGCATCCTGACTACCCAGAGCAGCAGAACTGGGAGCTGGCTCGCCAGTAGCGTCAGTCGACTTTACTTCATTGAGAAGTTCAGTCTCCATAGCGCGCTTCTCGCTAACTGCCTCAGCATTGGTGGCGGCCTCAGGGCTGGCGTGAGCCTCCCTCTGGCTCTCGGTGACCACAGTTGGGACCTCGCGAGCGACGGCTTCGTTGACTGACTCGGTGGCTGTGCCGGATGGGATTGTAGTGGTGGCAGCGACAGGTGCAATTGCGGTAGTCGCAGCAGTTAGCACAGGGGCAGGCTCACCAGCTTCCTCAGATCTCGGAAGCTTGTCGAGTAGCTCAGACTCCACGGCTGACTTCTCAGCAACAGCTTCACTGTTCGCAGCGGCTTCAGGGCTAACATGCGCCTCATGTTGGCTATCGGCGACAACGTCGGGTACATCGCGGGAAACAGTCTCTGGAATAGCACTGGGGGCTGTAGTAGCTGTGGCAGCAGAGACAGTGGGTGCTGGCTCGCCGGCCTCGTTTGTCTTGGGAACCTCGCGCAATAGCTCAGACTCCATAGCGGTCTTCTCTGCGACAACCTCAGGACTGGATGCTGCTTCAGGGCTTGCGTGTGCCTCCTTCTGGCTCTCAGAAACGACAGCTGGAATGGCAATTGCTGGGGCAGGGAGACCAGTCTCGTTTGTCTTAGGAACCTCGCTAAGTAGTTCTTGCTCCATGGCCGACTTTTCAGCAACGGCCTCGGGGCTGGCTGCCGCCTCTGGCGCAGCGTGGGCTGCATTCTGACTCTCAGCAACGACAGAGGGCACATCGTCCGCAGTAGTAGAGCTGGCACCGGCGATAGCGGGAGCGGGCTCTCCGGTCTCGTTGGTCTTGGGAACTTCGTTGAGTAGCTCCTTCTCCATTACCGACTTCTCGGCAACGGCCTCAGGGCTAGCTGCTGCCTCTGGTTCAGCGTGGGCCGTGTTCTGGCTCTCGGCAACAACAGAGGGTACTTCGTCGGCGGTGCTGGTGCTTGGACCAGTCATGCCAGTAGCCTCAGCGGCCTTCTCCTTAACAGAGTAGATGGCCGCAGTGAAGAGACCCGCACCAGCAGTCACGCCAGCAGCAGCAGTAGCAGCAGCCGCTTTGGCAGTGTCGCTTAGACCAGCGTCTCCACTGGCTGCAGGTGCCTCGGATACCTTCTCTTTCAATTCTTGTTCAACCCCCTTCTTGTCCTGAACGGCTTCTGGGTTGGCAGATGCCTCAGGGTCAACATGGGCCTCTTGTTGGCTGTCAGTCACGGTCTCAGGGACACCGTGGGGTTCCTTGGGAACCTGGCCGGCGAGCTGAGCGGTTGTGCTCTCGGGGGCAGAGGACTGGATCGCAACGCCGGTGTCTTGCTCGACCTTGGCATCGACGCCCATTGGCAGGCTCGATTCTGGTATCATGTTGCCCATGACTGGAGGGATGCCGAACATGCCACCCTTGGCATCGCGCTCAGCTTGAGGGGTGAAGGCAAGTGGGGGAAGAGCATCGGACTTGTTGTAAGAAGAGGCGTCAGTGTTGACTGTGCTGTCGACGGTGTTGGAAGTGAAGGTGCTGGCATCTGGCACCTTCTCGCCAGGCGCAAGGTGGATTGGGTTACCAGCGCCTGCGGTGGCTGGGAGCGGCGAGATACCGAATGCTGATGCCTCCTGCTCGGGTTCCTTGTCGTGGTTGACAGTCGAGTCTACAGTGTTGTCTGTGAGAGTGCTCGCTTCGGGAACGGGCTCGCCAGGCGCAAGCTTGATTGGGTTGCCGAGGCCTGAGGTAGCGGGGATGGGCGCAATGTTGAAGGTCTGCGGTTCGCTACCAGGTGTCTCTGCGTAGGGGGTCTCAGGGAAGGCACCAGGTACGGGGGAGTTGGAGGCGTTGGTCTTGGTCTCGTTATCGCTCTCCTTTGGCACGGCGCCAGCTAGCGCAGCGGTTGTAGACTCGGGCGCAGCAGAGGACATGGTATTGACGGGCTCTTCGTCGACGATGTCTTCGGGGAGAAGGACGTTGTTGATGATGCCGTGACCGTCGTCTTCTTTGCGCGCACTGTCGTTGGTACACCAGTTACCATTCACAACAAACTGCGGGAGACGTGTCAGCAAAGTTTGCGCAAACGGGGTAGCTGATGCGATGCGCTGGGCGCCTGCGTACCTTGTACTGGGTGTGGGTTTTGGGCAGCTCGACGGTCTTCTTGAAGACGCCATCTTCCTTTTCTAGCTTGACCGTCTTCCTCCAGTCGTCGAAGGTGCCAGTCACGAAGACCTCATTGGCCGAGTGTTCCCTGCGCGCGCGTGTCAGCAGTTGCGAATGACGACTTGAAGCAGTCGCGAACGCACCAGGTGAAGGTGTATTTGCCCATGTCAGCGCAGCGATGGACGTGGATCAGGGATTGCAAAAGTCGGAGTAGGGAGTGAGACCTGTCTTGGACGCAGGGAGGAGGAGTAGTAGTTTAGGTGTGGAGGTGGTTGGTAAGTCAGGATCAGGAGCTGCTACGTTCGGGTGGAGCTAGCTTGCGGCTTGAGGATCAAGCCAGGCCAGTGCGCGCTCGGACGGTTTGGGAGGATGAAGCTTGCGACTGTTTGGCTAGGCAAATAGCAGCGGATTCAATGCACAAGCGCAGAGATTCAGGAGCGCGAGGACTTCTGGATGCAGAATTGGCGAGGCTGGCGGTCTGTCTGGACGCGATATTGCGCTGAATCTGCAAGATTAAAGACGGCGTGGTTAGCGGCACGAAGGCTTGGCGTGATGCCGTTCATCGCGAGTCCTGGAACACGCGGGACTGACAGCGAGCATGTGCAATGACGAAAGACAGTTGGCGTCGCGCTCAATTGCAGCTACTCTTCATAATTCCCGCGTGGACATGCACAGTCGAGTTATGCCGTGCACGCAATTCGTATTCGGTCGCTTCATCTCATAGCCACAGCTACATGACGGCCCCTCTAGTTTTGCTCCGCGTGCTCGTGCGTCTCACATGGCCGGCTTTGTGCGTCATCGCATGTCGTGTCGGGACATCTGGGCAATTCTGGGGTTCGCACGTGAGCAGCTACCCATAGGTGGTACCTAGGTACCATACAACGAGTCTTTCTTATCATGATATTTCAAATAGCCTCCTGGGACGCCTCTCCATCAGAGTTTTCGTCCTCTTGCTGCACCGCGCGTCCCAGCATATCCATGGACGGATTCACCGCATCGCCTGCGCCGTGTCTTGAGTGAGTGTGCCTCACCGCCAATTTCAACGCTGCGCGTATCCATGTCAGGCTTCATTGTCACAACCAACTTGAATTGCATTAATTATGAAAGACGGAAAAATGGTCGCTTGACACTTGACGACTCAAGTGTGGGATATTGTTAGCGCAAGCTACAGTCTGTGAGCAGGCCATGGGCGGGAGCTAAAGCACAGCTTGGTTGGCATCCGTCTTGTAGCTATCACAGCTGTGCTACTCTGTCGCTCTGTCGCTCTGTCGCTACAACAGGCTTTGAGTCACAACAGCCAATGTGGCGGCATCCAATTGCATCAGCGAGAGCGGGCAGCCATCGCCTAAATGTCGCAGTGGGTGCCTACAGCCTGCACGAGTTTCTAGAGGGCTTCTGGAAGATGATAAGCCCCAGGAAAGCTTGCCTCGCTCTCCTTACCAGTGACTGCCCTGCCCGCCATGCCACACTCGTGATCCCTCCTCCCGCACCTGTCCCCTCTTCCCGCGCATCCTCACCGCGCTTACTGCTCCCATAGCCATAGTCTGCAGCGTGCAATTGCGTTCCTTACTCCCCTACACATACCGTCTAGACGTCCGCTGTCCACCTCACTGCCCGTCTTGCCGCTGACGCTACGTCCGGACCCTCGCAGCACAACTGCCTCGATCCCTGCACGTCTCGCGACCAACGTCAAAGAGCTGCGCTTGACCCCTCACCACCACCGCCCTCATGTCCCTCCCTCCTGACTACTCCAACGAGATCTCCACCCTCGACCGCGAAATCCTCAAACACCGGCCTCACGACATCCTCCAATTCTGCGCAAACTTCTTTAACCGCCGTCTCGAGTCGCAGCGAACCGAATACCTGCTGTCGCAACAGCACTCCAGTCCCCAAGGCCGTGCCGAGAATACCTTTCCCGGCAACAACCCCTTCAGCACCTCGCCTAGCAGCGGCAGCGGCTTCACCAAATCCACAATGCAGCGTCTCGAAGAGGAAGAGGAGCACGACACCATGACCTCCCCCACTGCCTCGACCTTTGCAGCCGTCGACTTTAGCAGGTCCCGTAGCAGCAACAGCAACAACAACAATAATAACGACTCGGGTACGAGCATGTTTGGCGACTTTGGTGGCTTTGGCGGCTCTTCAAAGAACAACATCACCCAAATGCCGCCTCTTTCGGGCGAGGGCCAGAACTTCCCCAGCAACTACAACACCAACAGGCGCACCTCCGTCTCTGCTGAATCGCTCAACCCCACCTCGAGTGCCGCTGACAACTTCACCCCGCCATTCCACCAGAAGACGCAGGACCAGCTATCGCGCCTCAAGTCTGCCGTCTCGGGCAACTTCCTCTTTTCACATCTCGATGACGACCAGTCGGCAATGGTCCTCGGCGCGCTGCACGAGAAGCCGATACCAACAAAGGGCATAAAGGTCATCCAGCAAGGCGACGTGGGCGACTACTTTTACGTCGTTGAAAAGGGCTCATTCGACATCTACGTCAACCAGTCAGGCAAGGTTGAGGGTGGTCTGGATGGTGTTGGCGACAAAGTAGGCACCGTCGGACCCGGTGGTTCCTTTGGTGAGCTAGCCCTCATGTACAACGCACCCCGTGCCGCAACAGTCACCTCGACAGAGCCATCTACCCTCTGGGCACTAGATCGCATCACCTTCCGTCGCATTCTCATGGACAGTGCCTTCCAGCGCCGACGCATGTACGAGGGATTCCTAGAGGAAGTTCCTCTGCTGTCCACCCTGACGCCTTACGAGCGTTCCAAGATCGCCGACGCCCTCGAAACCAAGAAATACCCTCCTGGAACCACCATTATTCAAGAAGGTGATGTCGGCGAATCCTTCTTCCTGCTTGAATCTGGAGAAGCTCAGGTCTTCAAGCGCGGCGTAGACAGTCCTGTCAACCAGTACAAGAAGGGCGATTACTTCGGCGAGCTGGCCTTGCTCAATGATGCTCCACGTGCTGCTTCAGTCATCAGCAAGACAGAGGTCAAGGTCGCAACACTCGGAAAGAACGGCTTCCAGCGACTTCTCGGTCCCGTTGAAGGCATCATGAGGCGGAACGATCCCAGCAAGGCTGCTTTCGAAGGCGATCACGTAGATCCGCTGCACACGACTTCATAAGCGTGTCACCGCAGGATAGAAGCGAACAGGATGCTGCACCTACACAAGAGGTGAGCGGCAATGTTATGCACAGACAGAAGACCAGGGCGTGGACAGTTGCGGCCAGGTGTGGTGCTGTCACTCTTCGGCGTTTTCGCATGTATTCCTATACTTCCTACTGTCACTAAACGTCGCTTAATGTCATGGAAGAAGATACGACTTCCTTCAGACGAGGAATGAGCTCCAGTTCTGAGCTGCTCTGTTACCTATATTGCACTGCGTATGATACTCATGGTTAGACTTGCACTTCATGTTCCCCGCCTGTACTGCTTAGATGTTGTCGTGATCCTGCCACGTGCCTGCCTCCGGCTATGATGTCGTGGCATGATTGGTGTCGTCTGTGCGTTTACATCCGGCACGACTACGAGATACCAGTGCTCTTTCCTTCATCCCTTACGCCCGATGAGTTCCACACCCGCTTTAGCAACTTTGATGCTGCAACGACAAAACATCAGTATCGAAGAAATGGAAACACACAATCCCCCATGAATACACACTGAAGCTCACAAAAGACACCCCTGCTCCACACCGCTCCTACTGATCGTCATGCACAGTCATCGTGGCGAGGCGTTCGCCTCTAGAGACAAGCATGTCCGATTCGTTATAGCGCATGCGGACGGAGACTCACAGGTATGCGTACAGGTGTATGCTCGAAAATGACTCCAATCCGATGCGCACATTTGCTAATGGAGCTTCAGGCAGCTGAGTGTGAGCAACTCACAGCTTGTGGCTCTCTAGCCCCCACGCGCAGTCGAAACATGACTCCCTAGATCGGCCTCATGTATACAGGCTAATACGTCAGTGTGTCTACTAGCAAGAACGTATCACTTCCCGCAGAAGTTACAACACGCTTCGTTCCGTCGTCGACCCACCCTGGCTACCTACCGAGGCATTGCTCTTCACAGCTCTCGTGTTTCAACAAAGCAAAGAACGGCCACCCCGAGCAACTGCTGGCAGATGCAAGTGTTTATAAGTGGTAACTCATGCTTCATGTTCACTGAACAGGTAGTGATCTACTGTACACACTTTTCTGGGAAGCAAATCGTCATGTAGTACGGCTTCACAGCCACCATTTCCAAGACTACGCGATTGCCGGTGGAAGACGCAGCATCTGGCATGCAAGATCGCAACTTTTAGACTGTTGCTTTTTAACGATACAGGCACGGCAGACGCACCTAGCTGATAGTCTAGCAGTGGGCAACCACCCCTGCACACAGGATGACGTCTTCGAAAGATCAATGTCTTTGCGATTCACAATTGGAGCTACAATTACAATTACGATTGGGCGATGCAACCGGACAGGCGGTCTCCGAAAGCTCACAACGACCCAACGGCCGAAAGCTGCTCCAGTTCTCATCGCGCCCACCTGTGGCTTACATGCAGCGACTGGGGTGCGACTCAACGCTAAGACTAAACTGGGTAAATGGGTTTATTAACTACAAGCATGCTGGTCCCGATCGAACACAACGTCGTCTTATCGTCGTGCTTTGGATTGGAACACCCGGACTGAATGGGCACAGCGAGACCAAATTGGCTTTCGGATCAGGCATGGGAAGTTAGTAGGAGTACACCATGACCCATCGGACGCTGCTTGACCAACCTTGCATGATTGCAATGGTTCCCAGGGAGGGTTCTTGGCATCATCCATGGCTATTGTAGCGGTCTGTATGCTGTAGTAGGCCTGCCCACGTTCCCGGCGCTCGGTTGGCGATGATGGTGCTGCATACATCAGCCACGCACTACATTGAGGCTACTTCCTCCCTCCCGCAGCGTTCTGCGGGCCATAAGGCTTGTGGCGCACCTCGGCACTCCTACGGAAGGGTAGGCGTTCACCGCATTCGCCAGGGAGGGCGAATATGCTCCGCTGTCTGGCATCTACTCGGTATCTGTTGTGGTAGGGCGATCATGCCGGCGTGCGCGACGCGCAGTTGATCAGGAGCATTTTCGAAGAGCCTATCCGCCTTGTGTATTGCTTAGTCCATCAGAAATCATTGTCACTGGCTCGTTTTTGTTTGAAAGTCGTTCTTTAGACATGGTCTTCCATTCACAGTTGCATGGGAATAGCCGGGACTCAACTCGGCAACGGGCCCGGTTGGAGTTCCACCGCTGTCCAAGTGTGGCTATGGCATGTGGCTTCGGGGAAGGTTAGCACTGATCTGAAGCATCGCCTACGGTACCTGGATCTTACGTTATCGGTCAACTGTCTACACGTCTCTCTACTTCCATCACCCAACGTTGCTCGCAATACATAATGTCTGAGGCAGCATCAGTTCAATTCGCTTCACGGCTCTGGAACAACTTACATCTTCCAGCCTTCTATTCGACATGGCTCCATCCAGCGACCCAAAGCCGTCCAAACCTAAACGAGCCGGGCGCCATCGCCAGCCTCCTCTTGCACCAGGCCCTCCGCTTCAATTCGTCGTTGCCAGTCATCCCGATGATTTCAAAACTGGGGGAATCATGAGAAGAGTACGGTCACACGTCATGTACACACATCGTGAGGGGCTGTCACCTACAGACACTGGCAGGAGTAGAGAAGACAGCAGGACACCAAACACCACGACAGGCACACCTAGCCCGACGACAGCTGATGCAAGCAGCATACCCCAGATTAACACTCAGCAGGTATCTGCCCCTACAAGGCACCATGGGACTATGTGGAGACAGGATTCTTACGACCTCCATACACTATCACCCTCCACACACCCTGTGCGAGTGCTTGCAGCGCGGATATATTCTGCAATAGCCGAAGCATCCACTCATAGCGCACCTCCAGTCTTCCAGGAGGTTTCTGGCTATTCTTTTCCAGGAGGCAACGTATTGGACGACTTGAAGCATGATTGGATCCGCACTACTACCTTCTACTGCTACGGTACGTGTGTCTTATCTCTTGAGAGAAAATCTACTAACGAAGGTAGACCAAGCTTGGATGCAATATGTCTGCGGCAACCACCTCTCGTTCCTCAGTCACGTACACGCCACCCTGGTTTATCAAGATCTTGACGAGGGCTTGTTATACGAGAGTGATCTTACTGTATACGCGAAAACAAAGGTCCTGGGGCTATTTCGTGGCCCCCTAAACACCGACGACACCACCATCATTAGCATACTTTACATGCTTATCAGCGAAATCGGGAGTCCTGACGAGGACGCATTCAGCGTACACCAGGACGGCTTAGTGACCTGTTTGAGGAACCAACAAGACGCATTAGGCCCAAACATTGCGACGTTTATGACTTTGTGAGTAATCTTTACTTGAAATCTACTACCAACTAATTTGAACCAGGGTGATGCTCACCTTTGCCATCTGTCGAGGGAAAGATGAGTCCACAGAACTCACACCACAGTTGTCTTCTGAGGCTTGGCTTGACAACAACGATCTTATCCCGCCGCTGTCGGCTCGTCAAGTGCACGCGCCGCCTCTATACCAAACCTGCTCCGCAGCTTCGACTGATATCATCTGGAAAATGCAGAGGTGTACGAGCACCTTCTTGGCGAGATGGAATCATAAAGGAGAACCACATATGATCTCAAGCGGACAGTTGACGTCATGCGACGCAGAATTGCAAAACATATACTCGGATCTACTTTTACTGCCTTCAGCCGAAGACGATCAGACATCAGATTGGATCTACGAAAGCTGCCGAATCGCTGCCTTGATCTACTGTAGATCGATAGTTCAAGGTGCAACACTTGCGGACTCGGCAAACATCATGCATGCGAGCATATCGGGTTCTAGCTCTGGAAGCGGTACCCTCCTTTCAGCTCTGCACTCTGCCCTTAGAAAAACCGATGTTCAAACCTGCTGGGGCATTGAACTGTCTAGCGTTTTCCTCTGGGTAGCCCTAGTAGGTGCAGCGGCATCATGGTCACCACCGCGCTCCTCTTCGGAAGAAGTGTTGCAAGCATCAGCATGGATGAGGAAATCCTTCGCGCTATATGCAATTAGAGCAGCAGTAACAGTCCCTTTCGATTACGCCGACGCTACCATTCACGTCTTGCGTACGATGTTGCAGGTCCAGCGATACATCGCCATCAGAACAGGTTCCATCCAGGCTCACTAACTTTATTCCACATCTCCACACTCATCGACGCGTTTGTAATATTACTCTTTTTTGTGGTCTGTCCGGGGATCTTTTCATTTGGGTCAGCTATGCCTTACTGGTAGGCTTGACAAGGCTGTTCCAGTGATACATGGATCTCGCGGTCGTTTTCATCTCTTTGGTCGTTTCCTTAGCCCAAGCTGGTATTGCGCAAGCTCGAAACCTGCAATCTTTCTCGTCATTTTAGGTCCTGTATTAGAATCACTTGTTTCCAGCCCGTCTCTAGAGCACGGTGCCTCAAGTCAACTTTCATGCTGGTCATGTACATAACCCTTACGTTTTTATTACTGTCATTTTCCATTTCCATCAAGTCTTTCGAAATCGACACCTCGGGTGCTACAGCGCATGTTCGAGCCCCTGACTCAACCAAACTACGTTACAACGGTCGGGAAATGGCCGAAGAGCGTCATGCGGCCTGCAAGACTGAATCAACCGCAGCTCACCGTTCGTGCATCCAGCCGAAACCGTCAAACAAGGAGCCGCACGACATGCAACGGTAATACCAACTCGCTTGAAGCGATGAGATTCATGGTATAGTCGCAGTCAGCTTCCAGGCCCTGCGTACCCCTGAGTCCCATCAACCAATAACACCATGATGCGAGCCCCCCGCCGATCGACGTGGGCTACACCGTAGAAGTAGCATACGTTCAGATCAAGCCCACCGATTACTCTACGGCCGAGTGAATAGACTACTAGCCACATACACCGCCACAACGATCGAAGTATTGAATTGCGGCGCGGTCTTACTTACCCACCGTCTCACACACCGTATGTTGGTGCATCCCCAGGTCGTCATCTTGCTGATGCAAACCGCGACACCGATGATTAGCACCCTTGCTATGGCTTGCCATGCAATATAGGGCTGACAAGGTATGGGATCCTTCTATCTGGCCTGTGGCGAGCTGAGCTGCCGTTGCTGCGGCTCGCGGGTGGGATATGCAGCCTTGTGGGGCACGGCAAGTCGTGGCGGGGTTCACGTTTGCACCATGCCTGCTTATCATCCATGCGAACATGTCACATTCCAGGATCATATGCTGACTACGGGGAGTTTGAAAAACGTCATTGTGGAAGGGTCTGGGGCTGAGTGCAATGTTATAGCCGTTACGCTGGAGGACGCCGAAGACGGGGATAGGAAATAAGGAGGGTGATATTATGAGGATGCAGTGATGCAGCATAGCATTGCGCCTTTACTCAACAGCTTACATAGGGCTATGCAGTTCTCATAAGCGATTTCCTTTTCACTGCGAGAGGAACACGTGGAATAAGAGAATAGAAACTAGATGTGAGATAGCAAAGGGACACCGAGACAGGCATTGATATCCACCATCTACAAGGCTCTCCGAACAGCCTCGCTTATTTAACTCATAAAGTGTACTGGTTGAATAAAATGTGTGAATCATATTTGCTCGCTATGCAGATAACCCCATTTTTGCGAACAAAAATCAAATACTCTTTACGCCCAGTCCATGCATATGTACATCACCCACCACCCTCCAACCTTCCATTCCCTTCTCTTGTCCCTAACCCCGCTCATAAAGCATCCCAACCCTCCTCAAACAACGTCTTCTTAACCTTGAGCTCCTCAGGCCCAAGATACAAGGGCCTAACAACCTGCATCGAACCGGTCCCGAGCTTCACACTCTGGCCCATGATAATACACTCACTGACACCGTCAATGGTATCCGTCTTGCCCCTCGCAGCCGCCTCAAACAAATGATCCGGCGTCTTCTCAAACGACGCAAGCTGCAGCACGGAATCACGTGTCTTCTGCAGACCGAAACGCGTGATACCAAAGACTTCGCCCTTGAACGTCATGACGTCGGCTAGAAGCTGCATGTGACGAGGATCAATGTCCATGTTACCCATGACATCGCCGATTTCGCGCACAATGGTTGCGCGGGCGGCTTCGATACCGAGCACGGTTTTGACTTCCATGACGTGGTTGGATTTTGTGTTGTAGGGTTCTATACCGGGTGTTGTCATACAGTCACGGAGACCGTAGCCTTCTACAAGGAGTTGGCATTCGTATTGGCCTTGGGCGTTGGGACTGCTTTCTTTCTTGATAATGGCGCGGGAGCAGTCTGGGTAACCCTTGATGACGACGTCGGGGATGAGTGCTTTGACTTGTTGGACGCGCTCGAAGAATTCCTTGTGGTTGCGGGTCGTCTTGGTGGGACGTTTCTTGGCGGCATTGGGGTCGGGGACTTCGACGCGGATTATGGAGGAGGAAATGCGGACTTGGGCGCCGGCTTTGCCCCATTTGAGGGGCTTGTGGGCGTTGATTGCTGCGGCGATTTCGTGGGGTTGGACGTCGACGAAGAGTTGGTTGATGGTATCCCAGTCGATGCGCATAGCAATGTAAGCGCCGGTGGGGTGCCAAACATCTTCAACGTAGGAAATGACGTCGCGAAGATATGTCTTTTCGACACGTGCTTTGACAATTCGCGCCGCAGATTCCGACACCTTGTTGGAAAGATCACAGGCGATGACGGGCGTTGAGATGGTGGAGGAGGCGTTGATAATTTCCTTGATACGAGGTACACCCTGGGTGATGGACATACCAGCGACACCAGCAAAATGGAAAGTCTTCAGCGTCATTTGCGTTCCGGGCTCACCGATAGACTGGGCTCCGATAGCTCCAACGGCGTGACCAGGCTGCACTCGAGACCGGTGGTACTTTGTTAGGCAGAGTGTTATGAAAGCGTCCAGGGCGCTGTGCGAGATCTTCGCGATTCCATCAGCAAGACTATACTTCTCTGCGTCGGCTGCTGATTGTTTCCTGTCCTTCTTGCCATCAGGTTGCACTAATCCGAGGTAAGTAAGGGTTGTCTCTAGCTTCTTTGCCTTCTTGAAAACGTAGTCTTGCACGGTGTCGAGGAAGTCACGCATAGACTCCTTCTGGTCGATGCCAGCGTCAGTCCTGTCGCGATACTCCAGCGGAGTTACACCGTCTAGCTTGAATCTTGGGTACTTGTTACGTTCAGTGTTCAGCCTTGCTTCTGTGTACTCCTTGACTTCTTCGGGTGTCAAGCCGGACTCAGAATTGTTCCAGGTTGATGTTACGGCATGCGAGAATGTCCTGTCAAAGTGTACGGGTTTAGCCTTGCCTTCCATGTCTACGGGATCGAGGTTGTCGTCTCCATATTGGAACTGCACCACAGTTCCGGACGAGTTCCGAACGGTGTCGTCGTATTGTGCGGAGAGGTCTTCGAGCGATTTCATCAATCGTCTACTCATGTAACCAGTCTCGGCGGTCTTGACAGCTGTATCGACCAAACCTTCACGACCACTCATAGCGTGAAAGATGAACTCGGATGGGGTCAAACCAGAGAAGAAACTGTTACTGACGAAACCTTTGGATGCGGGTTGACGAGCGGCTTTGGGAAAGTGAGGTAGTGTTCGGTGGTGGAATCCATCAGCGACACGAGCACCGCCAATCATTTGTTGTCCGACGGAAGCAACCATTTGAGAGACGTTAATGTTGGAACCCTTGGAACCGCACTTGGCCATGAGCAAGGGCGAGTTCCATCTGCTGAGCTCTTCGAAACAAATGTCACCGGCCGCTTGACGTACACCAGACAAGATACCACCAATCCTGTTCTCCATTGTCTGCTCTTCGTCGCAACCGGGATCGCGCTGCAGTTTTCCCTCCTTGAAGTCCATGATCAACTTGTCGCACTTGGCGTAGGCCTCTTCGACGAGATCTTGCTTCTTCTTGTTGAGTTTTTCACCAGGTGTAACGTCGCTGATACCGAGAGAGAAACCGTTGTTGGAAAGCCATCGTGCGGACAATTTAGACAATCTGTTCATACCTTGGACGGCGTGATCGGGACCAAAATCTCGCATCATGACGTAGAAGACCGAGTCCTTCTTACCATCACCGACGGTAGCCTTGTCCATGACACCGCACATGACCTCGGAATTGCGAATGACGAGATAAGCATCGTTCTCGTTCAGATCAGGAGCCTGGTCAGGGGTGTTCTTGAACTGCTTGCATGCAGCTTCGAGGTTGATCAATACCCTGCAGCCCTTGTATGGCTTCATCAAAAGGTTGAAAACCTGCTTTCCAGTCCAAAGTGCTTGAGGCTTCCATACAACAGGAGGCGGAATATCGATAGGATGCTTCTTTCCTGTGTCTGGATCGAAAGCTCCTTCTCCGTTGAACATGTAGTTTACAATCTGACAGAATGTCCGTCGATCGTAGAAGTTGTTCTTATTACTTAGAAGGTATGCTGCTGTAATGAAATCTTGAATAGCCGCGATAATTGGTGTTCCGTTTTTCGGCGTTGCAAGGTTGTATTTGACGCCCATGAGCTCTGTAGCTTCAGTTCTCGCCTCCTCGGTTTGTGGAACGTGCAAGTTCATCTCATCACCGTCAAAATCGGCGTTGTAAGGATTGCAAACACATTCGTTCAGTCGAAATGTTCTCCATGGTCGTATCTTCGCTCGATGACTCAGGATACTGAGCTTGTGTAGGGACGGTTGCCGATTGAAAAGGACAATGTCGCCATCCTCAATATGGCGCTCAACGATATCACCGATCTTGAGCCGCTTCGAAGCGCCTTCCAATCGTTCACCCGTTGTGTCGAACCGTGAGAGACCGATAAGTGACGTCTTGCTAGGCTCCTTATTGGGCCCTTGATCGCTAATGATGTAATTCGCACCGGGGTATTTGTTTGACCCATTCTTTACAAGTCTCCTCAACTTATCGATGTTGTATCGTGTGGCTTTTTCGGGGTACGTGAGGTTCTTCGCAATGCGCTCCGGAACAGCGACTTCGTCGATGCTTAGGTTCGGATCGGGACCGATGACGGTACGTCCAGAGAAGTCGACACGCTTTCCAGAAAGGTTCTGTCGAAATCGGCCGCCCTTTCCCTTCAAGCGCTGAGAGAAACCGCGCATAGTCTTCTGCAGACCCTGCTGTTTCAGACCAGGCGCGTCGCTGTTGATGTACATGGCGATCTGCAGCTGCAGGAAGTCCCACTGCTCCATGAGGATTTGGAGAGGAAAGCCTCGCGCAAGCCCGGCGCGTATTATGCTGCTAATCTGGCAGATATCTCCGATCTTGTTGGTCACATCGTCCTCGGTGGCGCCACCTTCCTGCATGACTGAAGGGCGCAGGGCCACAGGCGGTACAGGCATGTACTCCCAGATCAACATTTCCGGTCGCGCATCCTCGGGTATCATGGCGAGTAGCTCGCAGTCCTCTGGGGAGATCTTCTTGAAAAGATTGAGCGTCCTCAACGGGTGCATGTCGTCGACAGCCTTCTTCAAGTGCTTGTCCAGGTCGGGGTTCGCGGATTTTGCAGTGTCGAAGGACTGATCGAATTCGACTTTGCCTGCCGGTGGCTTCTTCGTCTTCGCTGTGGATCGGTTGAAGGCATCGTATCGGTTGTGGATGATCTTGAGCGGATGGCCGGGTACTTTGCGGACGGTACCCTGCAGGGCACCGCAGTATGGGCAAGTCTTCTTCTTCCTGCAGTCGTCGAGAATCTTCTTTGTGACGGCGCCCTTTCGCAGTGTGTCCATGTCTGGTCGGCGCATGCTCCGCAGATATCTCCGTCGCTCCACCTCATCCAGCAGCACGCGCGAACAGTCCTTGCATATGCAGTTGAGCACCTCGATGATGTGCTTTAGGTATCCCACGTGGAATGCGGGCAGCGCAAGCTTGATGTGACCAAAGTGACCGTTGCATTTGTCGAGACCTTCTCCGCATGTTCCGCACTTTCCCTGCTTGCTCGATATGCCCATGTGCGTGTCCATGGGCCCGTTGGCCGTGAGGGAGCGTGTGCCGTCGGCGGCGGGCTGGATATCGTAGACATTGCGGTCCGAGACTTCGAGAACGGCCTGATTCACAATGTCCTGGTTGGAGCTGGAGAGTGTTAGTATGCGCCTTTGATGAGAGTTGCCACAGTGGTGTCCTACTATATGCCGAACTGGATGTGCTTGATGCGCGCGGGGATGCGGTCCACGACCTGCTGCTTGGCCGAAGTGCGCGGCGCTTCCATGATGGCGCAGGTGGTTGTGCTGTACTACAGGGCTAATTTGATGCTACCGGGAGTCTTCACAGTACTGATATTCTTGCATAGTCGTCGCGTCGTGAGTCATGTTCGGGGCGACAGTAGACAGCAGCAGCAACTTTCTCAGTCGCGCCTCTGCAGATTTTGGGTGGGGGACCTTCCCGGAGCTAAGCCGCACTAATGCTGGCTGATGCTGGCTAATGCGGGCTGATAAGCTGATAGTACCCCGGAAGGCAGCCGTGACCACGAGTGCAGGAGCATCACCGCCCGGTCGCTGCCTCACCCATACACTCACTCTCTGCCCCGCCTATAGCGACGGTAGACGATTACAGTGTCTTGTCGTGAAGCCTCCACATCACCACTCTTCTCGCTCCCTCGATGCGAGCAGCACAATCCTCTACATAGCACTGGTCGCTCCTGTCTCTTGAACCACGGTGCTACCTGCGCAGTCATCCCCGCTCAACTCCACCCCGCCCTCACTTGCTCTTCCTCACAGACCACACTGTCTACGCGTCACGGTCTGGCAAGACGCACTGCTCCTCATGACTTCCAGTGAGCTTCCTCCTACACCATCTGTCATGTTTCGTTCCCGGCTCACTGACCTGCCAGTCTTCCGCATCGTCCTCCGGGACGCAAAGCGCTACGACACGTACGAGACTCGTGAGTTTGACCTGCCGCTCAACTCGGAGTTTCCCATTGGTCGCGCCTCCAGCAATCTCTCCAAGAGGGGTCTCATGGCTGCACCTCACAACGCTTTCATCGACAGCCCTGTCATCTCTCGTCAACACGCCGTCCTCTCAGCCAACTCCGCCAGCGGTGTCCCGGAAGTGTACATTACCGACAAGGGCTCGATGCACGGCACCACCCTGAACAGTCAGAGGCTGCCTGCCAACACGCCCACCAAGTTGAATCATGGAGATGTACTGCAGTTCGGCACCGACGTTAACCGCAACGAGGGTACGTCCCCTCGTACGCCCTCTACACTACCCCTTATCCAAGCTCCTGAGCTGACCCAACCCCGCACAGAGTTCTTTGTAGCCCGCACCTACACCTTCGAGTCTCAACTATCCCGCCCCTTCTCTCTCGGCTTCACCGTCCCAGACCCTGAAAGCGACGAAGAGGAAGTGGTCGGGCGCCGAGGCAGCCAGATCGATCCATTCGTCATCGACGACTCCGACGGGGCTGACGACCAGTCCGACCAAGGCGACCACGAGGATGTCACTATGATGATGGAACAAGTTCTGCATCAAGACGAGCCTGTCCACGCTTTCAGTCCCGCTCAGGAAGAGCACCCAGAGTCAGCCATGCGTACCACCCTTGTCAACGAAGACTACGATGAGGAGGACAAAGAAGATGCGCGTCTTATTGTCGACTTCACTTCGCGCCGCGATGATTCGCTTGTGCCTGCCAGCCCCAGTGCCTCCATTGATGGGGAAGATGACGATGCTATCGGCACCGACTCCGACAGCGAGGCTGGGAGCATTGGTAGCTCAGAGATCATGTCCGACTCTGAGCCAGAGATCCAGGATTCCGAGGACGAGGAGTTCGACGAGACTGACCATAACAAGCCCACCACATCTTCATCCAACAAAGAAAACCAGTCGTCCGCTAGTAACACGGTACTTCCCTCGGTCCAGTGTTCCATGCAAAACCCGTCTACTCTTTCACTCCGGGATGTCTACATGCTAGACGATGTAGCCAATAGTCAAGCCTCGTTGCCTCGTATCCACATGTTTGGTATGCAGGGTTCTGACAACAACCCAATGTCGAGCAGCAACGTGTATGCGGAGAGCGCACCTCCACCTCTGCCGCCACGTCCCTCGGCGTCTAGGGTAGCACCTTGGTGCAACCCAACCTACCCCTCGTTTGCGTCGCAAAACGATATCCAGGACTGGTACTCCGACGACATGTCGCAGCAGAACTATCTGGGCACAAACTTTGGTGATCGACCTTCCTTGTTTAGCCCGGCACCTCCTCCTCCAGCACAAGAGTCCGTTGACGCTCGTGCTCCCATGTATCACTTCGGCAACCGTCCTAGCCAGTCCTTCTCAGCCAACCGGCTTCAGACACCTCCGCCAATGCCCGCGTCAGACGTCGAGACCTCCACACCGCTACAGCCAGGTCGTCGGACCAAGGTCTCTATTGAAGAGATAGTTGAGGAGCAGCCACCTACGCCCGAATCTGTGAACAACATGAAGCGCAAGGCTGACGTACTCGAGGCAGAGGAGCCAGCAGCAGCAATGAATGAAACACAACAAGTCGTCATTGGTGCTGAGAATGCAACCTCAGAATCGGTAGTTGCTGTTCCGACCTCCGATGCTGCTGCCATCCAGACGGCTGCAATCATTGCCCAGCGTCCTAAGAAGACTCCTCGCTCTATTCTCAGCAAGGTGCTCGATAAGGCTACCTACCCTTTGCTGGGCGCCACTGGTGCAGTCGTTTCCTTTGCTCTTCTTTCAACTCTTCCTGATACCTTCTTTGCTTGAGCTGAGATGGGTTTAATGCCCATAACAGTCCATTACTTTCCTTCAAGGCGTACACGGTAGGGCAAGGGGTTTAGGGTAAGGCGATATCGGGATCATGATATCCATGGAGCATGTACGGATTACGGCGGCCAATGTTGATGGCGTTCTTGGCAACGCCAGAAGAGTCGGGTTCTGCGCTACGGGTGGTGTATGCTTCCAGTTTGGGTGGCGTCCTGTTTCTCCTGCTTCATGATACGCCACCATGCATGACCGTATTTCCTTTCTGATAATGAGATACATGCCATAAACGACTCACCTCATAATAGCTTAGTGTGTTGTTCGAGTGATGCAAATGCTTCGAATGGAATTCATTGGTATCCGCTCTGTAGCTAGCTATGGAAATTTATTACGCACGCTTGTCCTCAAACGGTATGGCGCGAGAAGTTTAACAGCGGCCTCTATCTCCACAGGACTCACAACCACAGAAGTAGCAAAGACTTGGAAACTACAAGCTGTTCAAGGATCAATTGAAGAGCCCGCAATGTTTCGTGTAGTCTAATAGGAATCACTGAGACGATCTCGGAAACACGTTGGTAGTGACTGGGGTGACTCCAGCTCCATCTACTACGACCCGGTCTAACCGCTCTCGATTTTTTGTACAGTACCCTGCTCATCTTTACCGGACCTCAACAGTACCCTTATCACCTTGAGTCTTATCGCTGTGAAACAGACTTCCAGAGTGGTTTGTATATGGGAATGCTAGCACACCAAATGGCGGTACACAAATGAATCGCCGTCCAAAGCTCTGATCGATGGAAGTAGACTGTAAGATGATTAATAAAGTCCAATTGTTTGTAAGTTGGGATGACCTGCTTTCGTAAGGATCTTGCCGATGATCTATAAGCGCCATTCTCACAACACTTGTGATAACAACAAAGCCCCCTAGAGCAAATATCCCCACGACACCAATCTTTGTTCGTAGTGGTAGTTGGAGAGTAAAAGTCGTTCGCATGGGTAGGAGCAGAATGGCCAGATCCGTGAGCGCGTCTGTGACGAGGAAGAAGAAAACCATCGCTGCCCAGTGTCCGCATTTTTCTCCTTCTCGCTGCTTTTCTGGGTACCAAATGAGCTTGAGAGGGCGGCAGATACACAATAGGGCCAGCACGGCGGATAGCAACCAGGTTGAGGCCAAAACCATAAGGCCTAGTGATATGTCGCGGTGGAGTTTGCTGGCGAAGAAGATGCGACGGTAGAAGAAGAGAATGGACATTTTGCAAGTGTACTGGGCGGTTATAGCTAGCAGATACGCAGCAAGCATGGCCTCAAGTATTGGTCAGCAAAGATCTTGAATGTACATGTGGGAACGAATGATACGAACCTTGCGGTATATGCGCAGGCGTACGCTGAATTCCTCCTTTTCCATGATCACGATTTCGACCATGGAAAAAGGGCCAAAGTTGGTGAAGGACTCTGCTACAATTAGAAAACTTCTGGAGCCTGTGAGATGCCGGGATATTTGCCTCGTAAGACGGTCACGATGGCGCTGTAGTAGAAGAATAGGGTTAGAAATATGGATAAGTCGTCGGCTTTGATGCCCTGTTTGGTCTTGATCTTGACGTAAATGCGAGTCGCGACTGCGACGCCTGCGAGTATTCCATTGATGAGATGGGCTATGGCGAGCTCGGCGTGGTAGAAACTGAGACCGAGCATGGCGGCGTCTGAGTAGCGAAAGCGGTGGGGGTTTCTATGTTTTCAAAACCAGGTGCCTGTATCTAATGGAATTGAAGACGTAGCTGTGGCTCAGATGGTGCGATATATATCCAAGACTGGAGTAGTATACGATGACTGTACGGTGGTGCGACTATATTCAGGTAAACCCGCAGGCCTGGTGTACCGGATGGAGTTGAGATCGAGACGCAGCGACAAAAGTTAGTCTTGATACCTTTGTAGAAAGGTTTTCGCAAGCAAATGAAGATTCGTCAAGCATGAGTAGCCTGGCGGTCAGTACGCGCCTTCCACAAGACGCTCTTTCCGTTTGCTAAAATTTCTTTTCACGCGGACACTTCCAGTTCCGTCACGTTCACTTTCCACCATCCATTTGATGTTTCGTTTCCTATAGGCTATGGGACTTGGGTGTATTCTTGAAGAAGGAAGGGTATGGAATAAGGCCGGACGTGGTTATGCATTACCTAGATATATATCCCCTCGCACATGAATAGGTCCATCTTATCATAGTCCTCATAATGGATTTCTCTCAGCCCTGATTTACCCCTTCGTCATGATCTTCACCATCACTATCGACTCTTGCGATTCGTTACCATCTCGGTGATATAAATTCACCTTAGTCTCTTGGTCTCCCTCAGTTGTAGGGGGGATCGTTGTGGAGCAGAAAACGTCTACCTTGGCGATGTGAATCCCTCCATCGCCTCCTCAATTGCTGCGTTGACCAAGTAATCATTCCCACTGAAATCAAATGCCAGTTCCTTGAGCTTCTCTATTACTTCCTCAAGACTCTCAACATACTTTTGCCACAACCTGTCCCTCTTCCGGAGCGACTGCCCACGCTCGATGCACTCTTCGAGCGCTTTCTTCGACTTGCCAAGCTTTCCATATATTTCAATAAGTTCTGTGATCTTCACTTGTTGGTCTTCGGAGTTTTCGCTTCCGCCGTCGTAACCTTCGCTGTTGCTATCCGTGTCATCGTCATCGGCTCTGTGGAACGGCGGCTGGGAGGTCGCAATGTCGCTTCTCGGGTAAACATTCATGTATCGTGTGACCTTCTTGCGTCTATCGATTCCGGCGTCCTTGTCCGTCCCCATACACCGTATTTCCTGGGATCTGTCGGCGTAGGCCGTGTTTTTGATGTCTCGGGATGCCTCCAAGTACCGCATGTTCTCTTCGAGTTTTGCGATCATAGCGTTCGTGTCCGCGAATATTCTTTCGTGGTTTGCGTCGTTGCAAAGTCGGGCAGGGGTGGATGGCGAGGCAGCTGGTAGGCCTATACGCTCCGTGTACTCTCGCTGGTTCAAATCGTCGAAGTGGCCTCTCCCGGCATCGATCTTGCGCCTAAAATGGTCTATCTCTCTCTTGCGCACCAACTTTATATAGTCCAAAGCGTTGTATGGAGGAATGATAGCGTCGTAATATGCTGCTAGCTGGTTGCTTTTCCAGCATGGGTCGCGTGGTGGTGGCATGGTACAGGCAAGTGTCATGTGAAGAAAAATTGAGTCGCAAAAGTACCTAGGTAACCAGGGCGCGCAACAAATTATATACTCGCTATGGCTCACACAATCTAGTGTGCACTTTTGAACTCAAGATACAGTATTACGGTTGCGATCCACTGTTCTGCGATAACCTACAGACGAACCACTCGCAAATACTACGTTACAAACGGTACCTACGAAAGCAGATCCTCCTCGAAGAACAGACATCGCAAAACCGCGAAAATCTTCACGGGGGCTCGGAGCTGACGATGTGTGTAGTGGTATGTGTGACAAATTTCGAGGTTTTGCACGTATGAAAGCGGATACTGAGTAGAAATCCGAAGGTAGAGAGTTTTTGTACCGAATCCTATTAGGCATCAGCAGCGAATGAGTCCAGTGCAATTTCCGTAAAGAGTGTAACACCGTGTTGCATTGGGTGCAGTTTGGTGCAAGCAAGGTCATACCCAACTTAGATACGCTTGAACGTATGTCCTCACATCTCTCTAGGCACCAGCAGCAGCGCGTGATTGAGGTATGCTTTAGTTGAGATCCTCGAACTCTTGGTGCGAACCAAGTTTGAGAACCAATCGAAGCAGAAACTGAAAATCGACTCGCAATAGTTACATGAGGAGTGTCACGCTCGTTAAATTCTACAGGTGTCCTGGTAAGAATCTCGTCTTGTTCGCTTCCGCCCAACCACTGTCGTGCGCCACCACAATCTCCACTTCTACGTCTTCATCGCCTTCTTGTTTAATATTGCCTTGCTTCAAGAACCTGGCGATCTTTGCTACAGTAGCCGCTGCTGCATCGGTATCAGCATGTACACTTCTTAAGCCGCCCTTCCCGTCATCATACAACGCAATACCTTTCTCGCCAGCCAGAATGCGCGGATCATGACAGCAATCGCCGCCAAGGTACACCCATTTCTTTGGTCCTGTACGAGCGAGAAGATTGACGTGTCCGAAAAGGTGGCCCGGCGCATCGATGATGTATAGTGATCCGTCTCCGTAGAAGTCTATCGTAGCAGGGAAGCCTGCTAACGACTTCCACTCAAGTTCTGCCAACTGAGTCTTGAACGCCCGTAGCGCTTCTTCCTCACGAACAGGAGGTAACTCGCTTGTCCGATCAGCAGGTAATTCATCTGGATTAAATATTTCAGCTGGGTACAGCGGCCCGCCTCCATTCGCAAGAAGATGCATAGTTCCACTTCCGACTATGAACCGCGCTTTGGTAAAATCACTCGGTGTACCAACATGATCCCAATGCACATGACTTAGCATTACGGTATCCACATCTTTTGGATCTACACCGCCCCTCCGTAGACTCTCGGCCGCATCTGGGATAACACTGGTGGGCTGACGTTGAGCAATATGGTGCTGTTGTGCTTCTCGGTAGCCACCAAAATCGCGTTTGAGTCCGAGATCAAAGACGAGATTGGATGAACCATGTCGGATGAGAAAGGAGAGAGAAGGGACTGTTGCGCGTCTCTCCGGGTCGGCATCTGTGACGAAGAGTCTTTCGGGAAGCGTAAGCTGGCCTCCTTCGAGGGCTGATATAGTAACATAGGTTTGGTCGTCGGCTGGTGCTGGAAGAACGACGACATCATTGCTTAACGTCATGGTGAACGAAATAAGAACAACACAAGAACGAAGCTGGCAGTTCTGCAGATACTGACGATACTGTAAGTGACACCAGAGATGACATCGTGGTTGGAGAAGCCGCTTGCCTGCATCTCATCCTGCAGCCCCACCTCTTCACTACCCCGCATGCGGGGCCAACTCTTCTGGCATAGCTAGATTCGCTAGAAATTCGAGCGGTAATGGCGTGCATATAAACTACAAAACTATAAGCAAACGCCAGCTCTTCATCTCGTATCAACTCGAAGAACTTTTGACACATGATGTCGTTCACCCAACCCAAATCGATGCAAGCGCAGTATTTGGAAGCGTATAAAGAACCGTACAGGCTGAGATCAGTTCCAATTCCCGCGCCATCTGAGCCTCATGATATCCTCATTCGGGTAGACGCCGCTTCGTATTGCCATACCGACTACGTTCTGGCAGAAGGACAGATGCCCGGACTGCCGAAGTCGTTCCCACACATCGGGTGCCACGAGTTCGCCGGAACGGTAGTGTCACATTTCAGAACACCTAGCAAAGAGGCTAGCGCATTTGAGATTGGTGCAAGAGTTGGAGTACCAGGTCGAGCATTCCATGCTTGCGGCGACTGTTTCGAATGTAGGAACGAACGCGTGGATGATCCAGTCGCCATGGATGAAGGGGGCTACTCGGTGAACTGCGTCAGGGCGGAGAACAATGGACTGAGTAAAGATGGAGGGTTCGCGGAGTACGCTGTAGTGGATGCAAGGCAGTTAGCACCAATACCAGACAGTCTAACAGCAGTGGAGACTGCGCCCCTTATGTGCGCTGGCGTCACCATTTACGGAGCGCTCAAGAAGTGCAGGCTTAAGCAAGGCGGGAGAGTCGGCATACTAGGAGCTGGTGGCGGCCTTGGACATCTGGGCTTACAATATGGCGTTAAAATGGGTTACAAAGTCCTGGGTGTGGAGGCAGCAGATAAGCCCCTAAAGCTTGCACAAAAAATCGCCTCGAGACTGGACCCCCAACCATATATCGTAGACGCCCGAAACAAGAAGGCAGCCGAAGTCGTTCAGGATTTTGGGGCACAAGACGGCAAGAAGACTGTTGGTGAAATGGGACTAGACGCGGTGATCGTGTTGCCCGAGAGTCAGGCCGCCTTTGACTATGGTATGGCTCTGTTGAAGTCGCATGGAACGTGTGTTGTGGTGTCCTTCCCAGAGAAAGGCTTCCATATCAACTCGCGAGATATTGTATTTCGAGATATCAGGATTATCGGTAGCCTAGTGGGGAGCAACAAAGTGCTTCGTGAGATGCTCGAGTTCTCCGCAGAACACAGTGTTCGCGCCTTGTCGAGTTCGTTTCCCCTGGCGAAATTGAACGAGCTTGTAGATGAATATCACGAGGCTCGAGGTGGAAAGCTAGTTGTCGACATGTCTCTGGGAGTGTAGATCAAGGAATAGAGCAAACCCGCATATTCCTTGCCTCCACATGTCTGGGAGAGTTACTTCACGCCTTATATAGCATATAGAGAGTACCCTGGTGGCGAACATGGTTCGTATCTTATGAAAGATTCATCCTTGAATTACCAGTCTGACATAGCTACTCATCCAGACTCAAGCATATCAGCGTACAGGTTGAGAGAGCTTCCAATCACATCAACAATGGCCCATGTTTGAGATCCTTTGAAGATCGTCGCCCAGACCCTGAGCACCCCAGCGCTAAGATGTCGCGTGAAATTGGGCGAGTCGGGTGTAATGTCGGCTGGTACGGCAAACTCAGTCTCGTCTAACATGCTCTTGACAATTGCAATGATCTTGTGCTCGTCATCCGTGACCGGCGGGTCTGCTTCTCGTATTGATAATGCTTCAAGCCACTTACTCATGAGGTAGGCGCACTCAAGCGTACACAAAGAGTGTTGAATGCTCCAGATGAAAGACTGCGTCTTGGCCACAAGACGATATCCAATCTTGATGGGTATGGAGAGTGCATGAGCCGAGTGCAGCACGGCTCTTATGATCTTCGGTGAGCGTCTTATCGCAGGTCCGGCGCGGAAGGCATTAGCAATTAGCATAGGGTCCCGTGTCTCTAGAGCTCGACCTGCCGTATCCACATACAGACGTATATATGCCAGGCGGAGTAGCGCAGTCGAGTTGAAAGCAACGGGACCGTTTTGAGACATTGGATCTAGTGACGATTCGGGGTTTTGGCGCCACCCGATCTGCCAATTTCGCAAAGCATTCTCGAGTGACGCAACGTCCTCTGTACTGAGATCACCAGGCCCTTCAAAGCGACAGCGTGCCACTTGTCGTAGGAAGAAAACGTGCTGTATCAAAGCATGTATCAGGGCGTAGTTTCCAGATGAAGAGTTGCACTCTGTAACATCCCGACCTTCTTTTGTAAATAACCGTTTTAGTGCATCCTGGAACAAAACTTCTGGCGCACTTTTCTTCCTCGCTTCCCTCCACAATACTTCTGTGGGCGCCTTGAATTCTGCTGAACTGCACGGCAATGGCAGTTTTACTTCGCTGGTTAGCATGAAGGGAGGAATATTGTAGACGATGCAATGTAGGTTGGAGAAGCCATAGACGATGAACTTGGTCCTCTTGATCGTTTCGCGCCTGACCCAATCCGGCCAGGATATGTTCTCTTGAAGAGGCTCAGTCTCTAGCCCGTCATCTCGAATAAGCGTAGCTAAAATACTCTGAATCGCGAGCGCTTCTCTGAGGATTTCTTTGTGCTTGGCCCAGGTACATAACGCCATGAGCAAGAGTAGAGCTTGCGCCGTTTGCATGAGATCTTCGCCAAGAACAGGGCCATCGATATCAGATGGCAAACCCAACGGTCCCGAGACGGAGCCGTTCCGATGGAGACTATGCGCATCATTGTAGTGGTTCTGTGGCGACGAGCGATCTGACTCTGAATGATATTGAAGCTGCACCAAACGCGTATCCCGCTTCCTAATACGGTGCGTCGCAATTGCTTTGCTTACGTTGAACAGCTCAACACCTTTTTCGCCCTCGAAGGTGTATTGTGCACCGATAGCTGCCAATGCCAGTAGTAACTCAATCGAACATGTCTCCACTGACATAGTGGGAATGTGAAGAAAGGGCATGTGCTCGTGAAATCCATTGATATACGCAGCAATATATCGGCACAATGCTAATCGGGTCGGTAGAACAAAGTCGCCGGGTATGATGGTGGAGAACTGATGAAGCATCTCGATTATTCTTTGCCGATCTTCGTGTGAAATATCGGCGAATGATCGTTTGCGCGCAGGTTGATCCTCGGGCTGCAAAGAAGGGAATCGGGAACCAAATCGTGAAAGCGAAGGTGGCTCGTCCAATTGAGTAGATCTCCAACCAGGTGTGGGCGCTGTTGTTCTATCTGGCTCAGTCAACACCTGCTGACCGTAGCCAAAAGAGTCTGGCGAGAAGAACGGCATGGGCTGTTCAGTATTGATCAGAGATGCGAAATGGTACGAATTCAGGGGTTCACTATCAAGAAATGAAGTGAGACTGTCAAGCGACTCGCCAAATGTCGACTCGTAGCTCTGGCCAGAAGGCTCTGTAAGAATTGTTGGGTGTGGAACTTCCACCGTTGGAGCGATAGTTCCAGTATGTGAAGGCATCGGTGTTTGCATTGCATCATGAGATGAGCGATTTGCCATGTCACCTTGTAGAGCTTGATACTCGGCAGCCATTGAAAGCGCTGTCAAAGAGTAACCGCTATTCTGCCCGAAGGTCATAGAGGCATGTGACATTGCCGGTTGATGTTGAGACGATTGCATATCCAAGACGGCAGGCGAGGACATCATGCTGGGTATCTCTGGCACTGGACGTCCAGCATCGAAACTTGACCGCATACGCTTGTGTGGCCGAGGTTCGACCGAGCCGTAGGTACTTTCAGCCGGGGTGTGATGATGGTTCTGCTGAATAGTCTGCTCTTTTCGATGAGTGAGTCGCTCATGGCGGACGAGCAAGTCACTTCAATTCCATGTTTAGCTGATGCTACGCGCAAGTCCGAGCGTGCCATACCTGCGTGTGAATGAATATTTGCATTCTGAGCAGCTGAAGGGCTTCACACCGCTATCTTGATGCCTGTCAGAGATAGCTTGCGATGCGAGTCGCACGACTTACGAATGCGCTCGTGCCGCTGCAGATGTTCGAGCCTAGCGAAGGCCCGTTGGCAGTGTGGACATTGGAAACGCTTTTCCTTCTTCCCAGGCTGAGCTTGCGGGACTTGCTCTTTACTGGTAGCGGCTTCCATCAAAGACCAATGGCACCTCTCCCACTCACGCAAGGCCCAATCGCGACAGACTTGGTAAGTGATACCCAGATTTTGGAGCAGCTTGAAAAGCCAGATGAAGTTTGGAGACTCCCAGTGGTGTTTGGCAAGGTCGGAGAAGAGTTGTGGGATTGTGGGGAAAGAACTGGAGCGCGGAGACGCGACGGTTCATATGCGGGGTGATAGAAAGAAGCAGGAAAGCCACCAATCATCACGTTTGCGGCATGTGCCCACAGCCCGAGGCTCATGCATCATGATGGGAAGAACTAGGTGTAGAATGTTATGTGCAAAAGCGTTTCGCAAAAGAGCAACGTCTTGTCAATGTTCATGCAGTTATAATGATCATGATATAATCCATCCCACACCGGGCCGGATGACCACGGGTGCCGCACACATTCCCAGCCACCTGCCATGCAATTCGACGCGACGCGTTCCTCACCAATTGACCATTATCACGCCCTTTCGCTCCTGTTGCCCAATTCTCGCGGCATTTCTCCTTTCTCCGCCATGTCGTTTAAGACCTTCTCAGCTGTTTTCATGGCGTCGACACCGGCTGGCACCCCGCAGTATGTTGTTGCGTGAATGATGGCCTCACGGATTTCGAGCTCAGACAAGCCGTTGTTTCTTGCCCCGCGAACATGCACGGCGAGCTCAGGAGCGCGATTGAGCGCCATAAGCATGCCGATGTTGATGAGACTTCTCTGCTTCTTGTCAAGACCTGGACGCGTCCAAGCGTATCCCCAGCACATCTCGGTGACGAGCTCCTGCCCGGCTCGTGAGAACTCGGTGGAGCCATTCTCCAGTGCGCGATTGACGTATTCATCCCCCACCACACTTCGTCTCATCTTCAACCCCTCATCAAAGAGCTGTTTGTGTAGGTCATCGAGCTTCGGGTCGGTCGACATGTTGGCGGTCGTTTATTTCGATACGCGAAGAGAGTTGATGTGATTACACGATATGGGGCTTGGTTGACTTGTTCAGGATGGTAAGTCAGAGAAGGTAGGAAGATGATTTTCTAATCTGCTGTGAACTCTCAGTATTACCACTGTGACTATCTAACAAGACTGTCATGTTTGCCCCGCGCTGGCCCCTTCGTGGCCGATCCTCGGCCTTTACCCCAAGCATCCCCAATGTTCTCCAACTTCGGCTTGACGCTAGTGGAACGTATTACAAACAACGAATTGAGACCCAGCTACGTCGAGCTCGACGACGATGGTGTACACGATCAACGTCTGTTTATGTGCCGTTCGTCTTGGGTTGCCAGTCTTCCTGCCCACCAAGATAGCGATACACCACGCGCGAGTCCAAGTCCCTACAACGCGGATCGTTGGCAGCACCATCGTACGTCCGTAAACCGACGTCCCCCAGCACATTTTGTGAACCTACTCGTTTCGCCATATCCACTGCCAGCCCAAAATCCTTGCGCATCAGCTGTACTTTGAAGCCCTGCTTCCAACCTCCCGACGAAGGAGCCTCAGGGTATACATGCGGGACAGGGCAAAACTTGTCACAGATGGTGTTTTGCGCAGTACCGGCAGCGTATACTTTGGCCAGTGTACGAGGGTCCAGCCCACTGCGCATACCCATGTCGAAAGCTTCGGAGCAAGCTATGGCAATTATGCCTGAGAGGTAGTTGTTCGATAGCTTCGCCGCAAGTCCAAGCGATGGTCCCCCGCAAGGGATTACTTGCCCACCCATCAGACCCATCAGATATGTGAGGCGCTCGATATTTGGGTCCGACTCTGCACAACCCAGAAAGAATGCGATCGTGCCTTTGATGGCTCCTACTACGCCGCCACTGACCGGAGAGTCATAGAAGGAGGCCGAGGGAAATGTTTCCGCGATGTGGTCCTTCACTGCGAGGCTTGTTGCTGTGTCTATGGTCGAGCAGTCGATGAGCAGCTTGCTTGAGATATCGGTACTGCAGACACCTTTTTCAGGATCGAGATACACGGATCGTACATGTGCACCTTCGGGAACCATGCTTATGATTGTGTCCTGTCAGCTCGTTAGCGGTCAGCCCAATGCGACGGCGCCTAGACCTACGACTTGTTCCGCGACATCTTTTGCGCTTTTTGCCTTCAACACTCGATCTGGAAACTCTGCACATGCATCGTCTACCATCTGTTCGACTACATCGTAAACCCAGATGCGCGATTCTTGAGGCAGTTTGTTGGCGAGATGTGACAGCATCGGTTTTCCCATGGCACCAAGGCCGATAAAGCCCAGTCTTTTGAAGTCGTGTGAATGCGGCATGATGGAGTCGTTTGCTGAGCAAGGGTTGAAGCGTCACTGGCTAAAGCCTAGAGTATTTCCGCCTTCTCTGAAGGAAATGCGATGAGCCTAAAAGATTGATGTATTTACTAAGTTTGGAGACAACGAGAAACAATTCACGTCAACACTGCAGGTTCAAAACGCGTCGCGAGCGAGCCGAGGCTGGTGAAGCGGGGTGGGGGGCGTCCCCAACGGACACTACGGACTAGTTCATCTTACCCCAATGTCATCTAACATCTGGCATGCTTACAATTGAGTCGACCAAAGGTTTCACGTGCCGTCTCTTCGCGTTTTCTTGAGTAGAGGAATACTTACAGCTGTCACTCCAGTCAGCTATATTTCCGTAGCCATATCTTTAGTGTACGATTTCTACGGATTACTCGACTGCCTCTTGGAGAAAATGTCTACCAGCAGCTCGCACCAGGATTCCAATCATCAAACAACAGCTTTCGTTACTGTGCACGCGTTGTCGTGCGGCCACTTTTCACTCCCAGAATACCAATTCGTACATCCTGTTTCTCGGGATGCCCGCCGAACAGTTCCTTCGTTGGGCTTCCTAATACAGCATTACGATCGCAGCACTAAGAAACGGACACGTATTGTGTTTGACTTGGGTCTGAGGAGGGATGTTAAGAGATATGCGCCACCGATACAAAAGCATATTGAGACGAGACAGCCAATGAGTACCGACCCGGACGTCACTAAGAGCCTTGCGAGGGGCGGACTGGCACCCGAGGACATTGACTATGTGATCTACTCGCATGTAAGTCACAGTACCTTGCGTTGCGGACGGTAGGTAACATGGCTACGGCAGGTACATTGGGACCATATTGGTGAACCTCGAGATTTCCCCTCATCTACCTTTGTCGTCGGGCATGGATCACTTGCCTTGCTGAATGGCACTTCGCCGTCTCTGCGTGGTGGTCATTCCTTTTTCGAACATGATCTTCTACCAGAGGGGCGGACCGTTGAACTATCGGAACCTTCAGTAGGTACATTGAAGCAGCACGATTCACGCATGACAACGGGCGACGTCAACTTCGGTGGTTCCTGGCAGCCGTATGGAAAGCTCCCCCAAGTCCTGGATATCTTCAGAGATGGCTCACTTCTCATCGTCAATGCACCTGGTCATCTACCCGGCCATATTAACCTTCTCGCACGAACGTCTTGTGATCACCAAATATACATAGGTGGTGACGCCTGCCACGATAGACGACTTTTGACTGGTGAGAAAACAATCGGAGAATGGAACGATACTCATGGACACGTCTGTTGTATACACGCCGATAGAAGGCAAGCTGAGATGACGATTGAGAGGATCAGGATTTTGGAGAAAGAGGGCGTCGAGATCATCTTTGCACACGACGTCGAGTGGGAAAGCGATCCAAAGAATAAGACCCGATTCTTCGGCGTGCAGCAAGGCATGGATGGCTAGTTGCTGAACACTTATGACATCACTCATGGCTTTTGCTCAATAGCACACTGGAGCACATAGTACCCTCGTACAAGTCAAACTCGACACACTGTGAGTGTGTTGGAGCCTTGTACAATCGCTGCAGTTGTGTATCTTGTCGTTCGGCCAGCAGGTGGTGTGTCGATCCCTGTGCTTCCCCACACTGAGAGGTTGGGGAGATGTGGGGTCCTTCTCCACCTGCGCCTCTAACACTACACCATGTGAGATGAAAGCTAATGCACGCACACGGATGTCTGATTTGCGGCAACAATGGATATGTGCAAGCTGGTTCCATTATTACCATATGCAACACCTACTCTAGTTCTAACGTGACCATTTTGTGGGCCTTTACAACGAATCCTCCCAGACTACCTCTTCAGTTGTTTGTGCTAGAACACTTCATGTGCCACCTCTAGACTACTGTTCAACATGTCTTTCTCTCCAGAGCAACAGCACCTGAAAGACCGCTTCGATGCCGAGCTCGGCGCTGCAGCATTCGATGAGTCTTGGTCCAGGATGCTCAAACACTCCCCGGAGATGTTCGCTGCGTCATTACGCCTAACAGCAATTCCAAAAAGAACCGGCCATCTGTCCTCTAAAATTCAAGCTCTGATTTCTCTCGCTGTAAGCGCAGCATCGACACATTTGCACGTCCCAAACGTCCAACGGTATACACGTGCCGCCATAGCAGCAGGCGCCTCCCCTGCCGAAATCGTCGAAACGCTATGTCTCACATCTACACTCGGTATTCATGCCTCTACAGTCGGCGTACCGATCCTCTTTGAAGTTCTCGAAGAGCGCGGCGAGGCGATGCCAAAAGGCGTGTCAAACATGAGTCCCCAGCAGCTCGCCCTGAAGCAAGACTTCGAAACCAAGCGCGGCTACTGGAACACGTTGTGGGAAGAAATGCTGCTTCTCGCACCCGACTTCTTCGATGCGTATACAGAGTTTAGTTCGGTGCCGTGGACGAATGAGGGCGGGAAAGGGGTGCTTGAGCCAAAGGTCAAAGAGTTGATATATTGTGCATTTGACACTGCGGCTACGCATATGTACCAGCCGGGACTGAAGTTACATATGCGGAATGTGTTGAACTACGGTGGGACAAAGGAAGAGATTATGGAAGTATTGGAGCTGGCGACGCTTTTGAGTATCAGTACGTTGGATGTCGGGTTGGAGGTGTTGGACTATGAGATGGGCCGTCGATCAAGTCTGCAGTCTCCCAAAGTACCTCGAGTATAGGGTGATGTCTTGTACTAGAGACAGGGGGTGTCCATATTTTCTCGAGAAGAGCGTACCAAATACTCGCACTAATGTCCATGTCTCATAGCCGTGAGCTTTGGTGGAGGATGTACCAATAAGCTACGACAAGAGTGATACAAGCCATTGTAACACTCGATGACGTGCGCTATGTCGCACTTTGATTGTTATGTTCCGAGATTCCGTATCTCTCGCATGCTCATCCGTGCCATCACCATCCTGTGATATCCCTCCCAATAGACGCAAAAGAGATCTTGCTTCTGATGTGTTCGAATCCGCACCGTCGTCTGCGTCGTCAACGATCATCCTAGGCTTCGTGCAACATCTCCATCACTTTTTCGTTGGGCGACGTGTGCTCTGAGATTGGGAAGAACGTACACATAGAGTCTTCGGTGAGTTGGAGATGCAGTCTGATCGTGGTTAATCTCACGACAGAGTGTGCTTTCGCCAGACAAATACCAAGTAACTTGTGCTCCCTGAGTATTGCTGAAAACCTATCCAGGGGATACTCATTGTGTCTGGCACTGATATGCAGAGGAGCAAAAGAGTCGTGTATACCTTCAAGGTAGAACTGGGACCAGAACACAACCTAGGGACGGCGAGCTCTTTCAAATAGTATTAGTCCTGAAAGCTCTATCTCAACGGGCTTGCAGATCTCTCTACAGGACTGCTTGTCCTCCCCGCGCCGACACCAGAAGCAAGCAATTCCAGCCTTGACGCCTGCACGCGATGCTTCTTCATTACTTCGACCCACTCTTCTTCAACCTCCTGCTCTTCTGTGTCACCTGAGCCTTCTCCTAGCTCTGCCCTCAAGTCTTCTTCAAGTAAAGCGATCATCATGCTGAAGTCACCACCTAATCTACCTAGCGAGCCAGCACAGTACAAGACCTGCGTGAGAAGCGAATCTCGTTGCGAGCGATCTTGCACGTTTGGAAGGTAAGTCCGTAGAGTATCGAATAGCATCTCTACGAGGTGTAATGGGAATGTTGCGAGGGCTGATGGTATTGGTTGAAGAAGGATGGAGGTCGTGACTGGCTTGACAGCTAGCGCACTTTCATCGGACCCTGGCGCTGGTAAGGCGGAGGGGAAGATGCTCTTGTACATGGATATTATGGCGAAGCTCTGCTCTCGGAAGATTTCAAGGTACTTCTTCAAGTACTTTTCTGTTTGTTGGCCGACGGCCCAGCCCGCGTCACTTTTGGCCGCTCTAGTCGTCCGCCTCTCAGTTTCTTGGTCTGCAAGTTCGCGTAGAGGGTCCAGTGCACTGAGCATCAACTCCAGACACACGAGTCGACACACGAGGAACAACACGCCCAGGGTGCCTTCTCCGCTGCCTATGCCAGCCTGCTTGGTCGACCATGATTCGTCCAGTTCCGGCGCTACGCGTCTAAGCCAGCCAATTGTTCGCATGGCACCTGCCAGCTTAATGCCTTGACTTTGGAGCGAGCTTATGAGGTTGGTGGTCATGGTCTTCATCTCCTGCTCAGCCTGAGCAGTGAGCGAGGAAACCAGTTCTGACTTGGGGTATAGCGTATGGAGGCGCTTGATGTGTGCGTGAAGATCGAGAGCCGAGGCATAGTTCGCATTGGCAGTAGCCGTAGATGACGAGGCTTGTGCGGCAGCTGTAGAGGAGCTGATAGCGGAGGAGAGGAGGGTTGGTAGGTCGAGCACATCGGATACGCGATCAATGTTTCGAGATAGCAGCATCGCTTTTCTCCGCCTGTCTAGTATCGCGTTATCTGCGCCTCTACTGTATTTCTCGGCGAAGTTCTGCGCAGCCGTCTCCAGGTGTGGCAGCTCTGCCTGGACTGTTGCTGCATCATGTCCTATCTGTGGAAGTGTCTTGCGGAGATGTAGTAGGTGATCGGTCGATGATATTATTGGTTTGTGGGAGCGTTTCGAGAGTACTTGAAGTGACCGTAGTATAGATTGCGAACTTTGTGAAAGCGACTGTTGCTCCGAGGATGTGAGGGCGGCTAGGGGCAGGGTCGTGAGGCGGGAGAGGTACGTGTTGGTAACGGCGTCGGTCGGGGAAGGCCGTAGCTGCGCGTCTTGGGCGTCGAAATAGGGGATTAGTAGTTCGTACAGAGGATCGGCCATTTTGACAAGTTTCACTCCTCCTATGACGCGTGCAGAAGTTGAATTGCTCGTCGAGGGTGGCCGTGGGGGTCTATCGGGCTGCGGGCGGAGGTGCCACGAGGCTGAACCCTGTCACTTTTAGCGTCCTTTGTACTTCACATGCGGCCTCTGCCGCAATCCAAGGACTCATGGATCGCGAAGATTCCCACGCAGACAACTCGAATTCCCCGGACGACGTCGCAAATAGATTCCCACAGCCGACCGTAGTTGAGCGCTTCCTCGCTGAACTGTTTCAAAATCGCTTCCTTACAGACGTTTCGACTACCGACGAAGCTTCACCGATTTCGCCGCAACCGCTACACTCGAATATTAATAATCTCGTACCCTTCTTCAGCGCCTCGAGTACTTTTCCGGTACCGCAAAACCTAGCACATACTTCCCAAGTATCAGAAGATACATCGCCGCATACTTTAACACGCCAAATGCAAAGCGCGCAGGATGTCGTCCTCTGCGTCGAGGATACCGTGGGGCTCAAGGACGACAAATACAGCGTGGGCATAATAGAGCGATCTTTTGGCGATGTCGACTCACACGAGCCCCGGCCACAGCGTGACTACCCCGACGACATCGAGCGCCATACCGACATCCCCCTCCAAGATTTCGCCAAGTTCATGAAGGACGGCATCCCACCGCGGGGTACAGTGCTAGTATCATGGCAGACACAGTACAAGACGGAATTGATACCGGAAGCGAAACTCCAATTGCTGGATCGTGCGCTGTACGTGGGCGATGTCGTGAAGAGGAAGGCGAAAGATCATATGAGCGGTACTGTCATTGGCACCCAGGCAGTCTGCACCCTCTTCCCGGCGACCCTGTTCAACGGCGGCCAAATCACACAAGCAACCACTGACGACTTATCGATACGGAACATCCCGGCCGATGAGCTTATTAACGTGCACGAATTCGTCGAGGGCGCTTTGGTCGTATATGGCGACTGGGTGGGGCGGGTGGAGAACGTATACGATGAGGTCGCCATTAGGCTGGCAAACAATTCCGTGGTGGTTGTCGAGGATCCGGCTGAGCTGGAGCAGGATGATACCACACTTGACCGACTTAGCGTAGGTGACACGGTCAAGACCAAGAAGGGCAACTTGCGGCGGGGACGCTGGCGATTTGGCGCCTATGATCCGAGCGTCCCACCTGTGGGCATGGTCGTCGAGACAAGAGCAACCGACATTGATGTACAGTGGCTGGCAAGGAGTATCGGTGCCCGCAACATCGCTTTCAACGCAGACGAACCGCCGGCAACACTTGGTCGAGACGAATTTGAAAGCCCTAGCTTCTATAGATATGATGCCTCAGGAGGTACCGCCACAACACTCCCAGTTTCCGAGAACGGTGTTGACAAATCATATCATGTCACTGACGTTGCTGTGGGCGACCGGGTGCGGTTCAAGGACATCGCCGGAGCTGCTGTCAAGTACGACGGCACGAATACACTACCAAATGGATATCCACAAGGAAAGGTGACGCGGATCGCGCGAACCGAAAGTCTAGGATACGATCTCAACGTCTTTTTAGTGATGCAGACTCATAGTCAGGTTACCGTACAATGGCAGGACTTGTCCATAACCCACGATCTTAGCTCTTCCTTACTACCAGATCCCAACGTGGAAGACGACGATGAGGTTTGGCCTGGTGAAGTCGTCTTCTCCAAGGAGGGACGTGAGGGTGACAACACCGAAAAGTCTGAGACAAAGAAGCCTTCGAAAGTAGGTGTGGTCCAGACTGTCAAGGGCCGCGACCGAATAGCCACTGTGCGATGGTTCAAAAATCCTTCCATCGAGTTCTTTGGTCCAGACCTACTTCCACCCTCCAAAACAGGAGAGCTGAACGATGCCGTTGAAGACGTCAGTCTGTATGACATCTACTCTTTCCCAGCCCTTACGCGAAGGCGCGGCGACTTTGTACTGGTACATCCGGACTCAATCGAAGGTGTACAAACACCGCTCAACGTTACAGGCCCCGACTGGTTTGGAGAGGTCATAGACCTGGGCTTGGACGGAAAACTCACTGTGCGCCTTGGCGCTGCAAAGCCTGTTGTAGATGTCAAGGTTCCGTACGAAAGCGTTACTCTCGCCTACAGCAGTGACATGGCCGATGATTTCGGTAACATGGACCCGCTTGAGGGCGAGTACATCGATGATTCTGAAGAAGAAGATGATGATTCTGATTTCGATTCGGCGTCATTTAATGAGATGTGGATCGAGTATGAGGGTATGGATGGGGAGCACCCTGTTGGAGACGAAGGTGACTGGTCGACGGAAGACGAAGATGACGACGAAGACGATGATGGTGATACTGACGCTTCAATGCCCGATCTTGTCGACATTACAGCAGAAGGTGTCGATACATCGAAGACCACTCCAGAAGACAAGTCACCGGAAAACAAAGAAGAGCAATCAACTGCGCAACCCGCCGAAGAAGATGATACAGCACCAACGGAACAAGATAGCACAGAGAATCCCGCAGATGGACCAGCTTCTTTCCTTATCCTCGAAGAATCACCGCCATCTTCCCACCATTATCTTTCCCAGTCGTCAGCTTCCTCATCAGCTTTTATGCGCCGGATAGCAAAGGAGCACAAAATACTCCGAAGCTCCCTCCCGCCAGGCATCTTTGTTCGCACATGGGAGTCTCGGCTTGATTTACTTCGCGTCCTTGTGATTGGTCCAAACGACACACCCTACGAGTACGCTCCTTTCGTTATTGACTTTCATCTCGGCTCATCGTACCCACAACAAGCACCAGAAGCCTTCTTTCACAGCTGGACCAATGGCAATGGACCTGTCAACCCGAATCTGTATGAGGACGGCAAGATTTGTCTAAGTCTACTGGGTACATGGCACACCGACGAGCGCAACGAGAGCTGGAGTCCTGCAAAGAGTACACTACTGCAAGTGTTGGTCTCCATCATGGGCCTCGTGCTAGTCAAGGAACCATACTACAATGAAGCCGGCTACGATGTTCATCGATCAGCACCGGAGACAAAGCTCAGTTCTGCCCTTTACACCGAACGAGCATACTTCCGCGCCCGTGCTTTCATACACCATGCACTCACCCACGAGGTTGCGCCATTCAAAGAAGAGCTGCAGTACCTCTATCGGAGCCAAGAAGATGGCGCACCAAAACTTCTTGACAAGGCCATAGAAGCCGCCAAGGACATCGTTGATCGAAGTGCTGATGGTAGTGAAGAGGGAGAGCGCGATGGCCTGCGGAAGATCAGTCTAGGTGCTCTTGTCATGTTGAAAAGACAGGTTGAGAAGCTAGAGGCTTTGAAGCAGTCTAGTACATGATCGGCTAAAAGAGAGGACTGCTCATCCCGATTTGCACAGCACGGCTAACGGTGGTATGGATTGATCTGACTTGGTATGTATAGCGGTTCGCACTTGGAGATTTTTAACTCCTTACCACCATAGCGAGATAACGAAGCAAAAGAAATCAAAAAAATACTTGAAGTGCCATCACACTGGCCTTCACCGTGACTGGAAATTTGGACTGAAGACCCGGACTGGCCTTCTCATCCTACTCTGTGATATCATGCCATAACTCTTTAGGTTCGTACTATAGTTCACTTCCGTTCGCTCTCATTCAACCATTTGTAAACCACCCTCGCATCCTTTCCTCGATATCTATCATCTTGCATCGCTTCACCAAACGCTTCTAACGTGGGCTTGTCCAGTATAGTACGCGCTCCAACCATCTCCGCAAGCTGGCTACCCATGCCTAGCACCTTTGCACAAAGCTCAATGCGAAACCCGCCTTCGTATCCACGTGAACTCGGTACATTAGCTTGTATCCCCGGTACTGGATTACTCTTGCTTGTGACCCAACATTGTCCGCCAGAGACGTTGATCACATCCGTAAGTAGAGCGACGTCCAAACCCATCTTCGAACCGATGTTCAGTGCCTCAGACGCCGCGAGCGATGTGATGGCACTAAGATAATTATTGATGACCTTGAATGCCGTGCCTGCTCCAATATCACCGCAGAGGAATATTGCATCAGGCTTGCCCATATGGCTGAGATACCCTTTTACGGTAGGGAAGATGTCCTTGTTGTTTGCACCAGCCATGAAAGCTAATGTGCCGTCCTGCGCACCCATCGGTCCACCTGAAACCGGCGCATCGACGAATGTCAACATCTTACTTGCGCTAGAGCTCTCCACTGACTTTGCGACTTCCAGGATAGTAGCAGTTTCGATGGTACCGCACTCCATGATCAGCTTCCCATCCCCGGCTTCTGGTAGTTTCTCCGCCCCAGCGACCACTCCCGTTTCCTTATCGAGATATACTTTCTTTACGGCATTCGAATCTGGGAGCATCGTTATGACGGTGTCTGCTTTTTGTACTGCATCGTATCCGCTTCTAACTATTTCTACTGGACCCTGGCCTGAGGTGTCTGACTGGAACTTTTCGAGGGCTGAGGCGGATACATCGCAGATTAGGAGAGTGTGAGAGGAGTCGAGCCCTTTACGAAGGTTGAGAGCCATGGGATATCCCATTACACCGAGGCCTGTAGACCATCAGCACGAGAGAAGATATGGAGGTAGCTTGGAAAGAACACACCAATGAAGGCTACGGTCTTGCTTGGTGAAGACATGGTACTGGGGAATTCGTTTTCTTTCAGTCTTTCGATGTTTGCGTCTGTTAGGTGCACTTGAGCTACAAGACTACCTTTTGCAAGCAGTATCTCAAGTCCGAATATACAGGCGTCAATGTGAATGACGTGCTAAGCAGCGCAATGTTTACTTCGGGATCACTGTTGCGACGAGCGCACCACCATCAATGCTCCCCGCATCCATCGTGCATCAACGATGTCTAACCCCAGACAATCTCCTCTAACTCGGAGTTCCCCTCGTACTAAACCATGCGATGTTCCCCCAAACCGAGCCCCGCATTTCACCCCGCGTTGGGGAACCACATGGCTTCTCCACCTCCGCAACGTTCACAGATCGGCAGTCCGGCTAATAGCATACGCCGCGCCACCGACGTCGATGTGCACCTCTGTCATGCCTTTTGGACTTGAGGCGTCCTGTGTGCAGAAGGAAACGATGGAACCATCAAAGTTGGAGAAGGAGCTAGCTAGGCATGAACGATGGACATGAGTAATGAGCGCAGGAGAGCGCATGGCGCACATGCGCGCCGGAAATAGACTGCACGGTTGATGATGCATAACACAAGAGGGCACTTGAGTCCAGATTGAACGAGGTTTTGGAACTCACTTCGTTGCTGTACATCCACTAGTACATCTTCGCTCTCCAACCTCTCTCCGTAATGGCGATACTAGACCACCAACGCTCGGTAGCCGACGAGAAGCATGAACAAGTGCAGCGCGAATACCTTGAGCAAGACGAAAGCCCGGAAACTATCGAGAATAAGAAAAAGGAGGATGCGCTGAGGCGAAAGCTGGATTGCTTTGTTGCACCAGTCATGATGATGTTGATGCTCATCAGCTATTTGGACCGTGGAAATATCGGGTTTGCTGCCACACAGGGTATGACGACCGATATCGGATTGAAGGGAAGCGAATTGAACGTAGGATGAGTCTTTGGCTAGACAAAAGCGACATGCGTCAAGACTGACAAGATCATAGACTGCTGTATCGGTATTCTACATCTTCTACATCCTCGCAGAAGTACGTTCTGCATTCGACTCCTTCAGCCCGGCATAACTGATTATATACAGTTTCCAACTTCGCTGCTCGTCAAACGGCTACAGTTCAACAGGGTTATCCCCACGATCACCTTCTGTTGGGGCGTTACATGTCTTTGCACGGGCTTTGTGCAAAACTTCGCCGGTCTAGTCACCACGCGCATCTTCCTAGGTTTCTTCGAAGGTTGCCTGTTTCCATCAATGACGTTGTTCTTGTGCAATTGGTACACTAGAGAAGAGTTGGGTATCCGAATCGCGTATCTCTTCATAGCATCAGCACTTTCGGGAGCCTTCGGTGGCCTCATCGCATTTGGCATTCTCTATATGAACGGAGTGGCTGGGTGGTCGGGATGGAGGTGGTAAGTCGTAGGTATCCTGACTTTAAAAAGCCTTTCCGACTAACGAATGATCCAGGCTGTATGTTATAGAGGGTATCATCACTGTGATATGGGCATTCTGTTGCATCTTCCTCGTCCCGAAATCCTTCGAGACTGCGTACTTCCTCAATGACGACGAGAAGACACTTATGCGCCAGCGCGCACATCGCACACAAGCATACTCTGACTCTGAGGGCTCTGGACACTATGGGAAAGATGATATCAAGGAAGCAGCGAAGGACATCAAAAGCTGGGTACATGGAGTAATTCAGATCGCGGTCGTGACCATTCTGTACGGGTTTGGCACGTTCTTGCCCATCATCATCAGGAATGGGTTCAATTTCTCTACGAAACAGGTAATCTTTAGTTGTCCGCGGGTTCAGACATAATACTAACACGACTAGGCGCAATATCTCGTCATTCCCGTCAACATCTGGGGAGCAATCGTCTACGCTATTGGCGCATACCTATCGGATCGCTACCAGACACGGTTTCTACCATTAATTCTGATGGCGCCTGTAGGCATTGCGGGTTATGCGATTTTACTTTCTCCCGTTAGTCCTTACGTCCAATACTTTGCCACCTACCTTATCGCGACTGCTTGTTTCCTTTGCACCGGCGGAAATATCACCTGGCTATCTGCAAACTGCGCACCCGATGGCAAACGCGCCGCATCTTTGGGTATCCTGCTCACCCTTACCAATATCGGTGGTGTGGTATCCGGCCAAATCTACCAAAGCCACGCAGCTCCGAAGTATACTCTAGGTCATGCGTGGAGTTTAGGTTGTTTGGCATTTGCTTGGTGCGGATGGTGGATTATCAGGGCGATATACAAGAGGAGAGAGAAGAGGAAGGATGTCAAACTTGCACATGGATATAATATGCCTGCTGGACAGCAATATACGGATCGCGAACCGGACTTTAGATACCAGATATAGCTAAACGACTTAATCAACTGCGGTAGGAAAATGCCGTTCCTTCAGACCTGCGAGATCGTGACATTCAACATAATGTTCTGCGATACGTGTTTCAGGTTTACTCTAAGAGCTTTCCAAAACTCCTGAACTGCTCAGAACCACACTGAGATACGCCAGAGGACTGGACGATGTTAGAAAAACTCAACGAGAAGTCGATGAATGAACAGTGTTGGAGAAAGACGTTGGCGCTTCTATTCGAGGGTGATGTGATGGTCACTGAGGTCGCTCTCAGCAAGTTCCTGGACAACTTCGCCGTTCATCACACCGTGTATGTAGCATTCGCCGATGAGCCTATGCCGGCCTTCTTTCGCTGGTGTGAGGAGAAAAGGGACGGTTGCTCCAAAAACGATGCAGCATACGTCGCCAACTTCAATCAGCTCACCTAACGGTGCTAATCCGATGCGTCCATGCTCTGTCAAAAACAATCCCGCATTGCGGATCTTTTTGAACAGGCTTCTAAAGGCAATTACCCTTCTCCTCTCATTCGAGGTCAACTCATCTAGAGATGACGTTCGAAACTCTTTCTCCATGTCTCAACCCCATCTTGGTAATGTTGGTCAGGAATATCATAAGCGCCTCTCTGTCGCGGAGAGCCCATGTATAACGTGCGTATAAAGTCACTCTGTCGCACCGAAAGCTCCAATTTGGTTGCATTGTGGAATACTTCATCCCATAAGGCATCGATACCGAATACACCTGATTCATGCGTCACTGAATTGAGAGATGTATAATTCGACTCCGTTAGGTAAACCTGTATCGCATCCGACCTCCATACGACTTTGTCAAATGGGCATCCATCGACAGTTAAAGTACCTTTGCCGGATCCAGTGACTGCAAGGAACTTCCTGGATGTACCAGCTCTATACCAGTACACTTCTTTCGCCATTCGCGCGCGATCTTTTCCGGCAACGTGCCACACAGGCACCCATGATGGACACACATCACCCGAGGGAGTATCTTCGCGGTAACGATGATGAACAGTCGAGAGGATTGACGGTCCTTCTACAGGATCATTCATCAGCGCGTAGGCGAGACGGACGTTAATATCATGTAACGACGATGTGTAATCTGCCTCCACCAGTGTACGGCCCTCGTTGTCTTTGGCGAGTGGACAACCTAAGAATGCGTAAACGTGATCTCTAGGATCAGTCGCTTCCAGATATCGGGATGCGTAGAGAATTGTCGAGAACTTCTTCTCGTTCAATCGAGTGGCGACGTAACTCAATCCAACGCGAGACTGCTGCCATGACCTTGGACGATGAGTATTGTATTGGAAGTAGAGGTTCACTTCGCTAGCCTTGCGATGTCGGCTTCTCCCGGCGATGCCCTGAATGGTAGTCCTGAAGTCAGGCTTTATCCAAAACCACACGCATATCTCTACTACGTCAGCAATGTCGATGCTGACCGAGCCCCAAAAGATTCGCCATTCCTCGGCTATGGCTGCTTCTTGAATATCCCATACTCTTGTTAACCAAGGAAATTTAAAGAGTCTTGCGACCCTTGACCATCTGTCTTTGTCTACGCAGATGGGATATGGTTTCGTAAAGTGTTCCATCCTGCTGACCTTATTACTTGCTTTCCTCAAAGAGTCCCCAAAATATGTATTGGCCTCGCAGATCAGAGCAAAAGTATCTTCGGCGACGTTTTGAACATCGCATCCAAGCCAAATGAGCACACACTTCGCATTGGCGTACACTTGGCCCATTCTCTTGACCTGATGTCCTTTCTCTTGATCGTTTTCCTGGTTGATACACAAAGCATCTGCCCATAGTAGTCGGGGCTCAGAAGGATGTCGAAAATTCCGAAGAGCATCCCCGAGGCTGACGGTAATCGACACCTGCAGTCCGTTACAATGCACGTCAACCGTGTCGTTGGCATCGCCCCAAACATATGATATCGCTTCGTATGAGCCCTTGGAACTTTCTATGTCCATAACCTCAAGGCTACACTCGATATCATACTCGGTATCGCCAGGGTGCAGTTTCAGCACGCGTATGAACTCGCCCGCTGGGAGTGGTTCGTAGATTGATTCGTTAGGTATGTTGTCGCATAGTCTCAATCGCTCTATTTTTGCAGATAGAGAAGATGATTCGATGCTACTTTCTGACATCGTTCGACAGTGTATGGAAAGATGCAGGTAGTTTGTAGAACTGTTGTGTCGATGGGGGCAAGTAAGTGGGGAAGGAAGGCTGAGACTGTATAAACAGGCAGCTGCGAAGCCATCCACATGCCGATTGGCGAAACGTCATAACCACATCTGGCCCCAACTCGTCCCGCGCGTTCGATGTAACTCAACAGGCGTTTACATAAAAATAACAAGTAGATATGATTAGAACCTCTAAAGAACACTCTGTGCCCCAGTAGTACCTAATGTCGTACAAAGGAAATATCCCAAAGCCGTGTATATGCCCAATCCAACCCCGAGACCAACCAGTCTCGTGGCATGAGATGCCCAACCTAATGAAAAGTGGTATGCTGTGGTATCTCCCATATGCGAACCAAACACCAAGAAACGCCATGTTACACCCCTTCCAATCGACGCAACGCCTGCCGAACATGCAAAGTGGTTGTTTATGGACAAGTCAGACTCCTCGCCCTCTTGCTGTCGCTCAGACCCAAGACTTCTCCTCTAATATGCTTGGGCACCCGAGCTTTAGCCCAGCACTGCATGGCTACTCTGCGCATGAGCTCTACCTCTTCATCCCGCAGTCTTAGTTGTCGCTTGGCGAGCTTGCTCTTCCTGAGCTTGACGCCCTTTTCCTGGACTGCTTGTCCTGATACGACGAATGGTACAGTGGGATGTGTCAAGCCGCGCTTTGAGGCGGGGCGTTCGGTGGTCGGCGACGAAACAAGGGATTCGAGGTTTACGCATTCGGCAATGAGGGCTTGGATTCCAGCTGAAAGCTGTGTCGCGCGAGAAAGTATGTATCCCCAGATCTCTGAGCCTTCCCAGAAAGGGTCGTTTATGACGGCGTGTTGGAGCGCGGGGAGGATGTGGGGGAGTGGTGGTAGGGTTCTGTCTTCGATGTGCTGGGGCGGCTCTTCCTGCGTCGGTGTCGCGATGTTTGCCGTGCTGAGTAGGCTTGCTGCAATGGTCAATCGGATGTGGCTGTCGGTGCTCAGAGTTGCAGTCACGACGCATGCTGGGCATCCTCGTGTGCGGCACCAGTCTGTTTCCTCGGTGATGAAGCACTGGAGGCCGATGAATGCGCTGCGGGATTCTCCTGAGAAGGCGAGTTCGAGATCAGAGGCGCGCTGTGTGCATAGTGCGGCGGAAGCTAGTGTTGATGCGCGGGAGAAGAGGGTTACGACGGGCATGATGAGGGCGTGGAGGATATCGCGGTGGAGCATGTATGTTTGTTTCGCCTGGGGAGAGCATTGCGTATGTGTTGCACAGAAGCTGCCATATCCATTAGTGTTTGCTCATGCAATTGGGGTTGAGACGCAGCTGGGGTGCATGTCCATGTGGAGGTGGAGATGGCGATACGAAGCGCGATAAGCTTCACGCGGTAAAGGGAACAACATACTTAGCATCTCCCGCCAAATGCCTCCTTAGCGCACAAAACGCCTTTGAAGTACCCAGCGCCTCTACATCCTCATGTGGGATCACAAAAGGGCTCTCCATCTCCGTGGCGTATCCGTAGTCCATCGTATCTCTCGGTCGGCGTGGCTATCTCGCTTCGCATCGGTATGCAGTCGGTCTATCTCGAGTCGACACGAACAAGCTTCTTTAACGATAAAGCTAAAAAGCAAACAAGAGGAGAAAGCAAAGCAAGCAAGATGCCAGGGAAAGAAGACTCGAGGTTATTATTCCCTGCAACGGACTCCGTTGCCTATTTCACCCCAAATGACGCGAACGAGCCTCCCTCATGCCCAGGAGTCTCCACCCGCTGCTGCTGCCAGGGTGGATCCCATTGTAGATCTAGACTTGCATATTGCGCACCCCCCTTTCCTTATCCGCCCACGCTTGTGCATTGCCCGTATCCCACGACAACCTTATGTAGCCAACTAGCAGGCGCCAGATGGCATCACCACCGGCCGGCAAAAACAGCGTTTCGGTTTCGGACAGAAAACGCGGCGTTGGCGTTGAGTCGCTGTAGCGCATCAACAACCGTTACTTTTCCCAGGGATTTCAGGGCCAGGGAAAGGGGTGGAGCTTCTCCGTTGCGTCTTCGTTAATTTGAGGGAGCCAAGTTGCTTATCTCATACCTACACGCGCGTACGTACGCTTCTCTCCTTTCCTCCTAAGCCAATTTGCGAGCATGATCTTCAATGATGCAAGCCAACCTACACCGACCCGACCGCACCGAGGCCGATCAAACCGGGCATCGCGATCGCACCAAAACGACGTCGTACAGTAGGTAAAGCAGTTCGCTAGCAAGGACGACCTTGCCTTTGCTGCTGCAAACCCCGCTGAAACACGTTTCGATAAAGATAGTTCCTACCTAAAGTGTCCGCGAGGGCACTAAAACTTCGTGACATCGTTAACTGCCGCACTATTGGAATCGCGTAGCGGCGCTTAAGACAACATCAGCTGAGCCATTTCTCAACTTGCAGAAGTCATGGCAGTGTTGGCTACACCTCAGAGTGAGGGGTAACAATCGTAAGACTGCGAATGAGCCAGTTGTGGGAGATATTGCGTATTTTATGAAATATGGATCCGAATTACGCGTATCACTTGCTGTACCGCGGCCGTAAACGTTTTCATCCGTCATCATAGCACACAATGTGGTACCATGGCAGAACCAAGCAAGCTGTGCCCCATGATACCGAAGACTGGTTGCGACAATCCTAGTCAAGTTCCCAATGACGCCACAATGATTGATTCAGCTGAAAGTAGCGGGTAGAAGTTTGCTGACGATAACGTTTACGCTACGGGCGGCGGGCGCTCCCGTGATCGACACTACAGCACGATACATTCCCAGTTTTCCTGCTTAGGATACACTATCGTTGCGCGAACTGCTCGCATCCTCGTTCCAATGACGTTGCCCAGCCAATATTGCTAACGACAGCCACATGTATATTTCCCCTTTTGTGTATGTCCCGGTACTTTAAGCGTATCTACCGCTACAGTGAATAACCCCTTGGTACGTGCAGGCGGAGACGCATCAGCTTACAATCCATTGGAATGGTTGCTAGTCAGGAACGACTGAAACGTGCAGTCGCGCTATCGATCCAAATCTCGTAGCGTAAGACGGAGAGCTGGCCCTTCGAAATCAGTGCCATATATAGTAGCATGACAGTTCCGCGTCGCTGTAAACTTTGCGTCTATTGAACTTGGCTACCAGCACACTTTGTGCAATGAATCAGGTTTCCGATTCGCGAAGTCGATTTACTCGTGGTATAAGCCTCTACCGCGATCTCGATAGTTATAGCTTCGATTAATTGTAAGGTGTGTTCGGGTCTATTATGCCGTCCGAACCTTCTCTATCTCGGCAAGGAGCCACGAACTGAAGATAATCGCATCATCGATGCCTCTTTCACCTGAACCAGAAAACTGAGCACGATCCATCGCTACTAAGGATGCGCCCTTGGGTACTGTCGGCAGCCTGCTTTCGCCCGAAGGGGTCCGTAAGAAGCATCGTAAGCTTCTCGGAAATCGGTCCCATCTCTTGCTTCGATACTGGTACTGGCGGGCTCAAAAGGCTCGGGTCGGGCTGAAGGATAGCAAAGATGCTGCTCTTCGACCTGCCGACCGTCCGACGATGAACGTCCTGCAAGTGATCATACAGCGGCCACAGGGTGTTTAGATACCGGGCCGCGACAGGTTCGCATGGCTTGCAGGGCTCAAGCATGTCCATGCACGATTTGGCGTACGCGAGATCTGCCTCGACGCCGTCAACCTGGCCATCCATGAGTTTGGTGGTTGCACTGAACAGGAGGCAGACGGCGGCCGAGAAGGACCAATATATGATAATCCAACAACGCTTAGTCAGTGTGCCGTCAAAGGAGATCAGTCCTAATATGCGAACGATATTTTGGGCCGCCATCGCACACTCCTGTCGATACATCTTGACGTCCTCAACAGATATGTTGTTCAGAGAAGACGTTGTGCCGTCGATAAGCTGGGCTTCAGCCGAGGCCACCAGCAGCTGACGATATAGCAAGACCAGCGCACCAAGATACATGATGTGTACCATGAAGACCGCGCGCCTCTGGAAGATTGTCAAGTCTTGAGCTTCGCTCGACAGAAGTGTGGGAATCTGTAACGCATGAGGAACCTCTTCGCGCCACTTCTCCAACTTCATGGTAAGCATGGTGATGTTTCCCTTAGTAGCCAGCTCAGGAGATGCTAATGTCTTTGCGACCTCCGCGGCGATCAAGTTGATCTTGCTAGTCTGCATGTGTATGAGCTCATCGATGGAGACTTGATCTGGACGGTATACAACGCAGGTGACCTGACTAAGTTAGTATCACCAACACTGATCCGTTTTCCTAGCGGCATACCTGAGTGTCATTTGCTGTTACTTCGGAGGGATAACCAAGCGTGTAGGAGAGCCAAGAATCCATAAAAACGAGGCTGCGGAAAACCTTCCTCCAGTTCTCGTCCAGAGGTAAGCGAGACGAAGTTTGCACGGTTGGACACTTCGAACGGGCGATCTGCAACCCTGCAGCTGTGGCTTGTTAGCTTGATGGCGCGGTTATCAACGGGAAGTGAACGTACCAATCAGATACTTGGCGCTCATGTGTTTCTCGAGTATTGAATAGAACGAAAGCGAAAGTAATAGTCGCATCGTACGGAAATAGTCTCGTCTCGCAGTTTGTTCATTGAAATGGATGGTGCCAGACGCATAGAGAAGTCGTCGCATCCGATCGGGAAAAGCATCGATATCGTAATGCGCGCCCATAGCAGCCACGGTAAAACACTCAGCAAGCGTCATGTCATCCACCTTCTCTTGAGGCCTGTAGATGCGGTCAAGTATCTCATTGACCTGTTCGTACGTCCACATGAAGAGAAGCGATCCGGTTCCTCGTACGAACGCGTACATGGACCGCCGAACACGGTCTTCAGGCGGAAGAAACCCTTGACTGAACTGCTGGAAGCCACCTCCGTTGAGTATCTCGCCCCGCAGGGCGACTAGCTCACTGAACGCCAGTGTCAAAGCATTATGACATGCTTCGGCTTCCGGCGCGGCCGATACATTGGAGGATTGGAGGGACAACGGACTGTCTGAAGAGCTTGGACTAGCACATGAATATTGTCTGGTGTTGTTAGAAGTGTCTGTTGTTGAGCGACTGTTCCCTGGTCGTTGTTTGCCGGAGATCGAGGTTGTTTGCTGCGTCCTGAACTCGTTCAAGTAGATTTGATACTTCCGCCAGTTATCCGTCTTCTTGTACTCGTCCATCTGGGCTTCGAACTCTTGCATAGCTCGAGCGGCATTGCTCTCCCATATCCGCTTTCTCTCTGCAGGGAGCTCTTGCCATCTTCGACCGACCTCTCGCGCTATATCCACAAAGGACAGTTGGCTGACCTCAGGGTCAGTGCGGAGCTGGTCAGCGAAGTTAACATCTGATGACATGTTAGATCAAATCCCGATGGTGTTTTCTTAAGAATGGCGTACAGGCTGTTTTTGGCTTTTTTGGCGCGTTTGAGTCTGCCCGAGGATGCCGCCTGTACCTCCTCTTCTCTCTCGGTGGAGGGGTAGTTGTCTGCCTCGTGAAGCTTTCCAAAGCGGAGGTCGATAAGGAGGTGGGTTCCGGTAAATTCAAATCTGGCTCCAGCGATAATGAGTGAGGGATCCCACGAAAGGTGGCTATCTCGCGCTGTAGTAATCTCCTGTGGCCAAGCTTGAACTCGAGCGTTGTGAGATCATCCTCTGTAATGTCTACCACACTCTCCCAGCTGTGGAACCCATTGTCGGATAGGACTTGAGCGTACTGGGTCAGCCCAATTCGCTCCAGAACTTCGGTCAAGCTTGGGATGGGAGAACTAGAAAGGGTAGGGATCGCCATGAGGGGGTGACGTCTGTGGTGAGAAGCGGATGGGCAATAGGAGAAATGGCATATATGAGGGTGGCCACACGGCATGGCCGGTGCCTTGACTATGGCCTCACAGGCGGGCAGAGGCTGAGAAGGACGTTATAGGGTAGCGCGCAGTCGTGGCCGGTGGTCTGGACCATGTAGATGAAAAGAAGGGTGTTCGAGGCTCTCACAGCCCCGACCCACTTTTGACACGCGCTAGTGGCAGCTGCCGGTTTCTGCCACAGGGCAGGAAATTCCATGGGAATTCAAGATGCCGCCACACAATGCGTCCATGGTATTTATATTCTTCCATGGCAGCACTGTTCATCATACCCCAAAGTCAGGTTCTGCAATCGCTCGATTTGTTTGCTACTACGATTGAGAGTTTTGCCCTTTTCCAATGCGGAATAACAGGGCATTTCCGTCAGCACCATGCTAAGTCCAGACCTCACAGCTCATGCAAACACAATCATCAGAATCATGTGGCCCACAAACTCATCGCCAGGACGCGCTGTCGCTCAATTTAGCTATCCGCGTCCAAGAGACAACATACGATGCTTTTGCACTATTCGTCAAGCGAACGCTACCCGAGGAGCTTAACGTTGACCGCCCATCGCACCACTCAAATGCCTGAAGCAGTTATGGAATTACTTTCCACCTCCCTCTTCCAGTCAGGAGCCATCATTTGCGCTGCACTGTCTCACGAGCGTGTAACAAACGAACGAACGACCGGGGGCCGCTGATCGAAAGCTGCTCGACGATCGTGTTCGTAGAAGCAAGGCCTAGACTGGTGTATCTCCGATGCAGCGGCGCAGCATCTCGCCAGCCTTCTAGCTCGTCCACTCGGCTTCCCGCTTCCTTTACATTTCTGCGCCACAACTCCGCGCGATATGTAGGGGATATGCCTTCCCGTGCATCGGCAAGCTTTCTCCACAGACTTTTGCTGATCGTAGATTTGCGTATCCTTGTCATTGGTAGATGGCATCTGCCCTCCATATACTGAAACGAACTGCCTGCTGCCGTCGTAGCACGTGCGCGCAGATCTGCTTATGATTCTGAAGCATGCAGCCATTTATAGTCAGGCTCGTGCCTGAATCACGCAACGATGCACGCTACACAAGTATTAGCATTCAGATCACATCGGCGGATGCAGTAACCGAAACTTGTACGCCCATCCTTGGCTGAATAGCAGGCTTTCCTGTGTAGGTAGAGTTAGCGCAACCATTTAAGCCTTTTGCAAACAACTGCAGATGGCCCATTGTAGACGATGCTCGACTAACGCATTCCTGTACGCATCGTATTCATCGAGTGGAGTTCATATTCGAATCTTATTTTAGACCCTACAGATACTTCTGCATCAATTCCTTCACTCGACTTAGATTTAACCCTTCGATCTTATTTCCGTTGCCTTCCATCGTCTCCGCCATACAGACCACGTTGTATATGGCCTCTTCAACCGCATCAGCACTCGCCTCGAATAAGGCATTGATAGTCTGATCATCGGTCATTTTCACTGGCACTTCTCTCGCTTTGTACGGATCGACAGATGCTTGCCCAGCCGTGACCGTCTGAACGTTCAGCTCGTTGGCTGTAGAGAAAGCGAGGAATACATCGCCCGAGGAGTTTGTACCATAACCGCCTACACGAGATAGTCCGACAGTCGCACGTTTGGCCAGTCGTTGCAGTTGTTGCGGGTGAAGCGGGGCGTCTGTGGCAAGAACTATGATGATAGACCCGTCTTTCTTGTCCTTCTCTTTCTTCACTTTGAACAGCAAGTTGGCTTGCGCTAGTAACTCTGGGTCGTCAGGGTTCTCTTCAATCTTGCGCTTCTGCTCTTCGTAGATGAGTCTCCCGACGGGCGCACCTCCAATCTTGAAATCCCACATCTTGCCGTAGTTTGCTTGGACAAGCGCAGCAACGGTATAGCTCTTGCCATCTTCACCAGGCACCACACGAGAGCTAGACCCTGTCCCTCCTTTGAAGTAGTGGCAGATCATGCCTGTGCCACCTCCCGTGTTGCCTTCTTTTACAGGCTCGCTGCTCGCCTTATCTATGCCATCTACGACGTGCTTCGGTGTCACGGCAAACTTGGACACATCGTGCAAGAAACCATCAAAGGTCTCTGCAACAACAGGCAGGAGGAACCAATCGACCTTGCCGTTTTTGTCGCAATTTTCGCGGATAGCATACTCGTAGATGCCGTTGTATGCTGAGCCAACGCCGAAGCTCCCCGTAATGATGATTGGAGAAAACAAGAGACCCATCTCCTCGATCAGGTGCGCCCCGGTCATCTCTCCAGAGCCATTGAAGCGAAATATACCCGCAAAACAAGCTTTGTGGAACCAGTCCTTACGTGGGACAATGGTTGTAACACCTGTATTGATGTCGTTCGGTGGTGCATTGGGGTAAGCAGGCGATGAATGGATGGACTCCGTGTGCACAAGCACACCAGGGACATCTGTCAAGCTGTTCTTCGGGCCAGGTTGGTAACGACCCAGATACAAAGTCGGCAATAGGTCCCGGATGCGCTGACGCGGAGTAGAGGATGCCGAGAGTGAAGACATGGCGGGCCGGTTCCTAATGATAGCAAAGAGCGATGATGTTTGTAGAGTCGTGATGAGAACTGGAAGAGAAACGTAGGGTTGCTGTGACAGCCTGAACGCCTTGGGATACTTATACCTCACCCTTGGCCATTTAGCCGTCTACTAGGTATTGAGTTCACAATCGGTAGAAATCCATCTGCGCGCCTTTTCTAGGCACCTATATGACACATCTCAAGGGCGCAAGGTGTATCTAGGAGGCTACATTTGGCAGGTACGAAGCGGTGTGGACCACCGTGCCGTCGGGGTTCGCGATTGCATCAATTGTACAATGGACTTATTCGCTCTGGAGAGGTGGTGGGTCATGTAGGTTGGCTACGAAAGAGTCATACACGACGATCCGCTCCTTCGTGCATGATTAGCGTAGTAGCTGCTTACTGAGCGTTCCCCGCCTCTTCATCTCCGACGGTTCCCATCAAACACCGATTACAGTCGAGATTGTAACAACTCTCACGAGCCAAGGATGATCGCAAACGAAAGATAAGGCAGACAATTGGGCTAATATACGCAATAACCGGCTGTTGCGCTCACAAATATCTCCGAACCCGTTCGCGACTCAGCTGCCAAGACTCATCGAACCTGTTCCCGCATAGCGCATCTTCAACACTACAAGCTTGACCATCTCTAGCCGGTTTGATCTCCGCAATATGCCATCTCGGGATTATCTGACGTAGTCGGTCCGCTCTCAGACACCCCCCACCCTTGCCATGGGGAAGAAAAAGTCCGAAGTTCTTTCTGGAGATTCTTACGCCCTAATCTTCACCATCGGTCAGCAAGATGCTCACACGATTCCTTGCGGTAGGACTTCTGAGCTTCGCTAGGCCTGCTCGAGCCAGCTATGGATTTTACGTCGGAAAAGGTCTGACACAAGATGGCAGCGTTATGCTAGGCGGGACCGGAGAGGAAGTGTCTTCACATTGGCTACAAATCTTCCCGGCCAAAGATCACGCCCCAAACGCGACAATCACCGTTGGAGTTACCGAAGCTGCATCTATGCCAGGCAAATTGATGAACATTTCTCAAGTGCCTCACACGTTCCGTTATCTTTCCATGGAATACTCCGACTTCGAAGGCTTCCCTCCTCCTCTGACGAACGGCGGTGTGAACGAGAAGGGCGTTGCTGTTAGGGACATCTGGGCTCAAAATCGAGACGACCTCATTGCCATGACGCCGAACCCTCAGACTGGATTGCAATACTCCGATTTAGCTCGCATCGTGATGGAACGAGCGAGCACAGCACGCGAAGGCGTAGAGCTCCTTGGCCAGATGATTGCAGAATACGGATACTCGGACTATGGTGGCAACTCGCATCTAATTGCAGACGCAAACGAAGGCTGGGTCGTATGGCAGATGTCGGGAGGTCAGAAACTTTGGGCAGCGGAACGTCTAGGCGAGAACGACGTACGTGTGCTTTACCCAGGGTACATTGAGGACTTCCCGGTCGATTTTGAAAACAGTTCAGACTACATGGGTAGTCCTAATATCGTGAGCTTCGCCGTCGAACAAGGCTGGTGGAACCCGAATGGCACCGAGCCTTTCAACATCTTCAACGCGTATGCCTACCAAGCGGAAGGATACACCGCTCGAGACGGAGGCGCCAAGTACATGTCCCAAGCCGCTCTTGAAAACGCTACCCGTGCGATGGCTCCTGTGACGGAGAAAGACCTTATCGAGCGTGTTCGCGATTACCGCATTTCAGACGACGAAGCCGGGTACGGTCAAGTTGTCTCCCTTCGTGCAGACATGGATCCGGATCTGATTCGCATCTGGGTCGCGCCAACCAGCTCCGTAACAGCACCATTTAACCCGTGGTGGCTGGGCGTGAAGAGCATTCCACCTGAGTACGGTCTGCACCGCTACTTGTACAAAGACGCTGCCTCGACCTTCCTGGACACAGACTACCAGCACCAAGAAGCCACGCAATTTGCTGGTCGCATCTTCAAGCAGGTATTGTACTACACTTGCTCGGACCCGGAAACGTACCTACCTATCGTTCAGAACATGTTACATGGGTTCGAAAATGCTTCATTTGCGGATATTGAGTGGGTGGAGCGTACTGCCAAGACAATGGTGGAGAATGGAATGCGAGACGATGCCCTTGAACTTCTGACTTTCTATTCGCATACTAGGGCGGAGAAGGCGCTGGCTCTTGGAAAGACCATGGTCGATGCGCTCGATTCGTATGTTAAGCTTATGGGCCAGTTCCGCATGCCGATCGGTGACCGCATTAACGATCCAGGACTGGGAGCTGAGACTGTAAACTGCTTGGTTGGCTGGGATCCTGACCAGCCAGCTGATCAACAGAGACCCTTGAAGAAGTTCAGACGTCAGGTTTGAGATCAACTTAAAGATAATAGGGCGTAAGATAGACTCTTTTCCGTAGTGAATTTCAGGCGAACATGGGTGATCATACTGCACATCCGCACTATTCATTACCGCTATGGGACATCTCACCTACATCTGCCCATCGACTGGTACAGGTACAACAAGCGCCTGCGGTGCTCTGACTTGCAGCTGCTGCAAGCACCATTCCTCCATCTTGCCAACGTCTTCGAACCCTTCTTGTACACAGTCACAAAGATCCTTATCCCACAATGCCTGTGCAGCCGGCCACAAACCCCTCAGACCACCTCTCATATAACTCAGATACACATGCAGACCCTGCAAAGTCTCCAACATCAGATAGCTACCTTCGATATCTTCCTCATTGAAGAAAAGCGTATGCGCTAATGTGTGAGCACGGCGCGTGCCCCAGTCCTTGTCATCCTCATACTTATCCGCAAGTGGCTTCAGGCGATCTTTAAAGCGCACAGCGATGTGATAAATGGCGTCTAGCCCGTTTTGGATGTCAGAGTAAGCTTTAGTCTTTTCGAGGATTTGGTCGAAGATTTCTAGGAGGTAGATGGAGCATTGTTCCAGCTCGCCTATCCAGCGCTCTATTCCACGGCGTCGTGGACCAACTTTGCCAATGTCCATTGGCTCAGCCTTCTTCTCTGCCTTTGCTTGAGCGGCAGACTGCTGCTCTTTGGCGTGGATTTTGACCTCGCCATCTGTCGACGGAAGTTTGATGATTCTGATTGCACCACCTTTGAACATGGGCTGTTTGCTGATCATATCCCATCTCGCAGTCGTCAGTTCATTAGCTGCTCGTGCCTTTCCATCCTCAGAATCGAAGTACCCGAAATGAAACGGAATAAAGGTCTGCCCTTTTTCGATGGCAGATACACGCACAGGAAGCTCGACTTTGCCTCGTCTTGACTCAACAAGTACTTCGTCTCCATCCTTCACACCAACAGCATCTGCATCCTCTTTCGAGATTTCGATATCGGGTGATGGGCAAGCATTCTGTAGCGGTGTACGTCCAGTCTTGGTCCGAGTGTGGAAGTGATAAACGCGACGACCAGTGGATAGTCGCAAAGGGTACTCTTCATCCGGCTCCTCTGGTGATGGTTTGTAATTGCAGCACTTCAGGATAGCTCTTCCAGCTGGATTGAGCTTGTTATAATCTTCTTTGGAAAAGTACGAGCCCGTTTCGAGATCGTGGCCGAAACTCTCACAGTCGTTGATGTTAGTGAAGAACTTGCCGTCAGAGAAGAGCCGTTCAGTGCCGAAAGGATTCTCCTCATTACATGGCCATTGAAGACCAGAACCACCCGTAAGCTTCTCATATGACATGCCACTATAGTCGCACGGTCTGCCTTTCGAAAGCTTCTTCCAGGCTTCGAAGACTTCCTCTGGCTCTGACCAGGGCATGAGATCGTTGCCATCTTTGTCCTTGAAGCCCATGCGTTTTCCATATTCGAGGAAGATTTTCATATCCGACCATGCCTCTCCAGGTGGCTCGACAGCTTTGTGTGAGATGTGTACAGTTCGATCGACATTGGTGAAGCATCCTGTCTTTTCACCCCATCCAGCAGCAGGTAAGACAACATCAGCTATGGCTGTTGTCTCCGTTGAGAAGAGGTCTTGAACGATGACAAAAAGGTCTTCCTTCGTCAGCAAGTCGCGCGCTACATTCGTGTTCGGAAGGCTGACGAGCGGGTTCGTTCCGGATATCCAGAGCATCTCGATGGTACCCTTAGAGATGAAGCTGAGAATGTTCTCCACATGAGTCGGTTCACTCCAATGAGGAACTTTGATGGGATCTATGTTCCATAGTCTGGCAAGGTCTTCCATATGCACAGGATTGAGATGGTTCCGGAAGCCTGGAAATTCGCCGTCGCAGCCTGCTTCACGGTTGTTTTGAGCTGTTGGCTGTCCATTCATCTGGAAAATGCCACAACCTGGCTTCCCGATCAAGCCACGAAGAAGGTTGATGTTGTTGATCTGGCATGCCGCCCCAGTCGCCTGGTGCGATTGATACACGCCCTGCAGAGCGGTGGAGAGCAGGGTTTTAGTCGTGCCAATGATCTCCGCAGCTTTCCTCAAATCTTGCGCGGGGACACCAGTAATCTCCTCGACAAGTTCTGGTGTGTACTTCTTCACTACTTTCTTGAGTGCATCCACACCGACAGTATGCTTCTCCACCCATTCGTAATCGACCCAGTCGTTCTCGAAGAGCAGATGCTCGATACCGTTGAATAGAGCCACATTCGTACTGATCTTTGGCTTCAGATGTACTGTCGCCATCTTTGCCGTCTCTGATAACCGTGGATCGATCACAATTATCTTGGGTGGCTTTGGCCCAGCCAAACGATCTAGAATGCGTGACCATAGTACAGTCTGAGTGGCTGCCATATTGTGGCCGCTCAGCATGATGCAGTCGGTATAGTCAATGTCGGTATACGACCCAGGTTGTCCATCGCTGCCAAAGCTCTCCCTCATGGAGGCTGCGGCAGTCGCGGTGCACAGACGCGTATTTCCGTCCCTTTGCTACATCAGTGATGCGTTTGTAAGAACGCTCAAGAGAACTTACATGTGCAGTGTGTTCAGACCCGCTTTGCCAACCATTGCCAAAACATAGTATTCTTCAAGGAACAGTTGACCGGATGTATAAAAGGCGATACCATGGCTAGTAAGCTTCTCAATGGTCTTCTTCGACTTCTCGACAATAAGGCTCATAGCCTCATCCCATGTTGCGCGCTCGAGCTTGCCGTTCCGTCGAATTTGGGGGTACGTTAGACGATCTTGATGGCCCGCCGCTTTCCATCCATGCAGACCTTTGGGACCAAGACGTCCTTTATTGACTCGATCGGTTGCTCTGCCTCTGACGCCCACAACCTTGCCATCTTTAACTCCTATGTCTAGTGCGCATCCATTGCTACACAGCACACAAGCACTCTGCACCCAGCTTTCCGGCTCTTCATCCTTGGCCTCATCCACTCGGATTGGCCATTCGTGTACATACGGCGTGCGAGGTCCCCAGATATCTTCGATGGAATTGCGCGATTGCACCTTGGGCGCATTTCCGATTTTGATTTTCGGCATGATGGTATCGGCCTATCAGTAATGGGTCGCAACCTTGGAAGGTCCTGCACCGCCCTCGCGGTCATGCCACGAGCCAAATAGACTTACGTCTAGGCGCGCACATCTTCGCGTGGCTTATTCTGACGTTATCGTTGTGTAACACCGCCTTGGCAATACCTAAGCTTCGCGCGAAGTTGTTCTACGGCAAGATTTCCGACTCGCGTCCGTATAGCCAGCCAATGACAATGACCCTGTTGTTAAGGATGCCGTAATCTCCGGCCTTTTTACAAAACTAATGTCTAGTGTAGCCAGAACCTCTGCGGGTCCAAAGTAAAAGGCAGTGAGACTATACTGCATAGGCGGATATGAAATGCTTGGGGCCGGGATCTGCGGTGTGACGGTGCTTCTTTTATTTGCTTATGACATGTGTTGTCGCAGCTATTAGTCGACAACCTAACACATCTATCATGGCTATCGAATACGAGAAAGCACTTGCGATACTCCAGAATGTCGCGAAAAAATGTTCCTATGGACGCGATAAATCTATTGAAACTTTGCCATTGCTGGAAGCCCTGGGTCGCGTTGCGGCAAAAGACCATGTCAGTCCCATCTCGACTCCACCCACAGATACATCGGCCATGGATGGATATGCCATATCTTCGGCGGCGACTATAGGGGCATCGGCTCAAAAGCCCGCAATATTCGTTATCAAAGGAACAATTGCAGCTGGCGACCAGCCCATCGAGCTTGCGAACGAGCTCGAAGATGGAGTTCTTCCGTGCGTGGAGATTATGACAGGCGCACAGTTCCCGCAAAGCACTTCCGACACGCCTTTCGATGCATGCGTCAAAATCGAAGATACTGTCTCACTTGGTCCAAGGACGACAGGCGCTGAAGTCAAGTCACACCGACAAATAGCGGTGACACGATCTTTACCGTTGCACGTAAACCGACGATTCGCAGGGAGCGACATGCAGCAAGGCGATGTCATACTTCGGGCTGGAACTGTAGTGTGTTCACGCTACATCATGGCTCTAGCATCTGTAGGTATCACCGAAGTCGCTACATGTCGTAGACTTCGAGTAGCTATATGGTCTACCGGCAACGAACTAAGCGAGGGATTGGACAGCTGTTGCAACAAATCGCAGATTTTCAATTCGAACGGCCCGTACCTGGTTGCAGCGATGCGGGAGCTTGGTGTTGACGCACACTACAAAGGCATATTGCGAGACGATCCCGATAAACTTCAAGCTGCGCTTGGCTCGCTACAAGAGAGGTCTTACGATCTGGTGATTACCACAGGTGCGGTCTCGAAGGGGAAATTCGATTTTATCGTGCCAGCTTTGGAAGAGCTACACGCTCAAGTGCATTTCCACGGTGTTGCTATCCGCCCCGGCCATCCCGTCCTTTTCGCAACCACGGATAGTGAATCGGGCCATGGGGTTCCTTTGTTCGGTCTTCCAGGCAACCCAATTGCAGCTGCGGCATGCTTCCGATTCCTCGTGGTGCCCTTCTTGAGGCACATGCTTGGCCGAACGACCGAAGTCCCTGAGCTCGCAAAGCTACATCAACGAAACGGGTCTCGGGATGCGTTGTTAGCCTCTCCATCGCACTTGGACTGCTTCCGGCATGGTACCTTACGAGCTGATAGCGACGGTAATAAGGTTGTAGAGCTAAGCGGGAACCAGAGCCCAGCTATTATATCGCAGTTTGCAGCTTCCAACTGTTGGGTACACATTCGAAAGGAACGTTCGGCGGAGTTGCGGGAGATTGTGGTTCTGTGTTATCCCCATCAGCCATTCTTGGAATGATGGTGCATACGTTCTTTAGCCTCTTCCCACTCTTGCTTGGTGTTCACGTTTGTGAGCCATATTTCTTGGCCAGGCGTGATGAGCTTGCTATCGAGTCGCTTCAAGGTGTAAGCTGGCCCTGAGCGACCACTGGCGACGTTCTCAACAAGGCTACGCAGAGCATCAGGACTCCAGATACCTAATAGGGGCTCGCTGAACCCTTCTGCGTTCTTGAAGCAGGTTGCTGGTGTTTCGTAGCTCGCGATAAGTTGGCGCACCGCGTCAGGTTCAATAAGAGGATAATCACATGCCAAGACTAGCCATGTCGCTGCAGGCTTATGGTGGTGGGCTGCAAGCAGGCCTGCAGCAGGACCAATGTCTTGCTCCGCGTCGTCCATTACGAGTTTCAGGGTAATTGAGGTAGAGGGGATAGTTCCTCGTGGTGGAAGAGAGACAGACCCGTCGCGTAGTGAGGAGTCGAGGTCTGACCGAGCGGCAATCGAGACATGTATGGTCCCGATGTTCGGTACTGCCTCGTGAAGAACGCGAACAAGTTGAGCGTAAAGCGGCCCACTCGGTAGCGAGAGCAGGTGCTTTGGGGAGCCCATACGCGAGGAATGTCCTCCAGCGAGGATTAGTACCTCGAGCGAATGCATACTTTTCCAAACGATGCAGCGCCTGCACAATGCCAAAAGAGTGTTTCGGGAGGTGAGGATGTCCCGTACTGATTCGCGCGCGTTGAGATGAGACCATGGCGGAACTTGGCTGACTAAGCCATGTGCGGATGAGCCTCGGCGTCTGATCCGCTTGAGCTCCAAGTGGCGCATCCTGGCCGCAAGCTGTCCTCCCCGCAACACCAATCACCAAAGTAACTCCACTTCACAAACTACCCGATATAGCCTATCTCAGCGCTACCGCAGTCGTTGCTCTTGTGCTAGAGACCAATCTATAGAAAGCAACACCGCCACCATGCCCGGCAAGATCATACCCGTGACATCGTCTTCGCATTTCTCCCAGCTCCTCTCGCAGTCCACGTACACTGTCGTCGACTTCTACGCCGACTGGTGCGGACCATGCAAGGCGATAGCGCCAGTCTTCCAGGGCTTGGCAGAGAAGGAGACCAAGCCAGGGAAGATGCAGTTTGTCAAGGTGGACGTGGATAGTCAACAGGAGGTTGCGAAGAAGTACGGCGTTAGCGCGTACGTATCCTCCGAGAGTGACGCATGCAGGAAGAACGACATTTATCGAATCTCAAGCTAACTTTGGTTTGCTACAGCATGCCGACCTTCCTCATTATAAAATCCTCATCCGTTATAGAGACCATCCGTGGCGCCAACCCGGCCGCCCTCACAGCCGCCGTTCGCAAAGCTGCCAACGATACATCTGGCCCGGGAGCCGCTGCCGCTGTATTCCAGACCAAAGGGCGTACGCTTGGCTCGGCTTCTGAACCTAGCCGACCGGTAGGCGAGAGCCCGTTCGCCAATCTACAAAGGATGCTGCTCGGCAACGGCGGACTGAGCGACTTAGTCGTGAGGTTTGCAGCGCTGTATTTTATTAGCTTGTTCGCGTTTGATTCGTACAAAGCTGCGGAAGAGAGTCCATTCAATGTTCGTGCGAGGCGGTAGATGAAGATTGGAGATAAGGAACGATAGGGCGTGGACCTGGACTCCCGGACAACTATCTATAGAGGCAGAGAGATCCATATTCCACCGATTATATGGCGTTTGGGAAAAGAACATGGCGTTCATGGTATACCACTTCGGGGCTCAGTGCTTTTGCAGCACACACATATTGCCTGCACCACCAGTACTGGGCAAGCTATCTAGCTTCCAGGTACTGTTAGCTAGGGCATCCTTTGCGCAAACTATCTTAGGGCCATATTTAGAGTTGTAAATTCTCTGGAAACATCTCCTATAACCCTAATGCTGTCCTCGCCGTTGCATATGAAATCATGCCTGATCCGCTGGGAGGGGTCCTAGCTCTTGCCATCAAGGTTTTGTCGAAGTCAATACTAGCACCCCCATTCTGTTCATAAATCCGGAAACAGCACTGCACCGTTAGATAGTAGCAGAGCAGTACGACTTGCGAAAGATATGTTGCAGCTACGAATCGAGAAGATTGACCTGCTTATACGACTGGCTGACTTGTAGAAAGAAAAAGGAGAAGTGGAGAGACAGAGAGACGACATAGAGCTTGAGAATGAAGACCTTATTGAACAGATGAGTTGCTGTTCCTATCGGGCTACAACTACCTGTCTACATACTCCAGGAACAAAGAATACCTCAACAAAGAGGAGTTGGCTGTTTTCAGAGCCTACATCTCAGCAGACCTACACACGCAATTGGATACGGATCGGGATGAGGAAGAGAAGGAAGGTCGGATACTATGAGGAGGTGTTCGAAATTCGATAGGAAAAAGTAAGTGCGCAGCCTATAATGACGGATTGTAGCAAAAAGGGTAAGATTGCTTTAAGAGCTATCCAATTTGACAGCAAGAGTACTGGGTGACATATGCCTTCATATCTTCCCTTTGAGGAGGCCACCGGGTCTACTCCTAGTCGGATGCACAGGCGTATCCCCTATATCCGCCATCTTTTCCTCCAGTAATTGCGTCATATGTCCTACTACTTCACTATACCTGGTGTCGGCGTACACGTTGAACAGCTCCAATGGGTCTTCCTGGCAATCGAACAACTCCCATTCCTTATGCTCGGCATCTGCTGGTCTCGCACCCTCAAGCCCAAAGTCCTCATTATACCAATAAATGAGCTTGAATCGCTGGTCCCTCACACCATAGTGCGCATATGCCGCATGTATCATGTCGTTGTGCATCCAGTACCGGTGATATGCGACTTGCTGCCAGTCCGGTGGTGTTTGACTTTGCCATAGTTTGCGGAAAGATACGCCTTGCATGTAGCTGGGTATGCGTAGTCCGGCAGCATCAAGAAATGTTGGTGCGAAGTCTACGTTGCAAATGATGTCGTCACACACGGATCCTGCTTTGATCTCCCTGGGCCAGCGTATCAGGAACGGCATCTGGAAGCTCTCTTCATACATGAAGCGCTTGTCGAACCAACCATGCTCGCCGAGGAAGAAACCTTGATCCGAGGTGTAGATCACGATAGTGTTTTCAGAGAGACCTTCGGCGTCTAGGTAGTCTAACATTCGGCCTGTGTTATCGTCGATGGATTGAATGGTGCGGAGGTAGCGTTGCATATAACGTTGGTATTTGAACTCGGCAAGCTCTGCGGGGGTCTTGAAAGTAAAGACGGTTCCATCATCTTTATCGATGAGGCGCATTCTAGTGACATCTTCTGGGTTGGGGATCTTGCGATCGTCTTGTGACAATGTCAGTGCACCAAATGGTAGAACCAGAATGGGTAGAGCTCACTCCACCAGTATGTATCGATCAATTTCTCGCCGATCTCGCTTCCGCCATCTGGTTGCACCAATCCCAGGTCATGATACGTGATGTCGTCTGCGATACGCATCTTCGCAATCTTAGCAGCCCTTGCTCTATTCTTGTAATCGTCTGTAAAAGTATCTGGTAGCCGAACTGGATCCTTGTAAAGATGCTTATGTTTGGGGTCGCACTCCCAACTACGATGCGGCGCCTTGTGATGGCACATGACGAAGAATGGTCTTGACTTGTCCCTGTTCTTGATGAAATCCAAGCTCTTCTCAGCAATGATATCCGTTGCATATCCTGGCACGCGCTTTGTGCCTGATGGTTCGATGAACATAGGATCGTAGTACTCGCCCTGCCCAGGTACGATGCTCCAGTAATCAAAGCCGGTTGGTTCATGCCCTTTACCTTCTCCAAGATGCCATTTTCCTACCATGGCTGTCTGATAGCCCCCAGCTTGCAAGCTCTTGGCTACGTTGGGAAGGCGCTCGTTGATCTCGGAGTTGAGTGTCATGACCAGATTGACGTGGTTGTGCGTTCCTGTCAAGATCGCAGCACGCGATGGCGTACAAATACTGTTCGTTACGTAACAGTGGTTGAATAGCATGCCTTCTTTTGCAATTCTGTCGAGGTTTGGGGTGTGGTTGATCCCAGCGCCGTAAGCGGAGATGGATTTTGATGCGTGGTCGTCTGCCATCATGAAGATGACGTTTGGGCGGTCTTGCGTGGCCATCTTCGGTCTGGTCTTGAGTAGGCTATTAGGGTGAGCACACCGTCGTATTTGTTTGCAGGATGGTCGAAATACTCTCAGTTACAATGGAAGAAGCAGAGGTGGAAGATGGGAGATGTCAGACTAGGACATTCCGCACATTTTAAGCGTGTGATCAGCCGTAACGCGGGCATGCTTAAGCCACAGCTAGCTCAAGGACGCCCGGGAAAGCATTCTACACTGTGTCACTGATAATGCAAACTGGTGGTAAAGCGCAAGGGGGCAGACCGGATGAGGAGACATGGGGTGTGGAGGTCTAAGTGGAGCTATCGCACGCTACGGCTATCGGTCTCGTCCGAAAACGGCAACCGACGCCTGTCGGTGGCTCAATCAGGCGAAAACTTGTCCGACAAGACTTCTACGCATACCACCAGACTCTGAGAAGGCGTCGCGACTCAGGTAGTATTGGATCTCGTCATTATGGCTAAGAGCACGACTTGTTCGACACTGAGAGGCGGCCAATCAAAGCTGTGAAACATCGACAACCATAGGTGGTTTGATGAAGTCTTGCATGGCATCTCCGCATCCTCAGATCTTACCGCAACTTATGTCACCTATAAGCCGATGATTATTCAGGGAATTTGCAAGCAATGGCTGTATATAAGGTTGAGTAGGAATGGTTTGTGCAGATATAGAGCAACATCAACCACTTTCGAGACCACATCTACCTCCCTCACAAACGAGGGCAGATTACATTGACAAAATTGGGAAGTATGGCACCAGCCACTTCGCAAGAGAACATGAATACCATTGCCACGATGGAAGTCGTCGAGCCAACTAAGGAAATGACAAGGTATGAGGACGAAGCTGCTCTGGGCACAGCGCAGGAGAAGAACATGTCCCTGAAGACTGCCTTCAAATATTACCGAAAAGCCGTGATATGGTCTATCACTATCTGTAAGCCAGCAGCGTCGCAATATTGTATTCGCTACTTATATTTACAACAGCCATGGCCACCATCATGGAGTCTTACGACATGCAGCTCATCAGCTCCTTCTACGCCTTTCCTCAATTCAACAAGAAGTACGGCCAGCAACTGCCAAATGGTACATGGCAGGTTGATGCAGATTGGCAACTGGGTCTGAGTCTAGCATCGCTGATCGGTCTCATCTTTGGCGTGTTTGCTAGTGGATACCTCGGTGATCGCTACGGACCCCGATATGTCATGATTGCAGCACATTGCCTCCTGACAGGATTCGTTGCTGTGATATTCACGGCGCAGAGCGTTGAGATACTTTTTGCAGGCGAGTTATTATGGTATGTGACGGCATCCACAAATGATGTGTTAGCAGTTCTGACAAGCGTAGTGCGTGCACTTGGGGCCTCTTCGCTGCAGCAACACCGACATACGCCGCCGAGATTGTCCCCATGGCACTGAGAGGATACCTCACCACATATGTTAATCTTTGCTGGGTGATCGGACGAATCCTTGCGACCGGTGTCCTACGGGGCATGCTACCGGTGCAGTCTGAATGGTCTTTCAGGGTTCCGTTCGCGCTCCAATGGATGTGGCCGCCGGCGCTAATCATAGCTACATGGTTATCACCAGAGAGTCCTTGGTGGCTCGTTCGTAAGGAGCGTATCGAGGAAGCAAGGAAGACGCTGAACCGCCTGGTCAGTGCCCCTACTGGGTTAGTCAACAATGATCATCGCCTTGCCATGATGCAACATACCATTGCGCTGGAGCGCGAATTAAATGTTGGTGGATCTTTTCTGGACTGCTTCAAGGGCACGAACCTGCGCAGAACAGAGATTGCGATGCTCTCTTGGGGCGGACAGATACTTCCCGGCTTTATCATCCAGGGTTATACGACCTATTTCTTCACGCTTGCCGGACTTGCCCCAAGCGACTCTTTCAACTTGACAATGGGTGTCTTCAGTATGGCTTTTGTTGGTACATGCGCGTCGTGGTTATTGCAGCCCCGGTTGGGTCGACGCACCATCTACATCGCAGGCTTGGCAATCATGTTACCAATCATGTGGATTGTTGCTTTTCTTGAGTTCGCGCCAAATGCCGGCAGTAATTCTAGCATCAAATGGGCACAATCTTCCGTCTTGATGATCTGGTTCTTCACCTACGGTAGGTGTAAGCATCCCATGTCAATACTCACAAGAGCTAATGTTATGTTAGGAACCACCATCGGCCCGATCCCTTATGCTATCGCTGCTGAGGTAGGTGCAGTACAGTTGCGCTACAAGACAATCGCTCTCGGTCGCAACATGTACTACTTCCTTTCCATCATCAACGTCATTATCTCGCCATATATGCTCAACCCAAGCAAATGGGATCTCAAGGGAAAGGCGGCGTTTCCCGCTGCCATCTTGAATATATGCTTGTTCGTCTGGGCATACTACAGGCTGCCAGAAACAAAGGGCATGACACCGGAGACGTTGGATCATCTGTTTCACGAGAAGGTCAGCGCTAGGAACTTCAAAGCAGAGGCGGCAAGGTTTCAATAGGCTATGATGGAGGGCAAAGTTGGTTTGACTCGGAAACACTTGTGTATATCAAAATGAAATAACGTTGAAACGGCAATATCAAGCGTCCACACGCGGTGTTTCAGGCAATAACCCGGGACCGTGTCGATCACATTCGTAATGTACCCGGAATTACCTAGGTATGTAACTATCATTGCATGTGTGATGCAACTCCTAGTTATAATAAGCCCAAGGGCAGAGTAGACTGTGTAGATTTATGTTCCTAACGTTCACGAAGCTGCTAGTTTTATCCTTAACGCTCTAACGCTGTTACGTATTTCTCAGGGTATTGGGGGGACTGGTGCCACTGGTACCATTTGGCAAGGACAACGCTGTACTCATGGCCATCGTTTCGAGGATATAGAAAGGTGATACATAAGAATGATTCGATACCCTTCAGTGGGTTCAGCCGTCGATTAGGTTGTAACGTGGATGGAAGTGAAGCGTGAGAGCTCCCGGGTCCGCTTCTGCTGTGATGTGACCAATCGGCGTCAACAGATACCGACAGCCGGGCGCTAGTACCTATCTCGGCTCCTACCCACTCTTCGCCATTTGCCCCCTGTATAAACATATTCACTACGACCCGGAATTCAGTGACCGATGAAGTCGGAAGTATGACCAATGTTCAGAACAGTTGTGTCGCTATCAGGTGGTGGTGATCACAATCTTCGGCAGCAATAACCTCACTCGATAACTTGACGATAAACTGATCGGAAGACCTGGTTCCACTTTTGTTTTGGTGACAAAGCACTGTCAAAATGGTAGCCTGCGCTCAGTGTAGGCAAAGAAAGGTAACAACTGCCAATCGTTCATACGGCAAACGCTCACCTCAGGTTATAGGTTCGATGTGAAGGTGGCCCAGTCAGTTGCGACGCATGCCAGCGACTGGGATTTCAGTGCTCCTTGGGTCTGACCCCGACCCCAATTGCCACTGTTGGGAATCCACCGATGGCACCGCGGAAGCGAGGTACGCGAGCATGTGACGCATGTCGTTCTCAGAGATCACGATGCTCGGGTGATACCCCTAGCTGTCTCCACTGTCGAGAGCTCAACATTAGATGCAACTATACACTTTCGGTTCGCCAGTACCGCGCCGGAGAACGTCTCAAAAGAAGGATGAGTTCTTTTGGAGAAACGCCCTATCAAATTGGGCAGGATGATGCGGGCCGGCCAACTCATAACACGCCGACGACCGGGAGTCAGGTTACGACGAGTCCAGATGCCTCTGCTACTGAAAAGCTTGACAAGTATACAAGTTCATTCAGCTGGAGTTATCGTAGCTAATAGACCCCAGAATTCTCGGATGCGATCGAGCTATCATCCGACAGCACATCGACGCCTATTATAACTACATCTACCCAGTTCCAATCTTTAGCTTCTTGCATCGGGCAGAGTTCTTGGCCCAATACGCCGCTGGCGTTGTACCACCAGCACTTCTTCTTGCTGTTTGCGGTGTATCGTCGCGCTTCTTGCCGTCCGCTAGAGAACGGACCGGCATGATCAAGTCATGGATCGAGCTTGCACAGACGATGGTTTTCCAGAGCGCAGGAAAGATAAACATCGCTAATGTTCAGGCGCTAATACTTCTTGAGCTATATTCCATGCATAACCACGAAAACGGCAAAAGCTTCCTTTATATATCTTTAGCCGTCAGGATGGCTTACTCACTCAAGCTGCATAAAGAAGATAGTCAGCTACCATTCTTTGAACAAGAATCTCGACGGAGACTTTTGTGGTGCATGTTTACTTTGGATAGACTCCATGCTGGTGGTGTCCCGGTAGGTCCATGTCCAAGATATCCATTCTCAGTGCAGCCCGCTTAGGCCTTCATTGTAGGGAGAGGCTGTTGTCATTTTCGCGATGTCTCTCACCTGATACTCAACTAGTGCTAATGTGCTAGCAGGAATACATTCTTCTACCCGCAAATTCCGTACACGTACAGCTCCCGTGTCCAGAACATTTTTTCCAGATCGACACAGCGGTCACGACACCACGCATCCATGAAACCCAAGCGGACAGCTCTAGGCTTACACCCGCAGCATTTCTGTTGCGTGTTTTCAACGCCCGTAACCATATACTGCAGTAAAGCTTTCCGACTGCGGCCCTGCTTTGAGACTTCGCTGACATCGCAGATACACGAAACGGCTTTTAGACGCTTCCCTCAGTCCAGAAACTTCTCTCTCACAGTTCCGAATACTTGAGGGAGAGCTAACGGAGATATATGAGTCCTTGCCCGCCGAACTTGTGTTCAGCACACGTGCCTATCAACTCCGGGCGTTTTCTCCAGAGCGCACAACATTCACTATCTTGCACCTTTACTTCCACCACTGTCATTGCGAACTCTATCGATTACTAAATCCAGGGTACCGCGAGGCCCTGCCAAAATCGGTTATATACTCCAGTTCACCCGAATTCGTTGCGTACGTGCAGTCAAAATGCCTGGAGCACGCAATCTCTATAGGCGAGATCGTTGCATCAACCTACGATCTCGTGGAGATCAGCCCTTATGTTAGCGATACATCTTGCTTCGTTATCCTATACCAGGCTTCGTGCGCTATACTCTACGCATGTCACCGTGACAGTCCTGCATATATCATGAAAGCCGATACTGCACGACGATACTTCGTCGCTTTCATCGCTACACTGCAAAGTCTACTCCAGTACTTTCCAAGGTATGCTATATATGTCAATGATATCCGGAACATGCTTCGTAGTATTGATGAGCCGAATATACCGCTCCCAGCTCAGAGAGCGTCCAACGAGGTGGACTTCCGCGCACGCGTAATACCGTCGAGTGAAGAGAATTCGGATGAGGACGATGTGGTCAACGTGACTGCGGACTCTACTCTTAGTACAAGAGATGACACCCTGCGCCCTGTGTCTCCAACCTCTGAGGTACCTGTCGGACCGCTGCCCGGATTCGTCGAAATGCCGCTCCATATATCACGGATTGTCGAAGGACAAGATCAATTCTTCGCTGATTTGAATACCCCGCAGTACAACATAGACCCTACAATGAATCTTGATCAGGGATTGTTGTGGGATTGGGCAGATGCTCTGGGATCAGGTTTCAACATCTGAGCCCAAATGGTGAAAGCTCATTATAAGCTGTAGCAGTACTCTAGGCATCCGTCAGCCACAGAACGACACATATTCATGCCATGGAATCGTCGCCTCCGCTCATCAAACACACGGGCGCAGCTTTCCCCAGCAGTTCCATGGCCTGAGTCTGCTCGCAGTCTGAATATCTTCGCACGGTATACACGCGACCTTACTTTCAGCTACCACAAGCTACGGCACCAACCGGGCTGCACTTCCATCAACCTCAACCTCAATTTCGGGACCAATAGTCGTTCCGATCACCATGCCAGAATATCTCGATTAATCTCACGAGGATGCGATAAACATAGTGCGTGATAAGGCCACTGTCAATAGGGTTGTAGCAATCCGCGATCATCTACATAGCCAGTTCTAGGATCGTATTAATGATCCGAATTCGGTAATGCCAGAGCAAGCAAGGATACGATTGGCTACCATGAACTTCGCTGGTTGCTTTGGCTTCTTCTTTTATCATCTAATACCGATTCGAAGATTGAGGAACACTCCTTGGTCTGACGCTCAACTGGGCTATCATGTCAACCAAGTCCTCGAGGATGCTGTCATAGCCACGGAGGAAGGCCAAGCTACATGGGAGTCATTCCAACTTTCGACGTCTAGACCCGGCCGTCTACCGCCACTAAGCACCACCGACAACTATTGTCTTCACAGACTTTCCGCTCCCGATATACCCGACACGCTCTTGACCCCTGTTGAAACTAAAACTCAATCGCGCTTAGCACACATGCTAGAGTTTTCCAGACACGATGGAGAGGACTGCCCATAAAATGAAGATGAGATCGAGAGCGGAGCTGATAGTGCAAGAGAACAGACGCATATACTCATGGAAGCCACCTCAAATGCCGAGACCACTGGCGATAGCCATGACGACGATATAGCATTGCTAGCTACCATCCCGCCTACTATGACTCAAAATGAGATTGGGGATGAATGGCACAGGAGCGATCTCCAACTGAGAGAAGATGTTCAGCTCGAAGATGTCGGCCTGCCGAGCAACGTCTTCAACGAGGCTACTACACTGTCCATGCCCGAAGACGAAGCCTTTTGCTGCTTGTGTCAAAGGGATTCTCAGGGAGAAGCAGACGCGCAAGAACTCCATTTCTGTGCTCGTCTTGAGAAATGCTCTTATGCATTCCACACGATGTGCCTGGATGATCTGGTCAACTCGGCACCGACTGGTCAAAACAACGTCTTGTGTCCGTTGTGCAAAGCCATCATTTGCAAGCGCAGAAGGGCGCAGCCGGTGATACACGAGGGGAGAGAGCAGCCTGAGGGTGAAGAGTATATGAAATCAGAGGAGGGGTATGTAGAAACGAACGAGGAAGATGAGCAATAGCAAGCACCACAATTCTCCTAGGTGCCCGACGATCTAGTAAGGCTATCTTATCTCGAGTCGTCTCACGGATCCGGAGAAGATCAATCCAAGTTATCAGAAGCTAGCTCGATACCAGTGTTAGATATATCCGTGTTTTGCAGTAGTACATATACTCTAATGATGGGCGAACACGTAGCCTGCGCATGTGATGAAGAGGGAAGGATCGACTGTAGCCCGGACCACAAATGTGCAATGACAAATTGCTTGATGAAAAGATTATTGATCGTCTATGCGCAAAGCTATTTAGCTATAGCACAGTCCGCATCAGTAACTATACGATGGTTTCGGCTTGTTGGACGAAGATGAGCTTGAGCTACTCGACGTGGGCCGGTCACCAACAGTCGCAGCCTTATCCTTTTTACTAAGAACGACGCGCTCACACCAGGAGCACCAGCTTCTCAGATCGCCTTTGACCTCGCGCTCCAGATATTGAATCGACTTGGTCTTCTCGTCTTCGTATAGCTTGACGCATTCGCCAACGCGCACCTGTTTCTTGTGTTTGACCTTCAGCACCCCGCCAATGCCTTCGATTTCCTGGGTGAGGTAGCAAGAACCCCTCCAACGTTCGGGTGACTCTGGAGTCTGCGATCTCTCGATAGTATCCAGGAGGTCTTGCTCGCAGGTCTCGTGCTCGACAATGCGTGCGCCCAGACATGCACTGTTTCGCCCGCACTCTACACCCTCGATGCCCTCGCCAAACCCGACGCCTAAGCCGCCTAGCATGCGACTGTACGTGGTACGGTAACTCCAACCACGGACATAGTTGGTGTCTGCATTTCGCAGATCTTTGCCACATGGCGCACAAAGCCAGACTACATTGTCGCAATTGCAAGGCGTGCGCTCAAAGGCTGGCGCAGTAAAAGCTCTCGGCTTATCGCCTTCAAAGAGTCTAGGGTGTGTGTCGGGGGACCCAGGTGGCGACGACGACGACATAGACGACGAGCGCTGCTTAGGTATAGCCATCAGCAGCGGGAGGGGCGCTTTGGCGCATGTTCGGCATAGTCGGCGATGACGGGCTCGTAGCGCGGGCGTGGGTGGTGGTTTCATTGTGCAGTTCTGTGAGAACTATCAGCTCCAGGCGTCTTCTGTTATATCTGGGGGGCATACCCGGCACACAATATCTCCACACCGTTGACAGTCACCAACCATATCGCGTGCACATTTCCCAACGCGGCCAGTAGTCAATCTGCTTTCCAAGACCGTACTGTGTCGTCCCTCTTGCTGTCCCGATCCGACCTTCTCACTGAGTTCGACATCTTCATTCTCGCAATGAAGTGTATGTTTGACCAGCTGGCTGCGATACTCGAGTAGATTGGCACGGAACTGCCTGCAAGTCCGTGAGAGATCATGCAGCGTATTGAGGTCGAGCTGAGCGGCGAGTTGGCTAACTATTCTGTGTGGTTAATGTGGTTAGCATACATCAAGGCGTGGAGTCAAGTCCATGCTGTGGCTAGATTTACGGGTAGCAGCTTAGTGCGGCGCTGAATCCATTGATATTCGGATTCGGCCTCTCGGCTCCTGCCATCACGTCCCCTTCTGCTGGCGCATCAAGAGAGTGATACAACGGCCTAACGTTAAACCGGCCAGAAGACGGGTGGGGGGTCTCTAATGAGGTCGGTTCATCGTCCTCCAGATCAACTAGAACCACCATCGTGGGTAGCTACAGAACGAGCGTGCAGCATCGAAGCCACACAAGGCTTGAATGTATAAAAATGAGAGTATTGATGGAGGGAGCGATGCCGGAGTCATGACGAACTGAAGACACGCGCCGTCGCGTTGGTGGGGCGCTTGGCGTCGCGCGGCTTTGCTTCCGTTCCATACGCGATTCCGTACGTGTCTTTTCCTCATCGTGACGCCAGCAACTGTGGTATCTCAGGATCCACAAATGCATCATCGTGAGTACCCTTCCATCAGGTCCATTCAGACCGAACGATTTGTTGGATTACGAAAGCGGCAGCAACGAATATCCCTACAAAGACAGTCAGAAGGGCCAAAATATCCTGAGAACCCTCTCCACGAACGCCCATCGCCATCTCCACTACGGCTTCCACTAAGGGGGCCGACGTTCATACCCTGATAGGCTGGAGTGCCATCGACACTCATCTGCAGAATCGAAAATCCCTCGGGCTTGCGGCCCATGCCTGGAGGGGACCATTAGGTCAGCGTCTCTCAAGCGAGAAGACGCAAGCACTTGCCAGATGACGTTCGATGGTATATGGAAGATCGCACCTCTCTTTGCCATTTCGTCAAGATTCACCCATCTCTGCAGCTCTGCAGCCGCCGTATAATATACCTAACTCGGCTTACAGCCTAAGCTTTGAAAATGACATTGGTGACATATTGATACCGCATCTAGTAGATTCCATATGTGCAACAGAAGAGCTACTACCACTTCAATTACATCAACGCCATCCAAACCCTCGACGATGGTACCCGGGCTGTCCCCGCAGCGGCATCCGCATACCCTCACGCCCAGTCACCGGATTCCGAAGCCCATTTGCACCAATTAAAAGATGTCGATACTGCTCAGGTGGAGGCAGAATTAGACAACCTTTCGGATTCACTAGACCGTACCAAATAGAACCCTGCCCTATTCCATATAACATCTTTTCTCGTATAGCATTCAATGCTCGAAGTGTATCAGGGTGCACAACTTGAGGGAGAACCACTGCCAATTCGGCTTTTGTGTTGACAAAATCTTTCCCTAGAATGTCGAAGCATCGGTGATAGCATTCGTTCCAGTCCAACTCCTGACCTTGGTGATCTAAGAATCGTGCACCGATGTACATCCCGATATCATGGCTCTCACTGTACGAGAATGCGTCGCCATGGCTCTCTGGTTGTGCGTATGGGCAGACTTGGATGGCTGTGAGTTTTCTGTTGTAGCCGGTGTAGTGGATTCGTGTTTGTCGTGGGTTGACTGGCTGTCATTGTAAATCGGGTGGCTGTTGCGCGTCTCCTTGTGGGATTTCGCAAGCACCTGGGACAATTGCATGGTGTTGATACATACTATCGAAGGTATAGTTAGACTGCTTGTGAGGATACATGATTTCGATTTTGTTAATGTATTAACAAATTGTGTTATGGTTGCTACTTAGTAATGAGAGTATCGAGACTGAAGGTTGAGCAGCCCACGGCAGGCTTTTATATTTAGGAACCTTTGATATGTCACCTGAGTATTACTGAAAGAGCACTCCCATTTTTTAACACGTACTGTACGATACTCTATTGACGTGTCCACTACTGAAGCGTTGACGGAGGGCAACTTTGAAGCCATAGGGGCTGAACATCGACCAAAGGCTACACATATCTCCATAAAGCTTGATTTGTGTATATCGAATTTCTTCCAATACTACCACTACCTAGGATAATCCTTCCCTGTCATCTCCAAGGGCTGCGCCATCTCCTTTGTCGGCTTAATATCCTTCAACTCCCTAACCTCCCACCCCCACCGATTCACCTCACTCCACCACTTGACATCCGCCTCAATCCAGACCTTCACCTTCGATGCCTTCGGCCCGTGCAACAGCTTCCACTTCCTCCGCAGTCTTTGGCAGGTATGATAGTCAAAAACTAGATGTATGACCCTTTGCTGGTCAGCAATCGTCGCAAAGTCCTATCCTAGATGGTCGAGTAGTGCGTGCATGGCATCCTCCCAGGATATCCGTGCATAGGGCGGATTGGAAGTTCCAGAGGTGAGAACGAAATAACCACGCAAATTATAGGTGAAGGTGTAGCGTGTAAACGCGTCGCTGTGGGAAGTGGGGTGGGGACAGCGACAGAGCGACATCGACGCGCCTGTTGCAGTATAACCTGTTAGATGAGGGGCTGGTCGATCCTGTGTTTGTGGAGGATGATCACATTGCGATACGCTTTGCACGAGATTTTCAGGTACGAGAGTTAGCTGAGGGTGCATATAAGTGAAGGGTGAACAGGAGGGCGGAGTCCTGTCAACGCCTTCCGAGGTCTGTCTCCTGCTTCCGTTGTTTCGTATACCGGGCAGATATACAGGCAAATATGCGCCATAGCCGTATCGATCACCTCTGTTATCACTGCATCCAGAGTTATACATGAGTGTGTGCTCTTTTTCGTATACAGTGAAGGTGGTTCGATGTAACAGATTGGCGTATAGAAAGATCGTAGGATGAAGTCGTTCAAAAGGGGGGTTAAATGCCCAAAGCTTCACACAACCATAGTGTTGATTGAGGAAAAGCACAACGAGTCTCAAGAGACGTCATGGCACGGAGAGCTTTCGTAAGTGGGCAACATGGCAAGAGAGAATGAATAATTCGTGCATTCTACACAGGCGTACATTTTTTAGGTTTACTACGAGTCGTGCTTCACAGTATGCCGATGTTGCTGTGACGGCTAAATTCTTCGTTGAAGAGGATGTCGTATGGGCGGAATCATGGGCATGATCGGACAACATTCATGTGATGCTTTATTACTCGGATATTCAGACGGCTTTGGTGAAATCTTGACACGCTAATCTTGGTGTTTTATAGTTGAAGTGCCTCTTGAACTAAGACGATCCGAAAGTGAATTCGGGAATTTCGATATCTGTAATCGTCCATGTCACACCACCATCGCTTGTGGACATCTCACCAGTGACACCCTGAGCTTTTCCCATGGTCTGGTCGTAGTTTGGGTCCGCCTTGTCCAGCGTGATCGTAGTATCGATCCACTTATGCGCCCCGACGGTACCGCAGTTCTCTTCAGCGCATTCGACAGCACTACCCCATCCCATAGCCTGACCATCGTCGGTTGACAGAGTGGACACTTGTCGGCCATTGACTGAGACAATCTGCGTATAGTTGCCAGTTGCGTCGTCGAACTTGTCTGTGATACATCATCAGCGACTGGAGAGCAGGATGGATGAGACCGTTGGTTACTTACAGTACATGGTGATCTTGTCCGCCTCTTGCGCCCTCTCGCCTTTCGCTTGGATCGGCATTTGAGTAGTCGCAGACGTGCTTAGAAGCGTGTAAGCGTAAATATCCCAGTCATTTGCGTTGACGTTGTCTGCAATCGATTGGATAAGGTCACCGTTCGAAGTCCCCATTCCAACCCATAGTGCGGTGTCGCCCGACGATCCAGTCGGGGCTTTCGGCAGTACGAGTGTCGAGTTGGCTTCGCGAATCCAAGATCCGGCTCCCACTGGGCCGGTGCTAAAAGCTGGTCCAAATGCTGCGTTCACGGAAGACGTGAGTGCAGCAGTGGCGAGGATGGAGAAAATGTGGCGTGAAGATGACATTTTGGTTGGTTATTTATAGTGAACGTTGGTGGTTTGTGGTGGAAGCGATTCACAGAGCAGTGGTGGTACTGAAGGTGAGGGAGCAGTCGCTTTTAATGCTATGTATATTGAATGTCTCATGGGTTGGACAAAGTCTAGTATATGTTGGAGGTGGAGTTCGTACAGGCCTGTCGTTCCTGTCATCTCGCATTCGCCGTACCCTCGAACATCGGTGCATTGCATCCGATGATATTTTGAGCCCTTCAACCCGTTCATCGAAACCAGATCTCGAAAGGTTCAGTAATCCTCCGATGCATTGTTAGGGCCATGTGTCTGTGGGGCTTCTACACGCACTCGCGCCTCGTCTCAGAGGTGGAAATACTCGCGTAAGCCCGCTCTGACCTTGTTGTCAATGTCTTGCGTTTCACAACTGGGACTTGCTGTTGGTCTGTGAAGTGGATCGGTTGTTTCAATTATAGGCGAACCCTGCGATACGTCATAGCCCTAAACACGCTCCGGGACCCTCGATGTGGCTGAAACCCATCATGTAGTTTATTGCGGCGTACTACCGTGACGCTTCCTGTAAGCAGTATGTTGACCCGTCATTACAGTCATCGTGTCGGAGTGGTGGTTACAATACTACCGCTTCAAATGCTTTCACGTCTCCTAAGCTTGACCAGTCAGTAGCGCTTCGGTTTGATATAGATGAGCATCGCAGCTCATGATTATCTTTTGTCGCGAGCCTGACGACTGAAGGGTCACACCACTGATTTCAACAAACAATTCCGTTTTGCGGAGCAACTGTCGATTATGCATGCTCAGCAAAGCAATGCAAGCGTCCGAAATCTTCTTCGTTACAGGATTCTAGATTCGAGGACCCCTAATTTTGCGCAGCTGAGTACTATGTTATTGAGTTGGCTCGTAGAAAGTTTCTCCCTACTCCGAACAAGGGCCGTTCCGACTCTCGAAGTATTCGTCTTCGCGAAATCGGGGCTCAAAGGTCGTGATGTCTTGAAGTCGCACGCCGCTTCAGCGTTGCCTGGGTAGAAGATACCTGGGTAGGTCTAGGTCCCAAAAACTAAATACCTGAGTAAATTTGTTACAGTGTTGTGGTGGGATGAAGTCGAAGTCATCTGCACAGTAGTTTTACGGCCTGGCAATGTGACAGCAATATTGGTTGAAAGCAGCAAACATGGTGCGGGGACACGATTACTAGCGTCTTGGCACATATTGGGAAGAATCCGATGCGTCATGATGGTTCCCATACATGGCATGGGCGCTCGTATGGAAACCACTGCATAAACACAGTTCTCTTCTGGCACCTGGCTATGTGAATTTCTGCATATTCAACGTTTCTTTTTCACTCTCCACGGCCTTGAGAAGGCGGCGGTGGACCAGCTTCGGCTCTCCGCGATGCTGACCGAATTGATGGTCAGCGATAATGACTGATGACGACGAAGCTATCGCAGTCATCTAGCGCCAAAAACATCAAAATAAAATCCCGTGTGAGGCCTGCGGTAAGGCACACTGCGTTGTGGCATTAGTCTCGCGAGTTGAGACCATTTTCATCTGTCGTGCAGGTGGGCGCCGAACGCTAAAGCAATGACCCCATACTGTCAGAAATCATAGGTAGCAAGCTGAACTAGGTGTGGTCCTCTATATAAATGCTGTGCGCCATGCAGCAGCACGAATTGTTAGGTTTCTGCATCCTCCATCAGCTTACAGCCGGCACCAAGCAGATCTCGCCTACCGCTTCCGTGAAAACCAGTCAGCAACAAAGAATAGCATCAGAGGAGTCCGCTATCAGAAAACAAAAACCTACAATTTCATAAACATCTGGATACCATGACGACGTTCCTTCTCCGCGATGTTCGCATTTTTACCGGCGAAGAGACCATCGACGAGGGGTATGTTCATGTACAGGATGGCAAGATCAAGTCCATTGGTCGGATGAGCGATGCGCCGCTTGATTCGGTAAAGACATACTCCAAACCAGGTCATACAGTTCTTCCAGGGTTGATCGACTGCCACATTCATGCTGACAGGGCCAATCCCGAAGCCCTGCCTCAAGCCATACGCTTTGGTGTGACCACCGTGTGCGAGATGCACAATGAGATTGAGAATGTACAAAAGCTGAAGAAGCAGACTCTGCAACCCGATACCGCTTCGTACAAGACAGCAGGCCAGGCCGCTACCATTGAGAACGGATGGCCCATACCTGTAATTACAGCTCACGACAAATCCCCTGAGACGGCAGCAGCAATCGCGGAATGGCCAAAACTGACAGATCGGGATAGCGTGGTGGAGTATCTAGAGTGGACTAAGAAAGAGATGCAACCAGATTACATCAAGCTCATGCATGAGAGCGGCACCATCATGGGTCAACATTTCAGCTATCCTTCATTCGAGCTGCAAAGTACGATCATTGCGGAAGCCAAAAAGCGAGGTTACTTGACTGTCGCGCACGCTATGTGCCTGCAAGATACGCTTGATGTACTCAATGCAGGTGTCGATGGCCTCACGCACACGTTCTGCGACCAGCCGCCGACCCAGGAACTTCTAGATGCGTACAAAAGAAACAACGCGTGGGTCAACCCAACGCTTGTCGCAATAGGTAGCCTGACAACGGAGGGGAAAGAGCTGCAGCACCAATTCGCACACGATCCCAGGGTAAAAGGATTGATCAATGAAGATGGGATAGGTAACATGTGCAAGTGTATGGGCTTTGCTGCTGAGGGAGGGAAAGTAGAATACGCATATGAGGGTGTGAAAAAATTGAGAGAAGCGGGCATCGACATCCTGTGGTAAGTGAAGTTCTTGAATTTCTGCCGTTAAATCGCTCACCAATTGCAGTGGAAGTGACTCCGCGGGTCCTGCAGTAGGAACAGCGTATGGTCTATCGATGCATCAAGAGTTACATATCTTCGTACATAAGGTGGGAATGACACCCGCGGAGGCTTTGCGCTCGGCCACAAGCTTGGTCGCAAAGCGCTTCCAATTTACGGATCGTGGTCGCATAGCGGAGGGGCTGAATGCAGACTTGCTACTGGTAGAAGGAAATCCGCTGGAAGACATCGATGCGACGCTAAACATTCGCGGTGTTTGGCGGGATGGCAGTCTCTGCAGCACGTATGTTGAGAAGCTGGGAACTGGTGTTGAGCCTCTTGTAAGCTGATTGCTCATACCAGAGATGTCAGCTTTAAAGGGGAGAAGCAGCACGTCACATTCTTACAAGCGAAGACGGAGTATTAGTGGCTGACGTCATCTATGTATCACGGTCTCCTGTACGTGTTTCGAATGGAAACTGAGGAGTTTTTCCCAACCTCACTCAACACAATGCCTTTGCTCAAGTACATGTCACTGCAAAATTGAAACCATTAGTAAGAATTCCAGCAGGTCCTGCGATATCATTGCTATTACTATAGACCTACGAAGAACGCATGCATGTACTGCAAGCAGCTCAGTTCTTTGTAAAGCACGGCCGTGCACCATACGTGTACAGGCTTAATTGTCCCCCAAGGAGCCCAATCTTGGTTCATGAATCAAGACTTGACCGTCTTCTCCACACTATTTACGACTTGATTCCATTCCGCTATGGTAAAGCGTGTCATAGCTATTCGTAGCAGTTGCTTAGCGTTCACCAAATTAGTGAGCTCTGCGCAAATGCTTCGAGAGAGTGCGGCATTTAATTCAGCCTCTAATAGTACGATCGAGGAGTATCAAGGCGGAATCCGTCTATAAACGACCACCCGCGTACTGAAGTGTAAAATCACTCTCAACAATCGAACATCAATATCAGCCAAGAAAATTCCGAGAGCGTACCATTTGTTGATACGCAAGTCTCGCTCGCCGGGTTGCATCTCAGAACGTGGAGAGAGGTGCTTGAGTCTTAGCTTAACATGGTGAATGTTGTCGTTAAGAAGCCTAGAACTCGATGTTCTCAGTCAGAAGCCCTTCTGTGATACGAGTATCTTGTTTTTTTTTCGATATCGTCAGAGTATAGGTCGGCTACCCAAGTGTGATTCCCAAAGATGAGTAGCAATAGTTCGTAACGGACCCGCGGAGATACGCGCATAAAATTTTTAATCCAGCGAGGGATTTACTTCTGGAGAACATCAACGCGTACGACACGCTTGATGATGGTGTCGCCAGGAGTGGTTTTCTGGATGATCAGGTCGCAAACGTCATTCTGAATCTCTCTGGACAAGTCGAGGAATTAAAGCGGTTGGCTGGTAAGCCCATCAGTCCGCTGGGCATATGAAGGGACCGTCGGGTTCAGGCTGGCCATTCTTTGGGTGGCAGGCAAATGCGAGATACTTTTATCCAGACTAGTTGAGCCACCGCTAGAAGGGCACTTACCTTCCACATTATTTGTATCCCAAGACTGCGAAAGCCGTAGCCGCACAGTCATATCTCGAAACTTCGCCTCGCGTGGATCTGGCACGCGAACTTGTATCGATCATGCGAGAAGCCACCATTATCTTGTCTGGTGACAGTGCTACCACCCTTCCTAAATGTATGTCGGACCTCATCACGAGGTTTGTCTCTCTGCAATCCACGCAATGTACGTTGGCTGGAGATGCGTGATAAGTCCCTGCCATTCCTCCACAGCAAAGCTAGTAACACTCTCTTCCGACTCGGATTCCGCCTTTATCAGCACCTGTAACCCAATGTCGATCCCTTCCTCCAACGCCTGCTCTAAAGTGTCGCTCTTGCTTCGACTGTGAAACCTATCGTTGCTTGAGGAAGCCCAAACTCCAGTAGTGACAGCAACAGTGTAGTGGCATTTGACCAGCTGTATATCAATAGTGATTTGCGCACACTGATTCGTAATGGACCGTGAGAAGGTGTCCTTCATTCGCAGCTTGACATGGCGGATGTTGTCGGACAATGGGTGTAATGCAGTGCTCGGGGTCAGGAGCCAAGTCTCCTCTGGCAGTATCTTGATCTGCCCTGGACGAGGAACTCCCAGACGGAGATCGGCAGTCTAGGTATATGATCAAAAGATTAGCGACAGTAGCTCGCATCGTACTCCTTTGCAGGTACGAAGGAAGTCGCGAATCGACCTTGGCAGCTGTGTAAAGATCCTTTTGATGCTTGTTGCGCGTCGTTTTTGTCTACGATCTTTTTGAGCCTTTCGCCCGAACCCGTCAATGATGTATCCGTAGATGGTGTTCCGTATTTCTGCTGGAAGATCGAAGAAACGAAATTATTCTACGCGTTGAACGAGTTTCCATTCGAGTGTGTGGAAACAAAAGTTGGCGATCATACGACTGAGAGATCGGTAGTGAGATTGACAGCAAAGGCCTATGAGGGCAGGTATCTGATAGGCAAGCCGTTGGAGGTGGCGGCGCTTTTTGAGCCCTAGATCGGATGTGAAGTTGTGTTCTATTGCAGATATGAGAGAGTTGCGAGAGAAGAAAATTGTGGTCTTAATAAACCAGCAGTCTCTTCCCTTGAAGTGTGCTATACAAGACTGGGCTGCGGAAGTCGTGCGGCGCAGCGTTCGTGTCCGCTGTACAGTGACAAAGCGACCTGCTGCCTAACGCCCCGCCTCCCATTGCGGAGATTGCGCATGCAAGAGGCAAGTCAGGAGAACTTGACTCTGTATGGCGGCTGAAAACTGGAAAATACATCACAGCTATATATAGATGTCACTCCGAAAGATATGCGGCGTGCTTAATACATAGGAAAGTTGATTACGAAGCGCGTTGGGACGTCGCGCTCCACGCGCCGGACGAAACCCCGTCTTTCATCCCGTGCCGTCCGCGGACGTCATTACTATCAACAGCCAGACGTTCTTATTACTATGTCAGAGTCAATCCTCGACATCAAGTTACTACCTTGAACAAAGTACAAAGATGTCGACATCTGTAAGCCCAGACTCTTGCTACTAAGCCCTGTGACTACTATGGCGATCCCCGCATTTGTACTAAGCTAGCCTTGACCGTGCCCGCTAACATTTCCAAGGGCGCCGCTCATGAATTTGCTGAGAAGGATGGTCAATTCCGTCGAAAACCGTCAGCATTTCGCAACTTCATCTCTTCTGATGCCAACTCGGAGTTCCCAGCAGAAAAGGATCGATATGCACTTTACATCCACATGGGTTGCCCCTGGGCACACCGCACGAACCTAGTGCGCAGCTTGAAGGGACTCGAAGAGATTGTTCAGTTGATCGTGTGGGATACTTCACTTGTTCATGAGAAGAAGGGCTGGGGTATGTCTGGGAAGCCTGGATTCGAAAAAGAGCCTCTCTATGGTTATATCAACTTAAGGCAGCTGTATGAGAAGGCCAACCCTAGGTACGAAGGTCGGTACCTCGTTCCGACGCTCTGGGACAAAAAGAAAGGTGAGCTTTGTGAATACAGACACAAGATCGGTATGCGCTGACGTACTGGCAGAAACAATCGTGAACAACGAATCCAGCGAGATCATCCGCATGTTCTATACTGAGTTCGATGCGCTCATACCGGAGTATCTCCGAGAGTCTAGTAAGGGCGACAAAGCTATCTTACCAGAGCACTTGCGTAAGGACATAGACGCCATGAACGAGTGGGTGTACGATACCATTAACAACGGCGTAAGCAAATGTCTCTGTACGAACTGCATGTGATACACATATTGACTTCATGCACGTAAATTAGGTATACAAGACTGGTTTCGCGCAAAGTCAGGAGGCATACGAAGAGCACGTGTACCCCGTTTTCGAATCTCTCGATCGCTTGGAGGAACACCTTCGTCAACCAGGTCACGGGCCGTATCTATTTGGCGACCACATTACCGAGGCAGACATCAGGTTGTATCCTACACTCATCAGATTCGATGTTGCATACTTCACGATCTTCAAATGCAATCTGAAGATGATCCGGTACGAATACCCTCGGCTCCATGATTGGCTGCGCAGGTTATACTGGGATGAGAGTGAAGCGACAAATTTTGGTGCTTTCAAGAAGACAGTTGACTTTCAAGCGGTAGGTACACACAGACGTGCGAGAGAGGTGCCTGTCGCTAACACACTTCTAGTACAAGGAGGGATACTCGAACGCTACTAAGACGAAGGTTGTACCTGCGGGACCGAAGCCGGAAATCATGCCTTTATAGGTGCAACTATTGCAGAGGACAAAAGAGTGGTTTCCGCGATGAAGGTGCGCTGTCTTGAGGCGGAGGCAAGAGCCCGAGGAGGGCCGGTGCTACTGGCGTTCTTACTACCTTTGGATTAGTCTCTGGGCAGCATGCTGTCTCTCGCCCGCCGTCCCTTCCGATAGTGTCTTTCACCCACCAAACGTACAGAATCGCATTGAGTAGTACCCTCGTGCAGTAGTTCTGCAAGGTAATCTGGTGGCTTCTTTACTCAACACAGTCAACGGGTGTAGGCCATTACAAATGTGCACAATGCTGTGCAATTTCACAGCAGTCATCACTCATCTCGGTACGCGAATGCTTACTAGCAATGCCGAAGCAGCGACCTGATGACAAAAGTGTTGCACATTTGCAATCCAATGAACTGTGCAAGAATGACCATAACAAAGGAAATGATTTATTAGAAAAGAGCATTTCAGAACCATGGCGATACCACGGCATATTCATCGGACCTCCGTCTACGCTCTAATATTCAGTACCCACTCCGATAAGCACTTGTCATTGCGATAATTACTTCATAAGATCATCTTACAGGTATCAGAAGTGGTATCGCTCCACACTCGAAATGCCTCACGCTATTATCGACGTCGTAGACATCACGCCTAACCTCCGTACACATCCCAAGTCGAAAACAAAGTCACGAAGTCGCGAATCGAAGTCCCTACCAGCCCAGCTAGAATACTACCTATCACTCTATGGAACCTCGCAACTGGCGCAAACCATCGATCGACAGCTAAGAGTGATGTTGAAGAATGTCCACACGCCAATTACCAAGGTTCTTTCGCTTGGTCTGGGTAGTCTTGTGGCTGCGAAAGGTCAATCGAGGAGGCTAAAGCAGCTCACTATTTTGTTGTTCGTTCGAGACATCCTGATGCAAATATGGGACATGCCGGTCCAAATTTACGCTCAAGATCCAACATTCACGCGGAAAGACGAGTCGTTCTTGGAAAGCTTGGGTATCCACATCCTTCGGACCCCATCCGGTTCAGAGCTTGGGGAGGCTTCTCTCATCCTTGATACTTCCACATTGGTTTACTCGCCGTTTCTAACTTTGGAAGCATATGAGCAGCTACTAAAAGACAACACAATGGTGCAGTATCTATTTGGCGACGACTTCGATGTCTTGTTACAAAAGTGGCCAAGACAGAGTGCTGAGCGAGCTGGGGTGGATCACGTAATGAAGAAAGGCTTGGGTGCATGTCGGAAAAGACCGGTTGTTGGTGAAGGCTTCTGGACGGAGGAAGATGGCACGTTTCCCATGGCCATGTATGAGAAGTTAGGACAGAAAAAAAAGAGAAGGCAGAGCGGAAACTTGTGAAGAGAAACTATTTGCAAAGAAACATGTCATTTTCACTCAGCCCAAGCCTTTATCAGATGGCAGATATCATCCCTTCCTCCGGGTACTGGGCCGAGCCTGCACCTTCGGCAACTCTGGCAATACCCGCGCCATTAGCAGCTGCCAATCATCAGTCTTAGAGGGCCTCAGTAATCCTCCAGTCTATTAATTCTTCTTCTCGTGCACGGAATTGGAAGCCAGACAAGATTTGCTCCTTCCAATAGTGGAATCATGTAGCTCGGTTGTCTTTGGCTCAGCCCTTGCAAATTCGGGTGCATCGCGGTCGTTCGTTTTCGACGCATCAGAGTGCTCGGCTACCAAATACCACATGGTGAGGGCAAGATGCTGAAGGGGAATCGCTGATAGCGCAAAATACCAGGAGGCTGATACAGAGAGTACGGCACTTTGAACTTTGTGTGTTCAGGTAGTCGTACACACCGAGATATATCGTTAAAAAGGCAGCGGAAATCAGGGGCAAGATCATAATAGGCGAAGAAGCGAATGACTTTTGGCATGCGGCTCGGGCACGGATCTTTAATCTAATTAAATATTGAATATCACAAGTTTGCATAAGGGAGTCTTATAATGTGTTCGACATCAGGAAAGAGGTAGTATAGCGCATCCCGGAATAGGAGATACGTCATACCGAGCCTCATCCACTAACCGGCGACGCATTTTGCAACAAACGTTCCGCCAAAGGCTACAATAAGGTCTTTGACTAGATGGAAATTCACAGCATGGCGCGTTAGATGTGTTAAGATTGTAAGAAAGATCACAATAAGAAGCACTACAAGGACTTCGTGCTGAGTGGTCGAACGATTCCAGAGAGGGAGAAGAAGCGCGAGTGCGAGGCGCAGCCGCAGCCGGTAAGCTGCGAACGCCATATCGTAGTGGAGTTGATGATGCGTGGGTCGGGTTATGTCCGGAATTATTCAGGTTGGGGTGGGACGTCTGCTGCAAAGACCTTCGACGGTTAGTGCTGTAAGATAGTGTTTCCAATAGCTACAAGGCGCCTGATGCGATCACGCGCCGACGCCCTTTCAATTCTCATCACGATTGTGTGTTCGGTAGCTGCCAACAGATCCGTGGTGTACTTTCACTCTCAATAAAGCATTTATAGGTCCACATCTCTTGCGTACGTTCAGTGCAGCTTGAGTGCATTGTTTTGCGAGCGGATATCATCGATACACGATCTTATCTGGTAATGGCTCAGCTGCCATCTCTATCCGCTGCGACTCTATCGCATCCGCTTCGACCGGCCCTGGCGCATCCTGATGTGTTTGCCCAAACACCACAGGTTGTGGCTTCCCGTAGTGCTGCCTTGTCTCCTGCGCAAAACCTGTATGTATATCTTCCGCGCCTTCTATCTTACTGTCCTGCCTTCTCACAACACCGTGTTCTCCGAATGCGACAGGGTCTCTGCCCACCCAGCCCAAGCTTCTCATCTTCTCCGTTTTCTCAATGACCTTCCTGCAGACATCCCGGTGCGCCTCTTCCATCTTGCCCTTTACGAAAGGCATCAGCCACCATGCGCAGCTGACTTCCACATCCTCTACTAACAGCCATTGCGCATCACCAACGCCCATGCCCTCACCCTCAACCTCACTACCCACTTCACCGTTTGCGACAACCCTGAACTCAGCCCTCACTATCACACCCGCCGCCGCATCAGCACGCGTCTTTATGCCCTGCCTTGTATCTTGGAAACAGCTGGGGAAAGTGATGTACTTTTTACCATACTGCCCGATACCCGGAAACAAAGTTATGCACTCGGTGACGTGGTATGTTGTGATGGGGTATTGGTCGGGCGGATACCAGTACGTGTCTTTGAGGGTCGAGGGGGCAGTGCTGGGCGCTTTCTCGTGACCACAGGTAAGGGCCTGGAGGGTGAGGGCTGTCTCGTGATCATGCAACGCGGCGATGACCCATGCGGGGGAGATATGAGCTGGGATTTGGTGCGCGACGTGTAGGTTGTGTTTTGCGCTCATCGTGAAAGCGCGTTACTCACGACGCAAAGCAGATGAGGCTTAGGGTACTGGGATTCGCGATTGTTGGACTTGGAAGGCTGTAGGTGTAGAATTGCTGGTGTTTTCGAGTCCGACTGCGAGATGGCGAAGGTAACGATTAACGACTACAATTACTATGTGTTATACTGTTCTGGGTATCAAGATTCTCATAAGATGTGGAAGAAAGAAAATAGAAAGGGGAAAATATGTAAACAGCGACGCTGCAGGACAAGCAGCTGATACATATTGCGTTGCTGACTGAGGCGCTACTATCTTCAGCAGCCAGCTGAAACAGAAACATGGATGTGACGCGACATGCAGGGTCCAGCGGTAAACGTCATTATCGTGCTGCGCTATTCCAAATATGGCAAAGATTTATGTTGGAGTATCTTGTTTTTTGGACGCGCGCAAGGACGAGCACCGGCAAAGGTTGCATATGTAAAAGATTGCATTGGAAGTCAACATCATGGTGAAGATGCTCAGGATAGTGGTGGAAATCCTACCTCAAGACGCTCTGCCCTAACAATACCTGGGTACACTTCCACGCCTCCGCCATCCCCAACTGCCTATATAGTATATCTAAACCCAGCTTGGCCCTCGTTCTCGTCCATGGGCTCACCATTCGCCCTCTGTCGGTCCACAGCTCTGTTTTTCTTCACAAAGTACGTACTAGTGCAGCACAGAACCAGCAGGATGTAAATTTGCAGACCGGTCGTTACCCAAAGGCCAGTGATGTACGTCGGCGCCTCCGCTTGCTTGAAAGTTGTTGATGCGAGTACACCGCCAATCGCACCAAAGCCAATCTGAAGAGCACTTCCGACGGACCGCTTACTTTGGCCTCGAATGTTGTTACTCTGGTACGCGAGGATAGCTGGGACGTTTCCCTGGCAGCCACATACGCCGAGAAATGAGCCAAAGTACCTCGCTCCGTTGTTTTCAGCATATGCAACGATCATAAGGCCAATGATAGCGAGGATCGATTGTGCAGCGATGACGGGTGCACGAACACGGTACTTGTCGCCTAGCCATGCGAAACCGAAAGCTGTAATCATCGCAAATAGACTGGGAGGTGCAGAAAGGGCGTTAGCCTGACCAGCGGAGTAACCCATGCCTAGGAGGATGACGGGGAGGAAGTAACTAAAGGCGTAGGCTGGCATAGTCGTCGACATGAATAGCGTGGCGTATGCCCACAGCTTCAGATCTTTCAAGTGTAGGATGAACTTGGCCCATGTCAGAGGATCCGCTATCGAGTCGCCCCGATCGTCTTCAATACGCTGCATGATAACAGCCGCCTCGGTGGAAGTGAGGAAACCTTTCTTTTCGGCTTTGTCGGGAAAGTCCAAGATGATAAACCAGGCTGTGATTGCGACAACACAGGTGATGATTCCCTCAATTATAAAGATCCATCTCCAACTAATTACACAATTAGATCTTTGTAATAGAATGTTGGGAGCGTATCATTTACCCTCGAATACCGGCGACGCCTTCCATTTGCATGAGACCGTATGCAAGAATGTTGGCGAGACCACCAATACCGACCGAGAAGAGATAGAAGCCACCTAATCTGCGGAGTTCGTAAGCCACTGCTACCACGAGTCTGGGTTGATCAGGGCTACGTACCGTTTCTGTGTCTCATACCTGCGATACCAGCAGGTGATGAGGTATACACATCCTGGGAAGAAACCCGCCTCAAATGCTCCAAGTAGTACACGGCAGATGGCGAGTGAGATCCAACTCTCAACGAAGCCTTGTCCAATCATGACAGCACCCCATGACACCGCAATAAATGCCAGCCAGTTGGCGCTTCCAACTTTGCGAAGAACGATGTTAGACGGCAGTTCGAGCAGGAAGTAGGTAGGGAAGAAAAGAACCAAGACGATGGTATATCGATCTCCGATCTGTAGGTTGAGGTCCGCTCCCATTCCAGCAACCCGTGCATTGGAAATCTGTCACTTGTTAGCGAGTTTCCCCTAGACGTCAAGAGTAGAGGAAGATCTGAACTCACATTTGTGCGATCTATGAGCGCGATGGAGTATAGCGCACCCAAAATGGGTAGAAGCCTCCAATCAACCTTGCGAATCAGCCTCTTCTCCTCGATTTGATCGTAAGCATAGTCTGCGACATTGCTGTCTGTAGCTGGTGGGCTGTATGCTTCCTTCTGAACCGCATTTTGTTTGTACTCGTCGTCGCTATTCATTGTGGGCAAAGAAGTACTGATTCAAAGCCTCCTCGAGAAGGATCAAAAAGAAAGGAGGAGATCGTCGCAGGGAGGCAGGCAGTTGTAGATCATTCTTACAACCATGCGTCCACTTATATCGATATGAGGATGAAAGCTACCGAGGCAAGTTCCGGAATCCAAGCAGGGCGCTGCTTTCCAAGATCTGGGGGTTTCGTGGCTGGGCATGCCGTGTGTTCCATCTGATCGATGACAGAGCTAACGTATATCGAGCATAATGATCCTTTCGTACGTCAAGTATGGGTTCATAGGGGTCGGATAGACGAGGATCAGGGTTCGGCGAGATCTATACCAAGCTATCAGAAGACCTGGACTTGCGAGAAAGAAGTCTTGGACAAGGAGGAACATCCTGGACAGGACATTGCTCCTTGTGCCAAATACCCCCGAAGTGCCAACGTCGCCAGACTTCGCGGAGTTGCTGTCATGCCAAGATGCCAATACCTGGATTTGTCCAATGATATTTGTAGACAAAGATGAGCGCAGACCTGGTATCCAATGAAGACACCGAGCAAGTTAGTGCGCAGCATATCTGGGCGTCCAACGGCGGGTTGGCCAAATTGCGGGGTTATTCTTGGGCCGGTCTTGAGGCTCTTAGCCATTTGGAGGGGCTTCCAAGTGCACGTTCGGGGTGCGTATTGTCGGCAGAACTATAAGATGACAGCTCTAGTGTTTTACATCGTGAAGGTAATGTCACAAGAGGGATTGCTGACAGCTGGTCAAGACGGAAGGCGCGTAACAAGATTTCGCTGATTGTCTTCGCCTGACCGTCTTCCAATGATTCAGCGACATTGAATGGCTGCATATGCCGCAAAATAGACTTATTGTCGATAGAGAGGACGCGGTTGGAGTTCGCGCAAGATGAGATGGGAGACGCGGAGGCTTAGCGCCACCGGCGTCTTGGCGTGGAAGCCCCGGATGCGAAGGGATGTGCTCTTGTCCGCACAATCTCCCCCGCCCTACCATTACTCACGGAACGTCGTCCATCGACATTGTGAAGCACCTCGTCTGTGATGTCCGTTGTGTAGTATTGAGCTGTCACGGCCTCTCACAACGCGTTTTGAGGCACTACAAGCTTGTTATGGGTGGTTTCTGCTTTGCACTATACACCTGTAGTACTCGAACACCTCAATGCTGATGGTCGAATAGACTTGAAGTAACACATCATTCTTCAATTTTGCTTCTTGTTTCCGTCAAACTGTCATATTGGGCGTCTCCAGCACACGGCAGCGTATCACTACGTAGTAGGGTTACCACGATCAGTACTCACGAACACGACTAGTACAGCAGCGAACCTAAGAACGTCAGTCAGCCGCCACTCCAATGTATCTATAACACGTACGCGGACGTCACAGCAAAAACCTCAGCTCGCTTAGCGTTAGCGAAGAACGTCAAACAGAAGCTCATCCCCACGTTGAAGGCTGCGATTGTTCAAAGCTTTGCTTTGAGTGACTCAAGCTGAATCAACACGAGAATTGGTGCAATGGGAAGCATCGCCGCAATCATGGAACTGATCCAAAGCGTGATCTTTGCCACAGTGGTATCATAGTAGATCTTATGACCAAGGTTGCGATCCCCTTTCGTGAAGAGACCCAGTCCGCACTTGAAGAGATATATTGCGCGTTCAGACACGACGCGAGAAAATTTGTCTTCTACATTGCGTGGATGGACTGCGATGATGTCTGGTGGATGATTGTCTGGGTCATCAGTCGTGCCCCACGTTTGCGCATCAACGCCATTCAGATGATCAGGGCCCATCTCTTTGCTCTCGAGAAAGCTTTGGATATCGTAGAGATCAAACCGATCTGGTGCTTTGAGCTTTTGAAGAATGGAAAGTTGGATAAGGGCCTCATCTGCTAGGGTTGTCATCCTGATGCACACGCTTGAACTTCATTTTACTCACTGTACTCATTCAGTTTCCTCTGCATTTCAGCTATCAATTTGATCTGGCCCGATTGCTTTCCATCTGCTTCCTCGAGCATACACTTGTAGTCTACTGCATAAACAGCTCGCTTGCCCTTTGTGCCGGCCTTGTCTTGCTTCTCGATCAAGTGCAGATCCTGCTCCAATATGCACAGTTCGGCTTGAAGGTATAGTATACGTCGCGCATTGAGACCATCAAATCGGCGATAAATTCCAGTCTCTGGCTTGAAAGAAATGCGCTCGGAAAGTCGAGGGTAGCCTATCGGATGTTGCTCCCACGCTCGTACAAGTGGCACGGTATTCTTTTGATCCTTGCCAGTGGCACGGAGTGCCTTCTCCAGCATTTTCGAAATATGTCTTCAAGGTATGGGGTTGATTCAAAGCGTTGGATCTGGTGGACATCCGGGGTCGCGATTGTTTATGATGAGGTTTTGACGCCCGCACAACAGGCTGACACAGTTACGCATGTACCACGCACTCGTCGTTCACCTAGTTTTAGCGCTACATCCGGCGGCTGTACGAGTATTTCAGGTTACACTACAGGCACGAACGTTTGCTGCATTGCTCTAATCCTAAGAAGCTTATACCACGTGGGCAACTCTCCCACGTGATGCTGGTAGTGAGCATAGTTACCATTGATCTGAAATGCGGGGAAAAAGATATCCGAAAAGCGGTACAATTATTCAACAGTTTATTCAACGTGGGCGTGCGTACCCAGGTATACTACATTTTTCAATTTGCCAGATCTCAGTAGCCTACAACGTATCGACAGCGTAGAGTACCACACACGCGTCGTGCACCGCACGTTTGCTCCCATTCATCATCAGTCAATACGATATATGTAAATGAGATAGGTCGAATGTAGGATAAGGGAGCACACCTCCACGTTGGGAGTTAATCATGGCCACGTCTTATGGATACCAGGTTTGTTCATCGAATCCACACAGGTGATCATAGGCAAGCAAGCATAGAGAAATATAAATTCCATCTTTGTAGCATATCTTTCTGGTTCACTTTCCGTTCGATAATTTATTTTACTATGCCAGCATCCGATCAACACGCTTCTACTCCCCAACGCACTCATTTTAAACGTCCTCGGCTAGCGCAAAGCCTCCTGGAAGGTGGGCGTGAGGGAGTTTCGAAGCGAGATGACGAGGATAACATCAAAAAAAGTGTATCGGAGGGTGCTGAGAAAAAAGCCAAAGACGAAGTGAGTAAGCTAGAATATGGCTGGGTATGCGGTCTCAAGGCCGGCTACCATTGTACTGAAGAAGACCCAAATGTCGGGCCACCGGAAAGAGTCGAGCAATGTAGCGGTCCAAAACGCAGCCTTGTCAGAACCGCATCATCTACAACGGTACGTATTTTCCCCTCAGGCCATGAACATCTCAAACAGCGGCTTCTGAAGGATATTAATATTGTCACCGGCAAGCACTATACTGCGTGGTTCCATATTGATTGCAGGACTTTCCGCGTGCCCATGGAATCTGGAAAGACCTGTTTGAAGTGCTGAACTATTGTAGAACCTGGAAACTACGCCTACATATGTGTGGCGAACCGAACAAGTGGAAAGGGTGGCGGGAAGGAACAGGTACACATGTCGCTCCTGGTCGAGTGAACAAAGGTTCTCCAGCACAACAAAGGGGAAAAGATACTGAGCTGCATGTAGGAACATTGGTGGGCTGTAACTCAACTCTCGCTGCATTACTGTCGGTTAAGCTTTCGCGTTGCTAGCGCCAATGTCTTGCTGGTATTTATGCATGTATGCTACAATAGCACCAACCTTAAGCAACGATCTGAAGATACCGTGAAATCTTGCTGACAAGTGTGTCATACTGAACGATTAGCCATGTCTACATTGACTTGCTTGTAGTCTACCCCATGTCTCACGTATGAGCTACCCCCAATAGAACTTCACCGCTTGCCAGTAAGGTGGATAGCCTAGTAATATAATCACTGCGCACAGATGCATGAGGTTAGCGCTCTATTGGGTGTAACTCCGACTTCCTGGGCCATCATGAAGAGCCTAGTCCCCAAAGACTACCCGAATAGCTGCGGACCTGCACGTTGAATTAGTTGTAGACCATTCGATTGAGGAACAAATCCTACGCTGTTGTGATTACGAACACTTCGATTCGTCTCGCATCCGTGAACCACAGTTGACAAGGCGATATGAGGCCATTGAATGCAACGATGGTGGCGAGGTGGCGAATAACAGACATAATGCTCACTGGCGTAATGATCGAGATAATCGGCATGATTGAAGCGATGAAGTTCGCTAAGCAGGAGGTAGATCTGGTGATGGTAGCTCGGTGATTATAAATAACGAAGTCATCCCTTTTCTCTCCCGGACACAGTCGCTTCAAGAAGTCTAGGAGCACAAGTACTTGTTCTCAAAGTTTATTTGAGAAGGAGTCAGTGTACTTTCGGGTACACAGCGCAAATATATCATCAATCGCTGTAGGATTCTGGCTCTACAACTAATCCCCAGGCGTGTTCATCTGGCTCCATTATAGGAATTTTATCTCCTCATTGCCCATCAAGTTCTCTTTGTTTTGAGATAGAACATTTTCGACATTTCGAGCCTGTGAATGGCTGCTTGGTAGCACAGCGGGTCGTCTATTGCCGCGTCAATTAACGAAGGAGTATAATCTGTGAGCGTCTTGCTGTGGCGGTTCAACTTCTCGCGAATCTTTCTGATAAGGTTGAATGGCACAAAATCTTCGTTTGGCGCCGAAGCAAACATCTTCAGCCAGTACCAATTGTGCGCATATCTATGCTTCTTACGCACACAACTTCTGCTATCTCTAACTTCCGCCATATTGAGTGTTTTTCCCAGATGAATGAGTTCTGCCTGAAGGCAAAGGAGATACCGCGTATTGAGGGCTCCGAAGGAACGGAAGATGGCCCTATTAGGCTGTGCACCCATAAAATAGGCAAGTTTGGGGGGGACCTTTGGCATAGCCTTAGAGCAGCTCAAATTTCGATGTATCTGGCAGTGCGATAGATGGAGAGATGTAGAAGATCGAATACTGCCCTTGCGGCATAAAGTAACCACCGCGCCAGTGCCTATCATATGTTGCGCCTGGTCTAAAGTACAACACTACCCATATTTCTTTAGGTCGAGTAAATCCGATTCTAGGCAGCTACAACAATACTGGCACCTCCGTCGCTGATCATGAGCCAATGCACGTAGAATGATGATCACGTCTGGGCCATCTGTAAGACACCCACTAACGTTGTCCTTCTCCTTCGCATATCGGTGGCGTCACGGGACGAGCTCGCTGCGACACAGCGGCAAGGCTCAGTTGCAGGTGAATGACATCAGAGGCTTAACAGTGAATGCTTTGAACCAATTCGGCATGAGTGGTGCGTTGGGATAGATTCTGAGATATTATCGGCTGTCACGATTGGGTTCGTATGCCGGCTGGCCGTACAAGAAAGTCTGAATTATCTATATAAATGCAACGACCATGTCAAATGACCTACTGTCCGTAACGTACTTTGTACTGGCTCATCCATTGGGAGCGAGAGAAGCATTGGTCCCCACCAAGATATAACCCTTTCAAAAGATCTCTTGATCATCGTACGCTCTCACACTTTCCAGCCGTTCTCTAACTTTCTTGGGATCCTTGCAGACATGCTTGCTATCCCAGCCATCACTACCTCCGTTATGATCGGGAAATGTCGTCTCTAGCCCTTCAAGAGCCATATCCGCGCTACACATGATAGCTTGGCGCATGTAGTCGAAGCAGTGAATCATGTGCCAGTGATGGTCTTCTTCGAGCTCGTGACCGGAGGTCATTCCAGAGTAGACTGCGACGACAGCGTAGAGGCAGTGGAGCTGGTGTGTCATCGATGTCGTGAAGACAGTGGCATTAGGCCAGACGATGGGGGTGGGGAGATCATGGTAGTTCTCTGGATCTGGGATGCTCTGGAAGCCCATGCCGACTGTAGTGAGTGTTAGTAGATATTTTGGGAAAGTCTGGTGTTAGGGCAGTTATACCAGGCAAGAGCTCGTTCCATGCCCGAAGTACTTCTGGCTTGAAGAACTCCGATGTATTGTAGGGTGCAAATGTCTGATTTATCTCGAACTTGGTGATCTGCGTAGGGACTGCACATTGGTTAGTCAATGTACCAAGTTGGATAGAACAGCAAGGCGTACTGTGTGGTGACCATCCAGTGATATCCCCACCGACATCGTTCGCGCTTGTCGAACGAGCCTTCCATCGTGTTGAATCGAGCATGCCCTGGTCTCTAGCCAACAGCCCGATGATCACGAGTTGTAGTCCTATCACTAAGACCCATCGCATCGCTGCCACCAGCGGCGGGCACATTATCCTTCTTTTTGACGGTGGTGCTCTGCTGTGATATTCGCCAGCTGCCCATTGCTTCTCTCCCCCAACCAAAGATTCGACCTCAGTTGATGAGTCGTCATCATGGTGATGGTCCTGCGAACGTACGTCTGCGTAGTGGTGTTGTGGCTCCATCATGTCGATCGGTGAATTAGTGACGCCAGGTCAGTTGTTGAATTGAATCTTAGAAACGAAAGTGAACGCAGCTGAGGAGCCAAAGGCAGCGGCGGCCTCCGTACAGATGTACTCGTATGTCAAACATGCTGGCCCACACCGAAACGTTGAGCCTGTCGCTCCTAGTCGGGGCTGTCATTGCCACTCATAGTAGACGCCGGCGACAGCTCGATGGGTAGTTCTAAGCGTGAGTTGAGGATGATGAAACGAGTTCCTGTATAGGCGATACGTAGGCTATGCCAAGTTTCGTTAGCCTGCCGAGATGAAACCGAGGATGAATCGCCAAGAGTATGAAGCTATCTCGTCCTCCGCCTGAAGCGAGGATAGCGTGAAACCCAATCCAAACATCGAGCATGAATGTTTGTATGCCATCAATTGCAATTAATGTTGGTCCTATTATTCTTTGGGCGTACTGCCGGCGTTCCCTCCCATGATCTCTACCAAGTAAAGAGACGTGGTAATGATTATTGACAGCAATACTGGGGTCGATACATGTGAGAGAGAGATGAATTGTTTGTGCTGTTAGGAGACACAGAGGAAATGTATGGAGGGCGTTATAGGGAGACGTCCCGTAAGCTGAGATAGCTGCAAGAGCTAGGGAACAAGAGAGAATGTTGCGAGGTGTAAATGAGTTGATCGGAGGAAGAAAGCATAGTTTGTAATATTGGAATTCGAGGTAGTCCATTGTGGGTGTGTGGTGGAATTTGCCAAACCCGAATTACCACATATGCAAAGCGAACCAGACGATGCGTGGACTAGGCCAGAAAGTCTATCAGATTCCGGACGCACGGTATGACAGCTGTAGCCATGTGATGTCTTGTAGGACTTCACAGCAAGTGTCTACGAGCGTCTTCATCGATTCTGCAGCGCTAGTAGCTGATCTGGGTAAAACCAGCAACACAACATATGTGCAGTGTCGCACCTGCCTGCGCGCACCCGTTACATTCTCTGACTGGTTCCACAGGCTTATGAACTGGACTGGTAAGTGTAGAAACATGTGATCTAGGCTTACAACGCAGAACTTGGGCGAAGTCCGGGAAGGAGTAACCCATCGCATTCGAATGTTGGCACGCAAACCACGTAGCTCAATGGCCGTAGTAACATAAGACGGACCAGACTGTGGCAACATACATGTAAATCATGAATATGACTTGCTGTTGCGCAGGTCGAGATCAACTTTGTCGAGTGGGCGGTGGTGTTGAAAATCGCGAATTCGTAACGACTCGCTGTCCCTGAGAAGCACGGCGACTCAGCGCTTGACACACAAGTCGCTCCTGATGACCCATTTCTCACCGCTGGTGACCTCACGCCCTTCGTGCAGCATGCAATCTGCGCCATGTCGATGCAGCAACGCAAGGCCAACTTCGAGATGGACAACGAAAGGCTCAGGTGGTGGATCCCTACTCTTCTTTTTAGGCGGGTCTGGATAAAACACCGTCTCTCCGCCGATACAGCCCGTGGCTGGAGAGGTCAGGTATATCAATAAGGTCCAGGTGGTGCGCGTTGGCACCAGCGGCGAACCGGAGGGCTGAAGGGTTACATTATTGGAATCGTCATCTGGCTCTGTTAGCATTTGGTTCATGACTGCCCGATGGCTTCCAACGGATCACCGAGTAGTGGTGACGTACAGTGCTGGTCGAAGAACTGGCCCTTGGAGTAGCGATATATGCGAATGTTTGGGTTTAACCCGACGACCTCGCCGCCCCACAGCTCCTTCCGCTGTTCTGCACTAAGACCGAGCGCCCCTTCCTCAGCATCATCACTGACCAACTTCCTTAGTCCGGTCTGGTTCCACAATCGTTCAGCGAATGCGGAGTCGTCAATTTGATAGCGGTCGTTCACTCGCACCGCATCACCCTTCTTGGGCTTTCCGGGCGTTGTCGTCAGTGGTAACGATGACAGGAAGGAGACGTACGTCTTGCATAGCGACGCTGTGAAGAAGTTGGGAATAGTGACGATCTGCTTCGGAAGCACTTCCTGCAGGGCAAGGTCCTCTTCTGGTACGAGAGGAGTGAAGGCAGGCCAGTTGGGAGGCTGTCTCACTGGTTCAGATGATGTCGCCAGCCTGGCAGATGCACCTTGCTGTGCCTTCTTCTTAGGCGCCATGATAATTGCGCTTACTGATGACTAGGAGGTAGCCCAGACGCTTTGATTCTGTGGTGCTGCTATTGGTTTGGAGATTGCGCTGCTGAGTGAAAAGTTTGGTGGTTGGCTCCTTCCCTACCAAAGAACGGCCAAGGGTGCCAAAGAGCGCGTTCACTTTTGAGGTTTTGCTTTGAAGTTCCTGTATCTTCCTTGACAAGGCGTCCTCGTTCCTTTCTGCACTCCTTTCACGCCTCGATACCGCCTGGGCCGTTACCTTTGTCGCGTGCTCTTGCTGCGATCAGAACCAATGTACCAACGATGACTCCAACAGGTAAAAGCTTTGTGGGCGATACGCCTCTATGGCCGCTCAGATCTGGAGATGCCTTGAATGAGAAATCGATGTATATCTCCCACGCATCAAGTTCGTCTTCCTCATCGGCGCCGTCGGACCTTGATGCGGAGATGGGCGGCCAAGACCCACGTGCAGCAGGATTAGGCCCGGCGCAAGCCTCTCATGGGCAGCCTCGACCGACATCCTCCGAAGACACCAACCTGCTGCGACAGCACGACGAAGGCTCTTTGCTACTGGGAAACATCCTAGACAAGAGCTATTCCGCCCTCTTCGAGCTTCAATTATCTCGTATGTGTTGCGCGACACCGCGACGCGGTTTGCTGAGGGAAAAACAAGCGCGCCGCTAACCACCTGCAGAGGACGGCATCCTCGACCACTATTCCCTGGGCTTTGACTTCCCTTCCACTCTCAACTACGCATTTCCCAACGAAGATGGCGGCGGCAGTATGGCCGTAGCCCCTTCCAACGAGCTTTTACACCATGTCACCCCCCAACATGACATCCCCGACGCCCTTCTCTCGCCTGCTCCCGATCAGCGCATTCCCGACATGGCAGCCGCGACCAGCGATGCGTCGGCCTTGCCTGCCCTCGGCGGCGAGAACCCACCTGCCGACCACAACGTGATGGACACCACCCTCACCAACGGACTGCCGCTTCTGGACACACCCATCGATTTTGCGCAGTCCAACAACCTAAACGGCGCCGACATGAGCGGCATGCCCATGGACATGACATCCGCCTTCCCACCCATGAATGCCTTCATGCCGCCCACGACCAATGAGCGCCTCACAGCCTTTGCGCGTCTGCGCTTCGATGACGGCTCCTACTATATGCATACCTACCAGATCACCCTAGGCCGAAACCTCGATCTCGCGCACAGAGACATGAAGCGCCTGATCAAGGCCGAGGCGCTGCACGCAAAGGGCCATGTACAGGCCGCCCGCGAACACTTGAATGGCATGGATGAGGTCAACGGGAAGAAGGACAAAAAGAAGAAGAAGCACAAAAAGGGTGGTGCTCGCAGCGTCATCTCAGAGAAGGGCGGCATCCTCAGCGCACCCATCGAGTCGATGCCCATGGAGTACCAGCAGCGTCGCCAGAGCAATGCGTCGCACTCCCTCAGCTCAAACTCACATCCCACAGGCGAATCCAGCGAGGAAAAGCCCGCCGAGCGTGCGCCGCAAGACATGATCATGCAGGCCTTCCCCGAAGTGCCCGCGCAATTTGACGGCCACGTCCCCGAAGACCCGAACGACTGTCCATTCGTACCTATACATCCGCAGCAAATCATGGCCAAGACCGGGTCGCTAGGTCCAAAAGGCATATCACGAGAGCATGCCAAGATCTTCTTTGATTTTGACGCAGGACACTTCTGTATCCATGTCCTGGGTAACAATGGCCTGCATCATGAGGGAGATTTTTATGCCAAGGGCGAGACTGTACCTCTGGATCATGGCGATCACTTGCAGCTTGGTGCTGTGAACATACACTTCTTCCTTCCAGACGTCGCGCTTACAGAGCAGCAACGGCATCGCCAGGAGTCTGGTTCACGCCCTATGAGTTTCTCCTTCGAAAATGGGAACGGTCAGTTAGAAAGCGACGAGCACGTCAGCTCCGAAAGCGAGGATCAGCAGAGCGTCAACCCGCGCCATGTCTATTATCACCATCCTGTCAGTGACAGCGACGATGATGATGGACTCGCCGATGAAGAAATGGATGACTATGAGGAGCCTGTTCCCAAACCGCGACAGAAGACCAGTCTCAAGCTCAAGATCAAGAATCTGCCTCCCGCTCCTTCGAAAGAAAGCAAGAAAGCGCATAAGAGGAAGCATCAGCACCGCGAACTCACGCCTGATGAGCCTCCAACGAAGAAGGTCAAGCTCAAAGTCAAGGACACTGCGAAGCTCAAGGAAGCGATTCGGGAATCTACGAAAGAGCCAAAGATTCAAAAGGAGCGCAAAGAGCCTAGGGAAGCAAAGGAACCAAAAGAAAAAGAAGTGGCACCGCCTAAAGAGCCCAAGGAACCCAAAGAACCTAAGGAGCCGAAAGACAAGGGCAAAGCACCAGCCAAGGCTCCCGCAAAGGCACCTATCAAAGACGAAACGCCAGTCGAGGAGCCCGTCAAAGATATTCCCACGGCTCCAAAGCCCGAGCAGCCAAGCAAGCCCCCGCCGAACGATAGCCCGCCATTACTACGTAAGCCACACGAAGGCGAACTTGAAGCCGGAGACATCGATGGTCTTATTACGGAAGAAATGGCTATCCAGCACAATCTGCCACGGAACCTCATCGGTCATGTCGTTGAGAAGCGCAAAGGACCAGGTAGACCGCCCAAGGATGGCATCATGTCAAAGCGCCAGCGTTCGCAACTCATCAAGCAAGCTAAGGACATTGAGAGGGCAAGAGCGGCTGGCATCGATCCTGCTGATATCCCGATCCCGACCATCAAGCCAAAGGCACCCAAACGCAAAGAATCAAACGCTGGCGATGGCGACGATGACGGAGTCATGGAGACAACAGAGCAGGGCGATGGTAGCTTGTCCGCTCTCCAGAAGCAGGCAAAGCCCATCAGGCCACCTCGAACTCCTTCGCCTGAGATGCGCATTGAGGACTATTCCGAAGAACAGCTGCAGCGTCCCACAGCCAACTATGTTGTTTTGATCCACGAGGCAATCTCTTCTTCCCCCACTGGTCAGATGAACCTTCAATCGATTTATACTTACATCGAGCGGAAGTATCCCTGGTATAAGTTCAAGACTACTACCAGTGGTTGGCAGTCTAGCGTGCGTCACAACCTTGGTCAGCACGACGCCTTCATGAAAGGTGATAAAGAGGGCAAAGGATATCTCTGGAGAATCAACCCTGAAGTTTCAATAGAGAAGGAACGCAGGAAGAGGCAAGCCAGTCCTCCACTCAGTAACGCTCCGCGACAGTACTATCCACCGCCGAACGGATACCAGCCGTACCCTCAGCCCGGGTACCCATATCATCCGGGCATGCCTCATGCAATGCCACAGCCACCCCCGAGACTGCCACCCAGTCTTGCGCAACCTCGCTTACCACCTAGTATGGCTCGCAATGAAAGTAATTCAGCGGCATCAAACACGTCTCAGAACGCGCCCCATCCTTCGCCTTATGCGTCCCCATGGGGCGGCGGTGGTAACACGGCTGGAAGTCCGCCAGCACCTAATCCTCCACGACCGTATCCGCAGCCCAACTCGCAGGTTCCACCAGCTTCCACAGCAGCTGGTTCAAGCGGTCAGTATGGCGTTCTCTACCCCACGGCTGCTCCACAGCAATCGCCATACAGCCAACCTCCGGCACCCAGCCCCTACGGTGGGCCATACGCTAATGCGGGCGCGAGCCCGTATGGCCCAGGTCCGCCTCGCCCTTATGCAGCATACCCACCACAAGGTCAGCAATCGAATGCTACTTCGGCATCGCAGCCACAATCTTCAGCATCACCTTACGGCCCACCTCCGTCTCAGACACCCTCTCAGCCAGGGCCTCCAAATGATGCTTCGGCACCGCACCCGTCTGGACGTTACCCAATTGGAGTTCACCCAGATCTCATTCGTCAACTTGAAGCGTACCGTCACGTTTACCTTGACAAGAGACCAGGCCCAGATGAGCAGAAAAAGGTGGACAATGCTATTAGAGCTTGCGTAGACAGAACTGTACCTGAATCGACTTTGACGGAACAAGAAAGGAAGTTGCTCATATCTATCTGCGGCGTAGAGAGCATCAACAAGCACGTCAAGAGAGCACCTGATGTCAAAGATGAAGATGAAGCCAGTACTGCAGCAGCGTTTGCGGCAGCGGGTGCTGCAGCAAATACCATGGCTCAGCAATATCCACCAGCACCACAGTCTGTAAATCCGACCGGCACTGCGTCCCCAGCACCGACACGTGAGAATAGCGAACCGCAGAAGTTCACGCCAAACATGACCGGCGCATCACCAGCTCCGCCCACAACCACTGCACAGCCAACCGCCCCACCTGCGTCCGCCATGGCACCTTCGCATCGTCCGAGCGTCGAGCCCATCACGCCCGTCCCTGGTTCGCCCGCAGTTCAAAACGGCACGCCGCTGCGGCGTCCAATGACCGAATTGACCGCAGATAGCACACCCGGCGCAGATGAAGCGAAGAAAACGGAGAACAGTCAAGATGCGTCGAAGAAGGCTGAGTAGGCTTCAATTTGATGAAGCTTTCTTCATTCTTAACACTCTCCTTTCCATAGCTTCGTCGCTCAGCCTATCTCTATGCGCGTCGCTCATTTCTCTCCCCTCTAATCAGCGTTCCAAGCCTGTTTGGAGCTAGCTAGCATTTGACTTTGGCGTTTTGGGCGGAAGCATTTTGGCTTTCGCCAACATGGCGATATTGATACCCCTTGACAGCGTAGCTTGGTTGGGGGTTCATGGTTATCAAAAGTGAAATTTCGCGTAAGTTTTTACGTCGAATATGGGACACATGCGTTATGGTATACATGACTATTTCGAGTAGATAGATGATAGTGACGACGAGCGATAGTATTGCGTCGGCTACAAAAATGGATATACACTTGCATGGACATGTGTTGCTTTCTTCTGACCGTAAAGTGTGAAATTCCAAAACAGAACAGTTCTACCTGAATCAGTGGCTGTTATTTCGATTGTAGCCTGGTCTTTGTTCGATCCTGACGCGCGTTCAAAAGTACATCTGCCCGTGCATATGTTGATGCCTAATTCAATGAGTTGTTGCCTAGTAAAGTTCTTCAGTAGTCAGGGGTACAGCGCATATCACGCGACTGTAATTGATGAAAGGTGGAAAGTCTGTACGTAGAGAACGTCAAACGGTAAAGAGTCTGGTATTGCCCGCGTTCTCATAGGTAGAGTAAGTGCCTCGACACAAATTCAAAGCCCAAATGCTACGATTATATATAGGAAAGAAGAAGCGAAAGCCCAAGATGCCGCTTCTGCTGATATCGCCGTACGCCTGAAATCCCCACCACTCGCACTCACTATGCCCAGTCGAGAGCAATAGTCTGAGCCTGCGTCGCAGCTCACATGGCCATCTCAGCCTGTAGCTTCCGCAGCTCCTCCTCTTCGTCATCCTCCTCAATCCGCTGTGGTGCCTTGGGGTTGGTATTTGGTGCTTGTGGTAGCTTCTGTGACGATAGGGCGTCATGGATAGGCACGTTGCCAGTATTAAGCATTTGCTCGTCGAGCTTCTCTTGTTGTAGCTCTGCGAGTTCCTCATCCAGCTCGTCTTCGTCGATGCCGTTGGCGCCAACGCCCGAGGTAAGGGCTTCGCCGATCTCTTCGCCGATTGCGTGTTGCTCGCGGAGTTCCTCCCTGCGCATGTTGTTAGCAAGCTTCTCTATAGATGTTGTAAAGCGCAGGATACACACATGACGTTGTCGACCTTGTCGATGGTCAGACCGGCGTGTATCTGCTTCATCGCGGTTCCTGCATTCTTCATGGCGTCCAGCGTCTCCTTGTTGATGTTGGCCGTCTCGATGGAATAGATCTCTCTTTCTAGCGTCATGATCTGTGAACTGGTCTGCTCGAGCGAGTGCTCGAACTGCTTCTTTCGCCGTAACGCCGATTTGGCAGCTGCAGTAGGCGTTAGCGACAGTATCTTGAAGTGAAATCCATGCGAACTCACCTTGCTTGTTGGTGGAAACATGTTTTCGCGCCAGCGCATCTTGCTCGTCCATTTGGTTTTGTAGATGCTTCTCCCTCTTGTTCAGCATCTCAAGTTGGCCTCGAAGCTGGAGGATGGCCTTCTTTGGCGCCTCCTTCTTTGCCTGGCCACCGCCAAACCAGCCCAGGCCCCAGCCGCTCATATTGAAGTAGTTCTTGGGGTTATCAGTTAGCAACTCTCCTTCACTTGACGCTATCGCAGGTCCATGCAGCTGGTTCGAAGCCTATCAAAGAGTGGGATGGTGGGGCTACGGGGATGGTGGGTGACTTGCACGTACTGTGTGGGAATGCGGAGGGTGTTCGAAATACTGTGTGTGAGAGGATTTCGCGGGAATTTATGTTGTTGGGGCGGCGGTGTTGGAGGGTTTGGAGGGTGCCTGGATGGTCATGAATCGGGCCTGGATGCACGAGGGTATGATGTCGTCCGCGCTAGCAATGGCACGTGCATCTCGGCTCCGGTTTCCACCGCCTTCTGCGGCGCGTTCACCACCATGTCTGGTCCAGTTGCATCGAATTTGGTCCTGTTAAATGACTTGTCCGCGTGTGCGCAGGGAACAAAAGTCCGCTTTCTAGGCTGGTACATGGACTCGTTTCCATTAGTGTCGCAGAAACTGACTGTATCGCAGCATCGATGGATACGTCACTGAGACCGCAACACTGCGGCTTAAGCACAACTACCCGATATCTAACCCGCCCGTTATTGCGAATCTCGATATCCAACATGTACTGGAGCGGATAAAGCATCTTGACGTAGACATCGGAACGTGGCTAAATGTCATCGGATATGTCGAGCGCAGGAAAGAGCAGGGCGTCTTTGTACAAGCCGTCACTGTCTGGAATGCCGGCAACATCGACCTCAAGGCGTATGAAAAGGCTGTCGAGGCGCGCATGGAGGCTGTATGAACGACATGAGGGTTATGCGGATATGCGCAGTACTAGTGGGAACACGATGCTTGATTAGAAGCGTTACATGGATTGCATAAGGCCATACTGCTGCGCCTACAGCTGGCTCATGGAATGCACAAGGCGCATTTGCATCTTCGGTATACCGCACGCTACTCTCTGTGGTCATACAGCCCTACGCGCGATCTCTTCATGTAGTCTCCGCGGCACCTTGACCTTGTAGCGGTTAGGCGTTGTGTCATCATGAGTTCCTGCTTGCTATCCCATCAAGACGCAGACAGGCTGAAGAAGACTTGTCATTGAAGGTTTGCAAGATATCGGAAGTGACGGATTCTCACAGACGCACTGGGGGTTAAAGCGATACATTCATGCACACATACTCCAAGGACGATTAGAATATGACTGTGTAAGACTAGCACCGTATTCCACTCCCTATCCTTGCGTAGCAATATCGTGGTACACTCTCGAAGAGGCCACTCCCAATCTCAATGAGTCAATTCTCCAAGTGCCTGTTCCATACATGAAGCCGATCTATCACTTGTCACCTATTATTGCTACTACCACCTCAGCAACAAGTAGGTTGCACCCCATGCCGACGGCATGTCAACTCTTTCAGCAGCCGAAGTATGGCTGCTATGGCTAAGTCCTCCACCAGCCCCCATAGACCAGGTCAAAATTAAAGCTCAATGGCATGGGGAATCCTCAGACAGCGATATTGGGTTGAGACGTGGGAAAAGCGTGTGCCGTGGATACCATGATGACGAGATACAACAGGCTCGAGACCACGAATATCGAAAATCTTGTAGCAGTGGACATCGTGGTGATTTGAATGTTGGAGACGTCAAAGTCAGAGTTTTGTGGTTCGCGAAGTGGGGTGTAGGTATAGTTGCGAAGATGTGAGGAGGTTCGGGGTAGTCTGACAGGACACTTAAGGTCTTTGTCGCAAAACTTTGATGGATTTGGGCTTGTTTGATGTTTAGAAAGATCCGATGATGAGCACGTCTGGAGAAGACGATGGATGAACAAGTCTGAAACCTGACTTTATACTACAAGAAAAGGACACTGGATGTGATAAACATAACCTCATATAGGGTGTAGCAAAGCGCGACTCTAGCAATTCGTGTGATGGTAATGAACCAATGTCGAGTTTCTCATGTGTGCGATCGAACATGGTAGCGAGATGTAATGCGATCAAACCAGTGCAAACCCAATCATATGCTAGACAGGAACGATGTACTTTTCGAACCCTGGCCAGTTCCACCTTAGATGCTTCCTGATTTTCGGTAGCGTTCCGTGTTCATTTAGTAACGTGATCCAGAGTGACCTCTAGTGGTTTCTTATCCTATATTGTCGTTAGCGTTATTACCGTAGAATCTGTTGGCGCAATGAAACTTACCCAAAGTATGTATGTACACTGCTCGCCCCAATCCCACCTGTCCCGCTCATCTTTCAGCCTGAGATTGAAACTCCACAACAATCTCGCAAGTATCAATCGCATCTCGTTGTAAGCAACCTTGGCGCCTATGCAACTGTGTCTACCCACCATGAAAGGTGAGAATGCAGCCATGTCGTCTTGTTCTGGTTTTGGGTGTAGGAATCTCTCGGGTATGAAGGAGTTTGGGTTGCGGAAGTTGTACGATTGTCTATAGGCGGAGTATTGGTTGTAGGTTACGTAGGTCTGTTCCAGATAATTTAGTCAGGACGAGATAGCATGAGAGCATAGGTGACTTACACCCTCAGGAACCCATTGGTCGCATACGGTATCTCCACCTTTAGGAGCAATGCGTGGCACTCCGACAACGACGGGAGGGCAAAGTCGCATGCCTTCGTTAATGACCGCGTTTAGGTAGAGTAGATTGCTTGTCGAAGCTATTGTTATGTCGCTCTCATTCTGGAAAGTCTCCCTGATCTCTGCTGTGAGTCGATGCAAGACACCCTTGTGCTGCACCAACATCCTTACAATCGCAGTCAAGGCACTGGCCGTGGTCTCGCTCCCAGCAAAGGCTATAACGAGCAAGTTGATGCCCCACTCAGCATCTGTGAAGCGATCCTTCTGATCACTGTACTTCTTGGTTGGTGTTACCCAGTCTGGCCGCTCCACTTCCAGCGCTACTCTCTTTTGGGCTTGTTCCATACTCATTTTACGATGGTCCATACTCCTTTGCATGATACGCTTGGGGATGATGTGTCGGAGTAACTTATCGATGGGAGGGTAATGATTGATCGACCCTATCAAGGCGAGCCCTTTGCCGAAATCTTGGGCAATGTCGACCCAGGGATGCGCTTTGCCGTTCGCAACACAGTTCCAGGACTCACCGTACGTGAAGTCTCCGGAGATATCAAAAGTCAGATAGTTCAGCCATTTTTCAAGATTGACAGTTTTCCTCTTTTTCACTTGCTCCATGAAGAGATCAACGTAGCTTTCAATGACTGGCGCTTGTTCTTTCAAGCTCTTCTCCGAGAAGGAATTCGCAAAAGCGCGTCTATACCTCGCGTGATCTTCTTCATGCCAATTCACGATTGAGTTAGGCTCGGTTGGTGACATCTTCTTGAATGAAGTACGGTTGCGCTCGAAGGGTAGATGACCAGGGCGCGTGATGTAGATTTCTTTCAATGCACGACTGTCGGCATAAGAGAGCTCGTTGGGAGCCACACGTACGATTGATCCATACTTGGAGTGGAACTCAGTAAATCGTTTGTGTATCTCGCCGCGTTGCGTTGAGATTACATAGGGGATGCGGAAAGATCGCCAGAGTAGTGGACCGGGGTAGTGGCGTAGCGGATGAAGAAACGCGTTGTAGAAGGCGTATGCAAAGGTGAGCTACATTGGGGTTTTAGCAATAGAAGGGACACTTTGAATCCTGACATGAATTACTCACGGTTAAGACGAGCAACACACATGCTACCATTGGATGCACCCGACTTGGTAACGATAATTGGAAGCCAGCGGCACGATTATCGCCCATATCTGCCATCACAAGATCTAGACTAGGTTCAGGAGCTTAATTTTATGTCTCGGGTGCCCTTCTTCCGAAATATTGCATCCAAATAGCGATACTCCCTATTTGGATGTAGAGTTGTCGTGGCGAAAGGACAGCCCTTGGCTTACGAAGTACAGCACCCCGCTTTGACCTTTCCTCTTTCGGCCACGATACTTTGCCATCTCAAGACCCGCGCCTTGGGGCATCCTCGCGTTGATGACATTCCGGTATGTCCTTCCGATAACTCTAACATGGACTTGATATTCCCCATACTGTTGTGAAAGCGAAGAATCAAATGGCACAAGCTGCAGGCCGATCTACCGCTTCCGCATTGGACGCGTCCTTAGCATCCGCCCGACACCTGGAGTATCAACTTATGCCGGCTTACTCAGAAGCAAATTCAACTGAACAAATGTAGAACGGGAGACATCTACCGTCTCGGTAGGTGTCACCGTCTCGATTGCCATCATGCAGCCTATGCAGGAGCTGTCAAGAGTTTGAAAAGCATTTCAGGATGCTGACAGGAGCCCAACGTCCCGCGCCTACGCGTACCTTCACCTAAATGAAGGGTGCCTCCTGGAAGCGTTCGAGCGACGTTCACGAGCTGGGGAAGTGTCGCACGTTGTGCGGGATCATCGCTGAAACCCTTCGCTTGAGCTCTGACACAGTTCACTCTGTGAACTTCATGGGTTTCGAAACAGTTGTTATTGTGAAAGATCCTTCGGTCGACCTGTCCCTCACATGTCTAAACGAAACACTCGATTGACTCTCGGGTGGCGTCTGCAACGTCGTCCCACAATACACCACGAGTATGCTCGCTAGCTAGACGTGTGTCACGAGCTTAATGTGGAGCGAAAAAAGGAAGGAGGCTAATATCGCCCCTTCGACGGACTTGCAGGAAGCTAATAAGCCAACATTACCCCTCTTTCGTTGCCAATGAAACCATAATAATTGTCTTGTCAGCCGATTAGAGCGCATTTTGCGGCTCGTGGGTAACCTGGTTCTGTGCTCCAGAGCTAACGTCTTCGCTGCACGTCGCCTACACGGTTGCAGCCTTCGCGAACGTTTTGCCGTGTACTCGTATCGGCACCAAAGACGAGAGCGAAGGAGCGGGTTCAAGAGTGCTACTTTTCATCTGAACCAATAATGTTATTTGCGCGTAGAGATACAGTCTTTGTGTAGAAGAGGAACGTAACGCTCAAGCTCGCGCATAGCAAGCTTCAGATTCGCTTAACCGCAGCTGTACGTAGCACCGGTGCCACCGCGGATGCATACCCCATCCATGACACGCCGACGAGACATACGCCGCAATTCTTCCCTAAGGCTACCCGTGAATGCCTTTCCATTCCAGAACTCACGGTTGCCGCATCTTCCGTTAATCTTTGTTGAGTACCCAGTTAATTAACCAACATTTGGGCTTGAAGCGGGGCGTTCGATAGTGCATGCATGCCGCTATCGGGTCATTTACTGACTTTGTTCAGCCAGATCAGGTCATTTACCAGCCGTCCGATGCATGGCGTCTGCAGCGCACAGGCGGCGGGTGAATGCCAGGGAGGCCCCCAGGCTTATACCCAACCTCTTGTTCGAGCAAGCGCAAACTCAATTCCCAATATTGGGTGCAGTTCTGCCGACGTTTGGTGTTCGTCTGGAGGGCCTGATGCTGAAACTAAAGAATCCTCCGTTGGATGACTGGTGAGGGTGACAAGCCAACTGCGCCGCCTCCCTAAGGCAGAATCGATGCCTTGCTGTCAGACATTGCGATGGATCCGGAGGTGATGTACCCAAAAACTAACGTTCACAAGACTCGGGAGCGCGAATGGAGGCTCAACACGAAGAGTGGACAGCGCCACCGGAATGCGGCTCACTAGAAGGGAAGCAAAGCCCATCGTATCGCTCTCGAAATCCCTGCTTTTGATCGCAAGATTGCACGTATCAGCGCTTACAACAGACACAAGCCTTTTACCCAGCTTGCCGAGAGCGGCAAGGTGACATGCGGAAAGAGGACTACCCTAAGGCGCTAGAGCCACCTCCAGGTCTCACCAATTTGGCGTGCATATCGCTTCAAGGATAATAGTAGGAAATCTGGTCAAGATGAAGGCCCGTGTTGACGTACATACACATGGCGGCGCATGCATGCCCGTGTGGGCCCGCCTTTCTAACGGCCAAGCGCGAAGGTTACAAATGAGAGTATAAGTCTGTCGAGCCGCCTGGTCTAAGAGGTAGTGTAACAACGATATCAGCTTCGAGTTCTTGACACCAGCGAAGAAAAACGAAGTCGCCCTTATTCTGATAATATTGGTCTTTTCACTTCATCGTTCACCGTTCACCATTCTTTAGGATTTTGTCGCATTGCACATCATCCACGCATATCTTATCGTCAACAGCGTTCGCTTTTCGCAAAGCTACTCGCTATCAGTCACCATGCTCTTTTCCACGATTACTACGGCGCTGCTTTTTGCCGCGTCTGCCACTGCAGCTGCTCTACCATTGCCTGGCAAACCGCAAACATACACTCCCGCTCGTAACCTCAAGAGCCTCGCCAAACTCTTTCCTCAAAGCACTCTCGCAAGTCCAGACAGTCTCGGCCTGGACCTGAAGTACGTTGTCCTCGGTATCGGCACACAGAACTACACATGTAGCAAACCTGATGACAGTGTGGCTCCTGGGACCACTGGCGCATATGGTAAGAACTCTCTCAGTTCAACAGCAGGACATGTCTAACAACCATCAAGCTACCCTATACGACATCGGCACGAAGCTCAACAACGACAAGATGGCCAGGTGGAAGATTGGCTCCATTTCTCCTCTTGCACTATCGCTGAGCGAATGGGCTCCCCAAGTTGTGGACATGAGCCTCAAGTCTCAAGGCTACGAACATATTGCGGGTCATCACTTCTTCGCCGATGTATCAGGAACCAACACGCCAACATTCGCCTTCGACAGACTGAGCGCGCCATTCCCCATGACTCAAGTGGCCAAGATAGCCAACGTCGATGCACCAGCACACGCATGCCCAGGCAAGAACGGCCTACCTGCTGTTCAGTGGCTGTACCTACAGCACAGGACCGGTATCACTCAAGGAGGAATCGATACCGTCTACCGTGTCGAGACTGCTGGTGGCAACAAGGCTGCCACCTGCAAGGGCATGCCAGCTTCCTGGGAAGTCAAGTACGCTGCGCAGTGTAAGTATACACGAAACACGTGCACAGCTGTAGTAGTTCACTAACATTTCACAGATTGGGTCTATGGTCCAAAGCAGTAAGCGCCCAGTTGGCGACGCTCGTTTCGAGTCAGTTACGAACGATTCTATTGTCTCATGCCTTCTACAGTTCTTCTGCGATTGAATTAGTCGCGCGCGACTATATTTATCCTATTGGCATCTAGACAGTGCGCAGCAGAGCATGTGTTTCTTTTCTTATTACTTTTCATTCCGTCTTCTGAACTTACGATACCCTTTCTTTCCCATGGTTCGCACGGCTTTGCGAGGTCTTGATTCTATCACACGGGCATTGGCACGGCTACAGGCGTTGGAGGCTCTGGGCATTCGGCGATTACAGTGTATATAGGCTCAGTATAGGCCTTGTCTTAATTTCAAAAGCTTTTCATCCATCCTTTTGGTTGTCTGTCGATGCTTACATGATTTCTCTTGGAACACTTCATAATGTGGTACGCGAACTAGCGCGCAAAAAGCTGACTGGACGCGAAAAGAAGACAGCTCCAGTGACTTCGTCATCCCATCGGGATACAGTCAACGTGACACATTCGCAACTACCATTTGACCAACATGAACCGCTTATGCGGATCAAGTGCCACGACAGGTACTTGATCCACCGATCACATTGCGGTACGACATGTCAGCCAACATGCGAACCTCGCCGTATATGCCGCAGTAAGGCGCGCAAGGCTGCTTGCGCTATTACGTCCAGTCCAACAGGCTCGAGATACTAACAACCTCTCATTCGCCTACCACACTGCCTATGAGCTAACAAGAAACACTACCGACCTCCTCTCAAGCCGTCATGTATCTCATGGGTCTTTTCCATCTCGATTCCAAGAAAGCCTTACTCCAATACATGACATGAACCCTTCGCCCAGCCCTGTAAGCCCTTCCGTTACCCATGATATCTGGAAATAAAATAGACCGACTGATTGGATGATTGCTAGATCGGGGAGTGGTTCGTACTATTTTGGTCGCTGTGGCAGCGGGTATTTCGCTTGGCAAAGCGGGTGTGAGTGGTGTGGCACAAATCTGGTTTGACGGCGGCTAGGGTGTGTCGGAAGTTTCTCTTGGACTTATGTGTAGTCTTAGCTTGAACTCTATTCACTTCTGTGGTTCTAGAAAAAAGAAATAGTCTAGTAGCATGTACGGAAAAGCTGATTCCTGGACCAATAGCGAACTTCATATGCATGCTCTTGAGATCTGTTTCACATTCACCATGGTCGAACTATAGTAGTCCCTAGACCTTGGGGCTTCTCTATGGCAAGCGGCGGTCCTTTTGCTACCATTATAGGTCTGGCTCTAAAGGCTTGCAACTCGTGATTTTGGGGGCTCGTGTATCCGCGCGATACACCGCTGGCTCCCCTCCTTTCCTTTACTCCAAGCTGTATGTCGATCAATATACCACGAAGATATACCATCTGATTCTTCTTTTCCAATGGCATCTGCAAGCGTCAACGCATCGATAATCGCCGCGTTTGCCCCATTTCCTCCCACAATAGGTTCCGCATGGACTGCATCGCCTATGAAGCACACTTTATTCTTGTTTAGTTGATCGTGCAATTCCGATAGTGATGCCGATGTCGTCCGCATTAGCCAATGGAGAATCCTATCATCGCGCATCTTTTCCGTATCGAAAATCTTGGAGAAAGGAGCTTCGAGATCTCCCATAGCGCTAATCTCCGCAAATAGCTCTTCGGGTATATTATTTGCGTCTTCATTCGATCGATTAGGACGATGCAGAGGATCCTCATGTCCGCGTACAGGTCTTGAGAAGATCCAGCTGATGCTCACTTCTTCTTCCTTCTTGCCGTTGACACTAATGCTAAGAAAGGCGTCGTTGCGCTTCATCTCAACGACGTTCGACCCGTTCATTGTCGGGTAGTATGATTTGTCGAAGTCCTTGAAAGCCACCCTCCTTTTACCGTTAAACGCGACGTATGGCAGGATATCTGGAGCTATGGACGGCAATAGTAATTTTCGCACGTCCGAGTGTACGCCATCCGCACCTACGACAAGGTTTCCAAAACATGACTCGCTATTTTGGAATCGCAGTTTAGAGCCTTGCGAAGTTTTTTCGATTTCCTTTAGTGTATTTTTCCATCGTATGTCAAGACCTTCGCGCAAGAGTTGTTCAAGCTTAGCCCTATTGGCGCGAAAGGAAGATTGTGTGTCGTATAAACCACTGTGAGTCGCTAGGTTCGTGAGCTGCGAGATTGATCCGGTACCACCGCTCTCTGTATCTACAGCTACACGGCTCTTGAGCGTGTTGACGTCCAGATCAAGTATCTTGAGAAGGGGCTGGTATGCGGTGGAATGGAGAGTGATGGCATAGTTGAACCGAGGGTTCGACGTTCCTTTTTCGAAGAGGATGGAAGGGATGCCACGATGGAGAAGCGCACGACCAAGAGTCAACCCACCAAGGCCTGCGCCGACGATGGGAATTGGTTGAGTCATGTTACCAATTCAAAGAAACAAAGTGGTGTTCAGGATACTCTGGCTGTACGGGTCGATGGCGTTGGGTCGATACCGGACCACGATCGAGCCAATCACATGCAGCAGGAGTGGAGATCATGCGTTCTGATTTGGTGGACGCTTTGTACATATTGGTAACCAGCATAGGCAAACACCGACAATGCAGAAACTGGCTCCATCAAGTCCAAACACTTTAAATATCGAATTCGTTCACATCATATACAGCCACTCTTCACCTTCTCTATAAGACTACAAATAAATGTAGCACAGAGGCTCTCCACTTAGCGTGCTCATAACGTCGCCAATCTTGACATTGGGAGTGTTCAACCAATTCGTCTCGATAATGTCCTCCAGCGTAGTTCTCGGGCCATTAGGGTCGGACAAGAGACGTGATCCCATAACAGACTTGGCCTGATTGAGGTGCAGCGCCTGCCAAATCCACCACACTCTGTCAAGCATCGCGTGATGCATGAAGAAAACGGGTTCGTTGGGACTACTGTAGAAGTCACCACTGTCGCCACCCATAGCAAAGTGGCCGGAAGCGTGAAGACCTAAATGTGAGTGTACAAAGTTAGTATTTGTCTCATCTGCAGTTCGTACAGGGACATTACTAACCGAGGAAACCGTCGGTGAAACGGCCTTGAAGCTCGTTTTGGAAAGACAAAATGTCCTTAGATGCGGCACCGAGTGTGATGTTATATAAATTTTCGAAAGAAAACCAGGTCTTGGATGCGAAACTGCTAAGATCTTCTTTCCGCAGTGTGGGTTGTAGGCGAGTGCTGACGCTGACGCGTTGTCTCCGTCCATTGTTGGGCTTACGGGTCCAAGATTGATTTGTACACTGGCATATTCAGCATACAAAACTCGAATCGCGTAGAGCTAGAGTATTGGTAGTGACTTACTCCTTGAACGGACCACTTTTGATACAGCCACCACCGTTGCCAGATGGGATAAAAATTCTGCCACCACCACCAACGCTCCCATTGTGCTTGACGTAATGGCCATCACCACCCATGCTTGTAGCAGAACCATCGAAGACTGGAGATTTACTCAGGTCGTCCTGGTAACTGAACCAATTCCAGTACGGCTGGTAGCCAGTGTAGCCGCACTCTTCCCTCAACGCCTTCTCGAAGGTATGCACAAAGTACCTATGCCAGCTCAAGAAGTTACCGGTACCGTGGATGGATCTGGTTTGGTTGATGTGCTGTCCAACGAAGTCGTCGTATCGGGTTCGAGCTCCAGGAACCAATTCCGGGTCAGACTTGGAGGGCGAAGTGTACATACACTTAACAGCGCTGCTATACGCTTTGCGCTCCTTTGCGGACATGAAGTCCCTGCAAGTGTTAAGCACTGGTAAGTCGAAATTTCATCAGGAGATAACTTACCAGTTTCGCCTGACAGGCGCATTAAAGATGTTGCAGTTAGCTCTCCTCTCAAGCGTACCATTTGTCTCCGCCTCTTTGAGTACCGCCAATGCTTGATCTTGAAGGTCTTGAAGAAGATCACGGGGCTGCAACGCAGCGGACTCCACCAAGCTGGCCAAAGCCAGGATAGCGGCTGGAAGACTGCAGAAACGCATCTTATGTGCGAGGTTGAACGAGGAAAGTGAAGAGCTGCGCGATAGCTGTCCAGCAACGAGTGCGTGTGTATGGTCTAATATGGGTTTTCACAGCCCTATACTAATCTGCATCTGCATGCGGCGACATGGGTCGGGAACTTGCATCCGACTAGACCGCCTTACACGAACAACGGTTGCTACTCGTGGCAGTGGACCGTATGCAGCAAGTAACTGGAAGTGGGCCGTCCCTTGCTGGCCCAAACAGCCTGCATGTGGTCCATGCTATTCTAGATGTCGGACATGACTCTCAACGGCTGGCTCTAAGATCTTGCCGAAGATGAACTTGTCGATCACGCTGATATAGTTCATGTACCGGATTTAGAGAAGCCATGGTCGAAGAGTATGCGTTTATGGGCATCTATGTATGCCAATGATTTCCCCTTGGTCGCAAATAAGTTCAGAAAGAGATGTTTCCTGCTGCAATATGCCTGATGAGATGCCGAAATTTGGGGTTCCCGGGTAGTGGATGGGCCGTTCGAAGTCCGACCACGCCGCAGCCACGCAGGAGCGGCAAATTTTCGTTTGCATCTCGGATGGTACCTGTAGAATGCGGAAGGCGATTCAGCTATGGAGTTCTCGTATCGTTCGAGCGCTAAGCTGGTAGTAATCTCTAGGTTACTGGTAAGCAAAGGACGATGTAGACCCAGAAGGCGTTCTTAGTTCCGACCCCGAGCGCGAGCGGGAGTCGAATGCAGCGGCGACGGCTGAGGTTCCGCATGGGACGGGACGGGCGGGCCCAGTATGGTATCTGCAGGGATCATTGTCACTAAGGCTATCTCGGCCAAATCTCCGAACTGCTAAACAACCGCCGGTTGTTCAACACACAATACACATTTCATAAAAAAAAAAGATCACAACGCACTGGAGGACACTGTAGATACACGAGAGGTGAGCTGCAGCGACATACCGAAGATGTCGCTAGACTCATCCCATACCTACAGACAGGCCAATGTTTACAATCTTCTGGAGCACCTTCTCACTCATGTCGTGTTTACATTTGTGATAGCCGCGTCGCCAAGGATTCGATCATCCTTTTCTCAACCAGAACTACAAGCGAGACTAAAGGGGCTCAAGTCACTCCTTCGACATAACGTCGAATACCTGCCACACACACCCAATTGCAATAACTCCGTGGAAGCGAAGGAATCCTATCACATGTGATGCCGGAGCTTGCTGAAGGCTCAGAGACGGGATACATCAAGGGATGATTACAACATGTATAGTATGTCCGAAGGAAACTCTTCCGCGCTTGGCAATCGCTACAAGCAAGTAAGTGGCACAGCTCACCAAGCTGTTGGAACATAATGAATGAATTCGCATATATGGAAGTCGTCAAGTTTCATAAAGAGTCTCCTAACGTTGTTATGTGAGGCACCTGGTCCTTCTCTTCATAGTCTGCGTCTCCCTCTCTTGCCGTTTGTTTTGCACATCTTTTGGTCGCCTTTGCGATAGGTGACTATGCCTTCGCCCTCTGTCCAGCTCGCCACGGATCCTCAGTGGGCGGCGGAGAGTAACCTCGTCCGAATCCTCGCTGTGACCGGTGTCTTCCACTTTTTCGCACTGACTAGCGTTGGCCTCCGCCTTTATGTTCGTATCGGCTTACTGCGGTCACCCGGAAGAGACGATGTGGCAATGGTGTTAGCTGTTGTATGTATGCCTCCAATTGTCATGGCATACTCTTTCCGTCGATTTTAACAGTTACCAGCTGGCTGCTTTGAGTGGATACATCTGTTTTATTCTCCAAGGCTACCATGGCCTCGGACGACATACTAAGACGGTATCGAAAGAAGACAAAGTGATTTTCAACCATATTGGATTTTACCAAAGCCTACTCTCAGCCATTGGTGCTCTCGGACTGCTCAAGATATCTATTGCTCTCTTCTTACTGAGATTGAGAAACAACAATCTCTGGAAGTGGTATGCACGTTCTTTATGGGCTTTAATCGGTAAAACCTCCACTTCACAGATGAACCTATCACTGGTCTGACATGCACAATAGGCTTCGTCGTCGTGTACGCAATCGGTGCATGGCTCTCATTCCTTCTGCATTGCACTCCCATGGAGGCCGATTGGACCGGTGAAGGTACCTGCTACAGTCGTGAAATCTTCGTTCCGGTCGCGCTCACAAATACTGGTAAGCGCAAGCGACATGAGAAAATAGATCTTTTCTAAACATATACCAGCTGTGAACATATTTACAGATGTTTGTTTCGCCACTCTACCAATCCCCATCATATGGGGTCTGCAAATGTCGCGGGGTACCCGAGTCAAATTGATCGGTGTACTTAGTCTTGGTTACATGTTAAGCAGCCAAACGAGAACCAGTTCTTACATTCGCTGACCCCATCCCAGTGCTGTCGCCTTGGGCATAGTCAAAGCAAGCTATCAGGTTAAAAGCGACCCTGACAAGATGTTCAATAAACATCTCAATGTCTTTGGCTTGTAAGTTGCAAAGTCTCCACTATATCTACAAAAAAGAAAAGACCATGAATACACACAGCTAACGTCACACTCTACAGTCTCCAGCTCAATGTCGGCATCATCGCGGCTTCTATACCAACGTTGAAGCCCTTGACAAGGAAACGAACCGTCGATCCCGAACGCAGAGCATACGACGACATCGAACAGCACGTAGAAACTATCGGCAGCGGCCGAAAGTACAAGCCACAACTTAGTTTTCTGACGAGAGCAACAGTCACGGATGAGAGTATTGAAATGGGGAAACGAAAAAGTATTCGCGAGAAGCTTTCCATGCCAGGAATGGATCGAAAGGACACTGTCTACAGTCAGAACGGGCATAGAGTAGGAAGTCAAGATCGTATTCTTGAGGGTGATGGCGAGTATCCGAAGCGCATCAAACGTACCACGGAGGTGGTCGTGGAAAGCGTTGACAACGATAGCAAGACATGAGTTTAGGCAATAGGCAGCAGTGATGCTCAGTGATGGGTCATGAGATATTACTGGGGTGCTGTAACCTGCTCACAAACTGTGCACAAAAATGAGATACTTGTTTCTATAGTATCTCGCAAACGTATTCTCCGCACGCCAGTGGCTAAACCTGGCTCTTATGACACTCCACAAGTCACTTCCTCGCGTGGTTTCATTACCTTTAGCAGTAGCTAAGTAGAACTTCATGGGAAAAGTTATGTTATGTGATGAGGGCTAAGATACGGGGTCTAGACTTTGACAATGTATAATCGCGGTTTCCGGTTTTGAAGAGGCTCTTTGTTCCTGAGTCATGCTTTCCACTACAAAGCACCGCAAAGGTGTAAACCATGTCATGTTTCGCTGAGCCCCTAACAGCAACTATTGCGAACACATCTAGAGCACTTTTTCGTATCAGCGGTAAGTAGCCAGTTGAGACCAGCACTGATATGGAAGATTTAGATAAGAAGTATCGTTGATATTTTGTAGTTGAAGAAATCTGGGCAGCCAAAGCTACCACACAGTCAGACAGCTACCAAAGGCATGTTGGCATGAGTCCTCTGTGGTCATTCAGACCGTGGTCTCCCGTTCGAAGTTCTCGAAGTTCTCGAAACCGTCTACCAGCCGCCGCCGCCAGTGTCGCCACCCCAAGAGGCCTCTCCTCCAGCAGTAGCAGTAGTATCGCCACCATCGGCATCTCCGCCGTCCTCAGCGACCGGCTGCTTGCAGCGCTGTGAAAGTTAGCCTACAGCACTTCGCACGAAACTTGGTGGTATCAGACATACCTTGATGGTGTGGCCCATCTCATTGCAGTTGTTGCATTTGACCTTGGACCAGTCCTTGGGTTCGGGACAGTCGCGAGAGAAGTGACCGGTCTTTTCGCAGTTGCGGCAGATAGCTTTGTCTGGATTCTTAGGCTGATCGCATTCCTTGGCCATATGCTCTGTGGAGTCGCAGTTGCGGCAAGCACTAGCGGCAGCGTTGGGACACTATCAACAGTCAGTATGTGCTAGAATGATTCACGGATTCATACTGCTCACATCCTTGGAAAAGTGACCGGTCTCGTTGCATTTGCGGCACTCGACGCCTTCAGCAGAACGTGGTTCGGGACACTCCTTAGCGTTGTGACCCTCCTGCTTGCAGTTCTTGCAGGCGTAGGGGTTGACACGCTCCTTGGGGCAGTCACGAGCACGGTGACCGACCTCTTGGCAGTAGACACACTGAACCTCTGGTACGGTGTTCTCGCGCTCAGCTTGCTCTTGCTTGCAGTGCTTGCGAATATGACCAAGCTCACCGCAATTGCCGCACAGCGGTACACCGCAGTCCTGAACGTAGCCGCAGGAGGTAAGGCGCTCCAGGTTCTGAGCAGGGTTCTCGGGCCAGCCTTGTGCCATTTTGGCGCGGCGAGGTTTGGCAGAGAGCTGAACGGACAAAACAAACTTGCAGTCTGCGTTACCGATGAGGTCGATGATGGTCATGTTGGGGGCGATCTCCTGCTGCTTGGCGATAAGGAAGATTGCAAGATCATCCTCACGGAGAGCCTGCTCGACGGCGGCAAGGTTGAACTCTTCCATGGTAGCGCGAGCATAAGCCTTCAGGCAGACGCGGAAGACGTCAAGGTCCTTCTCTTTGGCAGCATCGATCAAAGCGATCCAGGCAGCCTCAGCGTCCATCTCCGGGATGCCAGACCAGTCGACAATGCGGCGGGACTTGCAGTCGACAGCGCGGTGACCCTGCTGGTCACAGAGCTTGCAGGTTCCATCGAAGGCTCGCTCGACACGCTCGTTAGTACAGTCTGACTTGTTGTGACCGACTTGACCGCAGTTGTAGCACTCGCCAGTGAGACCGCCGCCGCCTTCAGGTTTGTCAGGGCAGTCGCGGGCGAAGTGGCCAGTCTGCTTGCAGCTGTTGTGTCTGTCAGCGGCATGGAATATAGTCGTTAGGCAGGAAATTGCTTACATGCGGCAACCGTCGTCGCCAGCATCACCTCCGCCTCCACCAGCGTCGCCACCACCTCCCCAAGAGTCGCCGCCTATCGTTATGTCAACAGAGGCTTGAGGTAGTCGCGGCACGTCGCATACCTGCAGTTGCACCAGTGTCCCAGCTCATAGCTGCGGTTGATGATCGGTGAAGTTGAGGTCGGTTTCGAAGGTCTAGATGATAGCACGGTCAGCATATGCGATACATGTAGAGCTGTCGCTGTTATTGTGGGAATGTTGTCACAGTACTGGCAGGAGAACTAGTCGCTTGACGGGAGTGACCAACCTTAATGAGCTCAGTGACAGGAACGTAATCGGACTGCAAGAAGCGTCGAGGAGACGATCAGCGTAGTCAAGTAGTAGACGAATGTGGCCGGTAGAGCGACTGTAGGAGAGAAGATGCAAGGTAGGAAATTAGCGGGTTTGAAAAGTGTGTTGTGGGCGCGACTGCTCTGTTGGTATATGGTAGACAGGCGGTAGGCCCGTGCTGAAGCTCAGCGATAACGACGCAGGTGAAGGTGAGGTAGAAATTGGAGATCGCTACCGGAATCGGCAGGGACAGATATATCGCGTATGGTATGCTATGCAAGCTGCCGAGCGTAGTAAGAGAGGATGCGGGCGGTGATATCTGAGAGTATAACATGATGAAGGCCGCTTTGGGATGAAAGCGAGAGCAAGAGCGATAACACAGTTTAACATAAAGCGCAGGTGCGGCGAGGAAATCATGAGGACATGAAAAACACGAACGACTCGAAGCTCTTGTAAACGTTGAATAGGCATTTGGCACATGAAATACGTAAACACTCATCCCGCACACCAAGATCGCGTGCTTTCCCAGAAGCTGGTATCATGTCTTGAATCTCACAACGAAGATGCTGAATGCCTTCGTGGCACTACCCATGACCCAATTCGGTACCTGAACGCCTAACAATGACCCAAAAACTCCAGACTGTCAAGATCGTGATCGATCATACACCACGGAACTGTACATGGTTAGCATATGCTTCATATATGTTTGGTTGCGCCCAAAACCCTTCGTTGTGTTACTTACCATTCGTACCACCAAGAACCACATAGCTCCGATGAACCTGAACGCGGCCAGTCCAGCAACACTGTACAGAACCACGGCCAGGTAAATGGTGGCGGCGTCGTTCTGCTTCTTCTGAGCCTCGTCGGGGCTACTGACGGTGAGCTCTAGGCCACCAGACTGCAGAACCAAGGCTGACAGGCCCAAGTTGCAGAACATCCAAAAGAGCACGACACCGGATCGGAAACCCTTGTAATAATCTTCCTGTTTCTCGCTGGCTGAAGGCACCTTCTTCTCTTCTTTCCACTTGGCGCTGAAGACACGGAGCTCTGTTTCGTACTGAGTGTTGAGATCGGCATCGTCAGTTGGCGCCTGAATGTCCGCCTTACCGTCAGCCTTGGTGGTGACTGAAGGAAGCTTCTCCGGTTTGTCGTCTCCCTTGGTACCCCAGGTGATGTCATGCGTATTGCAGAAGGCGTAGACGTTAAGAATGTTGATGTAGGTGGGTGTCATGAGCAGATATTGGAAGAAAGACGTGAACATATGCCATGGATCCAGGAAGATGATGGACACCACTAGCCACATCACGTACGTCGATAGTAGTGATATGATCAGAGTGGCAAAGATTCTATCCTTGAACAGGTCTGCCGCGTTGAAGCCGCCGTTGGTTTCGATCTGTCCCTGGACGGAGCGAACGGTGATGAAAATGGACGCGAACATGAGATAAGCCATGATAATGCACCAAAAGTAGACCATAGACATGTACCACTTGTTGGAACCCTGCGGTCGATTACCGAGCGATAATATGAAACATGTTATCAGCACAGCAATGTAGAGCCACTCGAAGACGATAAAGAGCACTTTACCCGCGGTACCGAGTTCGTTTTGTAGTGAGGCAGTGAGAATGCGGAAGACCAGGAAGAAGTTACCAAGAGCGAACCAGGCGAAGATCATGCTGATAGTTTGGTAAACAAACTCAACTAGAAACATAGTTTTGCGCAAGAAAGAGTGATCACTTCGGAAGATGTCGAAAGAGTGGGCCAGAGCGTAGACAGCAGCGAAGAAGGATCCGTTCAACCAACGACGACGTTGACTGATAAATTCGGCCATGGTGGTCGGTACATCCGTCTCTCCGGTGGCAGACTTGACGTACTGCAGGATCCAGTGGCAATTCCTCTTGGAGACCAGCTCGAAACACAAGATACGGTCCTCAGCCAGGTACATATTGGCTGTGAAGATACCAGCGTTGGCACCGTGCATCTTCTCACCGGCAAAGTACTTCTCCAGTGGTCCTTGTCCAGTCTTGTCGTTCTGGAGCGCAACGTAGCGATAGGCGGAGAAGGCACCAGGAAGCACAGAGATGAAACCAAACGCAGATTCAAGAGGCTTATCGAGGATGTTGCTCATCTTGTACTCGAAGTTTTGTGTTGCAACGAGCGGGTTCAAGAGCTTCTTGCCATGTACCAACATAGCTTTGATCTCACCACAAGCACCTGCGCACATGGGTTCAAGGTCGAAGGCCTTCCATAGCTGGTAGACAGAGTCCTTGCCAGGCTTTGTACCAGCGTCGATGAGCACACAGACATTGGGATCCAAGACAGCTCCGAATGCTTGGAAGAACCATCGATGGGAGTTGATCTTCTTCTGGTTCTTCTCCTTCAAACAGAAGAGCATCTGGACTGGAGTATTACCCTTCTTGACACCGACAACGCCCTTCTTGATGTCGAGCGTCATCTGTGTGGTGTACTCGTAGATATGTGCAGTGACATCCTTGCCATTGACTTGCTGCTTGGCAATGCCATCCTGATAGACACCGAGCGCTGCTAGTACGGCGCGGGTCCTCGGATTGATCTTGGCACGACCATCGCTGACGACGCAGACTACAATCTTCTTCCACGCGTCCTTGCCCCACGTCTTGCTATTGGTTCGCGAGTTCATGTACTCGATATTCTTGATGACACCAATCATCGTCCGCGCAAACAGTTCATCCTCCTCATTATACATGGTAATAACAATGAACAGCTCAGTATGCCTTGGCTTTGCGAAAAGCTTCTGACGTAAGGTGAAGCGCTCGGCGTCGAAGTCTGCAGGGTCGCATGTGGCGGCTGAGTAGCGCATATGAGTAAATTCGTCACGCTCTGGGGGCTGTGCATGTGGGACCTGGTTCAGTAACCGCGGCGGGATTGGGCAATCGAGAACCAAATTGCCCTTGAACAATTGGACTTCCTTGACCGTCTTCCATCGCTTAATTGGAGCTGGGCTGGGTGTGGGCGCAGGCTCATCGTGGAATGGATTCTCGGGATCCATGTCGTCTGTATCGTGAGGATCTGGGCCGTAAGAGTTGGCTCCGTGTATCATGGGTCTGTTCATATCTTCATCTTGCCAGTAATGCGTCGGTTGTGTACCGTATCCGGCGCCTGGGCTCTCGTCATGCGGCGTTGGGTCGTAAGGCTGATTGTAGTATGCATCGTGATGCGCCTGGGGATCGAGAGAGTAATCGGCGTTGTGCTGTTGCGGTCGTGGGTCATAATCGTCGTGATAGTTGCCTGCAGCGTATGGGATGTTTTCTACTGAGTACTGTTTTGCGTGTTAGTCGGCTGAATACCTCAATCTGCGGCAGGACGATCCGGAGTATTGATATCGTTCATAGTGTGTTCTCAGGTATAATACATACACTTGGTTGTAATGGCAAGCGGTCGCCGGAGGCTGCTGCTGGATTGGGTCCCATGGGAATCTCCAGGATGCCTGACGGTTGCGGTGACGCATAGCGGTCTTGGTGTGGTGATGCATAGCGGTCTTCTAGTTGATAACCACGGAGAGGCTGACCCGGCGAAGGAGTCCGCCCAACTTGTCTTCGTGGATCCATTTCGTATGGGTCGTCGCTACCGCCTGGTGCGCCTATGTAGTACGGTTAGTTCGACTGACAGCTGAGGCACCTCGTGGCAGGAAAGGCTTGATCGGTGGTTTGCGAAGGTGTCCAGATCGACTGGCCTCTACCATGCGGCCTCGAGTCCGCCAAGTCATTACTCACCTAGTCGGTTGTATGACATGTTGGTTTGTTTCCAGCGTATGCTGCGCCTTCAATCTTTCTGCGGCAATGCGACGGGCGGATGAACAGGCCCAAACACAAATACAAGGGGATGCCCAGCAAAAAAGCCAAAAGGTGCGACTGTTGTTGTATGCTGTCGTATAGGCGTCGCGGGAAAAGCGACTGGTATATGTCCGGGTTTCAGGTGTGTCTGGTGCGTTTGGTGGGTCGGTAGCGCTCCGGGGTTGTTTACTGTAGCAACGAGCGGGTACGCGTGGGCGATCAAATGATGTAACACCCAAAGCGCAAGTAACCGGCTTCCAGAAATTGCGCGACTGGGGCCTCAAAGTCTATAGAGATGAGGACGGTGTGATTGAGTTCAGCTCGCGGAAGACTGGCTCCCGGAGGGTTCATCCATTCAAGTGCACCTGAGCAGCTGCCAAGGAAGCACTCGCTGCGCAATCATCGTGGGGTGCGCCACACTTCACAGCCCTGCTATTACGAAGCTTCCAAGGTCTATTTCCGTCAAGGCGTTAATCATCAACGGCTGCGAAAAATGCCGAAGTTTATCGCTATTGATAGACAACTGGATCGTACACATTGACTAGACGGCATGGCCTTCCCTTTCCACCATTCTCGTCATCTTCCCAATGTTATACCTGAGATATCAGGCAAACCGTCAGGCAAGTCATCAGGCACATGCAGATGCGGCTTCAGCAGCTGGACGACTCCGGAAACCCCACAAAAGCCGAAGTGACAAGTCATCTGTGCATTTACTTACGTAGAGGTGTGGTTGCGGCAGTACAAGAGTGGCTCAGGTACTTGTCGATCTTTACATTATACCGCTTGTGCCTACCAGTACGCAGCAAAAGAAAGATGAATCCTTGGCTCAGGGCATCATACCTGAGTCGCATTAAGACCATAATGCATTGACGATCGCCCATTGTCGCGTCTGATGTCTGCGAGCAGTACCTGTCGATCCCACGTCATCTGCGGCGGAGCACACCTACTGTTTACCATGAATTTTGCGCCAGCATGTTGGTTTGATTACTCTTATGACATTATGATTGTCTACGCTTCCAAAGATTCATACTGTGGAATTGTATAGCCTGTTGCAAGTGAAAGTAGTCAGACTTGCCGCGAAAATATCGCTTTATCTGAAGAGTCTAAATCCCGACGATACGCCGTCCCCAGATCTTTTCAGATCTTCCTAGATCCCTTGTATTCTCGTATTTCCACAACACTCAATCGCAAAGAAACCTCACACCCACCTAGCCTACCCACACGCGACCCGAACACCCCCCATATCGCTACAATGGGCGACTCCAAATCCCCCAAACCCGTCTCTGTTTTATTCGTCTGCCTAGGAAACATCTGTAAACACACCCCTCCACCTTCTATACCCCCACCACAGGACGGACTAACCTCTCCCACCAGGCCGTTCAACAATGGCAGAAGGAGTCTTCCAGTCCCTCACGACGCCTTCCCACCCGCTCATCTCAACAATCGACTCTTGCGGCACCGGTGCCTACCATGTCGGCTCGAGCCCCGATTCTCGCACCATGGCCACTCTAAAGGCCAATAAGATAACCACATATCGCCACTCTGCACGAAAGTTCTCCCCTGGCAGCGACTTCGAAAAGTTTGACTACATACTCGCTATGGATGATGAGAATCTAGAGGATTTGGAGGCGTTGAGGCAGAGGGAGGTTAAGAAGAGGGGTGGTGATGAGGAGGGCGTGGGTAGAGTTATGCTGTTTGGTGAGTTTGGGGGGAAGATGAGGAAGGGGAGGCGTGGGGAGAAGGGCGAGGAGATTGTGGATCCGTATTATGGGGGTGATGATGGGTTTAAAGCTGCGTATGAGCAGTGCCAGAAGTTTGGGAGGGTGTTTTTGGAGAGGCTCGAAAAGGGAGAGCTGAGCTGAGAGGGGAGATGAGGTCACCAAGAGTGGAAGACCATTTTGGGTGTGGAGTGGTTATGTGTTTAGATACCCCATAGAGTACCATAGGCTACAGTGCATGTACAATTCCAATTAGACCCTAATAAGCCTCATTACAACGCGTGATTCCTCCGGGGTATAATTCGTCATCGTGTCGTGCCGTTACGAGTTCCGCTTAATCTGCCTCTCTAGATCCAGTAGCTTCTCTACCATCTTTCCTCGCATGAAGTCGGTCAATCCTAAACTGCGCAAATGTCAGCCCTACGCTCAATCCTTCCAGCTTCCCAAGCAATATACTCACATTCCCTCTCTCGTCACAACCCGATACGTGCCGCTGTTTTGCCAGCCTCCATCACCTCCACTAAAGTGACCATTGCCATCAACTTCCACACTGCCGAAGATGTCCTCTGGCCACGCAATGCGCCCATAGTCTGGTGGGTTCCTCAGATCACTAATGTGTATCCAACCTCCATGACCTGCACCTCCCATGCCGCCTTGGTGGTTCGCGCCGCCTGCGCCATCGTTCGGCTGTGAGAGGTTGGAGCCGCCTGGCGACGCGTAGACGGCTGCTTGCGATTGTACATATGGGTCTGAGGTGGCATGTGTGGCGAAGACAGAGGATAGTATGGGAAGGAACTGCGGGTTCTCGGTGAAGTTCTGTGGTGTTGGTGGGAGAGCGGTGCATGTGCCTATGGCGAGTTGTGGAGTTGGAGGTTCCGTGGGCAGTAGTGATAGCAATCGCTTGCTCGGATCGAACGGATCTTTATGTACGTACTGAACCGGGTAAGCAGTTGCCATTCTGAATGCGAGAGTAACATACGATATGCGGGTTCTCTGGTAGTGTCGAAGCATTTCTCGCGCCTCTGAGACGAAGTGTTTGCGCAGAAGGACGTATACGGCGCGCAGAACGCACAAATGTGTTCGCTAACATCTGATAAAGTACGGGACACATGAGTATATGCAATTCCAAGGTATGATGTTGGTTTACTATCGTTGCTGGAAGTGAGACCGAAACCTTGTGCTCAGATGCACAGATGCTCCATTACAATGACGAGGACTCGGAAGTCCGCACTAGCGGCAGATCAAGTCGCCCGTTGCTCCTCCTGTCCTAGTCTCGCGATAAAGCACTACCCCCAGCCACCGCGATTATCTATTACCACATATCCGGGATAGCTTCAACAAATTTGCTATGAGTCCTAGATAGTGCCGCTATCCCGCGTGGACCTTTGGAAAATCACACCTAGTTGTAACTGAAGTCTCGGCCGCCGGCCATGATCATTCCCCAAACCACTGCTGGCGCTACCCCACTAGCCATGCAAAATGTTCGCTTTGGCGAATGGGAGTGCGGACGCAGTTAGTGGAGGGAGAGCCGAACGGTGCGTCGGCTTAAGTAAGTAGGGAAGGTGCTTCGTTGTGAACTCTTTCCACCTTCGACTCATCATCTTTCCTGTGTTGTCTCAGTCCTTCAATATGGCTCCGGACGCTGTGGAGATAGCTCCTATCGAGAAGAGGGTCGGGGAGACGAGTGATGCGAAACAGACAGGGCTGCACCAGGATGTTGAGGTTGGACCTGAGATGATTGATATCGACAGGATCGAAAGGGTGTATTCGTAAGTTGTTCTAATAGCTCTCCGAATCATACTGACAGCCACTCAGCAAGCTCGATCGCCGGATACTTCCAGCATTCTGGGTTCTCTACTTCTTATGCTCGGCGATTCGCTCCAACATTGGACTTGCTCAGACTATGAATCTAGCGGAAGGCCACGATCTTGGATCAGTGCTCAACATAACACCGAAACAGGTCTCTACTGGTCTGGCGTTGTTCTACGTTTGCTATGTCATCTTTGACCTTCCTTCCAATCTCATCATGTCGAGGGTCAGCCCGCACGCCTGGATGAGTCGCATCGTCACCTGTGTTGGCATCATTGGCATGTGCTTAACTGCTATGAACGCTGCTTGGAACCTCTAGTAGGTGCTCATGATGTGTATCCTATCCACGGACTAACACAAACTCAGCCTTCTCCGACTGCTACTGGGTATCGTTATTGCCGGCATGTGGCCTGGTATGTCGTACTATCTGACTCTCTTCTACCCCCCCTCCCGCACCGGTAAGCGTATTGGGCGCTACTTCACAGCATCTCAAATGTCTGCGGCGGTCGTAGGTCTGGTTTCAGCTGGTTTCCAGAAGATGGACGGAGTAGGTGGCCTAGTTGGATTCCAGTGGATGTTCCTGTTGTATGGTATCATCGGCTTCATCGTCGGCATATCGCTACTTTGGTGGCTTCCCGACAGACCACTACCCCCAGGTGAAGTCCGTAAGCGAACTGGGTTGGCGAGATGGCTACCACAAGGCAAACCGGCCCTCGAAGGCGAAGACGCGCGCATTCATTACGAAGACTTGACTCGCGTCTACAGCCGCAAGTTATGGAACATGAAAGACCTCTGGCACGTCGTAATCGACTGGAGGATCTACCCGCTTGTCATCATGTATTTTGGTGTAGTGGGAGTAGGCAACGGAACACAAGCTTACGCGACCGTTATCATCCGTGGAATCAACCCGAGCCTCACAGGTATCCAGCTCAGTTTGCTCTCGGCGCCCATCTGGATTGTGAGTAGCTGGAGTTGTGTTGTGTGAGTTGAGCTAATTGTAGCAGATGGATCTCATTGCTATTCTACTCGTGACGCCAATCTCGGATCGTTTCCACCACCACCGTCCTGCTTTCTTCAGCGGCGCCGTTGTGATACAGATTGCAGGTCTTTTGATCGCCACATTCGCCAAAAACTGGTCGCGTTACGGTGGCGTTCTACTTATTGGCTTCGGGCTGGGGCCGACGGTGCCCATCTGCATGGCCTGGTCCAACGAGATCTTCCAGCCCCGCCACGGAGAGGTGGGTGTAGCAGCAGCTAGCGCACTCGTGTCTGGACTTGGTAACCTGGGAAGTATTTTGACAACCTACGCACTATACTCTGGGTGGCCCGAAGATGCCAAGGATGGTCCGCACAAGTACCGCAACAGCAACTTCGTCATGATCGCCATTCTATGTGCCAGTATACTGAGCGCGGGAAGCATGGTCGTCTTACTGAAGGTATTCGGTGACAACAAGGGCAAACAGATTAGTAGTGCAAGCTCGACTAGCGAGGGCGAGGCTGCATACGTGGATGGTGCTGCACGGCGCGAGGTTCAGCAGAGGGGTCTGGGACGAATGTTTTGTTTCCGATGAAGAACGGGTGGAGAACGGAGCTGCAGGCGGTGATTGGCAAAGTCGCAGTCATGGAGAAGGTATTGGTTGGGATGGGTTTCTCGAATTGCCCATGGGGCAGAGAGTCACGAGGACGTGGAGCACTCGCGTGGAGGCGGGAGCCAACTCTTCTTGATGCAAGTCAACATGCCTGAGCTGGCAGTGTTGCTGCGGACTGCTGTGACGCAAGATATACAAGTATCACAAAAAAACAGGACACTGTTCTGATTAGTTAGCCCGTTTGCTTGTGTCATTGCGATTGCCCTCGCAGGTGTGACTGATAGCGATAGCCGACCGACGCCGGAGCAGCGGTTGTTCAACTCGCAGGCAGAGCCAAGAGGGGCTTCACGATACCCCAAGCTTCGTCACTTTGCGCCTAGCCTGCTTCCCCATAACTCCATCTTTTTCTTCACCCTGCTCCGCTTCCGGCGCTTTGCCTCGCGTAGAAATCCTCGCAACCTCTGCCCTCGACCTCCAAAGCACTCCGTGTCTCATTAGGAGCGCGCCCCACTACAGCTGTCCATCCACTGCAGTCCATCATCTGACAATCGACTAAACCGTGTCATCGACTCTGCAACCTCGCACCAATCAGTCATACACAACCGCTGCAAGCACACGCTCCCGGGAGTTATTCTACAGACCCTTTCCCTCGCCTCCCCAGCACATTTGATGGTGGCCCTCGCAGCGTAGTAGCGGGGCAGTGAGCCAAGCGCGGTATACTCGCAGCACAGAGCCCCAGAACCACGGCTTGCGCGCCCCGCTGTAAAGAAACAGACAGGCGTGACGTAGGTGTCCCTTCCCTCTCACAACACCAGACACGGTTGCACGGGCGGGAAATGAGGTTTCTCAACAATCGCGTCGATCTTCACATGCTTTTGGAACCACCCGCTTGACTGGCTCAGCCCTGCATCGGCATACCTGCTAACACTCCATGTATAGTCCCCGCAGACTCTCAGCAGCTACGACCCCGGCTAAAGCTTCCGCCAGTGCTCCCAAGGACGACAAGCCCCACTACACACCCGTCGTTCTAGTTATACCACACGCATCATGTCTGCCGCAATCGATAATGAAGACCTCGAGGAGCTCTCCATCTCCATGCCCGCCCAACGGCGAGGAGCCGGCGCAGCAAGCACCGCCAAGGTCCAGGACCATGCCGTCGCGCCGCCCGCTGCGCTCCCTACAGCTGTACAGGAGAGTAGGAGCAAGGACTCCAAGGCAAACCAGCGACTTGGACAGTATACCATAGTCAGGACACTGGGTGAGGGCTCGTTTGGTAAAGTCAAACTGGCGACACACCAGGTCAGCGGCCAGAAGGTGGCTCTCAAGATTATAAACCGCAAGAGACTGGTCACAAGAGACATGGCAGGCAGGATAGAGCGCGAGATTCAGTACTTGCAGCTGTTGCGGCATCCGCACATCATCAAGCTGTGGGTTGTTTGCATATCCCTGAGATTCTTATACTGACCCACCGCAGCTACACAGTTATAACGACGCCGACGGAGATTATCATGGTCCTCGAATACGCCGGTGGTGAACTGTTCGACTACATCGTCAACCATGGGAAGCTGCAGGAAGCCCAGGCGCGCAAGTTCTTCCAGCAGATCGTATGCGCCGTCGAATACTGCCACAGACACAAGATCGTCCACCGAGATCTCAAGCCAGAGAACCTCCTGCTCGATGACGACAGCAACGTCAAAATCGCCGACTTTGGACTCAGTAACATCATGACAGACGGCAACTTTCTCAAAACAAGCTGCGGTAGTCCAAATTATGCCGCACCCGAAGTCATATCAGGGAAGCTGTATGCGGGTCCAGAAGTCGACGTCTGGAGTTGCGGTGTCATCCTCTACGTTCTCCTAGTAGGCAGACTACCCTTCGACGACGAATACATTCCTACCCTGTTTAAGAAGATCGCCGCTGGACAATACAGCACACCAAGCTATCTATCTCCTGGCGCCACGTCCTTGATCAGGAAGATGTTGATGGTCAACCCCGTACACCGCATCACAATCCCAGAACTTCGAATAGACCCCTGGTTCACCAAAGATCTGCCCGCGTATCTTGAGCCGCCTGCCCAAGACTTCTTCGACAGCGGGGCGGATCCGAACAAGGCAATAGATCCCAAGGCGCTTGCACCGTTGGCAGATGCTCCTCGCGTACAGGCGCTACACGAGAACGTTGTCTCGAAGCTTGGCAAGACTATGGGTTATGCAAAGCATGATGTGCAAGACGCGTTGGCACGCGATGAGCCTAGCGCGATAAAGGATGCTTACTTGATTGTTCGGGAGAATGAGATGATGCGGAAGAACCGTAAGCCAAACATTACCCAAACACGTATGTCGCTGACAATCTTTCTAGCATTATTGACGGGCCCTGAATGGGACCACATGTCGCCTCCCACTCACGACAGTCATATGGACAAATTCAGGCCTCAGTCTTTGAATGCTGCTTCTCGTCCACAGTTCATACCCCCGTCTAACTCGGAACACGAACGAGCACGTCAAGGCTCCAACGCTAGTAGCCAACTTGCGAACGTTCGAAGTCCCGTCAGCACAGTAGCTATCCTGCCAAGCAGTCTCACGGAATATCATAAAGCCTATATGAAAGGTCATCCGAGACCGCTCAACAAAGTCCAAGAACATGATGGTCTCCCACCGACCCCAGAACAAACTGAAGAACAACGACAGATCTCAGCCAGAAGGTTAAAGCCGAATTTCCGCACCATGCCAGAAGCAGGGAGAAATAAACCTGAGCCAATGACGAGTCTGCCAGCTAAGAAGCCACGAGCGACCAAGTGGCAGTTCGGCATAAGATCGAGGAACCAGCCTGCGGAGGCTATGCTTGCCATTTTCAAAGCTCTGAAAGCTATGGGTGCAGATTGGGAAGTACCCAAGATACGTAGAGCAGGTGGCAGAAGCGGATCCCGCAGTCGCAGTACTTCCCGAACTCCTGATGATCGCTCGCCGCCAAAATCGCGAAGCCAGTCGCAAGATTCGATATCATCGCACTCGTCGCACGAAGACCAAGGAGCTAGGGTGAATTCGCCACATCGGGAGCCGCTCTCTGTACGTAACAAAGACGCAAATGAGCAGGAGACACGAGGTCGGCAAAAGAGGCATTACAATCACACCAACGACTGGGGCTACCATGTCCCAGAAGACCCATGGGTAATCAATGCCCGCTTTCGCAAAGAGGGCATGTTCCCTCCTGGTGTCGCACATCCCTCTTCCACGCACTCGTCGCGCGTCGATCTCGCCAACGACCCCTCAGGTCTTCGCAGGCGTAGTTCGACCAACGCGAGCATATCCAGTAACAGTCACGGTGTAGATGGCATGACTCCATCTGAGCGTGCAGCTTCTCGCGCGGCTTCGATTAGCGACGGGCACCCTGACCCTGACGAGGCAGTCTACATCTACATGTCCATTCAACTGTACAGTATCGACCGCGACTTCTTTGTTGTAGACTTCAAATGCGCAGGCTACGAACGTCTCGTATCTAACCTGGTTCGCGAAATCAAAGCGTCTCCTTCTCTCACACTATCCTCCAGTCATTCAAACCCGCACCAAGATGGCTGGGACGACGAACAAGGTGTTTGGCGCAGACTGGGCGAAGGCGAACCACTGCCAGAGGATCTGGCGAATAAGCTCCGCGAGGGAGGTACGGATATCCTCCGAGAGCGGACGGAGCTTGTTGGTGCTGGAAGGCAAGAGGGAGAGAAGATTGTCACTAGTCCATTTCCTTTCTTGGATGTCGCTAGTACGCTCATTCTGCAGCTGAGCGGGGAGTAATCGTCTTGTCATGAGAAGGATGGACTTGGCGCTGTTGAATCGGGCTTTGTTGGGGCAGAGAAACAATGCGATATGCATAGCACGGGTATGCAAACGTCTGGATCGCGTATAGAGGCAAATGTACGATGAGGCTTTGATACCAGTGTAATATAATACGCCCAATACATCTTTCTAGATCACAACTCCACTCTTACATCGTCATCAACCATTCATACATTTACAACTATACATAACAAAACCATGAGCAGGAGAGATATCGCACTGACAACGCCCTTTTTTTACTCGATCGTGCATTCCATTTCCCCAAACTTTGGTCATCTTTCCAACCTCTGCGTTCACGCAACTGCCTATACTAAATACACATTTTGGAACAAAGGGGTGAGAAGAGCGTAGAAGCAAGCCGCTTGGAGCAGAGAGAAAACAGTGTAAAGTGGCGTAGATAGGATGGAGAAAGGGTGTATCATGATTCGAACACTGGCAATTTATCGCATGCCACCTGCGCCGAAGCCACCAGCAGCGGCGCCCATGGCACCTAGTCTTGAGGCGAGCTTGGGGTATTTTTCTTGTACCTAGAGGAAGAAATTAGTACTGGTTCGTTTGGACATTTGTATTTTGTGACATACCTCAAGTTGTGTCCTGGTTGCCTCAGCGTAGCTAAGAGCATTGACAATCTCGCCTTCTGTCCTCGACAGCTCGGCCGCACGCTCAAAGTACTTGAGCGCCTCTGTGACCTTCCCTTGTTGCAACAGCAGCTGTGCCATGGTCGCAACAGCAATGTCGCATTCTGGATCGATGATGAGCGCCTTCTCGCACAGCTTCTCAGCATCGTCGAAGTCGTTCTTCCATTGGAAAAGCGCGAGCGCCTTGTTGATGAGGGGTAGGACATTCATGCCGAGGGGCTTGCTGGTCTTCTCCATCTCAACAGCAGTGTCGAACTTCTCGATAGCTTCCTGGTACTTTTGTTGGTCGAGGAGCAGCTCTCCGTAGTAGTTGTATACGTCGGGTACTTGGGAGAAGTTCTTCATGCAGCGGCGGAAAGTGGCCATTGACGAGGCGATGCTACCCATCTTGTATTGTGTGACACCGAGTTGGATGTGCGAGAAGATGAAGTCCTTGTCGAGATCAATCGACTTCTGGTAGTCCTTTGCGGCCTCACCGAACTCGGACTTGATGAAATGTAGTTGTGCGCGGTGGTAGAAGATGTCGGGATCGCTGGAGTTCTGTTCGAGGGCGGCGGCAAAGTCGGCTTCGGCGGCTTCTGGGTTGGCAAGCTCCAAGTGCATGCTGGCGCGCTTGATGAAGCTCTGTGTTAGTGTGGGCTGGAGCTCAATGCTCTTATCCATGTCCTTGAGCGCGTCCTCGTTGTCACCCTTGAGGTAACTAAAGGTTCCACGCATGTTATACGCGAACGCTTCGTGCTCGCCAAGGTCTCCAAGCTCGACTGCGCGGTCGAAAGCTGCTGCTGCCTCGGTGTATCCATCACCGGTCTTTGTTGCCATGGCCTTCAGACCCTTGCGCAGCTGACCCTTTCCGCTTTCCTCATCAAGTTCAGCATCGTCTTCGAGGCCCTCTGGTGTTGGCTTCGGTCGGAAGCTCTGGAGGTAGTTTGTGACGAAAGTTGGGCTGGGCAGCTTCTTCTCCTTGGAAGCGAGAATGGCCTTGCCCTTGGCGTCGGCGACCTTCTTCAACAGACGCTCAACGCTCTGTGCGCTGCTCTCGTTGCGGAAGCCATCGATGATGCAGCTCGCAGTGTAGTCGAGAAGGGCTTCGCTGTTGCGCTCGACTTGTTCGTATGCGTTTGCTCGTCGGTTAAGCGCCTTTACGTATTCGTTGTCAAGGTTGATAGCGGCGGTGGTGTCCTCGATGACCTTGTCCCACTCAGACATGGCATTGTAGCATGCGGCGCGGTTCGAGTAGAAGACGGGATCTTGCTTGCAAAGGATGGCCTTGCCGTACAGGTCGATGGCACGGTTGTAGTCCTTGGAGCCGTAGGCCTTGTTGCCTGCAGCCTTGAGTTTTGCAGCATAGTCTTTACGGTCCTGCGACTCGTTAGCACTGAGAGGTCAAAGTGGTGATGTTGAGAAGATGTCGCACCTCGTCTGATAATGCTCCCACGCTGTTCTCGTCAACCTCTGGGAGCTGGTCTTCCGTTGTTTCCGCTACAGATGCCTTCTTCTCTATTACCTAATCAGTCTATGGCCTTGTTAGAGTTGTGCATCCACCTACCAGACTCTGCAGATGCCTTGTCAGGCGCTGAGTCCTTCTCAGCCCTCTCCTTTGCGCGCTTGCGCTCGCGTTGCCTCTTGCGCTTTGTCGCCGCCGTGTCTGCCGCGCTATCTCTTGAATCATTTGAGAAGTAGTAGACAGCACCACCAGCACCCACGACCAGCGTTATGCCCGCAATCGTGTAAACGACTCCCTTGTTCTCCGAAGCCCAATTCGACAATCGGTCCCATAGCGAGTTGTTGGTGTCGACGGGAATCTGTACAGGGAAAGGCCCTGGGCCCTGCGGTGCAGGTGCATTCACGGGCGCCATGGCCGGTGTATTCGAGGGTATATTAGGTAGATGGAGGTGTAGAGAGCCCGATATCGTAGTGCTCAATGGCGTTGGGCGGATGTGTGTTGAGTCGCAGAAATTTGGGCTAGGGCAAGCTTTGATGTGCAACGACGTGAGCGCTCCTCATGTGGCTCGGGCGGCCCGCGCGAAACGTCATCAGCGAACAACACCGTTTCAACGACCCACCTTGCCTCTGACTTTCACTGCCTTTCAGCCTTTCTCAACACGAGTATTGTAAAATGACACAGCAGCTAAGAAATACCGGGCTCCTTCGCGCGGTATGATCTGTTTTTACCTTTGTTCGACTCAGTTCTCAGTCCCATGCTTGAAGGCGAGACACCATCAGGTTTTGTCCTTGACCCGATAAATCAGACCGTCTCACGGTCCTCTTTGTTCAGGACTTTAGTAACGCCTGTCCAGCTCGGTGATTCTTTACTTGATCTGTTTCGTTTCTACTTGTAACTCTTCGTCGACCATTGGCAAGATGTGTATCTTGCAAAGACTCGGACTCGGACTAACTCTGACAATATCAGTAACCTTGTACGAATAGTCCTCCCATAGACTACTATTAGCCCCACCTCTGGACTAGAGAGATATGCTACAGTCCCAATGTGTCTAACAATGCTGTCAATCTCATCGCCATGGTGATGGACTGGCACGCTGCCAGAACCTCATTCTCATATAATATTTACAGCTGCGCGTAATTCCCAAAGTCTACTATCCTAACTCTAAAGTGACTGATGAACTCTATCAAAGCATTGCCAAGACACGGTTCATGTGGTGGTCGGCGTTCTTGAGACTTCTTGACCAACTGTCTCTGCGATGATAAGAACGTTACTTTTCGAAGACAGCACCCGCCCACATCTGGAGAGCCAAGGGTTTCCACACCACCACCCATGAGCTTGTATTCCACACCGGCCCAGTTACTTACACGTCGAAGCGGGGTATGTGTATCTTCAATTTTGATGATAGGACAAAGAGCCAGCCTCTTCCACTGATTACTGCTTCATTGGTGAAATATGAACGAATCGACGTCAACGGCTCCCTCGGCCTGGCATTAGTGCATGCATATGTTGTATCAGCAAGTGAATCGCGAGAACTCCTCCAGCTTATCGGATTTGTGTACAAAGAGGGAGACAACGTCTCTTATTTCAAGACAGCGTGCAAACAAGTCCAGCATTCTACGAAACAACATTAAACCGCGATAGCTCGAGTAACTTGAATAATCGATCAGACCGAAAGCATCGACAGTAGATGACTAGAAGGGTCGGTGGAGAGCGGATACAAGGGTATCCACAAGGAAGTCATCACTATCCATATGTGTAAGCTTACCTAAAAACACGTACTTTCTGTAGCTGAAGTGAATATCCGGGGTTTGTGACACATTTCGCGTTATTGGGCAAAGTCTGTGGTTATAGTACTTACAGGAATTGAATGCCCTCGCCCTCGGCCCGGTGCTGGCTCTCCTCCACTGCGATTGAGGTGTATGAACGGTTGATGGTGAGCCAAATACCTTTCACTTCACAACGCGGAAAGTGCACAGTATTCGAGAAAGAAGACATGCAGGTCCATCGATCCATTCATTAGGTATAAACATTATATACACGCGCAAAGACATTGCTATGTAAAGTCGAAGCTCACAGCACACTCCTCCTATTAGCCAACTTTTGATACTGCCGCGACGTCCTCGTATGTCCATCTTCCATCTCATAGTCCGCTGACGCTATGCTACCCGGCCTTGCAGTCGCAGAGGCTCTGAGACTTTCTACACCACTTGCTGGCCGAAGCTTTGTCGGTCTGGAGTCTTTCCTGCTTAACCGTCGTTTAATCACCTCGGATATATGAGAGAAATAGTTATTGCTGGCTTTGACCTCTCGTGGGGCGGCTTCGTGTACTGAACCATGGCTATGGGTGTGGCCATGAGTATGTGTATGCACATGCGGGTGCCCGTGATCACCGAGGAGATGTGACTTTTCGCCGGGCTCCATATACAAATGGCTACCTTCATGGTTGACAAACCAGTTCACCATGTATTGTTTGCCTTCTGGGCCACCGCCACAGGATCCGGCGAGAACGTGTGAGGGAGGAGAGTTGACGGCGAGGGCGAAAAGGTTTGGTGGCTCGCAGAAGTCTGTCACCAGTCCGCGATGGAGAATGAAGTAGATAAGGACGAAGATATTCATGGCGAAGACGAGCGCAAGTATGAGTACCCATGCTCTGGAAGCACCAGGCATGCCGCCGGATGCATATTGTTGAGCTTTGAGAGATGCTTTGAAGAATTGAGTTTGGTACTCGTCGAGCATAGGATGTGTATAGTTCTATGGTTCATGTCAGCAAAGGAGACAAGATGGAAAGAAGGAGCTTACGTACCCAGAACGTGACAAAGGGCGTATCTATCATACTTAAGAGCAGGGTACATCCAGCCAAGACGGCTATGGCCTCCCCTATGCTGGGTATCGCATCGCTTAGGTCCACTTTCAGATTTTCAGGATCCGGATCGGTAGGCTTCAATATCAACTGTGTCAAAAGTCTGGAAGTACTCGCATTTGCATCCATGAGACCGGTGCCGAGTGAGAGACTGTTCGCCCAGTCAGTACCTATGTCGCGCCAGTTAGCAACGCCCTTGGTATTGACGCTGACTGACTCTCCCGTCTCGACGAAAGCCATTTTGTCATCAGGTTGTTCGCAAAGTGCTTCCATGGTAGCACCGGATCCTGTGACGTTGTGTCGTGTACTGCATCCCGGCCTCACTGTAAGGTGTATCTTGCATAGTGAAAAGATGCCTGTCCCATCTATACCAACGTCATCTGGCCCACCCTGTCCCAGCAGATAAATCGCAGGTCGTCCCCAGGCGTTGCTAGAATGGTTCAAGATTGTGTTAAAAGAAGAAGGGTATTTGCCGAAGACAGGAGGCGAATTGAGCGTGGTTGTGTCATTGACGTCCCAGCCAAAAATCTCATCCACCACAGTTGTGTTGAATGTGGTCGCGTTATCTCTGATACCGGGGACATTTCCCCATGAAGTGAGGTTGACCTCTTCAGCGTTGGGCCATGTAGCATATACAATAGGCTCTAACTCCGTCGTGTTCATATTGACACATAACACGTTCAAGATTGGTGACGGCACCGAAGCTCGCAATGAGTAAGTTCCTTCAGAGTTCAGCTCTTCAGGTTGCAGAATCCCGTTTCTCTGGTCGCGGGCAGCAGCGAAAACACCCGAGTGGGGCATTGCCATTGTTACGTTGTTGATAGCTCTACCATACTTCTTGGATACCTCAGTGGTATTGATGATGTCGACCCATTGGCCAGTGACCGTGGTGTTTTCGTATAGAAGGCCAAAGCCTTGGGGTCGTAGCTCCTGGATCGCAGTACCGTTGCCGTTTCTGGCTGATAGATCCCAGTCCGAGAGGTAGCGCTGAAAATTGTGGTATCCCTGGCCAGCATGTTCCATTTGTAGGCAAGTCTCTCCTTGAGCCTTCTTATCAGTGCGAATGGGTGTCTGGCACATCTGCTTGAGGTAGTTGATGTTCGCAAAGTCGCTCTTGACCCGGCCAGCCAATACCAGACCGTTGTCCCAGTTGCCATCTCTCAGCATAGGCTGGACAGTAGCTGCAGCCGCGGACGAGTACAGTGTCGCCAGGATAGCGCTCAGTAAACTCAATATACCTAGGAAAGATAGCCCAGCATACTTGGCAGTTTCCCAGTGCGTGATTAGAGTTCCAGGCTGAACAACCCATCTCCACATACTAAGCTCTGAAAGCGTAACCCCTCGACCATGGTCTTTCATGAATGCTCTTCGACTAAGTACCTGTCCAAGAAACGCTACAAAGGCTGTGACAAAGGACAACTCAATAAGCTTAGCCATAACAGTCGTAAGTAGAATAGCATCGGAAGGCGTAATGGGACCGTGACTAGTGATGCGTCGTCCATAGTGAGGTGCGCGGATAGCTAGAGCTAGGAAGATGCCTGAGAACAGGCACGAGAATAACGAAATAACGATCAGAGATAAGTTGAGCCAGGTGAAGCGTGGGTGGTAGAAGTCTCGAGTGGTCGCACATTCATGTGTTGGGCGAAAGTCATTCTCGTATGCCGACTTGATGGATGGTGCTGCCCCACCTCCTCTGAGCCCATCAGTATCAGAGGCATGTATGTATGTCTCATACTCGTTCACACTGGTGTTGCTTTGCTTTGCATTCTTCAGGATGCCCTGCCGAAAGTCTTCGTATGTGCCGACGTCGGGACTGGCTCTGCCTACGTCAGGGCTGAACCTATCTCGTCGCAGATCTGGTGTGGACTCATTCGAGCTTTTAGGAAAGCTTCCAAAGTATGGATCGGCGGAACCTGGAGGCGAGAAGGTGCCAGTGCTCTTTGTGGGCGGGCTCTTAGGGCCAGGACCCACGGCTCGTCGCGGGATGGGTTGTATGCTGACACGTCTGGCAGTCTGGGTAGTCGCACCAGATGCTGCTATGCCCAACCCACTGTCCTTGGCTCGTTGGAAGCTATCCGCGATATCCTCCTCCTCCTCATCCTCTTCCTGTACGATGCTTGGTGTATTGCGGCCGATGGCGGTAGTATCGCTGTGGTGCCGTGCGTAGGTTGGTCGTGCAGGCGGTGGGGTAGCAAGGCCGAGGGTGTGGGAGTTGTTGGAGAAGCCGAGCGATGGCAGTGCAGGTGTGTTGTCTGAGCTCTCAGAAAGATCCGAGGATTCCTGCATGAGTGGCCGGCGATCGACCATGATGCCTGGCGTATAGCGCTCCTCTTTGTTCTTGCCTATGTTTCAGCCTTCTCTTCTTAGGGTGCTCTTGCGATCCGTATTGGCGGGAGGCTGCGTAGGGTCGCGTTTGTACAACCTGGGGCTGAAGGTGAGTGGCTCAGGATAGATGCGACGGGAAGAATTCACAATAGGGACTAAAAGAGATGGGCTGTCGCAACAAAGAGAAACGACATAGTCAGGCCGATCTGTGAAAAGCCTGAGAAGTAAGGCTGGAAAGGATTACTATGACCCGGCTGTCCGCAGTCGTCGCACGCACGTTCAGCTGTCACTGGGCGTCTGCAAGCTATTCGCTTGTGGCGCAGGATTACGGCCCCCAAACTACATCCAGGCCCATCTGCTGTGCCTTGTGGTGGTCCATAGTCTCCATATTACCTCGTCTGACCGGTGTCAATCATTGCTGCTTGCGCTTTGTGAGCGTGTCTAGCCGTTCAGGAAGCTTGACGACGCTTGTCTCTCTTTCCATAGTTTGCAGTGTGCCACGGGCAGTAGAGCAAACAATCAGAGTCAGGTCATGGGTAGGCGACATCAGGGTCTCTTAGTAATCCTGGTGCTGCATGGCGGCCCTTGGTGACAGGCGATCGGGTGCGGCGAGGGGTACGCGCGGTGCCAGGTAGGTTGGAGGTGTTGGTGTTCAGCCGCACGCGTCCCCACAAACTCCCATGCTTCGCGTTGCGAGCTAAGGAAAGCACCAACATTAGAATTCAAGTCATCGGTACCAAACCCCTGGTATTCTGTCACTCTAATATTCTACCCAATAGCCTTGACATGATCATCAACTAAACACTTCCAATCCGCACTGCCATAGTAGACGGTGTGCCCATCATCATGCGTCAGCTGCCCAGTACTCTTCACCGTGTCACCCAGCTGCCAAAACAAATCCGCCGCCATGCCACTATCCTTCAATGACAAACTTGTCTTCTGCCAGCCACCCTCCACAGGACAATGGTCTTCCTTCTTCGGCACCCCATATTCTTCAAACAGACACGGCTTGTTGAGCTTCTTGCAAATCTGCGCATGCGCCTTGATCCAGCCGTCGCCAAACGCATTGCTCACGCCCCAACTGTCAGGGTAGAGATGGAAGGTACCAAAACTAATATTTCCCACCTTCAAGTTTGCCTCCCAGTCGATGCCCTCGCCAAATTGGTAGGGGTAAGAACCATCGCCAGCGAGACCAAAGCCTTCATCGCCAACGGTGATCATGTGGTCTGAGTCGAGAGAGCGGATATAATCGCTCGTTTTGCGGATCCATTCAGTCAATACCGACGTTTGGCAGCCGTTACAGCGGGGCTCGTTGGCAAGTTCCCATGCAAACACAGCGTTGGAGTTGCGATAGCGGCCAACGACGGCTTTGATGTAGCTCTGGTACATACCTTGGCATTTGGCTGCTGTGTACCATTGTGCATTGCTGCTCACACCGCAGGCGGAAAAGTAGGCGGCCATGCCTCCATAGTCTGTCCAGTTGTTTACGAAGTTGATGATGAGTTTGATGCCATGTTTTTCTGCGGCTTTGACTACGGCATCGAGTCGCTGGAGGCCATTTGCGCCCGTGTTGATGGTGGCAGAGGACCCCGAGAAGGACTGGAAGTAGACTGTGCCGGAACCAGGGATAGTCTTGACGTCGTTGAAACCCCATACTCTGAGAATCTTTTGGCCTGAAGTGGCGAGATGACCCATGATCACATCGACATCGTTGTCGTTTGTCAGGAAAGGGATCCAGTAAGAGTTGGTACCAGCATAGTCTGTGATGGTGTGAGCGATGTGGAAGTGATTAGCGGTCTACAAACTCACATTTGGTTACACCGTCAATGTTGAACTTGAGGCCATCGGCTTTTGAGATTGAGGCTCGTGGTGCTAGATCAATTGTTGCAGGTAACGCTGCCGCAGCTGCGCAAAGCGAGAGGATTGAAAGCAGCTTCATGATGCTGAACTGGCAGTTTGCTGTTGGTAGGCGTCCAGCTATGGTGTTCCGAAGAGCACTTATAGGTACTCATCACGACTACAGTCAATACTTACCTGAATCAGAGCGGCACAAGACACTCCGCCTCAAATTAGATTATATGGAAATCGTACATCGAAGCGGCTCTAGTTTGTGGGGTAGCATAGTAGCCAAGGTCGTGGTATAGTCGCAATTGGTGCACTAAAGACGAGTGGGGCTTCCATCCAATTACCATGTTTGGCATGAACGCGACGGACCGACAGACTCCGCATCGCATCTAGTAGACTATTTCTTCCCAAGTGCCATGTGTGAGAGACAAATTTGCAGACTCTGCGACAGCTGCGCAGGACAGGAGGCAATGTTTCTGAATTCCTCCGGTGCTAGCCAACGATGTAATATATCCGTGACGATCTTTCCGGGAACCAGCATCACAATGAAACGCGAATCATATCCGACATACGAAGCGGGGAAAACAAAATAACCATGACTACGCGACCAAGACTTGTCAGTAAGAAGAATCATAAATACTTCTTCTGTATGACGAAAGAAACATTCCAGACTGCAAGTTCATCGAATGTGAACGTAGAATGGACCCGCAAGCTCAGTAGCCTTACTCTTCGACAAGCCCATTCAGCCTCGGGGTATTTGGATGAACCAGGTTTCGCTTCACTGAAGTTTCGGTGAAGAATTCTCAGCGCCCGTTGTGCGTTAAAAGGTAGAATGCATAGGTTGTATACACCCGGTTGGACTGAAACGACCGTGTGCGTCCTGACAAAAACTGGAGGGCGTGATGAGGAGATGAAAACTCGAATGAAGAGCAGCAAGCAAGAAGAACTGTTGCAGAGATAATATGGAAAAGAAGTACTAAGGCTGATCCAGTAATCCGTACGATAATGGGGTTCATTAACCGGTGGCCGCCTGCCGTAAACGCGAGTAGCCCCAGGTTCGGACAATATTGGAAGAACGGAAGAAGTCGTTGAGAAGAAGAAATTTATTATCCGAATCTTCTCTGCTGCCCGCGTTCTCTGGGTTATGTCGAGCATAAGGCTGCAGGATTGCACGTGCGCATTTAACGTCTGCATGCACGTCGTCAAGCTGAGATATTAGTGCCGGTCCTCCCATTTCATGTCCTGGGAAGCGGTACGGTCAAGACCGATTCAATGTGACACAAATCAATGGTGCCGAACCGTGTGCCACTGAACTACTCTGGCACTTCGTGTCGAAGGACCAAGGCAAGGATAGCGATGACCTCATATGGTCCTCCCATCTCCACACTAATGGTCGCGAAAAGGCCTTCGGAAAGGTTCTACCCTGTAATTTCATCGAATTTCTTGCTTTCTCAAAAACCACTGGGTTGGTGTAGCTGGAGGAGATTTGCTGACGAAATGCTGTCCACCAAAGGGCGCCTCGAAACCAAGTACTGTGTGTTAGTCAAGCAGTTCTATCAAGGCGGTGATGGGATGGCAGATGCAATCATGTGGAACGGTCACCTAGCGTGGGGGTTGTTGGAGCTATGCAATATAGTCGAAGTTAACAACGCCGCCAACAGTCAGCAAGTCAGACCTCGATAGTGAGCAACCACCGGTGAGTTTACCTGACGTGGGCGGTGAAACTTGGATTCGAGTCATCCAATAGTGGGACAAAGGATCGGGGTCAAGATCCTTTTGGTAAGAGCTGTGTTGCACCTTTCCAACTCGGAACATGCGTACAGACAGTCGCATGCTCGATGATGCACTCAAGCCTGATCTGGCAGAAATCGCGCATTGTTCCCCATGCCATGCAACCCGCATCTTGCTTATGGGTTGCAGAGAGCTGACTTTGTGTAGCGATGCACAGAACTAAGATCTGAGCTAGTGCTGTCGCGTGGCGTAACCGAAGGTAGCGTTGAGGGCGATGACCACGAGTCTGGTGTTGCTTGTCTTAGTCCCACGCGAGGCGTGGCGTAAGACGTGGGAATCAGTAGTCGAAAGCGCACGGCGTAACTTGCCGTCCCAGTTTAATGCCCCGCAGTGTCGCCGTTGGAGTTAGAAAAGGACATGAGCAGGGACGTCGTACTAAATGAAGCAAGGAGAAGTCTGTCCTGGGGCAGGTTTCAGGCCCAAATTTGAGGATCTGGTTGTGAAAAAAAAATAAGACAAGAGGGCAAAGCAAAGTGTTGTGGTGTATTATTCCACACATCAGCTCTTCTCTAGGATAGCCCTGGAACGTGCTGCACATTGAGGCTCGGGCCGGCTAGGGCCGGAAATGTGACCTGAGCTATCAAGTCTGACCCCGGGTCCGCGTACACGGTTGATCGACCATAGCGGCCGAACGCGTACAGTATCGAATTTTCCGCGCTCGGCTGCGGCAGAGCGTTCTCACTGACAAGGATGCGCACCTCCTGAATAATCTTCGTGTTGGTCAGGCGAAACCACGCGTGACCGATTGCTTTGCGCTGAATGCTGCTCGACGGCCTGTATTGTATTTGTGCTACACATCTCCACAGACGTTGGCCGCAATTAGAAAAACAATCGCATCGTTCATGGAATTACTGAACGTGGTGTTGCCGAAGACTACCGAATGTCCGTGCTGGAACATTCAAATGGGCGTACGGCATGAAATTTGACAGCAGTGGCTGATCGTCCGTCGTCCGCGGCTCACCACCAGGGCAATATGACACGAGAACCAACGTCTCGTAAGAGTATCATAGAAAGACAAGACGCATAAGAAATTGCCGTTCTTACTGGAAGTGCTTTCTGCCAATGACATCCTTTCGAGAATGACGCACAAGCATTTCAGCCACCGCCGATTCCGACTTTCTAAGGCCCGAGCCCTGCGAGCACCGTCGCAGTTCCTCACCTCAGCCTCTCCCAAAACAAAATCTCGCCAAGGCTAGGCGGAAGCGGGGGGTAGACCGCGGTGCCCTAAAATCTCCAACTCCTCTTGCTTCCTGTGATTCCAGAAACTAGCTGGCTCTCTTTGAGCGTCGTTCGTTGTCCCCAGGTCGTCCAGTCGCCATGAGTATTCGGATAAATGCGACGGTGCAAGAGGCCCGAACAGCTGCAAACCACAGCCAGGAACAATGGGACCGATTCTACGTAGGTATGTTCTTGTCGCAAGGGTATGCTTGGCTAACGAGACTAGTTCATAACCAAAGACGAGGCCAGGCAGCTTGCGGAGGCGCACCCTGACTGGAAAAGATGGATCCTCATCCCCGCGAACGAGAAAGAACAAATGCTGGAGAGGATCAATACCCGTCTTCGAGCTGAAGGTATCCCGCCCGTCGAGATGATCATCCTGAAGTGGCGTGTGTCGCAACTTCTTCGAGACATCCAACGGAAATACGGTATGTGCATTGGTGCCCGACTCTGGTGACTCAACTTAGCGGTCGGCTATAGTGACGCTCTATACAAGTACATTAGCTAATCCAGACGATATCGCAGAAGCCGGCAGCATGCTACAAGGCATGCCGGGTACAAGCTCAGGGTCAGGATCAGGATCAGGGTCACCAATACAAGTACAGACGGCCCAGTCGCCTCCGGATAGCAGCGTTCAGTCATCGAGCCCACAGCGAACGGAGTATTCACCAAGCGAGACTCGTCCATACGATCCAATACGGGATGTGTAGAACCTAAGCCATCGGAGGGAATCTGTCTTTTACAGCGCGCGTTCAAAGTCGAGAAAGAAACACCGGACCAACATTTGGTATTCGAGCCTGATACCCCAGCCACAAGGCGCGGTATGGATAACAAGGATAGAGCGAGCTAGCGAAACCACCTCACAATGAGACGGAGCGCGATAGGATTCAGCCAGCTATCTTTGTGCAATCGCTGCGGGAGGCTTCGAGGAGACGCATCGGCAAGAGATATCGATTCGTGAGAAGCCGACTATACGACTGCAGTGCTCGGTGCGGCTACACCGAGCGCATTCGACTCGATCTTGTGTATAGTGCTTTGGTACGTAGCCAAGGCAGTGCTGAGGATGTGGTGCGCCGTCCGACCCAGCTTCTGCCTACTTCCAATATCTTTTGCTTTTCCATGTACCTGCAGTCTTCCACACGTCTCAATTCTCCGACGATGGCTGCTCATTGTTGATTGGCACACAGCCTGCACCTGGTCTTGGCGTGGTGGCTTTTCCGTCCTCGTGCATTGTGCATATGGCCCAATCTCGAAAGAGTCGGAAACAATCTGGTTCTAGACCCTGCGTCAATTTTCCGGTTCTCTCTGGCGTTTTTGTTTTGAAGCTGCGCACTTGCATGTCCTAAACTAAGAACAATGCATTGCAGTGTTGGAAGTTACCACAACTTTATATACTGTGTCGTTCCAAGAAGGCACAACTCATTCGCTGCTAACAGTCGAAGATAGTACCTCTTGTATGTATGTATGTATGGCACGTGCCAACGTCGTCGCATGGTAAGGACCGATGATCGTGGAGTCGAGGTGTGTGGGCGCAAAGCGGTCTTGTATGACGCAGCTAAGGACAGCCGATCGGTGTGTCCTTTAGAGACTTGATCAGATTCCTTGGTCTTTTGGATGTTCCTGCCGTCGTGTGAGCTGCTCACCATGTAGGTCTAGTCCTTCTCCGTGGCACTCCTACCCATCGCTAGAAGAGCCGGTAATGGATAACCATCGCCTGCAGAATTCAGCGGGCATGCCTGGAGTGTCGCGCCTAAAAGTATGAAGAGGTTAATGGCGTGAACGTCTATTGTCAGCTCGCTGGCGGAGACGCTTTTGCGGGAGCGTCGTGACATTAGAGAGGAGTCGCACGCTGGTGTGGCAACCAAGCCACCGTGTCGGTGAACATGGGCAGGTATGGCATCTTAGATGTCGACAACGAGTTGGATGATGGCTCGATGATGAAGATGAAAAGGTCGTGAAGGCTGGTGACAGATTGTGTCCGACGTGACTGCCTCCAAAGTATGGTACCCTAGCAACTAGTACTCCCCTCATCCATGTCAAAGGGCAGCCACACCCACATCCCTTCTTCAAACTCTTGTGGGCAGTGGCCTTCTGTACCCTCTACATCTCCCCGCCCTGTTGAACGGACTGCAACACGCGCTATGCACTCCACTATTACGCGTCTTCACTTGGAGTGAATTGGGTGGCACAGTCGCCACTACCCGCATGGCTGTATCGCGTCTACCAGCTCCTTTCACATCGACATCTAGACGGCCACTTGGACGTATGCTCGCATTTCTCGAATTCGAAATCCAACCAACTCGGGAATTCCGCTAGAGGATGCTCCAACAGGACCGAGCCTTGTGCGAACCGACGAAACACATTGCGCGCCTAGAACATTATTGGCGATGGCTGAAGGCTTTCCTGCAGCCCAGCATATATCATCTATGATATCAGTTAGTTTTGGCCTTGTGCAAGAAGCTCTGTTCCTTGCTCAAGAGTCGTTCACTCCGGTGAGCTGCCAAGACCCACAAAGGACGAGCACTAGCCGCCGTTAGACAAATGCTCTCTTCTGTAGGCTGCTCCAACACCGGCCATACTCCCCTTCAGAGTTTACGCTGCGTTCTCCATGCTGTGAGCCTTATCGCGAGCTGCGAACTGGTGCTCTCCATGGGATTATCCATAGTCCACGATAGCCGTTAGGATGAGATTGCTGGGCCGTGGCGACTATATGCCTCTCCCTGGCGAGACTCCCGAACAGCAGCGGTAAGTGGAACTCACGAACGTATCGTATATTGACTGTAGGCTTCCGTATGGTGATACGACCGTGGCGCAGCAGAGTGACATGAGAGATCTTGTCTCTACGACGTGCACTTTCATCGTAGCAACGAGGCGGACCGCTCGATGACCCCTCCACGAAGCGAACGTAGCTCCGTCAACAATACACTTCACTGCAGACGTGTATCCACCGTATCCACCTCGAACCCGACGTGCCTATGTCGAAGGCTCCACTCGCACCGCATTACGATCACGCGAATATGCTCGGTAGCTCGGCTTTGACGGCCACATACATTTTCTGGTGGAATGCAGAGTAGTGCTGTCCAGATGGCTGGGCTCAGCATCTGCTGTTGGGCTGGGCTTGATACCTACCAGGCGCAGCTCCATGTACCCTGGTGGAGCCTGATGCAGGAGTAAGCTACATGCTGCATCTGACAGCACATAGCTTGCTGTAGCCACACCATAACAGAGATGAGGACAGGTCTGTACAAAACGACTCTCGTCTTTAGCTCTCTGCTACATCGTCTGCGCTCCATGCTATACTCTGGTCTGTGTTATCGTCTGGTGTGGAAGCTCCTTCTGGTAAGGACAAAAGCAGCTCTTTGCAGTCTTCGCCCGAAGACTCGGTCTCGTTAGCTCGGACTGCCGCTTCGGCTCTTCCGCTCTGCCACTCTGCCATGTCCACAATACAGAGATTATGCTATGTCCAATGAAGCCATGGAGCGGCAAGCATACGCTCACACTATACCCACTGAGCATCGTCGCTACCAGTTTGCGCTAGGGCTTGCTGCCACTGCTGCATGCATCAATAATACGGCATGCGCTAGACACTCAAGAGCATCCATGGCTCACGTACGTATGATACTAACGAAGAAGAGTAAGCGCCTTTAGCCCAAACTGCTGTTGAAGCAGGGCAGCACAATGCTGCCAACTAGTCTGGGTAGTGATAATCACAATAGAGGTGTATTTTCTAAACCCACATTATGAATCCGTATACATACTTTCCATGACCAAAGTCGCAGCTAGAAACGTCTTGCGTCCCTGCTGCTTAAGCACAAAGTATCCGTGATTATGCATATGGGATGAGCTTCAGTCCTGAAAGAGCATTCTATACCCAAGGACCCTCGAACACAGAAGCAAAAGGCGCAGTACCGGGGCCCCAAATCTTCTGAACATGCTGACTTTTAAGCGTAATTCAGTTCTACTTCAATAACAATTGATTAGTCCGCACAAACTAGGCAACGTCAAATCAGTCAAGGCACATCACGGAATTCGAGACGGACGACAGTCGGCCTATAATGTTTCATACGTTACGAGACATCACTCTAGCCATATGAGTCAAAGCTCCAAAGACTCGGAATCGACAAGTTGCCCCATCGCAGGTGGACATAGTGTCCTGGTATCATTGATATCATAACCACAGCCAAACGTAGCTGTCCAGAGATCATAATGATTCCCCTTCCCATACCACGAATGCATTCATGTCATAATTCATATCCCCCTTTCCCCGTTTCTTGCCTTTTTGTTTTCTGCTTGCAGTCGAACTACCCTTGCATGCCAAATCCAGGCTCAATGCCAGCCTGCTTCAACGCCTTGGCTTTCCGCGAATCGGTTTCCTTTTTCTCTGCTTTTTGGGCCGCTGCCAGCGCCCGCACTTGATCTTCCTCGGCGAACATTGCGCCTTTCGGGTGCTCTTCTCGGTCGAGGTCGACGGTTGCGCATATGGTGACGTTCTCGCCTCTTACAGTCATTACACCAGGAAGCTTGACGTCGTGTATCAGCCAACGTGGGATAGAGGGGTCGGAAGAGGGTGATGCGTCAGGGTTGCGGGCTGCTATTCGCTCGTAGCATTCCGTGAGAACAAGATTGGCTGTATGATGTCAGCTAGTGTGACGGCAGCTTGGGAGGGTTGGTGGTAGACGCACCAAATTGGTCGTATGACCGTAGTATACCAATGTACTCTTTCTCGTCGCGCAGTAACACGTCAACCTTCTCTGGAATATGTCAACATGATATCCTCTGAAGCTCCATGCAAGGTGTTTCCATACTGTCCACCATATCCAGCAGCATTGCCGAAGTCAAGAAGGCCTGCGGTGGGAGATCAACGGGTAGTACTGGCGGCGGCGCCTGCCCTCGTGCACCACCAAGCACATTTGGACCATGTTGCGGTGGTGGAGTGGCACTATATACGCCTTCGTAGCCTGGGGCGGTATTAGCACTGCGCCATTGTGCCTGCCGACGGCGGTGATGCCTCACCAATAGACGGTGATGGCCCTCGTGGAGGCTCTGAGACCTGGGGCTGTAGCTGTCCAGGTGCCTGCATAGAGCGCTGAAGCATAGCATTGAAGTCCGGGGCCATGTTCGGGGCACCTCCAGCCTGCGCGGGGCCTCGGGGTGGGCGCTGATTGAAAGCCATTGTGTGTAGAGTTGCGCAGCGGGTAGGACGATAGCAGTGACGTTTGTTTAGCGGTTGCGAGAGGACGATGGATATGGCGCTACCATGGCGAGGCGGCGTACGTGTTATTCTACCTTCACTCGGTGTTTACGTCGTTGACGCTGCCCTAAATCGCCAACCGTTCGCGTATGCCAAGCCCCGCTAGTCATGAACATTGGAAGGCACGAGTGGTCTACTACCCAACTTCTACTTAGCACTTGTATCTCATTGCACTCAGCCACGACACGAAGAATCCTCTGCCCAAGGCTGGTAGTGTCGTGGAAGGAAGCTCGTGGAAAAGATATCCGTCTACCTGAATAGACGAGTGTTTGCGCGGCTTCAAACATTCAGATCAACGCATTATACGGACATCCTTGCCTTCTTGTAATCATCAAGCGGGAACCTTGATCAGTTTCTCTCGAGTGTGTGACGCTCTCATAATTCTGTTCAGTACCCATCGTTGTGCAGTTGAGAAAGTTAGACTATAGGAATGGGCGAATCGGAGCCGAGCTACGCCGCAACATAGCTACATCAAAGGCTACCCTTCGTCCCTGCGCTCTCTCTTCTTCATCTTCGCTCAATGGTGTTTCTGTCCGCCAGACAATATCAAGTTCCAACATCGGTCTCCGCAACAGCACTCTCTAATCAAAGCCACCGGTAAACCACTCACATTCGATACTTGTGTCCACGAAGGCTGTCGCTATGTTCAGGGTCTTCAGGAATAAATGGATCACACCACCGAAAGAAGTCCACGAGGACTATACTGGAAGGAACATTATTGTCACAGGTGCGACTTCCGGTATCGGTGTAGAGGCAGTCTTCAAGTTTGCAAAACTAGGTGCCGCCAAAGTCATCATCGCAGCACGGGATGTGAAGAAAGGCGAATCGACAAAATCTGCTTTGGAGGCTCGGCTAGGACGCCGCGATCAGCTGGAAGTCTGGGAGTTGGACATGATGTCCTACGACAGCGTAGAGGCCTTTGCAAACCGCGCAAATGAGCTTGACCATCTGGACATAGCGGTGTTGAATGCTGGCACTCGACGAGTCCAGTTCATACAGTCTAGATATGGGTGGGAGGAAGATATACAGGTCAACACACTGTCTACAACCCTCTTGGCCATTTTACTTGTACCGAAACTAAAAGAATCGAAACAACATACTGCTAAAATCCCGATTCTTGAGTTTGTCAACTCTGGTCTGCATCAGAACGCCGTTGTCGCGACAGAGGTCCGTCAAGAAATCAGCGTACTTGACCATTACAACAAGAAAGAAAACCACAAGGAGGGCAGTCAGTACAGCTTCTCCAAAGTCTTCCTCATGTACGCTACAAAGAAGCTTGCCGACGAGATATCGTCAGGCGATGTTATCATCACCAGCATCTGCCCTGGCTGGGTCAATACCGATCTGGGTCGCGATCACTTCTTCCCTGGCGTACACATATTGGCTTTCTTCCTCATCTTTTTGTTCATGAGAACACCTGCTGTTGGAGCGAACATGGTGTTGAGTGGGACGACACAGGGTGAACGTTTGCACGGAAGGTTCTGGCAACACGACAAGATTCAGCCGAACGGACCGAGCTTGACAGGGCCTGAGATGAAGGAGCTGAGTGGGAGGATGTGGGTTGAGATTGTGGATGCATTGAAAAAGGACGTGCCGGGTATTAACAAGGCGGTCGACGTGGCATTATCGAAACGCTGAAACTTGGTGAGTTCATTGCCTAGGGTAGAAGCAGATAATACCATTGAGCGACCTGATACGTAACTGCGCTGTGCAATGATGGTGAATTGCCAAACAAGATGCTGCAAGTGCCAGAATACCCCAGCTGTGGCTGCGTGGCTAAGCACGCCGACTGGCGCACCAGGGCATGCACCTCCACACATGACGTCGTATGTAGCTGAATTGGAGCATCATCAGTGCCTAGAACGTGCGTCTGATGTCTTCAGAGCTTGCGCATATCAATCCTTCAGCAAAGCAGGACAGCTGCAGCCGCTGAATCGGCTGAATGCCCAAATCGCCCTTTCGCCGCAAGCCCGTCGCCCACGCTCCCTATTCTCTCTTCCGCTACCTGTTCCCCAGGAGTCAGGCACGCGCGCGCCTTCACCTCTCCAAACTCCGCCACAAGACGCTCCCTTCACTCAAGCAAAGCGCCAAGTCCCGCATCTACAAATATATCGTCTACCGTCAGGCTGCCAAGGCCCAAGGGAAACAGAGTATCGTCCAGCGCCTGCGAGGCTACACACGGAGGTTGAGCGGCCGAAGCTACCTTGAAGATGCCGCAAGGTTGCGACGACAGCAGATAGCCAAACGTCGCGGAAACACGGAATCAGGCGAGAAGGCAATGACATACCAAGAGAGCTACGAGGCACGAGAGCCTGGGACACGGCGACGGAAGCTGGCTGGCTATCTCAAGGCTGCAAATGAACTCAGGCAGACATATACCCAGCAGTATGCGTCCAACTGGAGCAGCAAGGAGGCGCAATATGACTACGAGGATGACACACCAGGCGGCTTTCCAGATGCAGCCGTTGTTAGAAGCGGCCGGGAGGAGATGATACTCTTCCCGAGCTATGCTCGGAGACACATAAAGAGGAAGCCCGAAGCACAGCCAGGCACTATACAAGAAACCGAAGGCGAAGGGCGCGACGTTCGAGACTCGACCGGGGCCGGCGATGCCGAATTCTGGAAGCAGCAATGGAACAACTACGAGGATGACAACGCAGTCGTTGATGTCGATGTTCGTGGCTGGATATACTCGCCACATAGGGGTCAGATGTCACGGAAGCAGAGGCTTTTCATTGGACTCGCACGGCAGCTTGTTGGTGTACAGGCGCCTGCTACGCCCTCCACGTCGTCTGCGGACAGTAGCCGGGATACAAGCCCACAACGCCATGGCTTTCGCGAACGAGCCCACTTGCGCGACGCTCAACAGGACGAAGCCATCGCAGCCAAGGAAGCTGAGGAAATTCTACGCAGGGGTGAGAGGGAGGCAAGGGCTGCGGCACGCGGCGCCTATAGTGAAAAGCCTGCTAGGGACCTGGACGACACCCAGCTATACCGAACCGAGAGCGGGAGCAGTATGCGACCCAACAACGGCAGGACCCACCAGCTCGCCCACAGCACATCTAAAGACTCAATGAGAAGCGAGGCTAGTATCAAGCCTTTGCAGAAGAGAGGGTCATGGAACCAACCTTCTGAGATGAGCCCGTCAGAACTTGCCGAAGCCAACGCTCGGCTGATGGCTCGCCTGCGACACTTCCTTGCCATACCAATGGCCAATACACCCATCAGTGTCTTCTTCTACAATGAGAAGATATCGAAACAGAGGACTGTGTACACCGACGCCGCAGGACATTTTAGTATGAGCGCGGCTCTAGACTTCGTACCCACCCATGTTCGCATCTTAGCATCAGATAAGCTCTCGGCAACGGAAGAAGTAATCGTTACTGCCTCGCAGGGTATCAGTGTCATCAGTGACATCGACGATACGATAAAGCACTCCGCTATTGGTAGCGGCGCCCGTGAAATCTTTCGCAACGTTTTCATCCGCGATCTCGTTGATCTCACCATCGACGGTGTCAGAGAGTGGTACAACAGGATGGCAGAGCTGGGAGTCAAGTTCCACTATGTCTCCAACTCTCCCTGGCAGTTGTATCCTGTCATATCAAAATATTTCGAGCTAGCTGGATTACCCCCTGGCTCATTCCATCTAAAGCAATACAGTGGTATGCTTCAGGGCATATTCGAGCCTGTGGCTGAGAGAAAGAAGGTTACTCTGGACAAGATCGCAAGAGATTTTCCAGAACGTAACTTCATCTTGATCGGAGATAGTGGTGAGGCTGATCTGGAGGTTTACACAGACTTCGTCCTAGAGAACCCAGGACGAGTCGTTGCCGTCTTCATTCGTGATGTTACCACAACGGATAGCCCGGGCTTCTTCGACCCTTCCACTGGATTTTCACCAGGCGATCGCTCTTCGTCATCGACCCAGCGCACCAGTGGTGGGAGCTCGGCTGCTTCGACTAAGGCTCGACCGCCGTCTGAAGAAACCGATCCTGAATTGAAAGCTGCTATTGCAGCATCATTACGTGACATGGATGCGGACAACAACAACAAGCGTTCCAAGTCGATGTTTCCGCAGATTGATAACGAGCAAAAGCCGAACTTGCCTCAAAGGAGGCCCTCTCCACAAAGCACATTACTGCGAGGTCCTCCAGCCAATCTGATAGACCTATCATCCGACGATGAAGTAAACGATTCGCCTGCGCTAAGGAAATTCAACACTGAAACCCAGGCTGACAACGAACGACATCGTTCATCGGTGGCATCGAACGCAAGTATGAAATCTGCGCCTGCGCCTCCTAAGAAGCCAGTCGCGTTACGAAGCCCGTCGAGCGAGTCTACATCTTTTAATACCGTACCCTCCTCCAACTCACGGCCGCAGCCACCTAAACCCCGAAAGACCTCAACGGCAGTCAGCCAGTCCAGCCCGCTCGCACAGCAAGATGGTGTCTCTAAAAGCGCAAACACTTCAGCACCTTCCAGACCTCCAGTGGGCCCCAAGCCATCTATGAGCTACCAGAGTCAAGCATCACAAGATCAGCAGTCATACGCTGGCATGGCTCGTGACAAGTTGTGGTCTGTCTACAGTAATCTGCCCGCGTTACGATCAACAGACGAGCCTGGCTCCAATGCGTCCAGTTTAGACGTCACCGGTGTTCGTAAAGGCCCGCCTCCACCTCCACCTCGCCGCGGGAACCGCGATACAGCTTCAAGCGCAGCATCCTACGTAAGCTCCAAAGCATCGACAGCGTGGCAACACGCCCCCTCTATACCATATCACACTCGCCCTCAAGTCACGTCTGCGCAAACATCTCAGCCCTTCTCTACTGCCGCGCCGCGGCAAGGTATCAATCGCACTAGCACCGGCAGTACGCTGGACGGTGCTGCGGGCGAACAGTATGGTACGAAGAAGGAGCAGCTTTGGCGCCAGAGATGGGCGCATGCGGAACAAGTTCTCGGCGAGCAGGGTGTAATACTTCGAGGATGGAGGGTAGGAAGCGATATCATGGCCGAGGCAGAGAGGATAATCAAAGATTCAGAGAAGAAGTTCAAGCGAGATGAGCAGAGAAGCGAAGGTAGTAATGGGAAAGCAACCGAACGAAGATAGGACACAACAGTGCTTGAGTCGGTCGGATGATTGCCCTATTAGCGGGGGTCTTGTTGGAGTACACATGAACACGATACTATCCTCCATTCGTACCGCGTATCGAAATCATAGGCATATGACACCACCCTTTTTTTTGCGGTTCTCGTGGCATTGCAAGCTGAGATTAAACTTCTCTTCTCGCTAAGCATTCGATAGCGTCCCAGGAAACCGGAGTGGGAAGGGGGTAGTATACGTTAGCGCACGTGCATTTGTGAGCCAATTCAGGAGTCGTGATGTCATTCCTTCCTACTGGTATCAAAACAAAGCCACTAAGCACACCTGGGCAGGTACATAGTCGGAACGCGACCGCGACGCGACTGTTTCCCGCCTACGAATTGAACTCTTACTTCTACTACTTATACCAAATCGACCAATCTTTTGTTGTAACAATTATTGCAAAATGTATGTAGGCGTGGCTTTTTTTTTTCGTGTCGCGATGGTGACTTTGCGCCGTATTGTCGTTGGCCTCGTGCGCGCGTTTGAGAAGGGCTCCAAGGCTTTTTACGCTTGATTGTGTGCAGAATTTACGATGTCAATTTGAAGATATACATATTGAACATGTGCTGACTATGAGTGTCCCATGCATAGGCCATCTAGCAAGGGAAAGCCAACAGACCCTAAGCTCAGAGAGAAAGTGAAGGAGGAGGTCAAGAACGAGACGAATAAGGACGGTGGCGGAAAGGGACAATGGAGTGCTTGGAAGGTGGGTTTGAAGTTGTTTATGATAGAGGCGTATTGCTTTGTACATGGACTAATGCGGCATGTAGGCTAGCAAGCTCTCCAAAGAGTATGAGAAGAAGGGTGGAGGTTACGAAAACGAAGCCGGAAGCAAGAACGAGCCGAAGAAAGGTGCCCCACAACAAAAGTCCAAGGGCAAGAAGAAGACCGAAGAGAAGGAGGAGAAACAGGAAGAAAAGGAGGAAGAGGAGGAGGAGGAGGAGGAGGAGGAGGAGGGGGGAGGGAGGAGGAGGAGGAGGAAGAGACAGAGAAGGCAGATGAGAAAGAGCCGTCGAATGAAGATGACAAAGACGAGGAGAAGGAAAACAACGATGGTGAGGAGGAAGCTCCTCCAAGTGCGCAGAAGCCCAAAGCCAATACCGGTGCAAAGAAGACGGGTACCAAAACTGGTGCCAAGAAAGCAGAGAAGACTGCTGAACCCAAGAAGGCAGTCGCACCGAAGAAGCAAGCAAAAGAGAGAACGGAGGGCACGAGAAAGTCAACAAGGGTTGCTGGAAAGAGGAAGACGTATGACGAAGATGAAGATGACGGTGAGGAAGAAGACAAGTCTACCAAGGCTAAGGCGAAGAAGAGCAAGTCCTGATTATGCGGCGCGCATCCCCATCGGTGTTGTATTCACACGAACAAGTATATGATACTTGGTAAGGAAGCTATGCCTTCTTCCATCCATCCGGCATCATCCGTGACCAATGCAGATGACCGAATGGGTATAATAGACAGTTTAATTTATTTCCGAGATGTTCATAATGAATGAGACCTGCCTTTCGGCTCAAGCTTCTCCATGCACTCTTTTGTCGTCATCCCTACTAAGCTTACTCGCCCCTGCCTGACCGGAAACTCTAAGGCCGACAAGATAATCCGCACCGATGAGACTAATATCAACCTCACCACACTTTACGCCCTAGCCTCACTGTCCAACGTGGTTACAGATCGCCAAGATCTCACACCGATGATGTTGCTGATGCCGAGCTCGAGATAGTCGGACTCTCCGAACGAGTCACGATGCGTCCGGAATCGGATTTACCGCCGGGCAAGCGCACCCCGATCCTGCAGTTCAAATTTGGGGTCAGCGCTCCTCCGCGTGCACTTTCGGTCTTTTGATCTTACCAGAGCTCAAAACCAGCAGTATGTAGATTGTCTTGTTGCGCTTGTCGCGTCGATGTCGCCAAGGGCGTGTAACGCACATAATCTCGTTCCTGGAATCCGGCTTTCGAGACCACCGTGGCACCACAAGGCGTAGCGGATACTCCCTGGATCATATTAACCGAACAGCCTTCGTTCTGATCTAGTCGCACTTACCAACAGTGCGTTGTCGAGATCTGCTAATTGGGTGCAAAAGCTCACAAGCCTTCGTGCATGACCTCTACGCCAATAAAATGGTACCACTGCTAGAGTGCAGAGACGCATTTTGCCCTCAAGATGCCTATCGTCTCGCCGTCAGCATTCTCCGTTTAGACATTTCGATCATGCATACTCGAGCTTCGCTGGACGCGTGACCGCATTGTAGATCTCTACAGCTTCAATACTCTGATCTCTTTCAAGGTCCTGGACGTTCAACCGCTCATTGAGGCTAGTAAGCACGCCTGGAGGCTGGAACTTGTGGGTGTATACAGATTCAGATTTGAGCTGGATACTGCATACTCCTATGATGCCTCGTCGTCTCCGCGTTATCGACTTGAAAGACCCCCGTAATGCGTCGTAGACATGCTTAGATTCGTCTTCGTCGAGGACGTCTTCTGCAACAAGCACTACGCATGTGGGATCTTTCATGGCTTTCTCATACTGAACAAAATAAGACGCTATCGTGTCCGAAGGGAACTGTCGATAATGAACACGCTGAAATTTGAACGTGGGTGATGAAAAGAACGCGGCAGCCGCAACAAGTGAGATGCGATCCAAATCATCTGGTGTGGCTAGGCGTACACCTTCTACAGATGGAAAAAGCATCACTACGCCCCGGTAATAGCAACGCAACGCAGTATTCGGTTCGGGAACATGTGTCGGAATCCAATCTTGCAGCTCATTTAAAGCAATGCGGTATCGCACCAAGGCATGCTTACTCCGAGGAATGAAGGAAGGCAATCCAAGGTTTTTTGACGATCACAAGCTTGCACTACACCATTACACGTGGTAATGCATAAAGCAAGTTGAGACATTGAAGCCGGGTTAGTATCTTGATTGAAGTTGGGTACTAGCGATTGGATGGGACAGAATTCCGTAGTTGAATACGTAGATTTGCCTTGCCGTCTTACAGGCGATTTTCCGGATTGAAGAAGCTCGATACGACTTGTGGGTGGACTTGGTCGACACAACAATAAGAACCACGAAGACAAGACTGGGCATAACAAGCACACGGAATATCAACAATGGGCTGTTTAGACGCGGGAGTAAGACGAAAGTTGTGTGTTTGTTCGGTACGCGAGGCAGGTTTGCGGGGAGATGCAGCCCTAACGGAAGCTAAGACATGCATGGCACCGACACCATGAACCAGTGTGGTTCTCGACCTGCCTTTGGTGCCTCCTCGAGCCTTCCTACCATCGAACTCGAAAAGCAACGATCTACCGTGTAGGCTTTGCTTTACGGCCCAGGCCGCTATCGTTCCCTGCTACACGGATCTTGCTCATTACCTCTAAGCGAATGAGCGACACGCACCCTCGCGACACGTCCTCTGAAGTTGTACGCAGTCAGCCGCAGCCCTCCATGTCTACCACCAGTTCGCAGTACAGGAATGCCGCCCAAACTCCTTCGCACTACCAGGACTTCCCCACAAGCAACCACGACCCGTTGTATGGTTTGGGGCCATGGCAGCAACATCATAACGCTCCCAGCCACGACTCGTACGTTGCCGGCCCGTCAACGGCGCAATTCCTACATTACCCTACGGTCGGAGTCGATTCCGCTGGCTCGCACCCGCAGTCTGCACCAACTGCCTGGTCTGGTTACGTCAGACAAACACCTCTGGAATGGCAGCATGCTGGACCAGAGCAGAACTACACGACGCGCTCACCTGTCCCCTATTGCGATGCGGAGGGGACCGCGCCCGTGCCGCACCAACTTCCCACTGTTTCGCGCCACTATCAGCAGCAGCAGCAACACCACTATCAGCAGCAACCAGCGCTAAGTTTGGGACACCCATTACCCCTGGCCTCTCAGGACCATGCGTTTCGAAGTACAGACCGCTTTCACGAGCTGCGCATTTCGTCAGTAAGTGCACACAAGCAACGTTGTACCCTGCACTAGGTTCGCGACTAAGTCTTCCAGGAGCCCCCCGCCAATACGGCAGACCCACCATACTCGAATCATGCTCAGAAGTTACCTCCAGTCCCACAACTGTCGCATTCACAACCGCAGGCTGTTCTGTTGCACACCAACAACGCGCCACAGGTACCATTGCATCATGATGTCTCCTGGGAAGCGCACCAGCAGTATTCGGGTAATGTTGGCGATGTCGTTACCACCAGAGCTCCAGATGCGAGACATCATAGCTCGTCTACTATCCCTTGGCCTATAGTTGACCCAGCCGAAGCTTCCAATGTGTCCGCTGCTTATGAGCCGCCTCAAAGTATGCGTCGAGAATGGAACGTCGCCGAAGCACCACCTGAGCAGGAACTTTTTCCACAGCATCCGGTCCCAGTCGAGCATATGGATCGAGCAGGCCAGTTACTAGCTCAGCATAGGCCACCACCGAAGAAGAAAGCAGCCAAGGTCCCTTCATCTTTCGTTGAACGACAGGAGAAGCTGAAGGTGTCCAAGCGGAAAGGCCCTCTCCAGGACAGGCAAAGGGAGAAGACCCATACTATGCGCAAGACCAAGCGCATATGCGTCCGTTGTAGATTCTACAAATCTGGAGTATGTATATCCCTCACGAAAACAAATCTAAGACTAACGTACGTAGTGTGACGAAGGAGACCCGTGTGAAAAGTGTGAGAAGATCACAGGCCACGCCAGGTCATTTCGTGAGCCGTGTTACAGAGAGCATCTCGAAGATACAAGTCTTATACGTCGGTGTAAGTCATTACAGTGCCTCTAACATGTAACGTTCTCACTGTCGAACAGGCAATGGTCGTGAGCACCAAGAGGAAGCCGAATTCCTCGGTTACGACTGGCTACACAACAGTCAACTCTACGAAATGGAGATCATCTGGAACCTTCCCGGCTACGGCCCTATACCGAATGCACAGCCTTTGCGCATCGCCTTTCGACCATACAGCCCGACACGCGGTTCACTTGATGTAGCGACATCTGTCTGGTCAAATAGGGATGGACAAGTGCCGTCCGTCGAGCAGCCGGCATACGCCATATACGATACTGCGAATCTCGTCCTGGCCTACGAACGCTACTTCTCCAGCCTTCAGCCTGCGATTGAAGAGTGGATTTTTGCTCGAATTCGGCAGGATGAAGTCGCTTATCATACCTATCAGGAAGTGGTACGCATGCGAAGGGTAACTGGAAGCAAAGCCCTCGACCTTGCAATGCGACTCCAGTGTCTCTCGGTTGTCTCGCAGGGATATGGCTCGGTCTTCTCGGAGAACATACCTGGTATACGCGAGTACGACTATCGAAGACTTGGTCGTAGCGACTATGAAGCATACGACCGAAACTCATGCGATCGCCCGCTTCCTGGCGCCATAACTCACCAGATGGATGTTGCGGCTGTGAAATATCTCCGCAAATTGGAAAAGCTTTTCGTCAAGGAGCTAGCGACGCTGATTTTCAAGCCCAGAATCAAGCCTTGGTATGAGCTTTTCCTGGCATTCTATGTCATTTTCTGGAACCTTGAGTACATCCATCACGGCGCGCAAGACTACATCAAGTCGAAGAATGGCACGGTAAGTTTGGCGAGAGTTTTTTTTGGGTAAAGATTTTGCTTCGTCTAACTCCGCTAGTTGATCGAAAACCAGGTCAGCAACGTAGTGACCACTCAGATCAAGAAGTGGGAATTTGCTTTTCCAGTCCTGCTATATCACTGGCGCTGCATCCTCCGCGGCTACTCGCCCTTCAAGTTAGCACGCGACAATCCGGAAGAACTCCGGGAGCGAGGTCATATTGATGCCGAAGGATTCGCATATGTCACACTCATTGCGAATCTATTTGACCGAAATAAGCCCGGTAAGTTGGTACCGTAGATCCGCTACTGCAAGTCATCTGTTAACCAGCATAGATCGCTTCCAGCCGCCGCTTACCGGGTTTGCCGCAACGCACTGGTCCACATCAAGTGAATGGATCGTAAAGCTTTTCAAGGAAGCTGGAGCGTAACGTTCCGCCCGCGTCATGTTGTTCCACCATATTTTTTGATACCCAGTCATGAGAAATGGCTATCGCGAGTCATTTTCTAGCCTGCTAAATACGAATTGCGGTTCTATTGAGAGAGAGGCGCGAAATGAATCTGATGAATATTTGAGTGTGTCTACCGTTGGTCTAGTTAACAGAGAGATACTGAAAGGAAAGACTATGGATACAGAAAAAAAGCTACACAAACCCTCACATTAAAGTCGCAAGATGTGTGACAATTTGACAATGCCGTTCTAACTGCCATTACGCCTGTTGGGATCTTGCGGATAAAATTCCTCCCTTAAGTTAGTC